TCATTTCAGGGGCCGCTCAACAGCACCACGCCCTCACCACGTTTTTTCCGTGTTTCACAATCATCGGAAATCTTCTCATCTTGCCAATCCCTTGTACTACGCTTTCGCCGTCGCTTGTGTCACCAACTCATTTGTTTCTTCGGGTACCCGGGATGCGAAGATACCGGGAGAGGCATGTACTGTACCACAACTCGTCAACTGGCAAGAAGCTCATGTAATGTATTCGTACTTGCAGGCGCAAGTGTCTGCGCACTGTAGAGTTCAATGGTCAGCTACCAGCAAGGAGAGAGATTCTTAGGTCGCTAGCAGTATTTGTTATTTGCGGCCTTTGGGCTGCAAGGCTAGAGACTCAACTGAATCGGGTTACCTTGATAGAGAGATCTGATCATGTACGTACTGTACATAAGCGAAGAGCTGTTCAGCCTTGAAGCTCGCTGCCAGATCTCTCCTATGAGTAAATATGACACTCATCCATACTGGGGTTGGAGTCCATCTTGGATCTTGCCGTCACTCCCTCGTGGACGACCCCTGATGTTGTGCAACCTTCTTCCAACGAACAGGGTCTGCCACGAGGCCGGAGAAGATTCGTGAGAAAGTCAAAGTCAAAGTCAAAGTGAGGTCAAACCATCCACCTCGTCGTCGATGACCCCTGATGCCAGCATGAAGTCTGTAAGTGCCCCAGCGTATCCAGAAAATTCAAAAAGTTGTTTCCCCAGGGTTACATCCCCAACGGTCGTCTCCCATACTGCAGAACCTACAACGGCTCATATCCTCATAGGGCCTGTGCAGCACTGGATTTCCAATTTACAGATCATGAATCTTTCACCTTTCTCCCGGGTGAAACAGGCTCGCAACATCTACCATATGATGCACTGAAAAAGCTCAACAATGTGTCCATCCATCGGATCAATGCAGGATATATCAACCGGCATATGGAGAAGCAGTCGGGACCCAGTCGTTGCTCGGCGCGACCTTCTCATTCCAGGCACAAGTAGCGGTGATCGGCTGATCTCTGGAACAATGCCGGCTAATAACTAGTGGTGGATGGGGATGGAAGAAATCTTCGTCTCCATCATTCAGCTCTGTATGTCATGCCCGGTTCGTGCCCACTCTCGCAAGAAGATAGAGTGACAGGTCATATCAGTTCAATAGTTGTCAAACATTGCGCAATATCTCCTGCCAAGTTCGCGGCAGAGCGCTACAGAATATATGATGGCTGTGGGCATCCACGCGTATCATAGTCAGTCCACCCAAGATCGATGCCGAGACAAATTCAGCACACTCCGTCCCTCTCCGGCCAAATCATCAAGCAGAGTTCGGTCTATGAAAATATCCCAAGGACGACTCGTGTCAGAGCCTAGCGGATGGAGTCCACTGCGAGAATGGATACAACATCTGGTGTTGAGGACATCCACCTCGACATATCTACTAGTCGCATGCGTACAGCATGGGCTGTATCTGCGTAACTGCTACACAATTCTCAGGCAACGACTCGAAACGCCATGGGAAAATATTGACTTGTGCTGGCGTCCCGAGAACGGTTGCAGCGCTAATCCTAGCACTTGGACGAGAATTCATCCCCCCTCAATCCCGACTCCATTTTCCCCCGAGGCCGTGTACCTGCAGATTCCCAGATGGAGCTCGCTCTTCCGGTTCGGTGCCGCACTTTGTAACCTTTTACCTAAGAAATCTCCTTTGTAGTGCACTTGGCTGTGAGAGGTAAGCTCCATGTACAAGGTACCTACAGTAGGAAGGTACCTAGCTGAGCCTCAGAGGGAACACAGATACTCGTATCTGACTGGTCCCAGTTTATTGGTCAGTGGTCACGATATAATATCACCTTCCTCCCTAGCCGATGTCTAAAAAAAGCCCGTAGGAGAGGGGCGGTCGGCTTTGAGACCCGAGGACTGCCTTATTCACTTGATTATAATACGGGTACACCGGGCACTGCACCGATTTGACTTTACCTATCTTCAGTTGTAACCATCTCAGTACCGTGTACCTAGTTGGTAAGTGCTGGATTACGCATTTCTGAATACTTGGTGTGCCGTGAGCCATGTATTCCATCTGGAGAGCAGCGCCAGGGGGGATTTCGCCCTCTGATTGATCATCTAAAAGGATTGATGTTTCTACAAAAAATGCTCCTTCTAAATCGGTCTCGTTATTTTCAGCGCATGCAAACAAAACCCAGGTACCGCAGCAGCGCAGCCAACTTGAGCAAAAAGAAAATACAATTTCACTCCCGCATTGAGTAGGTGCTTTAAAAAATTGCCTGTTGCGGCTATGAAAATGCCGATCACAGGAGTCTGCAAAGATGACCACATCATGCCATGTGGTTACGGGCAGTCTTTTCAAGCAGATCATCATTCCTAAGGGTCTGAAGAGTGTGGGTTTCAATCGGTAGCTCGTGGTTACGGTCCGAGCGGCCCCTACCAAGCACCAGGCTGCTAAGACAACTGCTGAATATCCCAAAACTGAGACACGTAAGGCAGCGGCAGCGTGTCAGCAACATCGACTTACTCCACGTCCACGGAAATGGAACGCCGATTAAGTCTCAAGTCAACAAGTAATGGAGCATAAACTTCGGGAATGTCTATTGCTCTCTCTCTCTGTGCAAGCTCGTGTTGGAACGGTTCGAGTTGCTTTGTTCCGCAATTGCTCGCCAAAACAGCGGCTGGACAACAAAATACCAAGAAGACAAGATTCGTGTCAGGCTGATAAGAGCAATTGCCTCATTTGGAATGTGTCCTTCTTGGCACCTGCCCAGGTCTGCAAAGCTCAAACCCGCCGAGACTGACGCTGCTTTTAAGAGGAGCGAGTCGATAGTCTATCCTATTCCGCAAGATGTAGTGCACATGACTTCTCGGCTTCCCGGGACCATGGCAGGGATTCACAGCTGCATCAGCCCAACCTCAGTCCGGCCACGGCGCTCCAAACAGAATGATCATTGGACTGCTCAACCACCAGATTCGCGATCGGCCCATCTTTCGAGAAGTGAAGACGCCAATCACATCAATCTCTACCCATTACGCCCTTGGGTCAAGGGCCCTCGGAAAGAGGGATCCGCACCAGGCTCTGGAGTGGTGGGCAGGGTCCGTATTGTTCCCCAGCGTCCATGCGGCATGACGAACTCAAGAACCACACCCTGGCACTTACCATTTCAAGGAGTTTGTGGCGTTGACGCTAATGAAACTGACCGTCAGGTGCAGCGTCAACGTTGAGGGACTGCCATGTCCAGCGGACCAGTCAACGAGCCGGTAGAGGGAGATCCATGCATCGAACGAAGTCCAGACGCCTCCAATCTCGACAAGACAGCCGCACTTCCCATGCATCGTGTTTGACGTGGCTAGCTAGGAAACGTTTGACGCAGCACCAACAACGGTCAAAGAAATATCGGTCAGCAAAAATTGTATTACATGAGCGACCGTTTGCATGGGAGATGCGTGGGGTGGGTTTTGTTCTGCGTATTGGAAAGACATATCCAGCAACACACAACCCTCTGCGGTCATTAATTGTTGGCACATTGCTGTTGGCTTGGCTGTTGGCGTGATTGTGGGTGTGACTGATGCTGATGATGGGCTTGTCGACAGTCTTTCGAAAACGATTGCTGCTCAGAGCACCAGCACAAACCTTCTCTCTCTCTCTCTCCTTCTCTCTCTCTGTGTGTGTGTGTCCTTGGAAGACGTGATGCTCCCGGGAGAGCTTAATCACTCATCCGAGGACTGCTGGTATCTGCGGGGGATTCTCATACAAGCTCAATCCCTGAACAAGACTCATCTGTGGCATTATTCGTAGATACAGCAACAAGCTTCGGGTCCATCGTGGGATGTTAGGAAGATCGTCGATACATATTAATGTATTATTGTACCTGAGATACCTTTCCACCAACATGGATGTGGATAGAGAATCAGAGGGTATCCATCGGAGGCAGGTGGTCAGATGCAAGCTATGCCTACAGAGGTAGTCGACTATACTTTGAGGCTATTCCTATATTGGGCAAGGGCGCCTTCTGTAATAGGAAACAGCGCTTGGTCCGTGCTTCTCCTGTGCACCTGCCACCTGCTGCACCTGCCAATAATGCCTGCACACCGTTGGTCGCTGGTGCCTTTGCACTGGCTCCCCAACAAGGCGATTGATGCCGAGCATCGCCCAATCCGACGGGGTGATGATGACTTTGCTCTCTCCCCAATTACACTCTTTTGGCCCCCGCCTTTGGCTGACAAGGACAGGCTTGTAGGGCCATCACGGCCTTTTAGGCTGTCCATGGACCTCCCACCAGTCACGTTGCGCCTCTCTCTGGAGCATTACCCTGCCGGTGGTCCACTCCGGAATTGCTGACCTCAGGGTGGAAAGCTTCTAACCTGCTTCCAAAAGTCTTGGGAACAGGGCTTGATGGCGGCGCCAAACCTCTTTTGGTAGTCGGCGTAAGGTGTCCGTTTGGCTGCCAGGCAGACAAGACAGTCTAGCAACGTCAACTTGGCCTGCGCCTGTTGCTGCCCGTACATTTCCCGTCGGTCAACCCTACTCGTCCCTTTTCAAAGGTGACCCTCCAATGGCCCTTGCCAAACCGCTACGCCCGGCAACCTTCTCTGAACCAGTGAGCAATCCATCCCCTGCAAGCGATCAGTTCGTGATTCTCGGGGCTAACGATACCGGGGTGCTTGCTCTCATGCGGATCAAGACCATGGCAGAACAATTAATCCTCGTATGCCCCTCTAGCGCCGCTGGGCCCTGGATAGCCCTAGCCAGATCCCCCCCTCCCAAAGGCGAATTATATCTTCAATCCCCTTGAACCAGTCCATCGATTTTCCACCGCATCTGACATTGATGAAATACCAAACACAGTCCAAGAATATTTCTTCGGGGTTGTTCAATCTTACATACTCGACGCTTACTCAAGTTCAAGATCCGGGTCTCTGAGAGTCCCAGAAAAGATAAAGACCTCGTCCTCAGACCACTTGGTCCCTCGAATGACGTCGATCTGGGATCGAAATATCAACATGGACTTTGGCTTTGTGAGCTCCCCGAGTCAATCACCAAGTCAATCGCTTTTCACCGCCGGACAATACTTCGACAGCACCTCTGAAGGGTCAAGTCCCAACTCGCCTCGTGTAAGTCCACCCCCACCGTCATGGACCCTTCGACCGCTAATCCTCGCCGAAGCAGATGAGTCAAATCATGTTCAACAACGCCCCCATGCAGTATGACCTCTTCCCATATGGAGCAACGCCGGCATCGTTTTATCCCCCGAATCAGACGAACAAGATCCCCGTTGAATACAACAACGCCGCAGCCATTGATCAGACTGACCGAAGACGGCGACGATCTGGCAGCACTGCAGCGCCCACAGCCAAGGACAAGGAAACCATTCCCAACATGCACCTGGTTCGTCTCCCACTACCCACTATACTCTGTTGGCAAGGTTCACTGACTTCAATGACAGCGACGACGTGCTCAAAATCGCGCATCTCAACGGGCCTTCCGCGAGAGGAAAGAAAAACATGTCAAGGGCCTTGAGCGCCAATTGGAAGATCTTCATGAGAAGCACCAAGACCTGCTACAGTCATATACCAGACAAGCCGACGAGGTCTCGAAGCTCAATGGCAGAATCGCCGAACTGACAGCAGAGCTCAACGCCCTTCGATCATGTCAAGACCAGTCCTTCAGCGAGATGCTGATGCCAGACAAGTTCGACAAGTTCGATGCCTTCTCCACCCACGACAATATGCTCTACAACGGACCAGAATGCTATTTTGATAAGAATGCTGTGGACCTCAACTCGGAGTTTGCCTTGCACTCGTTTGAGGATTCCTTGTAGCATAGTCGTTATCACCAACGGGCAATGGAGATGGGATGCAACTTTCAACTGGCGTTTTACAGAGGTCTTGAATACCTACCTACCTACACGGGCTGGATTTTCCTTTTTTGTGTTTGGGTTTTGTCGATTGCACTTGAGCGAGCGAAGGCGCGCACCGCGCGAGCATGGACGGAATAACTTTTGGTATTCTGCACGACTACACTTTGATGGAACATGTGGTACGCTAGGGGTTCCCTAGGGAGGGAGGAAAAAAAGGGGGTCCCTATGGAAGGAGAACTGGGAGAGTAAAGCCCTTCTACATGCCTTCTTCATGGGTTATCGACGGCGGGCTTTCGCAAGAGCCTTGCGAATGTGGAATACCAGCGGTTCAAAGGACGCACGGATCAACAGGGTGGCAGGCCGGCAACGCCGTGCCGGTTTGAAACATTCATCAAATAATCTTTGTACTACAAGGTGATACCTCCATCAAAGTACACCGATATCTTTCTCGCAATTTCGCAGAGAGACAAACCACTACACCCTGGATGCCGTTCCCGAGCACTGCCTTTCTGGTACGCAAACTTAAAAAGACCATTGCCTGAAGACGGCATTCGCAAAAAGAGTTTGGGAAAGCTAGCTCTCTTTCTTTTTGTTCCCTTGTTTGACAGGCGAGGTCCCCGGCCCTCGCAGTTGGTTGACCCAAGAGAGGCGTTCGAGGCGTCCGATCCCCGAAGTAAACCGTGGTCGGTTCCGCGACAGGATTTCCCTGGCCCAAGGATGATCGAGGGGTTTAGGACGGCGAACGCGGGGAACATTTCGGAGCAGCTCAGCTGCTGCTCAGCTGCTGCCCTGCCCGGACGCTGGGACCAGGGGTTGGTCGTCTCTATTACCCTTTGCTGCCTTATCAAAACTATTTTGAGCTCTACAATTCTCGGCCGGCCATACGGGCAGAAGGGTTCATTCATCCCAGAATTTGGAAATTCACTCCGGCTTCAGCAAACAAATGCTTTTACTCGATGACGGACTCCCACGGCTGCTCGGTTCTGGAGATTCGGCCTTTGCTCGTTGTCCTGTTTGGGCGAGCGACGGCCCATGTCTATCAACAAGGGGCGGTCCCGAGGGATGATCACTATATCCCTAGGCTTTGTACGAGGTACCCGGCAGGCTACGCCTAGGGCAACCGGGGATGTGCACCTACTTTGATCGGTCCTCGCGAAGAGCTCCCAGAACAAGGGCACAAGTATTCGTATATCACAAAGTCTAATACTGATGCGCCTTGCCAGTATCGTCTCTGGGCTCTCGTCTTCTCACTTTGACACCCCTGGACACGGGCTGGGATTCTGTCTCTCCAGGCCCTCGTTATCCAAAAGTGAGCACCGAAGAATAACCCGATGGGGATGAGCGCCCCCGGCGTTCTCCAAGCGAGGAACTCAAAGGAGGGATTCTCATCACACACGTGGGCTTGACTGTGCGACGACGTTTCGAGCATATCGACTCGGACTTGGTCTGGTAAGGGGGCATGCCCACCAAGTCACCAAGTCAGCGAGTTGACCGAGTAAGTTATCACGACTGCTACACCTCCTTGCCCAAAACCCTCCACTCACCAGGCGGCAGGTATACTTGACCCCTTGTCGCAGCCTCAAGACTTTCCCAAACGCCCAGGACATTGGGGGAATCATGTCAGCATGCATCCGCACTATCCCACCACACCCGTGCACGCCCACTCATGCCCACTCTCCCTTTTCAATTAGAGGTTCCGCATAGATGTCGTTTGTGATTCGCTCTGCTGACTGAATTACGAGAAGCCAGGGTAATACGTCCAGAGACTGGGCATCCGGGTGGGGTTCGCTTGAGGCATCTACTCCGTACTATGTCCTTTGGTGCTCCGAAGCCCTTTTATTCGTCAATGGGGTTGTATCACTATCTCGATAGCGCTGCCCAAGGTGGTATTTGCGCCTTCGCCTGTAGGGAGAAAAGCAGTAATTGATCGGCATCTCTCCTGCCATGCATGGACCAAGACGTACTCGCTTCTTGCTCCCTTTTTGAACATGCACCAGCTCACACGCATCCGCAACCCGCACCACTTGGTGTGCCCACTGCCCACCCCATCTGGACCCATCCCACGTGCCAGTCACCATTTTCCATTCCCGGTTAATTTCCAAGAAGGCAATACGAGCGCCAGCTCAAGAGCTGGTTGGTAGTGGGGGAGGCAAAACGTCTTGGCTCAAGCATACCGAGTACCAAGTGTGACGGATCGAACCACCATCTCTCACGTTGACATATCCGCCGGATATACAGTATTGTAAGGTGGTGGACATGGGCACTACATACCTACCTATCATCAGACCGCACCGCACTCTCCCGCCCGCCTGCGGGTTATTTCTTCCGACCCGGGGGGCTATTTTGTTAGGAACTACGGAGGCTTACATACATACCTCGAACATTTTCTAGCCAAAGGATGGAGGTGAGTAAGTGGGAGAGCGGTAAGTAAGTAAGACCTATTCTCTGGGAACATCCCGGAGCGGGTTTCGGGATGATCACGACGAGTGGGGACCGAGTATCTATTTACCTATCCTACCTATCTACCTGTCTACGTACGTACATATCTATCTCCTCCCGAGGTCAGTACAAGTTTTGTACCTGTACTGGTACCCGTACCAATTACCTCCTGCTCCGAGTAATCAGCCCCAACCACTTATCAACAAACAGACAGAGAGAGAGAGTTTTGGGACTAAAAACCTCGTACTCGGTACTCGATCTGTACCTACCACCAGCACAAGCTTCGACAGTAACCTTTACAGGTCCTTGGGGACATATTGAGATGACAGCCAAGGCTCTGCCGACCTTCATCCACCATTCATCTTTTGTGTTTCCCGATCATCTATCTTTTGCTATCTTTTTCCGTTATTTGTACTAGCCGTGGACAAGGAAGGTTATTTACTCCTAGGAGGAGAGTAGGCGAGAGGCTGCTTGGTTGCTTGGCAGCTTGGTGGGTGAAAAAAAGGTCCGAGTACAAATATGGAGAGTGGGCGAGTGGGCAAGTAGGGCGACAGGCGACAGGCGACAAGCGACAGGCGACGGGCGAGTAGGTAATAGCCAAAAGGTAAAATGCTGCCTACCTTGCCTCCTTGTAAGGGAGAGCCTTGGGAGCTAGGGAAAGACGAAAAGGCGAGGAATGAGAGAAAAAAAAAACGTGGCAATGACATCATCCTGCGAGCGAATAGGCTGGTTTGTTCACCTAGTTCCTTCCTTGTAGTACCTACACCAAGGCAGGGAGGCAAGGGAGGGCCCAAGTAGGGCAGTAGGAGGACAAGTAAGCGCCCAGCCCCGAGTCACGCCAGTCACGCACGCCAGTCCAAGAAAAACCATCCACATTGCATTATGGCATGACCGTTATGCGTGCAGTGGTCGGTTTATATTTGGGGACAAAACCGGGCACCGCGTCACCAGGCACGCTATGACTACGAGTACAGGTACCGATTACAGGTACTACTGGTCCAGAGTCCAGACTTTCAGAATCCAGAGGGGATGGATACCTACCCACCCACATACCTACTACTTACCTACTTGTTCTTAGAGTCTGGAGTGCTGGAGGTATGTAACAATATCCAGCCGAAGAGATGCGACAAGGGCGAGGTTCCGCAGCGAGCCGAAGATTTCCAAGTACGTACGTTTCGATCTGTGGTCTGTGAAAGCCAGCCCCTCGGAAAAAAGCGCACAGAGATTCGCAATAAGGGGTTGAGAGCCTTGTCCGTGACGGTGGAGGTTTGGCGGGAAGCTCCTGATCCAGGTCGCCTCTGCCTCTGCCTCTGCCTCTGTGCTTGTACTCGATAAAAGTGCTTGGACTAGTACGAGGTCCTGTATCACCACACCACGGTCAGATGCAGTCCCTGAAGTAAATCCACGTCTACCTACCTACATACTTGACACGTCTATTCCCGGGTTCCGAACGACGGTGGATCCCAACCCTCTGTCTGCTTCTGTCTCTGCCTCTGTGTCTGCACTTGTACTGATGTCGGATGTCGGATGTCGGATGTCAGGTGTTGGGTGGTCTGCCCTACCTCTTCCCTGGGATACGGGCCTTTATACAAGGCATGTATGTGTATGTAATATCCCCTCCCAAGAACAGAAACAAGAAAGCGCCCGCGGCGGAGACAGAGGCGGCGGGGGCGGAGGGTCCAGCATGGTCCAGGGTTTCCTTGGACTTGGCGACAAGCAGGCAGGGAAGCAGGCAGGTATCCAAGGTGGTGTTTTGGACCCTGGACCCTCAAACATTGTTAGCAGATATAAAAAGTAAAAAATTAGTTCTCATTATCGTTGTATGGAGATTTCGATAGGTGCCATCTTTGCTTAGATTCCCCCCTTGGCCTGGATTAAGAGGTTCATGGGTCTCGTGAAGAAAATCCGCGGCTTTTTTGAGATTCTTTTTGCCTCTGATATACTGTTTCGCTTCGCTTAATAGGATAAGAGTGGTGTAAAGGTATCCAGGATAGTCCAGCAATCCTCACCTCGTCCCTGCGTCTCTCGCAATCTGCTCGTCCACCGTCCCTCCCTTGAGCACCTCCGCCTTCTTCACCCCTTGCAGGTAGCGATCGAACTTGCCCGACACGCGAATGACCTTTGTCAAGATCTCGTCATTCAGGTCCTTCTTCCTGAACTCGGCCAAACTGTCTGGCCGTGGTGATGGCGTTGCGAATCTGCCTGCCGTTCATCTCGTACCGGCTCAGACCATGGACGTGCAGCACGAGGTCATCAAAGTCCATCTGGCACGAGCCGGACAACCGCAAATGTTTGATGAAGTTTGTCCAGATCTGGTGGCGTTGCCGCTGGTCCGGGCTCTCGTAGTGCAACGACTGTTGGATCCGCGATTTGAACGTCTCGTCAAAGTGGCCGACGTGGTTCGAGGTGAGGATGAGGATCCCGTTGTAGGACTCGGGGACGCGCAGGAAGACGGACACGAGGGCATTCCGTTTCAGGTCCGCCAGCGTCCGTTCTTCCAGGAAAATGTCCGCTTCGTCGACGCAACTCCAGCGGCGGCCGAGGCGAAGCACGGTGGTCTCCAGGTATTTCTCGACTTCGACGGGCTCGGTTCCAATGTCACTGCACGTCACACGATACAGAGGCTTCTGTGTACAGTCGGCGACACTCTCGGCCGTGTAAGTTCCGCCCGTGCCTGGTCCCCTGTGTAACAAGACGATCAAGCCGTTCCCTTTACCGGCAATCAAATCGGTCGACGTCTCAATGTTCAGCTGATTCTTGGTCAGGGCTTCGAGTAGATCCTTGGTTTCCTCCTCCGTCACGAGACTCTGAAATGCTTTGGTGTTCCACTGGATATCGGCAATGTATTCCACTTCTAGATCCACCCATCTCTTTTCGATGAAGTGGTATCCGTGGGTTTTCGAAGGCAACAGCATTGGAAAAGGAGAATTAGGACATTCCTCTTGGGCGAAGACCTCCGCGGAGAGGTCCTCCGACGCCGTCGGAGCCTCCTCTAAACCATTGCCTCCGTGCATGCGCAAGTAGTCTGGGGGTCGAACACGCATCTTGATATGGGCCACTGAACCCAGAATCGATCATAAAGGTCCCTCGACAGAGTCAAGCCATCGTGAGAAAGAGGCACATTCCACAAGGCCGAGGAAGACCTCTGAAGATCCGGAACTGGTGATGGTTGGGCTTGACGTTCCCGATGACGGACGAAGGATTGAACCGAAAGGTGGGCAGAGGTGAGAAGAAGGCGAGTCGGGAGCAGGTGGCTTAGAAAGCAATACGGTGAGAAAGAAAACAGATTGGAAGGGAGAGAGCATGGCAGGCGGACGAGAGTTCCATAACATCAAAAGCGGCGGCGAGCCCAGCCTGCGATTATACCTGAACAAAAATGTGACAGGACAAACGAAGCACAGTTCAGGGTATATATATATTATACCCTACATAACATATATACATACATGCCACCGACTCCAATTGCTAACCCTTGACCTTGGATCTCGACCTCGAGACCTAAAAACGCCTACCTGGCACATTGCACAGGTATAGGACGAGAGACGGACCAAAAGGTGCCGCCTGCCACTTCCTCTATCGACACCTATTGTCTATTATCTGGTGTTGATGATGATGATTCAGGAGTTCATGATGTTCTTTTTCCCTGGCTCCATCCTCCACTCCTCGACGGCTTTTTGCTTCATGCTTTTATTGATCGAAACCGGGCGGCTCTCTTCCTGGCTTCGGCGACGCTGGCTGGGTCGCGGACACCCCACATGAACAGGCCCAAGGGGATCACGAAGGCGGTGAAGAAGCCGGCGAACTGCAGGTTGTGTCGTGCCATGGACACTGGCGATGGTCTCCAGACGAGAGGGGTCGTCATTTTGATATATTTTGTTTAGATGTTGGTCTTGGGAGTGGTAATGTCAATGGATATGATATGATATCTCGAAGTGAATTCTATTGTTTTCGTTTCGTAGGCGGAGCCGCTTTGGTTGTCTTTTTCCTCTTGTCCAAAGTAACAGGGATATATTTCCAATGGTATGCAATGCAATGCAATGGGTTGTTGCTGTCGATGTCGATGTCGATGTGAATCTGTAAAAAAGGTATTGGAGAGCCAGCCCCAACCCATCCCCTTATATACTCTTGTCTCTCTATCTCCCCTTTTCAGCCCATGCGTGTCCCGGCCCAGAGTGCAAAGGGCTGCGGAGGGTAGGGAAGGGTACCAAGCAAGCAAGCACACCACACTGGTGTCATGATCATACCACCCCTCAATCCTTCTACCAAGTACCGCAGGTTACAAAGTACGGGGGGATAAGAAAGTAAGCGCAAGGAACGTGGAAAATGCCGCAAGACGTGTGTACCACTGTGCAATAATGTCACTACCCACCTAAGAATTCTCCTACGGAGTACTTACGGAGTATGTACCTTTGCGTGCTTGTAGATAATCAGTCGATAAGTGGAGTGATTGCCATCAGGTGCTTGTGCTTGTGCTTGTTTGTTGCTTGGGTGCTTGGGTGTTTTTGCGGAGTGAGGAGGATCGGCATATGTCATTGTCATGCCACTATTTGGTGCCACCACCTCCGCCTCCACCAATCACAATTTTTTTCCTTTTTTCCCGTGTGGTATGACCGTGACTGACTGACTGACTGACCGACCAGCCAGCCAGCTGCCCTTGGTTATTATTGCCCAAGTCACGCAACAACTAACAAGTATTTTCTCCCCCGCAATCAACTACTTTGACAGCCATCAACAAATCATCTCACGTCGGGAGGATCGGGAGTGAGAACCCTACCATAATAAGAGCGAGAATACAGTGCCTGAGCGCTTACTTGTTCGTCGGAACTCGCCGGGGCACGTAGAACGGCAGTCGAAGTCGGTTCGTTATACCCTTACAAGTCTGCTCCCGTAACTCCTTGATGGTGGCCATCAATCAGCCTTGTGCAGCCTTGACATCCCAGCTGGTGCTGGTGCTCGTGTTGGCTCACTACCTTAATGGCCCAACATGGTTTACCTGGCATCTTTGAGTGATTGAGAGTCACTACTGTGGTCAATGTGCAATTGAGAAGACCGTGCTGCGTCTCATGTTACATACATGACTCTCAAGGGCGCGCACTGCATCAATGTATCATCATCCGTGCAGACTCGACAATCCCTGGACCCCCAACCAGATCCAACGGCGATGATGGTCCTCAATTCCTCAACAAGTCACGGGCTCTTGGAAGTTGAGAATCATTGGATGGGGGGGGCCTCGAAGTCGTGTGTGCAACGCCCTGTGCATGCGCCTTAGCTACTCTCCTACTGGATGGTACTGATTTGACCCAATATCCGGGGAACCGTGGCCCAGTCACCCCCGAAGGAGCTTAGGAAAATCGAGTAGTAGGTAGACTCCGCCACTTCTGTAATAGTGTCTTTGTCTGCGAAATGAGGCACGGATGCGAAGCGCCGAGTATTTGTTGAGTTTTACGTACAAGTCAGAGAACGTGGTATAGGTAGGTTCATTCGTTCCTTGAGGCGTTCTCCGGGCTTTTAGATGGTGCATGTCTCACTCTGGAGAACCAGCGCTATTATTATTGCGACCAGCAAACGCCTGAAAATGATCGACTACTTGTAAATTGAGTTCCCTGTTCTAGAGACAAAGAGAGCACCGCAAGACATTGAGTTCTAACCCCCCTGAGATTTATGTAGCCCCAGCCCGGGGTGTTTCAGCCACATTTCTTGGGCGCGTCTTCCGCACAGGGCAGCTGTTCTCGCCTATCAACCACCCCTCGTCGTGCCGTTCCGAGGGCCCGAACCGTGCGAAGTCGTCATTCTTTTGTGTAACCTTCGTGAGAATACGAGATCGAGATGTTCAAGTGCCCGTCAAATCGACTACATGCTCGTCAGTCGAATTTTCAAGCCTGCCTTTTCAAGACACTCTCTGTGACCAACGCGCTCACTGTCCCTAGCTGCCACTACCGAGTACAGAACCCCAACTTACAAGTAGCCGGGCTAGCTGTCGCGCCAACCCCTCCGTGGAGTCGACAACTTGAGATAGATCGGTCCTTAGACGAAGTTGGAGCCTTGTTCGCTAAAATCCCTGTTGTCGCAATTTCCTCTGTCTTGCCCTCTTCTCGCTTGCACCGCCAGCGTCCAGAAACGATGCCTCTCTCTGTTCGAAGCGCAAAATAGTTCAGTTACACAAAAATGGAGGTTGTGCAGGTTAAAACCTACCATGATTCCCGGATGTGGTGGCAAGTACTTACGGGCACCATCTTTCCTTGAGTAACCTGTCACGTCTGGCTTCTTCTCTTATTTGCACAACTACAGGCAACTGAACATGCGTCTTTCAAAAGCATTCGTGGCGGTGACGCCTCTGCTCGCGACAGCCATGGGCTCAGCGATACCGTCTCTCGAAACCCGCCAGGCTGGATGGCCGGCGTGCCAGCAGACACTCAGTTGTACATTCGACCAGATCCAGTCTTCAACCATGCAAGAACGCTTGGCATTCGTGCAATACATGGAGAGTCAATGGTTTGGTCCCTTGAACTCTGCCAACCAGTTCCGCGCCATCGAGGGCGTCATCACCTTCTTCATCGGCAAGAACCTCGGCGCCCCGAACAGTTGGATCAGTTATGTCGATACCGGCATTGTCGAGGCAATTCAACGCGGTGGTGCCATGGCCCTCGGTCTCAGCACGGACACTGGTGGAAACCCTGGTACCACACTGTGGAGGGACTTTTTCATCGGCATGCGAGACGGGACGTACACAACAAGACAGGTACGTCTATTGCCGTGTCTCTCTTGTGTCCCAACCATCTCTCTATTCCTCACAGTCCAGATTTCTCTCTAACTCTCAATGCAGGACCACGACTATGCCTGGGGATTGGCAGAAGCCACCGCGACCGAATGGTCCAAAGCCCAAAAGGCCGACGTACTGGCTTCAGCACCCGCCACACAGCAAGAATTGAACTGGTACCAATTCACTGTCTTGTTTAGATGGATTCTACGACACGAACCGGAGACCATTCTCCTCCTGACCCCGATTTTCCTGTTCAAAGCCGACGACTTTGTGTATTGGCTCACAGATGTGACAAGGTCTGAGCCCACGATTTGTGGATCACAGGCAGCCTGGTCTATATCAGGGTCCTTCAGCTTCACTCTCGATAGTATCCTTGACTTTCCTGAGAACGTTGTGGATCTCTTGAGAGCTGTTTACGACTGTGGCAGCGACTTTTTTGAGAACTCTTGAATGTCAATTGTTCCTGTGATGGGGTGGGAAGAAAGGAGAGGACTTTGGCGACTTTGATTCTACGGAATTGTATATTTACTGATGACAACGTACACATGTAATGGTTTCGCAATTGATCGACACTGCCTATTGTTTTTACTCTAGATATGCCGGCTTGAGTTTATACTGAAGAAAGTAGCGCCACAGCCAAGACTTGATGAGGCTGATGAATGTGGCGCCCATCGTCTTTCCCGTATTGGGAAGGAATGTAAACACGAGATTGCGAAAGTGCGTTCGACCACCACCATCAATGAATGATCTTCACAACAACCATTTCCAACTCGTTTCAACGAGTTGTTTCGCTCATTTCGGTTGCAGGTCCCCTCCATGGACGAGCGAACATTGTTCTAGTGGAAGGAGTATTATTGACGGCCCTGGGTGACTCGACCCCTGCGAGAGCACACCGCCGATAATTTCGCGATTAAATGACGATCGCCGCTGGGCATTTGTCGTCTCTACTTTGCCTGTTCACCGTCGACACCCGATGCTTTCCCTCTCGTCTTGAAGCGACATATGACCCGCAATGTGAATCATGTCCTCACAGCCATATAGTCTTCGAAGCAGGCTGAACAACCAGTCCCCCTCCCTCCGCTCGAGCCCGCTCCCTTCACCAATCCCTAAAGCCGGTTTCGGACTACCTCGCAAAGCCCGCTCTACAGACTATGCGTTACAACTGCAGAGAGTTATTGGGACAACCACGAATGGCCCCAGTGGGTTGGCATGCTGTCCCAAGACCAGCTCGTACGCCTATTGTGCGGGCGCAGTAGCCGTGTTGGCGAGGCTTGGATTGGACGATACACCTGCACTCCGATATTTCAAGGCTCGACCGACTGCGGGCTCACTGAACCCTCCGACTTCTCATTATGAAAGCTCGCCAGCTACCACGCCGTCCAGGAGGAGGATCAGCACATTTACCCCTCGAAAAGGATTGGAGGATTATACCGGTGGCTCCGCAGCCCGCGAGTGGGTAGACGAGTCATCAGGGCAGACTTGGACAGCAAGGGAGCGCATCAAAACCGCAGCCTGCGTGGCTCTGAGCCGTGATGGCCACTGGCTCGCAGTGGGGGAGGCTGGATACAACCCTCGAGTTCTACTCTTTTCAACAGCTGACGAAGCGTCCTGTGAAATACCCACTTCCATCGTCACGGATCATACCTACGGTCTGAGGTGCATAGCTTTCAGCTCTGACACGAAGCATTTGGCCACTCTGGGCGATTACAAAGACGGATTCTTGTTTGTCTGGTCCTGCAATGTCAAAACCGGCCAGCTGAGTTTGCATTCGGCGAACAAGTGCACGGCCAACATTTTTGATATGACCTGGTGTGGCAACCATGTCATAACCGTCGGAACGAGGTGTGTTCGACTCTGGCAGATACAAGGCGCGCGAAAACAGTCGTCCACCAGGAGACTGCGATATCGCCCGTCCGAAGCACCTCCGTCAAGCCCCGGACCAGTTCCATTGCAAAGCCGCAATGTTCTGCTGGGGCCAATGGTGGACAGCACATTTACATGTGTCGTATCGATCGATGAGATCAACGTCGTGATTGGCACAGAAACTGGACAGATTTGTTTGGTCGACATCTCTCAGAACGTGCTGGAGCTCAAAGTTTTGAAGAAACTGGAGTTCTGCATCACTTCCCTTGCCTTCGTCCCGGAAGATAGGAGACTGTTGGTGGGGACACCTCATGGGGTGCACAGCGAGAATTTTGACCTTCTACGGAAAGAGGAGAACAAATCCCCTTCCAAGCTCTCGTCGCGGAAACCTCGCTTATCATCCATACGACGCTCGCTCGGCCTGCTTGACCAGGCGGAGAGGAGTTTGGTGGCGATAGGGTCCCTCACTGACCACACGATTACGCTCAACAACGATGGTTGTCTGCAAATCCAGCGTCGTAGTTCCGAGGATGGGGATAAACCTCAACCCACATTTGCAGCTCATAAAAGTGTCATCCTAGGAGTTCGGACACTTCCAGACTCTGCTGCTCAAGGCAATTTCTTCACCTACTCGAAGAATGGAGAAATCAAGTTCTGGAGTTCCAACGGCACACTCTTGAAGCAAGAGAATCTGCAGCCTGACGTGGCCGAGTCACGAGACGACGAGTTCGAGAATGAGCTGACCCAGATGCGTTTTCTCTCCCCTCATGATATTTTCATTGCTGGTGATCGTTTTGGCTTGCTGAAACTGATCAAGAGCCGCGATTGGCAAGTTGCACATACCATCAGGGCACACAGCGCGGAGATCACCTCGATCGACATTCTCGAGACTGCATCGCTTGTTGCGACATGCAGCAGAGATCGGATGATACAGTTATTTCATATCAACGCCGACTCCTTTGAGCTTCTACAGACGATGGATGACCACGTTGGATCCGTCAACCAAGTCATGTTCATCCAGGAAGGGCAGAAATTACTGTCTTGTTCCACAGACCGGTCTCTGATCATTCGCGAGCGGATGCTCCGACAGCCAGAGGGGGCGAAAGCCGTGGCCTATCTCTCCACCAAGGTGTTGACACTTAAAGGCACCCCGTTGTCGATGGCCATGGCAGCGCAGAACACCTTGTTCGTGTCGACCATGGACCGTCGTGTCACAACTGTCGATATCTCTACCGGCACCTTGCTCGAATCGTTCAAGGTCGGAGATGCAGACAGCGATGACACGGTGTTTTTGAATGCCATGGTCAGCTCCTCGATCCCGGACAATGCGGATCAAAAGATGCTGATCGGATACTGCTCTATGGACAAATCTATCCGAGTCTACAGTGAAAGGAATTTCAGCCTGCTGGCCCGGGAATCTGGACACACAGAGGGAGTGAGTGATATCGCTCTCCTCGAACAACCCGACAATTCGAGTCCTGGCTCTCGATGTACGGTCATAACTACTGGGTTGGACGGCACTATCATGATCTGGAGCATCTCAAAGATAACACCCTTGTTACTGACACCGACCCTCCTTCAGGGCCAAGCTATAGGCTTGGGGTTGGCGGCTGACGAGACTGAAGCGGCCAAACCCACGCCTTCGTCACTCCCGCCACTGAGAAGGGTTTTGACGAAGAGTGACATAACAGAACTTCTAGGGGCGAGTGGGCAAGCGTCACCCTCGACTCCTCGCTCTCTCTCGCCGGTGAGATTACAGCGCAAGACATCGAGACTTGCTCTTGCGACGTCTCTGGAAGACCTTGAAGAAACGCCAACGAGGAGATCTGGGCACCCTGGTGAGCACAATGATTCACAAAGTGGTGAGAAAGCAGAGATTCGACGTTCACCCTCTCCACCGCCACGAGTGGCACCAAGGTTGAGGAGTCAAAAGTCTCGAGCAGACATTAATAAGGACCTCGAGTCGAGAAGGACGCCATTGGCAGAGCGTTCACCGTCGCCACCGGCAACAGCTGCCTCGATGCCGTCCACGCCTAAACAACGGCAAAAGGCCAATAACGGTAGATTGCGAAGACCGCCGTCGATCCCATCTGACTTGCGGGCTCAAGCTGCAGCCCAAGGACGTCGACAGAGTATGAGCCAAGCATCCGAGTTTGGAAGTTTGGCCATGGCAACCGACCAGGCGACGCGAATGCTAAAAATATATAAGAAGAAGCTGACCATCAGTAAAGAAGTGGTGGATCTGAACGACTTGGAGTTGGAACTTTCTGGGTTGTTGAAAAATGTCCAGGAGAGGAAGAACAGAACGCACACGGGGCAACAGCAAGACCCCAAAGCGGCAAGTAGCAGCGAGAAGGCCAAAGCTGCCACTGAGAGCGAGGTTGACCAATTGGCCATTCTGATGGGGGCATCAAGCTTGACTCAATCTCCAACAACAGCCACAACCAGCAAGGATACGCTGGCGTCGGAGGCATGAATCTAGTCGTTTGTTTTTTTGAGTATTTGGTCAAATTTACGAGGGAAAGCGTCGAGCTGTCTGGATCAACCAAATCGGTTAAAGGCAGGGAGTTGGACGGGAATTTTCTTGCTGCGAGAGTTCTTTCAGTATGTGAATTTGGGAATTGGCATGGAGGTTTTGTTTTTCTTTCTCAACTTGAAATGGAGGGAGAATGGTCCGGCTGCACAAGGACCCGGGGAAGAACCAAAACACAAGGCTGGAAAGCGACAGGGACAATGGTGAGGAGCCAGGGGGCGTTTGGATTCAAAAAGGATGATACCACTGTTTCTTTCTGCGAGAAAATATGGGCGAGGTGATGGAGGAAAGGGTTACTTGAGGCTAGCTATACCTGCAAGGTCAGATCAGATCAGGCGATGTGTTGAATTGATATCTGGACATCAAAGTGTCTCCCCTTCTCAGCCTTGTGCGTCTCAGTCTCAGCCTTGTCAATGTGGGGTGCATATGTCAGTCTCACAGTCGATCACTCCCCGCATTCCCATCAACACCTGATTTCTCGTCTAGGTAGGAGTTCATTTCACATGGCGATCACCACATACAGCGACTGATACTCTAGAGCATTAGCGTGCAAAATACGACCATCCGTCCATCCCAGTCCTAGTTTGTTGTGCGGAGAAAGAGAGAGAGAGATCTAAAATGCCCAACACCAACACCAGCACCAGCACCCCTGCTGAACCCTCGCTGTCCACACACCTGCATTACCTGCGCTATGCACTCTCCCTGGCGCGCCGGTCGCCGCCCAAACCGACGAATTTCCGCGTCGGATGCGTGATTGTGGCGTTTGACAAGAAAAGAGGTGGTGAGGGAGAAGAAGAGGGAGAAGAAAAAGAACAAGGCCGCGTCCTCGCCACGGGATATACCTTGGAACTCGAGGGGAATACGCACGCGGAACAGAACGCGCTGGCGAAACTCGCCCGCGAGCATGGGATTTCTCTCTCTTCGGAGACACCTTCGTCGGAGACATCGTCGTTGGAATACCTCGCAGAACTGGGCCGCGAGGTCCTCACACCGGACAAGGATGTCTACCTGTACACGACGCTGGAGCCGTGCGGGAAACGCCTCAGCGGGAATATACCCTGCGTGCAGCGGATTATTGCGACGAGGACGAGGACGAGGACGCCATCGCAGGGATCACCGGGTGAAGGCGGAGGAGGTCCTGGCAGAGACGGGGGAGGGATCCGCAAAGTCATCTTCGGCGCCCGCGAACCCGGCACGTTCGTGCAGGACTCGGCCAGCCTGAAGATCCTGGACGGCGCGGGCGTGCCGTGGGAGTACGTGCCGGGGTTGGAGGAGGAGATTCTCCGCGTGGCCAAGGAGGGACATTCCAACCAGGTCGTGCAGGGAACCAACGTCGACGACATCTCGCCCGAGGAGAGGAGGCGGCAGGAGGCTCTCCCGCGGAATCCAAAGAAGAGGATGATGGAGGTCGATGTCCCAAGGTGACACTACACACACTACCGGCACATCACTGAGACAAAACCACACCACACCACTAATTATCACCACTGACTTGTCCTTTGGGGCCATGGGAACCTTCGGGGACCACAACCACAAGCTTGTCAGATTGTGGGAATGTGGTTTGGACATTCCCACCGTCGTCGTCCCTGTCCTCGGGTACAGACACAGGTGCCGCTTCAGTCTCGATATCGGTCTCGGCACCCTGGCCCTGACCCTGGCCCTGGCCCACAACGACTCGATACGATACCAGCACAGCAGAGAGGCCACCCAACCCAGACAACTGAGTTCCCTGATCTCTTGACTCTACGCATGGTCCGCAGGACGAAGAAATACACTCTACAATATAATGAAGGATGTGCAAAAGTCAGAAATGGAAAACTATTACTCCGACGTATAGACACGTGGGAATTGGAATGCCATTGAATATCTGGCTGTCCTTTATTTCATGCTCTTTTGGCTGTTCCTGTGTTGATGAAGCGTTTGAACACCGATTCATCCGCCCAATAACACCCAACAACAATCATATCATTCATTCACAATCGTCATTTCCAATTTTCGGCTGTCGGTAGAGGTTTCGTTGATCCTCTTTCATGTTGATGCTCGTGCTCCACTGTCACTGCACCTTGCACGCTGCATGTCTGGCATGTCCCCCTGGCTCATCTCTGGTGACCACATGCCTGGTTGGCAGATCCATTCCGCTCGCAGGAATACTCGTTGGACCCCTTCTCCTGGCAGCTCCATCCATTCTGCTGCCTATTAGTTCTCAGGTCGCGACAGAAACATCGGGCTGAAAAGGTGTACGAAGGACAGGTTCCGGCGAAAAGAGTTCGAAGTGCTAGCCTCGCCTTGATCGTTTTCGACAGATGATTTCGAGAGTAATGGCGGGTTGAAATTCGTGCCCTCCAAAAGCGTCGGGGTCCTTGTTCCCTCGCTCGTGCCTTCAGCATCTTCGAACGATGCCGTCCTCTTCCCATTTTGGATACCGTCATTCTGTCTCTCCTTTTCCCAGTTGGCCTGTTTCACCTCCCAATACCTTTTCTGGTTCTCCTTTTCTGATTGCTAATCAATTCTTCCCTGAAGCCGCTCCAGCTTGGCTTCTTGCTCCTTCCAATGCATTTTGCGACTCTTTTGCTTTTGCCTCTGTTTGATTTGTGATTCCGCCGCCTTTTTCTCCAGGTATTTCTGTCGTGAACCCATCTTTGACCGCTAGTCAATTCTCGCCTGTTGCAAGCCCCTTCGTTTCGGAGGCAGATGGCTGGCCGTTAAATTGTTGGATAAACGTATTTTAGCGCTACTGATGCGAACATTTGAGTGGCTTTTCTTCATTTTCTTCCGCGCAACCATGACTGGCACCGAGGACTTGGTGACGAGATAGTTGGAGAAGGATCCGAGGAGGACACCCTTAAGAGAACTGCGGCCACGTGTGCCCACAACGCATAGAGTAGGGTCGAGTTGGTCAATCTGGAAGAGAGTCAGACATGATCATGGACACAATCAGGCAAACATACCGCTCCAAGAATCAAATGTTTTGGACTTTTGCAATGGATGACTTCCACCATACACCTCACTTGCAGTGTCGTCTTGCGGACCAGCTTGACAAAGTCCTGTGTCAGGCCCTCAATAGCCTTCAGACGCTCCATTTCTTTCTTAGAGACTTTTCTTGCGTCGACACTACCAGTCAGGCTCTCGACTTCGGTCGCTGGGATATACTGTGACTCCTTCCCCAATCCGAAACTTGTGCCCCCTCCCTGGGTTGTCTGGCGCGTCAAGGTCTGCATAACGTCGGAAGCGTCCTTGCCAGCCTTGGTCCCTTCGGCTGTCAGTACTTCTCTTTCAGCTTCGCTGGTCTTTCCGGCGCTTTCGTCCTCTATCGCGTAGATGGCAAGGAGAGTGTCTCCATCCCTCATCATTGTGCCCACAACCCATTCCATGGCATAACTTGCTTCGACACTTAGATCACTGCAAAGGAGGTAGATTCTTGCCGTTCTTTTTCCAACTTCCGCCTCTTGGTAGAAATGGGCCCAGTTCCCTCGCAGAATGATCCGCACGTGTCGGTCAGCCACTGTCGAGTCGAGCGGTGATATATTCAGCGCCAGAGTTTTGGCCTTCCTGATAGCGGCTTCTTCGTCATCATCCTCTGCCGACGTCACAGATGACCGTCTGATAGGTGTACTCGTGCCGCCTTTCTGGTCGGTCACATTTTCCCCAGTGGGACTGGTGATGGAAATGGAGGGTTCAAGTAACGACCTGACGAATTGTTGAGAGTGCGAGGTTCTCTTAGCATCCTCAGGTGACGAAGCACCATTCGTATTAGAAGGCTTTGCATCGACTATCTCGGCGGTGGTTGACAGTTTTCGTCTCTCCGACCGACCCCTAGTCTCGTCTTCGTCACTACTGTGAGACATGGCATCCTCATCACTGTCGTCCAGGGCTTCCTCCTCGGCCGCAACACGTTCCTTGGCCAGATTATCAATTCCCTCCTCTGAATCTTCAGTCGTAGTCGAGAAACTACCCGACGACAATCGTAGGTGTGCCTGATCGTCCACAACAGTTCCTGAGTTCGTCGTCAAGGGACCCGCTGGGCTCGTGGGGCTGAGGAATCCTGCCTTTGAGGGGTCAGGCTTTCGGATACGTGAGGATGGCGATCTTGAACTGGCACCGGCGGCCGCGGTAGAATTATGTCTCCCGTGCGTCCCTCCTGATGCGCCTACATGTAGGGCACCGAGATCTCCTGACAAAGCAGCGGCCATGGCGGCGCCAGATCCCTCACGTTGCCTCTTCGAACCTGGAGGGGATCGAGATGCAGACGAAGATGAAGGTATTGCGGAGATGTCAAATTGATATTTTTCCTCAAACCCTCGCTTCTCATCCGTTTGTATCTTGGGAAGTCCCACTGGCCGCTCCGTCTCTGAGGAGTTACGTTGTCGCGTGGTCACCGGAGAGGCCTTGGTGAGGACGGGAGAGCTCGGTTTGCTGGAATGAGGAGAGGTCCAGCTACTGGGATCTGAGGGGTCGAGTTCTTTCATCGGCCTTCTCGATGAATGGGGGCTCGTGACTCCCACGCCAATGCCCGCGATGGAGCCATGTCGAGGAGTCGGAGAATCGACGTCGAGCATGCTGCGGATTGGCGGCGGAGTGGCGGTTCTCGGAGGTTTGAATCTGGGAATGGGACTAGAGGGTCTTTTTCGATCCAGGGCAGCTAAAACTTCTCTGTTTTCTTCATCAAGCAATGCCTCCAGGCTCATGGGAGCTCGTGACCTCGAAGGCGGTCGATCCATGGTGTCACGGCGGTGAAAAGGACTCTTTGCGGGAGTAGAAAATAGTAGAGCAATGCAACTGACTTACAACAGGGATATGACAGAGGTCGTATGTATGCCTCATGAAGCGAATGCTAAGAGCAATGGACAACAGGTTGGCTCGTTGTTTCTGTGGCAGACCGAATCGATCGCCTGCGCTTGCCAGTGGGATTGACACTCTTGGCCGCAGGCGGGACAGATGGCGGGCGACCAATGATCAACGAAGCACAGCCTCTCTGCCCAGGAGTCAAGTTGAGCGGTCTTGAGGCAGATGGGGCATCAGCGAGGAGATAGCGCTGTCCCAGCTCGTAATGTAAGCAGGTCTGTGTGTATACATGGCAGAACCGAGCGCATCTGAGAATCTGTCAGAGGGGTATATCGTTGACCACGATGACGATGCGGACATTTGATGTGTTGAGAAGTCGCATGTCCAACAGGAAGGGGACTCAGTTTGTGGGGCGCTGGGCCAGGCTTGAGGGGGGATGGTGATAGAGGGAGCCAGCCACGCAGCCACCAGGGGCCAACCTGGGTCTGGGGGCTCCTTGGCCTATCGATAAGAGTTGCTTAAGCTTCAAGCCTGCCTAGCGAACCCTACGTGACTACCCAGCAAGGCCAGCTACCTCACACACTGCCTAAGGGGCCCTTCCCTTTCAGAAGCATGTCCACGCATGTCATGCATGCCACCAGCCGAGGCAGCGCCCAAAGCGCCCTAGCATAAGCTCTCACGCACCCCTCCAATAACGTCGGTGCCAATCCTCCTTTGGTGACCCTTCCGTCATAATGCTTGCGGCTTCATGCATCTCCAACTCCTTAGCTTGCACGCAGCAACCCCTCTTCGACACCGTCATTGGCCCCCTTCGTCGTCGATGCCAACTTCTCCCAGTAGACGGAGTACAAGCGTCCAAAGGTCCCAAGGCTGATGTCGAGAAACGCCTTGGATATTTCCGGAGCCTGAGGAAGACGGAGCTCAAGTCCTGTCCCCATTGTGAGGCCAACTGCTGACCTACTGTTCTAGCTCCAATTCATGCCAATCCTGACCTTCCACGCGCCTCCGAGAACGCTACAAATATTCCCAGCCTTCCCATTTTTCGCCATGGCTGACGTTCCCCTTCTAAAACCCTCACAGAGCCAGGATGGCCGGTCCCAACGTGTTGGCGGCCACTGTGGCAATCCTATGTCTGTTGGGCCTGCCCGCTGCAGTTGCCCAGAATTCCTGTGGCACGGATCAAAATCCATATTGTGCGGGTGACAGTACATTTGAGCAAATCTGCTGTGCCTATCCCAATGTCTGTTACTGGCAAAACCGGAATGGTGAACCAGGTTGCTGCCCTGCTGGTCAAGTCTGTGACGGCTCCTCTCCGTATTTTCCCTCGACGCCGACCCTTCAAACGACCACAATCCATCCATCTACTGTTACGATCACATCGACTCCCACCCCGCCACCCTCGACTACTGTTACTGGAGGGGGTGTCATCATCGTCACTACGGTTCCCAATAGCATCGTCACTGTCACTACCCAGCCAAACAGTGTCACAACCGTAACCACCATCTATAGCAACCCGTGCGGTGGTGGGGTTTGCTCGACCGTGACCTCTGGAGTGGCTGGCGTTTACTCGACTGTTACTTCAGTGGTCAGTGGAGCATTCTCCACTGTTACTTCCGGTGCTGCCAGTGCATTTTCCACCGTATCAGGGATCTTGGTTGGTCCCAACAGTGCTCCCAGACTGAACCCTGCCTCGACGTTTACGCACTTCATGGCTACTTTGTTTGTGCTTCTGGGAAACTTGCTTGGCTAGGAAACGGCTCATACGTGGTCGAAATTTCTGTAATTGGCTGCGAGTATAGCCCCGAAACGGATTTACCGCAGGAGCTATTTCTGGCTCCATCTTATTGGACGAGGAAACTGATGGCCAGAACACTGCCGAGTATGGAACTTCGGTCAGAATATCATACCAAGAACGTTTTCCTCAGAGACCTTGGGCCTTTCGAAAGGTCCTTCTACAGAGCCACGATCCTGCCCAGTTCCAGCTCTAAACAGGAGCAGCTTACTGGTGCCTCTGGCTCAAGAAACAGCATCGAGCTGAGGGAGCAACGAACCCGGCTTAGTACACCACTACGCATTTCGGAGTGATGTCGCGAAATCATCGTCCTGGAGGAACCCCCAGATGACGAACCCGAACCCTCAGTCTTGTGTGACTGAATGAACAACGAAGGGGGCTGGCGCAATAACCTGCTTCGCGAAGCTGTCTTTGCACAAACCGTCGAACAATTCTGTGGTTGGGCAGGCTTCCAATGATACCAGATGCAGGCAAAGAAGCTTCTCCAGACCTGTGACAGACATCCCCAGCTGCGCAGTCTCGTCTTTCTATAACATCCGCGCATGTTCAGGTGGGACCAGAACACAATGCCACTTTTAGAGAGTTACTCGCGGAACACGGATCGAGGTGGAAAGAATCTACACTCCATTCAGGAGGCTTCGGTTACTGCAGGAGGGAAATGGCTTTGAGGGCTGGACGATTAACCTAAAGACTACTTGTGGGTAGTTTTCTGGCGACTGTCGACAGCTAACTAACTATTTAAGCAATTTATCCTGTGAATGACACACGTTTTCTGCAGTCGAACTCTGGCTGCTTACTTCACGTTCCCAATCAAAGTAATCTGATGACATGCTCCCAGACCTTTCTGAACTTCTTCTCGTCCTCTCCTCCCATGTGTACGCACTCCTTGAGCATCCCGTCAAATTCACTCCAAGTGGTACAGCCCTGGGCTCGACAGGCGTCTGCCAGCAGAGAGACGATCCATTGCTCCCCCTGACTCACCCAGCTACCCACCGCCAGGACCCACACCTTCAGCGCCGGCACCGCGTCCCAATTATCGTCCTGGACAAACGACAGCTCGTTGCGCAGCTGCACGACCAATGCAGGAAACTGGGACCAGTGCAGGGCATGTCCACGGATGTGGTGGTGGACATACATCAGTGCGGCGTAGGCCACGGCCCTCCACATGGCGTCACTGCCGGCCTGTAAGTTTGTGTATATGTGCTCCTGGATCGTCGTTATCCGGGTCGCAAGACACAGCCGGCGCTCAAAGCGGAAGAGATTGTCATGTCGCAGTGTCCGTTCCAGCGTCGTCAGGGTCGCTAGAGGTCGTGCCTGGACATCGTTGCAGACGATTTGGATCTCGCGCAGCAGCGTCGTGATCTCCCGTGCGAGGTTTCCTGCAAAGCGTGCCTGTAAGGGTTCAAGGTGTGTGACCGGGTCGTCCGCGATAGGGGCATAGACCGACTTCCACGCCGCCTCCCAACGCGGCAGGAGCGAGAAGCGCAGACTTCCTCCGAAGAGTTCGACGAAGAAAAGATCGTTCCACGTTATGATTCGTTGTAAAAGGACCCCTACCGTTCCCATCCTGGAGAGGCCGTCGAGACCGCCTCGGAGCTTCACCAAGGCCTCAAGGCCAGCCATGTGCCTTGCGGCCTCGTCGCGGTCCAGGAACTGCATCGACACATTGATGAACATGGAAACTGCTGCGAGAGCCTCGTCCGTGACCACAGTCGATGAGACCAGGTGCGCATTCATCATCTGAATGGCCGCGATCTTGTGCTCCAGGATCCGGGGGTTCTGATACAGAAAGACGTCCTGGTCGATGCCGGTCAGTTTGCCGTGCCAGTGCATGCCCCAGGAATACAGGTTTGTGTGTAGGAGCATCGGTGAATTGGTGATAAAGGGCACCCATTGAGACTGTCCGTTGACGGGGCACCAGGGGATCCGGTCGTAATTGAGCCACCGTGTGATCAACGTTTCGTCCCACGGTTGAACATGAACTGGCAGAGTGCAGAAGACGTCCATGAGGTTACTGCCGCGTGGTTGCCGGGGAATCGCGGGCGGATCGTAGTGGATGAACTGGGAATAAGCCACCCTGTGGGACAGCGTGAAAGAGATCTCTTCTTGGGACGACTGACCAGATTCATCAGAAGATGGGAACTCGGCTGATACCGTTTGTACCTTTTGCTTTGACCGCTTGTCTTTCTTCCGAATCGTCATCCGCTCGCGCAACACCAAGGGCCGACCGGATACCTCCGTGTCCGGCATCCCTGGCGATGGTTCTTTCGGGGTGACACTGTAGGTGGTCGGCGTCGACATCTTCCAATGCGCGCTTCTCTGATGGGCCGTCTTTCGCTGGTAATCATGCATCACATGTGCTTTGGCCGAAGCTCGAAGCTCAGGTCGAATTCGTGCTCTTGCCCCAGGCTCAGCCGACATGGGAATGAACATGAAGCTGGGAGCTGTCTCCTTTGCCGTTTTGCTCGTTCCCGAATTGCCAGAGTGTTGTTTGCGCTCGGCGGCTTCTCCAGAAGGAGGAGTCTTGGAAAGCTTTGTCTGTCGCAACGTCGTGACGGTGCCATGGTGTCGTACACGGCGCTCTTCGAACCCTGACGGACCTAGATGCGACTGGATCATCCTGGGTGTAAAGCTCAGTTATCTCACTAATTGATTTCTTCCCCAGTAGAATGTGTTGGCAGTAAAATTTACGGTATTCACACAAGTGCGTATAGTTTATAAGGACACAGCAGCAGATGGACGGGGAGAAGACCAGAGTTGTAGGAGGGCTTTTAATAAGGAAGATACTTCACTATGTAAACACATGTAACTCCATCGAAGATCAAACCCTGGCTGGCTAAAACGACGGGGATGGATTGAAGCAAGACCTTCGCCCGCTTCTCTCAATCATGCGGCTTTACAAGCTGGAAAGCCTGTTCCGCTTTACAGTTGTGGAAATGGTCATGCCTCTGTCAGCGGTTTGAGGCCAAGATGCGCAGCTCCTTGCAAGCGCGTCAAAGTGACAGATAAGTGGATAGTTGAAAGGGCCGAAGCACTGGGGGGATGCGGCCAAGATCACACAAGCTTGATTGAATACGAGGCCTGGGTGACAAAATCCCCAAATGAAAGCAGTCGAAGCATGTGCCCTGCGCAAGGAAGACGGTAATGAACTAGGCCAGGGAAACGCAGACGACCAATCGTGCGCGTCTTCAGGAGGATGTTGGGTTGCAAACGTGTATGGTCTTCCCTTAGGGTCATGTTGACCTACTAAACGCAAAAGACAGCAAAAGAGGGGGTGTTGGATAGAAAGCTTTGTCAAAGCAAGCTGGTTCGGTCGCCTGAAAGAAAAGAGTCAAGTTAGACTAAACTGTGAGGCTTCTCTATCGAGGAGATTTGTAAATTCCGTACAGGGAAATTCTACTCATTTCCTAGCTGGTATTAATTAGGGCTCATTGGCACTTAATTACTAAGTGTGACTTTTAGCCTCAAGATGCCATTAAAGGCGATAGGGAAATGTTTAGCAATGACGTCGATCGTTAGCAATCGGGAAAAAAACACGCTCAAGCCTGCGCGGCGCGTCCTGCGATTTGACCCTCCACCAGGTCTTTCTACACTTGACATTTCCTTGAACTTCAATCCAACTTCTCTTCCCTGAGGCTTTAGATCTATTGCTGTCTTGCCTCTACGATCTTCGTCTCACCACACGTCTAATCTGCATTTTCTCTTTATCATTCTAGTATTCTACTGCCCTTGAAACACTCACGCTCAACGCTCAGTACCTGCCTCCTCTCATCATGCCTCGGAAAGCCAGATCGAAGCCGCAACCGGCCCTGGAACCTGAATCTGACGGGCACGAAACCGCCTCAGACGGAGGCCAAGATCTCACTGTCGGCGATCCTCCCCAAATTGATCCCTACGCTGTCCTGCACCTCTCTGAAACTGCTACCTCTGACGAAATCAAATCCGCATATCGCAAACTCGCCCTCAAGCACCACCCAGACAAAGCTCCGCCCGAAGAACGTGAAGCCGCACACCAAGCCTTTCAGCAAATTGCATTTGCTTATGCCATCCTCAGTGACGAGCGAAGACGCAAACGCTACGATGCCACGGGTAACACGGCTGAGAGTGCAAACATTGATGACGATGATTTCAACTGGGTAGATTTCTTCCGAGAACAGACAGAGAACGTGGTGACAAGTGATATGATTGAACAAGTCAAGAGGGAGTATCAGGGTAGCGAAGAAGAGAAAGAAGACGTGTTGGCAGTATATGAGCAGGGCGAGGGCGACATGGATGCAATCTTTGAGAGAGTCATGTGCAGCGATGTTGTGGCGGACGAGGACCGGTTCAGAAAGATAATTGATGAGGCGATCGCCCAAGGCGACGTCGAGGCCTACAGTCGTTACACCAAGGAGGATAAGAAAAGTAGGAACCGGAGGAAGGCAAATGCAAAGAAGGAAGAGGCAGAAGCAAGAGAACTGGCCCAGGAGCTAGGAGTCGCGGAAAAACTCTTCGGCAAGAAAGACTCTGGCAAAAGGTTGTCGAAGGCAGGCGGGGACAACAGTGATGCGCTCAAAGCTTTGATTCAGCAGCGTCAGCAAAACAGGGCTCAGAATTTCTTTGATGATCTGGAAGCAAAGTATGGGGGTGGCGCAAAGAAGGGGAAGCGTAAAGCCTTGGACGAACCTCCCGAGGAGCTGTTTCAGAAAAATTCAAAAAGAGGAAAGAAAGGGACCAAATCTTGATCTTGGTCTACGAGCTACTCACTTCCATTTGGGCAGAGTTGCAGTTGCTTCTACACAAGGCGTTTTCTTGAGCCTGGCGCTGGGCTACTGAGGCAGGGACTTTTGCTGTTTTGCTCACGATGTGATGGATTAAATGACAGCGGTGTGTGAAGCCCTCAAAATTTGGGCGTCTTGGCTCTTCTGGCAACGTCTACTAGAACTCTTGGAAATCAAGATAATAGCTGTTTCCCTAACGTTCGGCGGGTGCTCGAATCTACAGAAGCCGTATGGCACAATCCGATCAATCTGAGCTGAATACCTGGGCACACTGTGGAGCCATCCTCAATGGCTAACTTAGTGTAGGCCGATTACTCGCAGAACAACGCGTCCAATGCACACAGTCTGAGAAGGCAAATGAATCAGTTTCTTGGTGAATGTGAGGCTCGCGCAGTTACGATCGCCTCTTGACATATTAGCGCAGAGAAATGTCCGTCGTCCAAAAGCCAATACTTTGTTGCTGACAGGGCGGATCAACATGTGCGCATCAACCATGCAAGTAATATCCAATGGTATTATTTTTGAGTATCACTTTTCCCGAATATGCCGACATCCAACGCGAACCAGAGTAGCCCCTGGGTCTCTCGGCATGTGTCAGAATCGAGTAAAGCCGCTAGAAGAACTGGCGAACACACCAAGAAGCTGGCACGGACATAAAGGGCGTAAGGAGCGCCTTCTCGCCGAAAGGGGGTTCCTAGTCAGTTGGAGATAATAATTGCGGCGCAGAACGCGAATCATCATTGCCGGATCACACAATCTCCTCACGACTCCTCGTAGGTACACCGAGGCGCAGATATTCGTGTTGACAAGACGAGAGGGAAAACCGAGGGATGAGGGACATTCCGCTCTGCGGACTTTTCTGAGACTTGTCAGGGGAGGAGGATGCATCCAAGAGGGGAAAGCCTCATGATAAGCGTTGGGACAGTGAGGCAGCACCACCAGAAGAAACCAGATGAAGCCCCAGACCCAAATAATAATATGGTCATCCAGTCGCCAGTGGACAAGACCGGACTCGCTTATGGACGGCAATGCGGCGCCCATGATCCCAAGGGCCGAGCCATCATCTGACGGTCGGAGGGTTGAGTGTGCCAGCGTGGATAATACATCCCAAGGCACGAGTACAAAAGGGGGAGCGATTGGTGACGGAGGAGAAGGAAGTATCATGGTAGGGAGTGATTGGGAGAAAACTGAATGATGAACAGGAATGATGATCAGGGTGTCATGGAACAAATCGAGGAAACTTAGTTGTGGTGGCAGCCCAAGGTGCCCCCGGGATTGCTGGAGAATTGATGCTTAAATAGCGAGTGATAGGCAGTCCGATGGTAAGATTGCGGGCGGGTTGCGCCTACGAGGCGTTAAGCAGCCAGCTGGACCTGCCATTTGAGTTGGGCCGCTGGGCCATTCGCCGTCCTCGCAGGTCCTTGCCAAGCCGCGGACTGACCAAAAAATTTCGTAGAAAGGAGAGAGCGCCTTGAACCGCCTCTTTCCCAACTGCGGTTTTCTCTTGCTCAAAGTTTCATACCACCCCCTTCAGCAAATTCCAGTTGCGCCTCACCCTTACGTGAGGCTTCTCTGGTATCGTCAACGACGTCTGTTGTCGTGTCTTATCGTCCCTCTTGAGTAGGGTACGCTATTGTCGTCCATTGCCGCGGTTTCCTCGTCCTGAACAGGCTCGGAAATCTGCCTGCGTGGTGAATCTCCTCTCAGAAGAAAAAAAGAATCACAAACACTCCTCCCTCTTCGCCATCCTCCACACAAGCACAAGAGCGGCTTCCGTTCACTCGAGACAGTCGCCGCAAAGTGGTTCATCCACCCTCGATTCTTCTTTCGCTACCTACAATCACCTGCGGGCTCGGGAACTTTTTTTTCCAACTTCACTCAGAGCTTCGTTTGTCATCCATTAGGTTTCAGCCTGCCAGTCAACCTCGCATATCCTAATCATTGCCTGAAGACTTTTCATCACCGCTGATGACATCGAATCCTCAGCAGTCCTCTTCTGCTCGATCGAAACCTTCCTTCGCCGCTGCCGTAGGCGCACAACAATCCACTGCCTCTCAATTTGCGACTGGGTCGAATTTGGCTAATCAAGGCCGAACCTCGTTTCCCTCCGCCTCCAAACCTCTTTTTCCTTCACCAAATGCATCGGAGCCCACCAACATGTCTGCAGCAGTTGGAGGCGCTCCGCCCACCCATGGGCATAGCGATTCTGTAAATGGAAGAAATCCCACCATCCCTGCCATCCCTTCTGTCAACGGAAACGTATCTCTACCTGATCACACCCGCAAGCCGTCGATGACAGTTACACCAGCTGGCGCCACTGGCTTCGCTGCAAATGGTGGTGCTCCTGGAGGTCCTCAAAACAAGCCGGGAAATATTCAGTTTGGTTCGTTGGGAGTGGCAAACCCTGCTAGTTCCCCTGCCATGGGTACACCTCCCTCGTTGGCCCATCAAAACTCATCAAATCTCAGTGTGAGCCAGCTGAACCCTCGCGCGACTTCTCCTTCAAGTTCCCCATCACCAATTCCTCAACCTGCTTCTGTCAGTGGTGGTCGCCCTCCTACTGGTTTTCAGGGTCAAGGGAACGGATATACATTCGGACAGCTTTCGGGCGATCAGAATGACCCAAGTGTAAGATTGAATTGATGTCGTTTATACCAGAGTCTAACATTTTCTGCAGGGTATGGCTCGGCCAATATCTCAACTACAGTTTGGACCTCAGCAAGAGCACATGAGACGAGGCTCTTCGCAGTCAATCCACAGCGACGTTGGTGGCCCAGGGATCCCAGCGGGCCCGACTCGTGGTGGCTTTCCTGGTGGTCCAGGTCGTGGGAGAGGATTCAATCCTCCATATCAGCAACAACCCATGCATTTCTCCCCCCAACAACAATTTCGACCTACTTCGAACGGACGTTCATTCCAAACTGGATATCAAGGCCGCGGCCAACCACTACCCTACCAAGGATCCCCCGCTATGGGCACCCGAAGCCCAGCTCTCGTCAACGCTCAACCAGGAACCCCGAATATGGGAGGTCAAATACATATGGTGCAACCCGGGATGCAGACCCAGCCCAATGGATATTATATGGGACCCCAACATGTAAAGAATTACCCACAGTTTCCTTCTTCCCGTGATCCTGCCAGAGAACCCGCAAGAGAGAGAGGGAAGCCCACGAGAGGCCGGAACCGTGGCGGTCGCGGAGCTGGTCGCGGTAAAGGCCCTGGTAGAGGTGGACCTGAGGAAGGATCGACTTTCTACAGCAAAGATCCAGCCTCGGACTACTACCGCCCCGATCTCGTGCCTCCACCTGTTCAAGTTGTCCCCGAACTCGCGCAGGCCCCCATTCAAGTTGTTCCAAATGCTCCCAATGTACTTCCCTACCCTGACTTGTCCCCTGAGTCTGGCAATTTTGAACGTTATTCAGAACACTTTCTGACTACAAGAGCACAGGGCTTCCCCATGACCCAAGCTGATCCTAGCATTCAGCAAATGTATTTGCAGCAAATGTATGCCCCAGGGGCCATGCAGGCTCAATACAATCCCCAATACAACATGCAACCCCAATCTCCTCGCCCGCACTTCAACCAGGGTATGTATGCACCCGGTATGCAACCTTCATACAGCAATCAAGGCGGACCACCGCCTTCGATGTCGAGGCAGTCTTCTCAAATATCTGCTCCTGATCGACCGGGGTCCAGCGTTGGCCAACAACCGCCGACGCCAGGTCCTGCCGGGGCTCCACATCCAGCTAATCGAGCCCCGAGTGTGTCTTCGCAAAAGTCAAATTATACCATTCCTCCAAAGAAGAGTGCCGCCATCACGATCAAAAATACTGCCGGCGAGGTTGTCTCTTTCAACAAATCACCCGCATCGCCCGCGAACCCGACTCCAGTCTCAGCCACAGTTCCCCCGCAATCTGCGCCCACGCCTCCGAGTCGAACTGCCAGCGCCGCTGACAATGCTCACGGCCGAACAGAAAGCGTCAGCATAAAGACTGCTGAAGAGGTGAAGAAGCAAATGCAGGAAGCTGTTGCAAAGAAGATCGCAGAAGATGAAGCAAGACTGAGATTGGAGAAGGAAACGGCCGAAAAGGCGGAGATGGAGAAAGAAGCTGCAGCGTTGGCCGAACGAGAGGCCGCTGAAGCTCAGGCCAAGACAGAGGCAAAGGAGAAAGAGGCCAAAGAAGCTGCAGAGAAGGCTGAGGCTGCCAAACAGGCCGAAGCCAAGAAGCTCGAAGAGACTCAGGCAGCGACGACCAAAGCGCAGCAAGATGAGCTTGATCTAGATGCTCTTGCTGCTGAAATGGAGGCCGAAGAAGCCGCCAGAGAAGCAGAAGAACTTCGACGTGAAGAAGAATACAAGAAGAGGAAAGCTGCTCAACGCGAGGCCGAGCGAAAGAAGCAAGAAGAAGAGGCCGCGGCTTATGAGGCCAACATGAAGGAGTTGGAGCGCAAGGCCGAAGAGGCAGAACAGGCCCGTGAAAAGGAAAAAGCCGAAGGAGTGTCAGGAGATGAAGCCAGCAAGAAACTCTTTGCTGAGCTCAAGCCCAATCCATTCGGTACACCCGCTTCAGTTGAAAGTCCCGCCGGCCCGACAACTCCCGCCGAAAGTGGAACTGCCACACCCGTTTCGGACGTCTCGATGCCTCCTCCTGCAAAGGCTCCTGGACGTCGCACCAAGGCTGCCGACCTGACCCTCGACACCAAGAAACCTGTGGAGCCTCCTGAGCCAAGTGCAACTCTGAAAGCCCTGCAGTCTGCCAAGAAGCTTGGTGATATCTCCAAGGTTGTTTATCCATCAGACATTGCCTCGCCCAATCCTGCCCTGAACGCAAATGCCCCGGCGGATCGGGGGTTCAAATATAACAAGGAATTTCTGCTCCAGTTCCAGAGCGTGTTCAAGGAGAAGCCCACTCTCGACTGGGATGCTCGCATTCGAGATGCGCTGGGCGATGGAGACGCTTCAGCTCGACCGAGCGCGTCAGCCAGGACGCCTTCGGGCATGGGAAACCGCAGTACTTCGGCTCGCGGACCCCCTCCTATGAGCAACTTTGGTGGTCCTATGGGTGCATTTGGTGGCGGAGTCAGCCGACCAACTCTACCCCCAGGTACCACTTCAGAGCAGCGATTCGCTGCATCGAACGCATTGAGGAGTGGAGGAATGGGCGCGAATCCGTTTGCTCAGTTTGGTCGCCCAGGAGGTCAAATGCAGCCTTCGATGGGTGGCCGAACGCCCTCCAACAATCCTCTTGGGCCTATTCCTGGTTCTCCGCGCGTCAGTGGTGCAAGTCGCGGAGGATCCCGTGCTGAGAGCAAACGCTCAAAGCAAAATGCTAAGCAACATCAGGAAGAAAACAAGTCCATGCCTCTTACTGCTGGTATGTCTATTACGGCTCTTGAAACCTCATCTACTGGATGGAAACCAAGGAGTCTCACTCAGCCCATCGTTTCCGGCCCTGCTCCTGGTGGCGATGGCTTGATGGATCCTGAGACTGTGCAGCGCAAGACAAAGGCACTTTTGAACAAGATGACCCCTGAAAAATTCGACAGAATATCGGACCAAATCTTGGACATTGCGGCTCAATCCAAACACGAAACTGACGGCCGAACACTGCGTCAAGTTATCCAGCTCACTTTTGAGAAGGCCACTGACGAAGCTCATTGGGCAGGCATGTACGCTTCGTTCTGCCGACGCATGTTGGAGAGTATGAGTCCGGACATCAGAGACGAAGGAATCAAGGACAAGAACGGCAATGTCGTGACTGGTGGTAACCTGTTCCGAAAATACCTGCTCAACCGCTGTCAAGAAGAATTTGAACGTGGTTGGAAGGTCAATCTACCACCCCGACCTGAAGGGGAATCCGAAGAAGCCGTCATGCTGTCGGACGAATACTATATCGCTGCGGCTGCCAAACGCCGTGGTCTCGGTCTCGTCAAATTTATTGGTGAACTGTTCAAGTTGTCCATGTTAACCGAGCGAATCATGCATGAGTGCGTCAAGAAGCTCGTGGATTATGAGGGTACCCCTGATGAAGCCGAAATCGAGAGCTTGACCAGCTTGCTGCGGACGGTCGGCAAACAGCTTGACAACCCGGAGAGCAAGGCGCAAGGAAGGATGGACCTCTACTTCGAGCGCATCAAGTCGATGATTGACCTGCCAGAACTTCCCAGCCGTCTCAGATTTATGCTGATGGATGTTATTGACCTACGATCCAAGGGATGGGCCTCTAAGGAAGACAACAAAGGTCCTAAGACCATCACCGAGATTCGTGAGGAGGCCGAACGCCAGGCACGTGAGGACGAACTCAGACGACTTGCGAGCCAGACCGGCGGCCGTGGTGGTGGAGGCCGGATGCCAATGGGTCGTGGCGACGCTCGAAGCTTCAGCGGCTTCGGGGGACAAGTCCCGCCTCCTGATACATCGAATCGAGTGGGGACCGATGACCTTCGAAAGCTGGGTAACCGTAACGCTCGCCACCCAAGTCATACGTCTGGTCCCGGTCCATTGGGCCCGCCTAGCTTGATGGGTGGGCGGACCAACAGTGGGCGTCGTGGACTGGGACCTGGTGGTCTTTTAGGGCGAGGAGACGACAGTGCCACAAGTAGTCGCACCGGAACACCACCGGCTCAGAAAGACAAGGAGAAGAAGGATGAGTCTAGCACGAATGCTTTCAGGTAAGCCCTTACGACCCCTGATTAGGACGACCCCAAAAGCTGACACTCTGGCAGTGCTCTTGCCGCTCTCGAGAACGACGGACCATCATCGCCACCATCTAATCCCGCTTCACCCCCCGTGCAGAAGTCGCAGCCAAGCATCGAACGAGGACGATCGAGATCACCGGACAAAAGCGCCGCGTGAAAGCCACATACTCCCGATCAAAAACATGTGTACAACATAATACGATTCGATTACACTAATATCTGACTGACGGCCGCTTGTGGGGATGGATAGAAGAAAAGATATGCATTGATACCCCGGCGTGAGCAAAGCCACCTGTTTAGCATTTACAGCGCCACGAAAAAGCGGTCCGTTTGTTTTTCCCCTCGATTCTCGTCCATGCAAGATCACAGCAGATTTTGGCAACCATGGATCTGAGAATCGCACTTCGAGCCTTCGATTCGAGCACGCGGAAACGCGGGATAGAGAGTGTGTTTCTACTCAAAAGAATTCATTATGCATAGGGTTGATTTGAGAAATCGGAGAAGGGGTCTTCCATCTACTGGCTGGTTGGAATCACACTACGGCTTGGTGGAGTAATGGTGGAAAACCGCAAATAGACGTGCCGTGGAGAGCTGTTCGTCAAGCGAGGATGGCATAGTTGAGAAGAGACCAAGGATGGGAAGCAGCTCGACCTCTCTCGATCGCAACTACTCAATCGTCAGAAGGAGGGCGGGCATATTTTCTTGAGCTGGACGAGGTTCGGGTCGAGCTGTTGGGTTCCAGCTCATCGGCGATATGGTCGTCATCAACAACAGTCGATCAGCGTCGAGCGGCATCCAAGGTTCACAGGAGGAGAGCTTGGTGAATGGTGCCTTCTTGTACTGTACATTGACGAATATTCAAACTTTTTCGTTTTAAAAGTTCGGGGTTTCGGTCCTTTGCTACTCTGCTACTTTGGCCATTGGAGATAGTTGTGGTGTTACTAGCCTAAGACAGAGCCAGAACTCTTCATGTCTGACAGCAGTGCTGTTTAACTATGCGATACTCGGAACAAACACTACTGCTCAAACCAGCAAGAAAACCCGGACGTAAGACAGATCCCATCAATTCAATTTGCAGACGTGATGTTCTTCGCTTGGTCCCTTTTGAGCGCTTCTCCCCATTTTCGAGCCTCGTCTCCCTCCTTCTTTCTCAGTATTTCTTCCATGTCATACTCCTTCTCAATGACATGTCGGTGCCTTTCCTCTCTCTCCTTTCTTTTTGCCTCGCGCATCTTCCTCCTCTTCGCCCGATCAATGTCGTCGTTCCGCTCGCGGTGTGCTTCGTCGCACAGTTTCCTCTGTTCCTCCCGTGTCAATACCCAGGGTCTAGAGAGAGTCGACAGGAGGAATTGTGTGCGTGAGGCGATCAGCGCCATTTCATGGTTTGTGGTGAAGAGTATATTCAGACGCAGGAGGGAGAGTTGCCGCGTGGCGTGGAATGTAGAGAGGGTGCCTTTGGCTTGCACGATGGATCCGATATCGAGACGAGACAGGGTGCGTTGAAGCTGTGCGTCTTCACCGATTTCTTCATCTTCTCCAGAGTTGGGATTGGACTTTGGTTTCGAAGTTGGATTCTGGTCCACCGGTCTCACAGCTCCTGTTTCGCGCTTAGGCCCTGCGTTGCCTGGTCCGGTGTTCAGATCGACTTGCTTCTTCTCGGGTTTGGGACATGTCACATCAATGATGGCCCCGCTGCTGTCGTCAATCTTGAAAAGCCAGAACTTCTCAAAGTAGTCCTCCAGTGAGACCACCACACCAACCACCTGAACAAATTGGATGGGATGGTTGAGGTAGAAGAGCAGTAACGGCGGGTCCTTCTGTCGGCCGTGGATGTCGCTACCTTCAACCGCTATGGGGGTAGTGACCTGAGAAAACTTCTCATGGCGTTCCAACACGGTGTGGATGTCAAGACAGGTCAGTTTCACCCATTTCGACCAGGTTGCAGACGCCTTGAAGGCATAGGCTGGGTAAAAGGTCAAATTGCTGCCCTCTTCCGCAGGCTGTTTGGTGGTCAAGCCTGCGACAGTGGGTCCACCAGCATGATGCTTCTGCAATTCAGGACCAGGACGAGGACGAGGATCAGAATGAGGTCTCTGCATTCATTTGCGAGGCTTCACATAGTGGACAGCCCGGGGGTTGTTGCGGAGCTGTGTTGGAGCTGTGTTGGCAATTGCGAACATCGGCGTCGACGCGCCGATGAGCGCAGCGAGGGCGGTGTGCGGGCAGAACGCGCGTGTGGAGATACAAGTGAGAAAGGCTGTAGAATTGGAGAATAGGCGGTGGGAGGGACCCCGTAGGTGGCAGGGATGACCACAGAATGCCTATTCTCGGGCAGCGGGTGTGTGTGAGGTGGCAGAGATTGCAAAATCGGAGTCTGTCCGGCTCATCGGCTCAAGCGGCAAACCTGAGGCAACCCCCAACTACCCCCATCGCACCCCCACAGCGAGTCGTAATTTTGTAATGACAGCCCCCAACATTCTCATTCTGGTGCACAATGGTTCATTCACGTGCAGAATGACGAGAATGACAGGAATTTCTCATCAGGACCTCCGCTCTCACCATTTCCCACTCCTCAATACTACCATATCATCATGAATCTATCATTGCATCAACCACGGAGCCCAAAATCTGCTGCAGTCTCGCTAGGGCTGCGGTTGGGTATCCCGCCCAACTGGCTGACCAGCGAGCCAATACATGGCCAGGCATTTGACGGGCCTCCGCGACCGGCTAATGTCCCTACCTTTTCCTCTTTCCTGTCAATCCTTTTATCTGCCACTATGATGCTATGGGAGAGTTCTGGATCTCTTTTCCCTCTCATTCCTCTCTCCCTCTCTGTCTCGGCGTTCTTGGAATCTTGGTCTACAAGCAATATAGATCCATCGCCAAGAGACTGACCCATGATCACTCGAGGGCGATAGGCAAGGCCTAGAGTAACAGTCGAGATACCCGATCGACCCCACCGAACCCACGAGACAAGCATTGGCAGAGATTCTTCTTGCTCGCACTGAGCACGCAGGCTGGACTTGATGTCGAGAGGCTCCTTTGATACGGATCAGCATGGCCCCCAGGTCCAAGCATCGTTAGGAGACAAGAGCCTTTCATCTGGGTCTCATAAACACCAAGACATACAAAGCGTTATTCCATGCGCCGAGACGCGGCTATCACCGTCGCAAAGTGAAGCATCCGACTCCAATGACCATGGCCCCCTCGAGAGGATACCCACCACTCGAGATGAGCTACCAGATACCGTCCAGGTCGAAAGAACCGTCACCGATACTGCTGGTGGACCAGTCCATTCGGTCTTTACAAAGAATCAAAAACTATTCATAGTGTTTATGGCGTCGTGGGCTGGATTCTTTTCTCCTGTATCCGGACAGATCTATTTCCCAGCTCTGAATGCATTAGCGAAAGATTTGCATGTTTCCGATTCATTGATTAACTTGACTCTGACCTCTTACATGGTACGCTATCTTCTCCCCCCGTAGACCCGTCGCGCTGGAAGTTGACTTGACCCTCGTTACCAGATCTTCCAAGGCCTCGCCCCTACATTTGTTGGAGATCTCGCTGATGCTGCTGGTCGGCGTCCCGCGTATGCCGGTATGAACATTGGTCTCCGGGCTCAAGCTTCCACTAATTCGCAAAATAGTTTGTTTTACTATATACATTCTCGCCAACATTGGCCTTGCACTTCAGAACAGTTATGCGGCGCTGTTTGTCTTGCGCTGTTTCCAGAGCACTGGTTCTAGCGCCACAATTGCTATGTGTAGCGCTGTTGTGTCCGATGTTGCCACTGCGGCAGAAAGAGGCAGATATATGGGATTTACTCTTGCGGGATCTCTGCTTGGTCCAGCTATAGGTCCCGTCATTGGAGGTGTGCTCGCTGAATTTCTGGGGTGGAGGGCCATCTTCTGGTTTTTGATGATTATGGGCTCTGCGTTCATGGTCGTTTTCGCAATCTTCTTTCCCGAGACAGGTACGCCGCATGGTTGAAGAAAGATGGTACTGATTTACTGACCGCCTGAATAGCTCGCACTCAGGTTGGCAACGGGTCAATCCCACCAAAAGGCTGGAATATGTCTCTGATGAATTACCTGGCAATCCGCAAAGCTCGGAAGCTGCGTCCTCAGGACCAGATGTCGGTGAAAGACGAACAGCCTCAAAACGAGACGCGGAGGAAGAAGAAGTTTCGTTTCCCCAACCCGCTGCGATCTCTTTACATCATCATGGACAAGGAAAACGCACTGCTTCTCTTCTACAACGCGTTCTTGTTTGCAGCTTTTTACGACGTCACAGCGTCCTTACCATCGCAGCTCCAGGCGATATTTGGCTTCAACGAACTCCAGATCGGCTTGTGCTTTATTCCTTTCGGCTGTGGATCCCTCTGTGCTGCCCTCACAAATGGACAACTATTGGACCGTAATTTCGCCCGTTGGTGCAAGAAACTTGGAGTGAAGATCCGGAAGGGGCGAAACCAGGACCTCAGCCATTTTCCGATTGAAAAGGTGAGGTTGCAGGTTGCCATTCCTGCCGTTTACTTCACGTCAGTGTTGGTGCTTGCGTTTGGCTGGATCTTGGATGTCAATGGGCCACTCCCGGCACTGCTCGTCGTCCTCTTCTTCACGAGTTTCAGCATGTCGATCGCGTTCAACGTGACCAGCACGCTCTTGGTTGATTTCTATCCTAAAGCGCCTGCCACGGCAACGGCAGCGAACAACCTAACGAGGTGCGGCCTGGGTGCAGGCGCCACGGCTGCCGTGATACCCATGATTAATGCCTGGGGGAGAGGCTGGACCTTTACCTTTTTGAGTTTGGGTCTAATTGCGACGTCGCCGATGCTTTGGGTGGTGTATTTCCGGGGCATGAAATGGAGAGACGAGAGGAGAGAACGAGAGACTCGGGCGCGGGAGCTGAAAGAGGCAAAGTCAGCCCGGGAAAACTCTGGTGAGAATGGATGTGTCGTGCAAGACGAAAAGCCGCCCCTTGAAGAGGGACCTATGGTGGACACGGCGGCCGTGACTGGGAAGGATCAAGACAGGGAACGCCGCTATCACGAGTCATCCAAGGACATGGCCAAAGTAAAGGGGATGGATAAGGGACAGGACAAGGATATTGACGATGTTATGAGTCGCGAAGACCAGGATGTAACGCTATCAAGATCCTTTTCGTATGAGTCTGGGTATTGAATTAAGCAAGCAAATCAATCAATTGTTAAGAAATCAGTTCCCACTACCACAGCAGGTAGCCACTCCTCCTCCTCTTCCTCTTCCTCTTCCTCCCTCCGCGTGTTTTTCCAGATGATCAATAATCCCCAAATACTGTCGGCAGACCGATCGACACGCCGACATTCTGGGCGAACGATCCGATGAGATTTCCTGTTTGACGGTAATCAAGGGAACATTAGCTCGAATCACATATTCGCCGGGAACCAGATCCGCTGGGGACTAGGACTGGTGGGAAGAGGGAAGGGGAAGGGGAAGGGTGGTTTGGTTTTCTCAATACTACATCGTATGTGGCCATGGAGGGAGGGAGGGAGGGAGGTAGGTAGGTAGGCACTCACCGGCCGGCGCGTAATTACAGACGGTGAAGAAGGGCGAGATCGGGGGCCCCGCGTTGACCAGTCCCCCACTGCTGCCGGTGCAGTCGGCCGTGTAGCATCCCACGGCGGTACTGGCCTTCCACACGATCTGGGTGAAGTGGCCCCACAGGCCGACAGTGCTGACGTCCGGCTCCGTCCCGTATGCGACGTAGTTGTTCACCTCGCTGTTGTAGAGGCCCTCGGTGACGAATTGGCCCATGCCCAGCGGTGTGCCTGGGTAGCCGGCCCCGATGTTCTGGCCGTAGCCGCCGCCGTTGACGGTTCTGTGTTCCAAAAAGAAAGGAGGGGATGTTAGTCAAGAAGGAGGAGGGGGAAGGGGAGAGATATCAGATGATGGGAGAGGGAGGGAGTAAAGGGGAGGGAAGGGGAAGGGTCATGGTCGGGATGTATATGGATATGATCAGGAAGAGGAATAGGGGGGGGGCTTTTCTTTACGTGTCATGTCCATAGACACACGTCTCGGCAATCAGTCGAGCCGTGTCGGCCAGGCTCGATGACCACACGAGCGGATCCGCCGAGTGGTTTGTCCGGTGGATGTTGTGGTGGCGCAGGACGGCGTCGATGTATGCGTCGTTGGTCACCACGGGGATTCCCGAAGACGAAGTCGTCGTCGTGGACAGGGTCGAGATGGAACTTCCGGGGGTGTTCGACCCGAGGGAGGTGGTGATGGTCGACGAGGCTGACGTGATGGTGTCGGGAGGCAGGATCGGGCCACTAATGGTCGTGGTCGTGGTCGTGGTCGCAGACGTTGTCGCTGTTGTTGTCGTCAATGGAGTCGTCGTTTGCAGGGTCGACAAGCCCGTCGTGCTCGTCGGGCACTGGCATGTCGTGATGGTGACAAAGGCAAAGGCCGTCTCAGTAAACGTCGCGGTATAGACGAAGCTGATGCTCTGCGCTGTCGCGCCTGCAACGAGGAGGAAGGGAATGAATGCTCGCATCGTGTGCGCGTAAAATGAAACGACTAAAAGCTGCTGAAAATAGCCAGTGGAGGTAAATGAGTGACTGTGGTCAGGTCGCAAAAAAAAAACAGATCGGGATCTTCGGTCAAGGATGGGAAGCCCAGGTCTGTAAAAGGTTGGTCAAGGTCATGGGTTTTGTGATTCTCGAATGTTTGGACGAGATATACACGGCCCGCATTCCAATGGGCATCAACAACCCCCTTGGGCTCCAGGCTGGGCACATATGTGGATATCGAAGCACGTGTCCTTCACTTTCTCTTGATGGTGCTCACAGTTGCCGTGGACAGATGTGTTGGCTCTTTCTTACAACTGATATCATGGTCGAGGACACTGATGAAAGTACAATGCGATGTGTCAAGGGATGGGGCCAATCCGCGGCGACAAGGTCAACTTTGCTCCGCATTGAGATGGAAGTAGACATCGCCATAGCACTGTTGAATAGTCAGTATCACCATATAGAGACTTACCCAATTCTCGGGCGCGAAGCTGGCCCTACAGTCCGTGAAGAGCACCTTCATTACATGAAGTCGCGTCGCAACATGGCGCAATTCAATTTAACTGCCCCTTGCTCTTCAGCCTGCTCCACACGGGCCATGCAACGACGAAAAAGGAGATATCAACCACTTGGGGATATGGCCAATCCTCATGTTGTAGTCGTATGCCTCCGTCTTCTGGTAGCCCGATTATAGAGAGCTGTTCGAGGATGCACGAAAAGCGAGGTGCACCTCAGTCGTCAAACTGACCTTCCTCGTCCATGGTAGTCATTCTCGGGCATGCGAGACAGAACGCGCATATGCTCGTTAGAGCACGGCACCCGAGTCCTTCACCTCGCCATTCCGCCAGCGAAGCCGCTTCAAAGGAATGAGGACAAAATTCGGTCGTGTAGAGGCCAAGATGTTCTATTTTGGAGTTCGTGGATCGAACCACCAACAAGAGGTCTCGATTGTCTTGTCGATGGTATCGGAAAGTCGACCGCCCGAGAGGGAGCACCTTGTCGAAGTCCAGGCCATCGACCAAAAGCCTCAGGGTTCAGAAGTCAAAGTTTTCTCAAGAATCTGGCCACAATCAATCAGCGCTCAGTAGAAGCCATTCGCAAACCTGTGGACTTTGAAAATGTGCTATTCTCGTCCTTCAGACCATGTCAAACCGTGCAACGCAAAGCCACCGAGGTTTTGCGGTGCTCGGCGACTGTGGACACAAATATGTGATAGAGTCGGCTAGTGGATCCCATTTTCTTGACATCAATAATTTCGACTGCGCCGACGAGGGCCCAACGTGTTGTAGAGAGATCAATTGGATACCCGGGGTAGGGGGCCGGAACAGACAGCCCCTGCGCAATCAGAAGCCTGACTCTCAACGCTTCCAAGGATCTCCACGAGCGTCTAGAGAGACGTGTCGGCACATTCACACCGAGCATGTCAACAGCGTTGGATGTCGTGTGGGGCTCAGGGGGCCGCAGTTGCTGAAGCTGAACGGGGATGATGAGATCGCACGTGTGAGTGGACAGTCGGTTCTCACAGCCGGGGTTCCTCGACCATCATGCCAGGGGCACCACGATGTGGCCCACTGGCGTCTGTGGTCTGAACCCTAAACAAGCGAAGGCTGACTGCTACCACCGTGCTCACAGCCAGGGGCAGTGGGGGAGTTCGTGTCTTTCTGTAAGAGAACGGTCCGAAGGCCGTCAGGTGGAGGCCATGTCGGCGATGTCATACGCGATCCTCGACCGGTCTCATCGGCGACATATGTGATGCTAGCAAAGCGACGAGTCACAGCTGAAATCGGCGTTCGAAGCCCCCAGGCAGACCCAGAGGGATTGTTAGATTCCACAGCTGAGAGCGCTGCCATGCCGGAATAGACTTTGAGGTTTTGATATTGTCCACTCACAAGGAACTTTCGTCATGGAGTCAACATTAGTACTAGACGTTATGGGCCCGTTGTCCTCGGATGGGCAGCATCCCGCGTAGGTTTGTTGTAGAGCTGCAACCCGGATCGACCTCATACCGAGCTGTTCTCACCTATACCAAGGGATGACAAGGGGTAACAAGGTTGACCTGGGTGCTCCGCCGTCAATGCCACGAGGAGATGCTGCTCCCCGTCACATATGGCCCCCTTGGAACAGGACGACTTGTGACTGGGGTTCATGAAAGAGCTAACCTGAAAAAAGCAACTGTTCGTGCCAAAAGGACCGGGCTGATGGAGAGCAAGGGATTCATATGCCCGATGAACGATATAGAAATTCAGATGACTCAGGCGAAGGATAGCCTTGTGGTCGAGGGCCATAGAGAGAGGTAGTCATTGGCTAGCTTCCGCCGCCGGTCGGCCACTCCGACGACTTACCTAAATGAGCTCAAAGGCCGATATCTTTCAAAGAGAGATAGCAATGATCGTTGACCGCCCAGTCAGTCTTCGATGAGATGATGTTCAGTCACCGGAAGAGTCGGGGAGACCGCATCAAAGTCAGGCCGCGAGGTTACTATGGTGGTTGCGATTCCCGCGCAGAACTAGCCGGGAGTAAGGATATCCGTCGCGGGGAGTTACTGATCAGAGGAAGCGAGGACGATTATCGACACGCATCAGCCAGAGAAAAATCCCGAATTGGAAATCTGGATCGAACGGTGCTTGTCTCAACAGAGTTTAGCGGGCCTGATGAGGGAGCGTTTCTATTTTTACTTCCCACGTTGTCGGAGAATTCCCCACGGATCAACACCCTGGTAGGGAAGTGGTATCCTAGGCTCTTTGATCTGAGATTATCTCCTGTTGGCAAGTGGAGTGTCAGGCCAGGCGGGTCTAGAACATCGAATAGTCGATTGACCGACAAAAGGGACACGGGGTCATGAGAGTCTGCCTCGCAAGTCTATAACAAAATCTGCCTGATTCGGAGTGAGCGTGCTGAGGAAGACAATAGGCCAGTCGGAACAAAGGTTAATCCAGTCCCGGCCCGCTGCGCCCCACCCAGCCGCAGTTGGGAACATTGGGAATATCGGTGAGGAGTCAGTCATCACATGCGCAACAATATTGAGGGGAAGGGAACTTGTGGTGGTTGTCATCATCGTCGTCACCAAATGCTCGTCGCCCAGAGAGACATGCATGGTCCATTCGTCATGTGGATTTGCTGAGAGCACGGAATATCATGGATCCGGTATCGTCCATTCGAGGCATTAACAACGCGTGTGGAGACTGTCCATGTGCTCGTCCTTTTCTTAGACAGACTTGTACTTGTGGTTGGATATACGGGAGGTGAGGTGACCAGGTTCGCACGGTACTAGCTCGTCAATGCATGGTTGCCTTTTACAATCCAGGAAGTGCGTAGACCAGATTGTCTGTGAGTCTGATACTCGCGTATCGCACAGTAGTCTTGCACCCCTTCCCCCTCTGGAAGCACGTCATGGAAACAACGGATCCTGGTTCAATTGCCGTCTGCTGTTGCATTTCCCTTTCTTTAGTCTGGTCGCCTACACGGGCGAGAAATGACCAGTATGATCCATGTACTCGGTACAGATCATTCGAAGCAAGTGTAACGGGATACCTACCCAGATACTACTGCATGAACGACGGGACCATGAGGATTGTGATTGGATTAGGGGGACTTGAAGGGACACTTTCCTCCTCCAAAAGGAGAATTTCCTCCTTCCCTTAACTGCGCCTTGGTGTGTGATGGGTGGGAATGTGTTTGTGCGCGGGAACGGGTGCGCAGAAGGCAAACGATGATTCGATGGCCAAGAAGGGCTAGGGAGAAAATAGCTTAGCTTCTCCATGCTACCTCTTTTTCCACCCAAAGTGTGAGCACTAGCACCAGCAACTCCCCACTCAAGCTACACCGTTGGCCTATCCCAACACTCAGCTATCCGTGCTAATGCATGTCTTTGCAGCCTTAGCCAGCCCTAAAAGCCACGCCGCACGTCTTGCCATCGACTCACATCGTTGAATTTAGCACACCAACCCAAAGGTTCTGGCGACCGACTTTCCCCTTCGCTTGTTCACTGCCCACTGAGAAGTGTAACATGACGCCTCCCGCGCCCTGTGTGCCATCTGAATGGTTCCATACCCTTGCTTGGCCTTCCTCGTGTCAGGGACGGCAAACGGGACAGGGACAGGGACAAGGGGGGCAATGCAAAGCCCAGGGCTCACCCTTCACGAGGATAAGGCCACAAGGCCATCAGGATCTCCCAGTGGCTGCCTGAGGCTCGGTCCCCATTTTTTCCCACTCTGGGTTTTTTTATTTTTTCAAAAGTCCATTTCCTAGTAGAATCCGTCAGCCCTACGAGCATGGCTGGGTCAGGGGGGGAAAAGGTGGAATACGATGACCCAAGACCTCCAGGGACCTTTGGTCGCCTGTTTCCTGTTTCCCTCTACCTTCTTCCGGTCATGCGTTGAATGGATCCCCATCATCCCACAGGCGAATCTCGCAGCCCACTTGCTACGACTACTACTGCTACTGTACGAGTACGGTGAGTGTGGACTTAGCATCAGCCCCCAAATTTACCTCATCGCCGTCAGGAACCCTGGGATCTGTCACATCCGTCCAAAGGGTTCACTGATCGGGTACCACCACTCTAACCCGTTTCCTCGTCGGGCCCATCTACGTGGGACGCTGGCTTCTTACACCATACACATACCACACACCACATCCCACAAAGATATATATCTCTTTTCTCATCCCCCCCCTCAGAGGTGTCGAATATTTCATTCCCATCACACATCAACACACACATTCCTTCAAGAGCAAAAAAAACCATTTCTCTATATTTTCTTAATCTCTTTCCTTTGTCCGCGCATTGCCAGAGTTTCCAGTTCAGCACACACACACACACACGCACACACAGCCAAACCCAGATTTGAGGTATACACCATACTTTCCTTATTTCTGTTTTTTTTCTTTCCAGTCGCCCTGAAGTACAACTACAACACCAGTCCCATCGACAAAAAGCAGAAACCAAAAGCCCAAGCCCCATCTCATCTATTTCCTTGTTGTCTTTTGTCTCTTTATCTATTGGATTGCGCCACTTGTCTGCGACACCCATACATTATCGCAGAGCCCAGCGCCCTCGACCAAACTTCATTTCAAGCCCCAAGCTCAAAGCAACCATTTATTTCCTCGTGTTTTTCATCCCAACCACACTCGCGATCACAATGGCTCTCGGACGAGGCGGATACAACACCCCGGCTGCTCCCCAAAAAGGCCGCGGGGGTTACAACAGACAGGGCCGTGGAGGATACAACAGAATCCCCGTCGTCCAAGGTCGCGGTGGATACAATCGACAGCAGGCTGCCCAAGGTCGTGGCGGATACAACTGAATCGTCCCGATGACTCCCTTTCCGCCGGAACGACGACCCCATATCAGGAACCGTGTTCCATCGCTCCACCCATTCCTTCGACATGTGACGTTTGACTTGCGTGATCCCGGCTTCGATCACTTTCCACTCTTTCGACATTGTCCCAGCTCTTGACGAGCATGTGATTCTCTCTCGACGGCTTCATTTTCCCACGCAGAACCTGTACAACACAAAAAGCTCAGCAATCTGCACATATCCCTCATCGACACTTAGCGGCATTTCTCGGAGTTTTTTTTTTCTTTTCTTTTCTCGATTTGGTATATCGTCCCACCACTTTGCTCGGGCAGCATAATTGGGAAGCATAATTCGGAAACAAGGCGCAGGATCGCCAAAATTGTTTGACGACACTCAGGAGTTTCAGGCACATATGGGATATTAATGGAATTCAGGAAGGGGCTTTGCTTAGGGGGCAGTTCTTGGCATTGGGTGTTTTTTCTTTTTTGCAGTCTTTCTTTTGGATACAGTCCCACATTCTTTTGGAGACTTGGAAGGGAATAGGGAGCTTGAACGGGCACAGCTAGCCCAAAGTATGGACCAACAGGACAGACTCGAAGGCAGACGAAGCCCCAGAATTTATGCAGACAGATCGGGAGATAGATACCCCAGAACCAACGTGCGACCACGGAATGTCATAGTTTTGAACCTTCAAGACCCTTTTCGGGCAGCGATTGCCCATTGGAATGGAAAACTAACCGCAATAAACAGTCACTGAGAGAAGAAGATGGTCACTCACTTTTCGAAAACAACTCCAAGGATGTCCTCCACATCACCGGATCCTCCCTTGCCCGTGATTTTGGCGAGGCAGTCGGCGGCGAAACGGAGATGTTCCGCTGCAGTCACGATATCGACTGCACCATCTGTATCCCCATCTCCATCGACCTGTGCTATATTTGGAGCAACAAGGTCATTGTGGCGATCAGTGCGGTAATCAGTGGCAGAAGCACGCGAATCGGAGAATTCCGGGGTATCCATATGCAGGTGAGATTGCGGCCGTGACTGGCTCTGGGCAAGGAAGTCCTCGAGATGATGTAAGCACTGCGATAGGTACGTGGTCTGCCGGTGCGTGACTGAAAGGGACGTGGTCCAGTAGAACTGCGCTTCTGCCGCAGTTAGTTGCACTTCCGCAATGTCTTCGCCGGCTGACGGTGCCGTCAACTCCATGAATGAGCTGGTTAGTTGTTTGAGGAATGCTTGGATCCCACCTGGATCGGAGCCGACCACGTTGGTTGTTGCATCTTTGCAGGATACCAAGCAAATCCGTCGTTCAGGGACAGTTGGGAATATCTGATGGATCCGCGTCTGCAAGGCTATCATGCCTTCTTGTTTTGGATCATCATGCATGCCGAGCAGGTCAATCTTATTTAGAACAACGAGAATAATCTTGCCGGCAGCATCGCATTGTTGCACAGCCTCAAGTACTTCTCCGTTGACAGGGACTTGCGGGTTCCCATCTTTATCCATTTCGACGGGTAATAGAACCAGAACAACGTCCGATTGTAGGGCCCGCTCTCGTGCCCGACGGATGCCTTCGAGTTCCACGGCGCCGACAAGTTGCTGCTGCTGCTGCTCTCCGACAGTGCCAGTGGCACGGAGTCCGGCCATGTCACCAAGTCTGCATAGCCAACCATTGAGATCGATCGACACGTCAACAATGTCTCGAGTGGTCCCTTCTTCGGCGCTGACGATTGCAGCCTCTCGTCCAACGATCTGGTTGAGCAAGGAACTCTTGCCCGCATTTGGTGCCCCCAGGAAAGCTACGTTAATGCCATTGCGGAGCAGTTCCCCTTTTGAGGCATTCTGAAGGTGAAGCTCAATTTTTCTCTTCAGTGCTTGGACCTGCGTCGAGATCGAGGCCACAAACTCGACTGGCGACTCATCGAAATGTTGGTCCTCCGAGAAGTCGATCAGAGCCTCTAGCTCCCCTCGAGCATATAGCAACATGGTGCGCCATTCTTCGTATCGTTTCGCGAGTCCGCCATCTGCGCCGCTGACAGCTAATCGCCGCTGTTGTTCGGTCTCCGCTGCGAGGCTCTCGCCCAGGGCCTCAGCCTGGGTGAGATCCAATCTCCCATTGTAGAATGCCCATTTTGTGAACTCGCCAGGTTCGGCATGTCTCACTGTTCCTTCTCTTCCGTGCATCAAGTGCCCACATCTCGCTATGGCGGCCAACACCGAGCGAACAATGGCGGGGCCACCGTGGACGTGGAACTCCAGTACATCCTCGCCGGTCACCGTGTTGGGCGCAGGGAAGTATAGGACCAATGAGCCGGTATCAAGGACTCGGGGATCTGAGGATCGTGCGGTTTCGGGATCGTAGAGCTTTCGTAGCGCCGCGGTGCGAGGTCTAGGGAGTCCGCGATTCGGGCAGAGCTGTTGATAAATATGCAAACATGCCGGGCCGGACATGCGGATAACGGCTATAGCAGCTCGGCCTGAGGCAGTAGATAGTGCATATATCGTATCGGAGGTCGTGTGCTGGCTTGGTCGTGTAGCCCATTCTTCTAAGTCAGGGACTGGCGCAGAGGACGACCGGCCGCGTGGGAGCGGTTGAGATGAACTCCAGCGCAGGGCGTTCAACCCACGTGGCTGAGCGAGACATCTTCGAATGGCAGAGGAGAAAAAGTGGTTTCTGCTCAAGCTTCGGAATCCAATGCGATATAGCATTCGAACAGCTCCGTCTTTGAATATGTGATGCGAACGACAATCACGCGGGATTGGGAGGGTGAAAAGGACAATGGAGGGGCTTGGCAACGGGCTGCTCGCTCCACCGTCACATCATCCAGGAAATGGCTGATGGATATGTATGCATACACGGGATTTCGACATCACCAGGTATAGATACATTCAGAACAATCTCTACATAATTGGGTCGTCATTCTTTTTATTACATACACAGACACCCTATCTCGCCATCATCCAGGACAAGTCAAAAAATATTGGGACGCCATGACACGATCTGACAATGAAGCTAACCAAACACAACAACACATGACCAATGCCCCTGCTCGAGCTTCCCCAACTGTTGTCTGCTAATTCGTTGTAAAGGCTGTGCTTGTAGAGGTATTTTGAAGGGGATGTAGAGGGTGGTGTCCAATCGAGGTCATGCACTAGTTCCTGTGAGACGTTAGCATTCGCGCAGTGGAATGGATGATTGACTGACAATAAGCCAAGGGTCAAATCGCCATGAATTTTGGCCTTCAGTTGGACTTCAATGTCTAGATTAAGATCGAGTCTTAATCTCAACTGTTCGTTGGTTTCGCCGTCACCTTCTTCTCCCTCTCCTTCCTTGCCGCCTTTGCTGTGCAGCAGTCCTCCAAGGGCTTCATGGGGCTTGCTCAAAGTCTTGCCGACGGTGTCGTTCACGAGGTTTCCGGCGCCGTCAACGACGCCATTCACCGTGTCTCCGACCTCATCAACTGCATCAAGGGGCCCGCCGCCTCCGCCGAGGAGGCCGCCCTTCCCTTGCTGTTGTGTTTGGGCCTGGGCCTTGCCTCTGTTCCGGTTTCGGTTCCGTCGTCCGCCTTTCTGGGAGACGTCGCTTCGATATGCGCTATCAACCTCACTGGGGGGTTCGCTTGAGTCTCGACCGCGACCCCGGCTCCCTCGTCGAGAACCGGAGCGGGCAGATGCTGACGCTGATGTCTGCGGGTCCATCTTTGGTTGTGGTGTTGGAGATTCTTCTGGTCCGTCCGCGTCGCCTTCGCCGTCTGCTTTTTCACCGTTCGCTTGACTTTTCTGGCCTAGCTTTTTGGGCTTTCGTCTCTCTTCAGACTTCTTGGAGGAAGCGTTTGCTCCGATGTTTGCAGCTCCTGAAGCAGAACCAGCAGCGTCGAGGTTTCCGCCGATTTGGGTTTCTTCAGTACTCTTCGTCTCTTGTTCGGACGACATGGTGGGAGATTGAGAAGGAAGATGTGCAAGGAAGGATGATGATGAAGAGGAGGACAGGGACAAAAAGAGGGCCTCGACGTATGACGACCAGGCCTATTGTCCGGGGGGAGAGAATCAAGGTTGACCACACCGCTGGCAATTGTAGTTTCAACCCCACACAAGACGTCAGGACGTAGACGACTTGAGTAGTGACCTACATCGCTTGTGCCTCTACACGCACGCTCATGACGTCGAACGTTGCTGCTTTTGAGGGAGGGGGTGTGTGTAACGCCACAGATCAGCGACAGAGTCAGCAAAGGGGGCTGGGGGAACAGGGTTTGGCATGTGCAGAAGGCCAGGACCGCCAGGTGGCCGCAAGTTGGCTGGCCAATAATTGCAAAGGAGGATCACAGTTCCAGCACTGTGGCTGTTGTGGGCAGGGATCATGGCAGGATACTGAAGAGAGGCGTAAACACAAATGAGGAAACGCACAGACCACGTTGACCACAGACCCATCCTCAATCGGTGATATTGATGTCACACTGTGCATGGAGATGATCTCTTTACAGACCGGAGCATGTTCGTGGTTGTAGTGGCAGAGCAAGGCTTGTCTGATGCTTTTCGGGCCGTTAGTGGTTCTGGCCTCAGCCATAACGGGTCAATCTTTACCTCCCGGGAGTTGTGAATTTTGTGCAATAACAAGGCTACTACTTCATACTTTTGTCATTGTGAAGGGCCTAAAGAGGGGAAAGGTGTTGGTTGCTGATCGAGGGAGACGGATTGCGCGAGTCGAACAGACTTTGCGTCATCCTGCACCGGGCATCGTGGAGATGGTGGGGCGCCACACCAACGCCACAGGTCCGCCCCGCCACCACGTTACGCCTTGGCTTGTCTGCGACCAATGACACGTGCTGACGCCACATGTCATCGGACCCGCTGACCGGGATTCTTCCAAGTATCGAATTCCTGGCCGGGTCTGATCAATGCGCATCTTCTGCCCAAAATCTTGGTCAAGAGTACCGATCGATCTTCATTGGGGACGTCTGCATCTTCGATCATGGCGCGCACAATCCCGCTGCTTGAAGCACGGAAACGCAAGCCCAGAGGTAGGTCGACCTAGAACCGGTCTGGGGAAAATCAGACCCTGGCCACGATGATGTCGTTGTTGCAGCCTCCTGCCCCGAATGCCTTTTTCCGACCTCGTTCTCCCTCGTTTCATCACCACCCTGCTCACCGTACCAGTTTCCTTCTGGCTCTAATCTCAATCTCACCCTCTTGAACACCTGCCTTTCCCTCTTTCCATATCTGCTAACATTACTTCCTTTCCGTGACTTATCTCCCTCTTCCGTCACCTTGTGGTCACCATGTCGGAGCCACAGCAAACACCCACACCAGAGAATACGCCCGGGGGAAAGAAGCCGAGTCGGCCGGGGCTAGAACGCAGCAACTCTGATCAGTCGACGACGAGCGCGGACGACCAGGGTTACGAGTCACGCTCCAGATCTCAGTCCCGACGACGGAGACGACAGAATCAACGACAGAGGCAAGCCCAATCCCGAGCTCAGGCGGGAAATGCTTCTGCAAAATCCATGGCGTCAATCGATGAAGGGCCAGAACCCCAGCAGCAGCAGCAGCAGCAGCAAGTCGCGAGACGGGCACAGCCGACACAAGCTCACCCAAGTGAACAGCAACAAAACCCGCAGTGGCTGCAAAACCCCGATCCTGTAAGTTTCTGATGAGACCCAGGACATCTTTCCAGACGAGTTTGTGTTCTCAAGGCTAACAACATTGGCAGCGGGATATCACAGAGTTCCAACCATTCGAACGAATCAAGCCGCCTTCGCAATCCATGGCAGGCCCGGTAACATATGCACGCATGATCCGTGGGGAAATCCCATGGCGAGGTCCTCCACCATCTCAGCCCTTAGAAACTGCACGACCCATCGATGCAAAGGATAGCAGCGGGAAAGATCCCATGGACCAAGAGTACGTATCCCAGAACACCATGTTACGGGTGACAATATGTCCACAGGACTAACGCGGAAACACAGTGGCTTGAAGCTCCGATTGGAGTTGAACCTCGACATTGAAATTGAGCTCAAGGCCAGCATCCACGGTGATCTAACATTGGCACTACTGTGAGTATAATCCCCAAACCCCGATTGTATGGACAATTTGGTCCTAAAGGCTAACGAAGGAATTGATCGTCAGGGCTTGATTTATCGCTACCAAAAGTCAAGCTGCCCAAACCCAAGCTTCCCAAGTTGTTACCGAAAGTCCCCAAACTACCAAAGTTACCGAAACTACCAAAGCTCCCCGAATTGCCCGACGCCGGAGGCCTTGCCAGGTTATGACGGAACATGGGAGAACAATGAGAATTAATGATGTGTTGGAGCAAGTTGCTATCTATTTTTTTCATCTCGTCGATCAACCATAAATGTTATGCCAAAATTTAGTCAGGACAATGGCGTTGGAGAGACTATGGCACGTCTGATTCCTAGCTGTACCTCTAAATGTACCATGCCTAGAACCTATTTTGCGATCTCTTGTCTCATCAACTCAGTCATTGAAAGTGTTCGCCCTGACCCTGACCCTTCCAGAACTGAATCGGGCTGCCAGGGCTCTTGCCCTCAGGCTCATCGTGGATAGCGGTGTTGAAATCTCCGAACTCTCCTCTCGCACGCTTGACCACTCTCTCAATTCCGTCCATCCCCATCTTCAGCTGCTCCATCTTGGGACCGTAGCTGATACGAACAAAGTGATGGCAAGGGCTGTCGAAGAGATCACGTCGCTTGGCTGGGTTGAGGTCGAAGAAGATTCCCGGCACTACGATGGTTCGCTCTTGGAGCTGCCGACATCCGTTAGCCAGTAAGAACTAGGACAGATATCACAGCAATGGTTTGGCCAGACAGGAAACAGTGTCCAAGAAAGCAGGGATCATACCAGTGCGTCAAAGAATGACAGTCCATTAGAGATGTCAAGCGGACTGTTCTTGGGCAACGGAGGTTCCAGCGATGCCAAATCCAACCATATGTAAAAGGTCGACTGCGGAATGTTCTGGTCGCCCCATCTGAACCCGATCTCTTCGAGTCTTTTGAGGACGTAGTCTCGCTTCATCTTGAAGTGACTTTGAAGGGCTTTCATTTCAGCCTTGACTTTCGCTTTTGTCACATACATGTTAGTGATGTCGTAGAACACGTTCATGACGAGAGGTTAAGCTTATATTTTCGTTTCGGTCATCAGATCAGGTAAACTCACGAGGGTCGAGCATCGGAACGGCAGCCTCTTGAAAAGGTACATTGCAGCCACCATCGAGATAGCTTCCACTTGAGCTGAGCGCCTTGATAAATTCCTTCGGACCAACAATCCAAGCGACGCGCCAGCCTCTGATTTTGACATTAGCACCCGAAGGTGGTTTTGGGAATGGTAGGGCATTGTAGCCTTCAAGCCTAGTACAATATCACGGGAGACTTACGGGAGTCTGAAGCGTTTTGTGAGACCGTCAATTAAGATCACGTCGTCTCGATCAACGTCAATCTGTCAACCACTTGTGAATAAATTTCTTGTCATCAACATCGACCTTATGTCAAAGGTGGTACTTACAACATTAGACGCAGCAGAGATGGTGCTCCCATCGCAGTTGGAGTCGTATCTGATGTTCGTCAGCGATAAAGATTCATTTTCGGAAAAGACCGAATTTCAAGGAGCAATGCATTCTCAATGCAAGTGCGGGATTCAAGCTATCATTACCTGTAACCAGCGTAAAACTCATCAAAGATCAATGTTGCTCTGTCCCGGCAAATATCTTGGATCAGGGCGAGCTCTTCGGGAACCAAAGCATGGCCAGTTGGGTTACGAGGATTCGAGGTTAAGATGACACTGGTACCGCGCGCCAGCTCGTCGGCGATTTTGTCAGCATGGCTAGGTCATTGTTAGATTCAGATGCCTCCTTTAAGAGATGGACTCCTGTTTCTCGCAGACTTACATATGGTACCCGTCAGCAGCAGAAAGAGGCGTGGGTATAGCAACAAAGTTGCGAAATAGCGACAACATCTGTGAAGGAACGTTAACTCGTGTTGCATGGATTCGACTTCATTCCGACATCGTTACCTCGTTGTAGGCCGTATAATCGGGAATGAAAAAGCCGAGATACGCATTGCCCAATACAGCAGCGATTCTGATCAAACCTGCTCTTCCTCCTGGCACAATGCATACATTCTCCCACGAGTACTGGCTCTCTTTGCCCTGGCGGTAGTTGTCATCTTTGCGTACCCTCAGATTAGCATCAGTGCCGATAAATTGAGAGAAGGTGTCTGCGCATCACAGCCTTGAACTGATGAGGTCTGGAGGGGGAACGTACTATATAACTTTGCAACGGCGGCTCGAAGAGGCTTGATGCCAGCCGTTGGCCCATATTCTCGTCCATGGTTGGTCAATGGGATCGAAGTTGGGCGAGGAAAACAGCCGTCCTGCGGTCATGTCATATCAGTACCTGAGCAAGCCTAATTCATTGTCGTCTCTGATAGGGATGGGCCGACAAGATGTTGAATGGCACTTACAATATCATCGTCGACTTCAGGTGCACCTTGACCTAGATTGGCCCACTTCTGCGGCTCTTCGAGAAAGCCATGGCGCGCTGCTTGTTCGGTCGTCCTTTCTCGACATCAGACATTAACTTGTGGAGAAAGAGGAGCGCGGTCACTCACCATATGACACCAGTCGAAGCTCTTGAGCTGTCAAGCGCGGCATGTGGTTTGTGACTTGGGTGGTCCCGGAGGGTTCGGTGCGGAGCAGAGACGTTTTCATCTTCAGGATGGATGGAGAAGCGGCGACCATCTTGGCTCGCGTGCAGGGCCGACCTGAGGGTTGAAACTCGTCTTGCTGAGAAGCTCATTGTTGGCTCAGCGGGACTTGGACTTGCTTGGCTCTGTGGCTACGGGGGCCCTGGGGGCTCAGAAGGTGGTGGAGGAGAAGGGCAGGGGAAATCCGTTTATGGCTAGATATTACCTTGTCATGCCCATTAGTTAAACGAAGGCCTAGAGAGAGCTTGACAAACACTAGGATAGGTACGCTGTTGGTTGAGGAATCGTGACCTTCTCTATGTGAAGTGAGCCGTGAGAGTGAGAGTGAGAGTGCATTTCGCAATGGGAAAAGAAAGGAGCGAAAGTTGTCAATGTCAATGGCAATGGCAGCGCCCATGCGGCGTGCAGCGTCATCGTCTCCTGGATGGATTCAAAATGCCTTGATTGTCTGGCTAATTTTTCCTGCGGGCGCAACGTGTCCCTCTAAACACATCAACAACTGGTTTCGCAAAGGCAATACTTAACCACTATTCGACAAATACCGGGTGGCACTCCTTCTAGGGCTTGCTCAGGTCATCCCGCACCCACCATTGACTCCTTTAGGAACAACATTCAGCCCGCTGTCGCCAACCGTTCAATGGCAATATGAACTTCTCGATTACGATCTCTCAAACGACACTTTGTCCCTGAGGCAGTGTGGCAGTGTGGCAGTTTGAACACTCGAAAGATCCTGGATGTACCCCGCCTTTGAGCATGAATGCTGACTGCGACCAGCTACTCGGTACCTCTTATTCTGCCCAATGGAACGATGGAGTTTCGACAGCTCGGTGGATGCCGAGATTCAGCCAATAATGGAGATGTCCTCATTTTATCGGCTGGTCATAGGGCGGTAGGGTCAGACATCGAAGAAGGATACCTTGAATGCATACTCAAGGATGAGCCTCGATTGAAACAACCGAACTGACACCTTTGCTTGCAGCCTGCGCAAAAGTCATAAAATTGTCGTGAGCAGGAGGTCAATCTACCCTACTGATTTCTCTCCGCCATGGGACCAACGCTCCATGACACCCTCATTTCTTTCAGAAAGGGATACGCCGCCGCGAACCCCAAGTCTCGTCAATACCATGAGGAAGCCTGCAAATACATGCCAGGCGGGAACACGCGGACAGTGCTACACCTAGATCCCTTTCCGTTGACCATCGACCATGGGCACGAGTGTTACTTGACAACCGTCGACGGGAGACGCTATACCGATTTCCTCGGCGAGTATACTGCAGGCATATACGGACACAACCATCCTGTGATAAGACAGGCGATAGAGGACGCAGTGCAGGGTGGCTGGAACTATGGAGGTTGTAACAAGCAGGAGCCGGAACTGGCAAAAATCGTATGCGAGCGGTTTCCTGCAATCGAGCTGGTCAGGTTTGTCAACTCGGGCACGGAAGCCAATATGATGGCACTTGCTACTGCACTGGCTTTCACTGGGAAGAAGAAGATCCTCATTTTTAATAAAGGTAAGGCCTGCGCTCTTCCACATCAGAGCCTTTTTTTGACCGCTTCCAACTCCAGGATATCACGGATCGACCATTTCAGGACGAACTGCCTCGAACAAACCATCTATCAACCTCCCACACGACTTCATCGTCGGCACATACAACGACGTCCAAGGCACTGAATCGCTCATCAAATCTCTGCCTAAGGATTCACTCGCCGCGATTTTACTAGAACCCATGCTCGGGTCTGGGGGTTGTTACCTCGCAAGCAGCGAATTCCTGTCCACGCTCCGCCGTCTGGCGACCGACCACGGGGCGCTCCTGATCTTCGACGAAGTCATGACTTCGCGTCTTCACTACCACGGCCTCGGTAGCCAGACGGGCGTCACACCAGACCTGATGACACTCGGCAAGTGGGTCGGCGGTGGAATGAGCTTTGGAGCATTTGGGGGCAGGAGGGACATTATGCAAATGTATGATCCGCGCGACGGCGCACTTCAGCACCCGGGCACCTACAATAACAACTGCTTCACGATGAGTGCTGGTGTGGCGGGCTGCAAACTCTTGGATCAAGCGAGAATCAACGAGCTGAACGCACTGGGTAACGGTATGAGGATGGCGATTGAGACCGTTTTGTCCAATCGCGGCGTCTTACAAGGATGTACCATCCCATCTAGCCCAGTGACAGACGACATGCACACTGCAGGCCACCCGCAGCGGCCGCCAAAGATGTTTGTCAAAGGCAAGGGAAGTCTCTTGACCATCCAATTCGCGGGCCCCGCGGCCGCTGACTTCCAGGAGCTCTTCTATTTCTGGATGCTGGAGCGAGGCTTCTACATTGCCCCCAGGGGATTTATCGCGCTCAACATCATGCTGACGGAGACAAGTGTGACCAGCTTTGTGGACGCTCTTGACCTTTTTGCCGCAGAGTGGCATCATGAATTGCTATGGTGAATGAATGGGATGAATTCATTGTGGATAAAGCTCTCGAGAGCCAGCCTATGCATGTCTTATTCCGCCATCACATAAGTATGGCACTTGATACACAGGAAAGATGAGGCTACGAAGAAGGACAAAATCTGCCATGTGCCGCCTTTCAAGAAGCACGAGGCTACCGTATGTAGAAATCTTCAATACCAATCACGACTACTAGAAGACTTCCTCGACTCTTCTCATTACTTGCTCTCCCACCTCGTCATATTACTGCTTGGAACTATGCTCACCGAGTCCCTTTTACTACCCCACCCAGCAGCGATCTCTGTGTCCGAAAGGGGGACTTGCACTCCGGTGAACCGCACCTGGGTCGACAAGACTAGGTCGATACCAGAATTCTCGCGAAATGCCAACCATCTGACCATGCACCATCCCATTATAAGACTTTCTCACACATCGAAAATACTAAAAATCAACTCATCTCGATTTCACATCGAAGAGACAATCGTCTTGACAACATGTCCGTGACACCACCTGCTTCATGAATCCCAAGACACCTCAACTTGAGTATCCCTCTCCTGTGGATCGACAAAGGTGATGGAACAACATGCTTCATTTTCCGCAAAGAGAGGGAGAAGCCAGGTGGTTGTTCCATCCGTGCACGTACATGGGTGGACAAAGCAGGGCCCCTGAGAGTCAGGATGTTGTGCACCGAAATGAAGAAATAAATAGACTTCCGATTCCGTAGGATGTATATAGTCTGGCTGCCTCCCCAGCCTTGTATTTTCGCAATGAGAGGGGGGTTCAAGATCAAAGAGTCCAAGACTCCAGAGGCGTGTAGCTCAAGCAAAGATCAGAGCTCCTGAGAGTGAGTCTGCGGACCGACAAAGGTGGATGGACAACATGCTTCGATTTCGCTACGAGACAACAGCATGCACCTGGTGTGTGAACAACCCCCCCTGTGCCGTCCAGGTGTCCGCCTTCACAAAAAAATCCAAGAGAGGAAGGGAGGGATGGCTTTTACGAACCGACAAAGGCACTCTGGGCGCGAGCTGGATTTTCGAAGGCCAGAAGACGACAAGCTCTGTTATCACTGTCTCTGCCTCCATCAATGATTCTAGCTGAATCTCACTGGAGCTATGAGATCCCTGATCGACGACTTGATGGATCTACGTGAGTAAATGATGAACTAAGGTCGCTATCGCTGTCACTGTCGATGTCTTTGCTGAAGCGTCCAGCCAGCTGTGTGTGCTCCAGGAATGCTTGATTCAGGGAGTAGTCTCGCGAGCCGACAAACGCGTCGTCACCGCAATTTTGAATTTTGTTGAGGAGCGACGAGTTATCGCTGACAGACTGCCAGCACGTGAGAAGGTCACTGTCGCCACCGCTATGGAGCCATTCCTTCCAAAGGACAGCATGATAGAGAGAACGATGGGTATATACCTGACCGCCTGCTTGTCTCTCTCTCGTCCCATTGTGTATCTAGAGTTAACATCTTTGTCTGGTTGATCTGTTTGTCTCTCTCTCGGTGCAGGACTCAATCCTCAACGACAACACCAACTCATAGCTCACCCCTATCGTAAAATCAAACATGCCTACTTGATTCTGTCGATTGCATATCTCCTTCCGTCCGTTTCCGTGGATCACCGTGAACGTGACCATTTCGTTGCTTGCGTTTGTTTAAAATTCTCGATTCTGACCATCGACAAACAGGTCTTCAGGAATGTATATTTGTATCCCTTGCAACCACCTACCGACAAACAAAAGACAACGAGTCTTGCTGTCTCGAAGAGGTTGGGAAAAAGCACCATACTCTCAGATAGAAACTTGGTTCATTTCACACTCAAAACATCGACAAAACCAGTTGTCACCGACGTCCTCGCTTGTGCCATCAAGTGTTCGGCTAAAATATACAATGAGCACCGTCCTTGGATCCCCTCAGCGACCTTCATCGCAGACAACCGCTCAGGCAAATGCAGTGCCAAAGCCCTTTGAAGTCTTGCTTGCCATTGGCAATATCCTCATCTGGCTCCTAGCGGCCTATGTGATCTACCTTCACATTCGAGCAAGATGGGACCTCGAGGCCCGCTATCGCGCACGCATCCAGGCAGAAAGACTGGCCCGGCGTGAGGCAGAGAAGCAGTTGAGACACCCTGTGCGTGCAGAAAGCCGAGGACACAAGCGCAAATTGCGACAGATCCAAGAGAGGTCGAAGAGGATCAGGATTGGAAAGATGAGATGTTGGACTGGCACGGTGAGCTGGAGGATATGTCGCTCAGAGGGATAGAAGTCGACGCAGACACCGAAATCGAGGCACGAATGGAGATCATGGAGATTCCCAACCGGCAAGAATTCGAGCGAGACAATGGGCAATTGTGGAGATGGTGAAGAACTGGCGCTACTCGCTGACGACAGTCGTCACTGCGAGTTCGTGTTGTGGCGGCTCACCAAGTGCTGATAGTTGAGGTACCAAGCGTTCAAACTCGGAGAGCTCTCGGGCTGGAAATTTACGGCTTTCGAATTCGTGGAAGGTGTGAGAGAGGAGATCATCAGTCTGCGGTGCGAGGAATTGCTGAAAGGCGTCGAGAATAGCACTCCAAGAGCTGGAAGAGGCGCAGTGTACACTCCAACAGAGAATGTGTCGTACTCTGCTCTCTCCCAAATGCGGTATGCAGGATGCTGTCCGTCAAAGGGCCTCGCTAACCTCCATGGTCCATGGTCCAAGGAGTTGCTGAGAGATCAATCATAAACATAGCTGATCTGATAGGCGTCAATCCCAGCTCAATGCTCCATTCCGAAGCAGGTGCGAAGACCACGGCCCCGTCTGCCATGAGCAACGCGTCATGGGAATCTCTCGATAGGATCATCACCGGCCCCAAAACCATCCTTTCTGTTTGCCTCCTTCTGTTTGTCTCTTGCTCTCTTCAAGTTCCTTCTTTTTCCTTTCAGCCTCTAGCCTCTCCTTTTCCTCCTGCCGTCTGGTCAACTCAATCACCTCCATCCTCCGTCTCTCGACGGCAGCAAGTTCCTCCTCCTTTTGCTTCCTTCTTGCCAAGATACCCTGGAACCATTCTTCTCTTGCGGCATCTTCCTCGGCCTTTGTGGCGTATTGAATCATACAGCTGTTCATGGCCAGATGCTGTTCGCGGCAGGTCCAGGCGACGCTGATGGTGCGGCCGCGGGTGCAGTCGGCAAAGTCTTTGATCACATCGGCGCATCTGGTGCGGACTCGTTTGTGAAAAAGATTGCGGACCTCGGCTTCTTGCGAGGCGGATAGAGGAAGGGGATTGTGCAGGTTGTTCTGAGGTTGTGGTCTGCCGATGGTCGGTGTTGGTTGCTGTGTCGCTTCGGGGATGATGGACGGAGCCATCTCCATTGTTCTTCCGGTGTAGTATATGAGTAGGAGGCTAGATGAATGAGCCTAAAGGTCAAATTGTGATGTATTCATGACAAGTCTGAGCAGCGTGATTGAGGTGGTCAATGGTGAGCAAATAAATTGATCTGCAGAGCTCGAACAACCTCGAGGAGCAGGTGTGGAGAAAGCTACGGATGCGGACTCGCAGTGTACACGAAGTTTCCCCAAATACCTCTAATATTTTTTGTTTGCCATACACAAATCGCTGTTCTTCTACTCCCTGCCACCCCTTCTTCAACCTCTCTCTCGTCCTCTCGAGACCGCAAGCACAATGTCGTCTCTCCGCAACGCCGTCGCTCGGCGTCCACACAAGGAACGCGCGCAGCCGGCCTCCCGCGAAAAATGGGGTCTGCTCGAGAAGCACAAGGACTATTCCCTCCGAGCGCAGGACTATAACCTCAAGAAGAAAAAACTGGCCCAGCTGTCACAAAAGGCCAAGGAGCGCAACCCGGATGAATTCGCCTTTGGCATGATCACCCAGGGAAGGGCGGGGTTGGGGAAACACAAATCCAAGCAGACTGGTGGGGATGATGAAGATGGGAACAAGAAACCGAGAGAAGGTGTTCCATTGAGTCACGACGCGGTCAAGTTGTTGAAGACACAGGATGCTGGGTATCTGAGGACTGTAGCCGCCAAGGGCAGGAGGGAGATCGAAAGATTGACGGAAGAGGTGGGCATGGACAGCGTCACCCGCGGAAAATCGAAGCCAGCCACGAGGAAAACATTTGACAATGACGACGATGACGAGCCTGAAAAGACGACCAAGGGAAAGAAAAGAAGTTGGATTGGAGAAGTTCTACAAGACCAAACTGGGGCGGGTGAAGCAGATCAACCAATGCACGATGTGGAGATTTTGGCGGCAACAACAGTGATCCAAGTCCCTGACGACAAGGACAAACCCCCAAAACCCAAATCCAAGAAAGCCCTCCTAGCGGAACAAGACGCCCTGAGTCGTTTGCGTGCCGAGCGTAAAAGGAGGAAACGCCTTCAAGATATGCGGGTGGCAAAGCTCGAAGCCTTGAAAACCCGGCAGCGGGAAATCCTTGCCGCTGCTGACCAGCTGGAGTTACAGCGGGCGAAGATGGCAAGGACGGTGGGTGGAGTGAACAAGAACGGTATCAAATTCAAAGTTAGAGAAAGAAAGAAATGAGAGAGGGAAAAGTCCATTTTTGTCACGACACAAAAAGAAAGAGCCATGGAAACGAGCAATGATATCTAATGAGGGCCTGATATTTCCTCTTTTGCGGGACAGAGTCGACAGGCACTGTTCTATGTCGAGCAACGCCGAACACTTGAATGCTGCTGCTTCACACACCCGCCGCCACAGCCTGGGTGATGACCTTGCTGAAATCGGCCTCTCTGCCCAGTAACCAACTCATTCCCTCGACCTGTTCCTGACGGAATTTTTTACTTCCCTCCAAAAAGGGGAAGAATCCCCAATGCCCGTGCGGCAGACCAGGGTAGACATACATCTTGGTCTTGACCCCGTTCTCCTCTCGCAGCACGCGCTCATAAATGATGCCCTCGTCTCTCAGCGGGTCCATCCCGTCAATCTGGAATAGCGCTGGCGGGAGGTCTTTGTGGCCTTTAGGATGGTTGAAGGGAGCGTACCAGACACCGTCAGTCTGATCGGGCGCATACCCGCGCATGAACATGTCTATCGCCGCAACAGGCAGGACTGATGCATTTTTGTTCTGCTCGTACGATAGGTAAAATTCTTTGTACTTATCTGGGATCTCGTTTGCCGGCAGCACTGCAGGAATGGCAAGGTACTGGCCGGTCAAAGGGGGAGACAATTTCTCGTCTCGCGCCACATGAGCCAGGACAGCCGTGATATTTCCTCCGGCTGAGGTGCCGCCAATGACAAAACCAACCGACGGATCGGCGCCCCAGGACTTTGCATTGGCCGCCGCCCATTTCAAGCAGTCCCAGGCGTCTTTGGGCGCATATGGAAATTTGAACTGTGGTGCAAGCCGATATGAGGCTGAGATGCAGACGGCACCGAAGGCCTGGACAAAGTTGCGACATGTCTGCTCCTCGCCCTCTGGCGCGCCAATGCAGAACCCACCGCCGTGGTACATTACGATCAAGGGGCTGCCGTTTTTGGGAGGGTTTGTCGGTTGATAGAGCTTTGCCCGCAGCTTGGTACCGTCCGCCGTGGGATATTCCAGCTCAGACTGCTTGACTTCCGGCGGAGACGGGCCCAAGAGCTTCATGGCATCGGCGTTCCGCTTGTCCACCATGGCCTTGAAGTCGTCAAGATTGCTATAGTCCGGTGGGGGTAAGTTTGCTTTTTCAAGAAACTATTTCAATTCTGTCAGAGGACGCCCCGCGAAAGACTTCTGTTCGTCAGACAAACCGCTTTGAGCTCGGGGTCTATCTGCCCCAGGGAGAGAAGATATTCTTTGTCTGTGTACGACATGATGTCTGCTATGAATATCCTCGGATATCAGGCCAGGAGGATTTGAGTGGTTGAAATTGCAATCGAATTTTTTTTTTTTTTCGTGAGACCGATGGAGCTATAGCAGTCCTCTTTGTATGTAATCTGAAAGAATATGACCCTCGGCGGGACGCCTCTTAATTTATTATTTCGTACTCGGTACCATTCTCACGGTGTTCAGTCGCGGGGCACAAGAGACTCGGGAATAACCGATGGCGCAGAAACACTCCAACTGACCTCGGCTTTTTGCCTTATTCGAGGTTCTCGACATAATAGGAGTAAAGGCAACAATGCGGGGGATGTCGTCTTCTTGTACCAACTACTCGTATATCTCGGTGCGACTCGGTATACACTTTGAGGTATCGATCTAGTAACCACAGATGACGATGAGGGTCCGTTCCTTGGTTAGCCTTTGTAGATGGATGACTGGACCAATAACTTGAGAACAGCAGCTGAACGCCCTGCCAGTCTTGTCAGCAAGTATCACAACCATCTTCGAGTCTCTCAGAGCGTGAAAGAGAGAATCCTCCTAATAGCGTGAATACGACTATTATGTGTTAGCCAACTCCAATGGCTTCACCACGCTGTAGGTACAAGCCTGTTTCGAAACATGTCGAAACGCGAATGAACCTAGGGGCGCGAGCAGAAGACATTGTGATTGGAGACAAGGGCACCCAGGGGTCTTGTACCTCGTATAAACTCTTCACTTTTGTGACTTTGATCTTCTCTTCTAGCTCGTTGGGTAAGTAAGATGCTTTCGTACCGAGTACATCTTAACCTTAACTCGGCCACGGCTTCCCACGCTGGAATGTTCATCTTACCGCCCCCTCTTCGTTCTCCGAATTCACTGTCACTTCATGGGATGCTGAAACATCATCGCGACCTGGGCTTACCTTCACGTGGGTATGTTCAACGGCCATCAACTGCCCGTTTCTCCAGCTCAAATCTCCCGACTTCAAATCCTCCCAGTACGAGGTAGCGTACGATCGACTCGTAGGACCGAGTACATGATGGGTGTGCCCGTGTCAGACCCGATCGACGGTGCCAGCCTCCTCTCATTGGTCATGATCTTCTGATCATCCCCAGGCAGATGATGCGACGACAAGTAGGGAGGAGCTTGGCCCTGACAGTTGTTGTAGCACGGCAAGCCACCAGATTTCTAGCCGCGAGCGACTAGAACAATCTTGGTAAAGTCGTTAGGACTGGCCACTCTCGGGGAAAAGAAGTGTGGTAGCCCGGCTGGAGCGACATCCCAGGCAGCTGGGCGCCAACTGCGGTTTCGGCGGAGCTTCGTCGACTCGATCAGGGAAGGGCGGACAGTTTGTGGCACTGTTTAGGTAAGGCTGGTGGTGCTTTGGCGATGTGAACATGGCGGCGCCATCCCGCGGGAATGGGTCAAGGATGGGTTGAGGGGCGTTCCATTGTTTTCCAATCGTTCGAGCACAGCACCGGTAGAAAATATCAACAGGGGTATTCAGGGAGGCGAGCAGGGGTGGAGTTTGGGGGAGAAGGAATTCCCAGTGGGAAAGTGATTTGCGAGTAATACGGGGGGTGATGGGGGCTGAGGAGAGGAGAAGCAACGGGCCGTGTCGAGTCGAGTTGGAACGAAGGATGGAAAACAACGTTGATGAGAGAGACATCACTGCTGGACACAGTGTACTCTCGTACGAGTTTCTTCATATGTAGTGCGGGCGGTGGTACGGAGAGAGTAAAGAAGGAAAAGGCAGACCACCCATCACGCCTTGTCACATCTCATTGCGGTTTGGTATCGATCTGGTCTACCTGCTTCTGGAGATTCTGGAGACTGCGCAAGTCTGCATAGTCTGTAGTCTTGCATTTGCACCTGCGTCTGGCACCGGGGGCCCTTTCTTCTCAATTCTCCACATGCTCTCGCATCTCTGGTGTGGTTTGTGCGTGTGGGCTGCTGCTCTCAAAGACCGAAAGCTATTTCCGCTCTGCCTTTGCTTCTCGTTTCCTGTTTCTTTCCACACACCTCAATTCTTTTCTCCCACTGGAGCAGAAATCCCGCCACAACAGACCCCGACGTCTGCACATACGCACATCACACCCACCGCCACCCACGACGAGACACAACTTGACTGTCTGTGTCTCTTGGATCTCATTGATTTGATTGCTCGTACTGCTGTACGCCTGTACACTATTGAATCTGAGAAAATCCTCCCTGGGGGCTGTTCCTCTTGTCGCGCTTCCATCCCTTGCTCACATCCCATTGATTGGCTCTCTTTGCACCACAACCACCAACCACACCTCTCCCTTGCTACCGCCGCCATTGATTGAGTTGATCAACACCCAACAATAGCAGCCACACACTGGCTCGCGAGCCTCGTACTATCCCGCCTCCTTCGTGCGCTTTGTCGTCGTCCTATCGCTGTCACCTGTCTCCCTGTGGAACCTGGGGAAAGAAACTGTCAACTCGTCCTGCGCTGGTGGTATGAGCGTCCTTCCCATTTGCCTCCTTGCTTGCTGCCATTGCTTTTTGTCCTTCCTACAGACCTGACAGTCCCGTTTTAGATATCCCTCGCTATCGTCCTCGGCGCTGGTCCGCTCCTTGTTACTTCTCGAGACTCCCTGAAACTCGTCCACGATCTCTAAATCCAACCATAACACGCGCCTTCCAGGCATCTTGCACTGCACTTTCCTTCGGATTGAGACAGCCTCCTTTTACCCCCTCTTCGCCGCATCGACAGCTCGAATCCTCGATAACCTGATAACCGTGCTCTGATCAATGCGTCAACAACTTTGCCTTTGAACCAGGCACAACCTTATCCTGTTTTTAAGCGACACAAATTGCCGGGGCGACTATGTTGGCTGCTCCAGCGGTCATGAATGGTGACCATGGCCCAATGTTGGACAAAAACAACATCATAAACGTAAGAGACGGAGAATCGCTCTACCAAATATGTATCAAACTTCGGCGGCGCTTGTCCGGCGTGCCCGGGTTTCGCCCGTATCTCGAAGAAATGGAAGAGCGAGAAGCAGATGGTCTGACGGATCCAGTGTCTTCTCTGTGGCAGTGTTTCCGGAGTGGCTTACCGCTACTCACGATCTATAATGCTTCCAACCCAGAAGAAGGCGACCTCACCGTGGATACGAGTCGACCGGACAGAGTGGGCAAGGAAGCAGCATTTCTGTTCATCAAGTCATGCATGCAACAGATGAATATCCCTGCAGCTGACACCTTTACTGTTACCGATCTATATAGCGACAATACGACTGGTTTTGTGAAAGTCACAAAACTGGTGAACCGCGTACTGGATATGTTGAAACTGAGCGGCAAACTACACCCATCAACGGACAGTGAAGATTCCCGCGAAGGAACGGACGCCGGATCCAACGCTCCGGAGCAGGCGCCGAAGACAATGACGCGGCGACAATATATTCTAAGAGAACTCGTAGAGACCGAACGACAGTATGTTCACCACTTGCAGAACTTGCAAGCGTTGAAGAAAGAGTTGGAGGAAGTCGGCGCCTTGACTGGGGACGCCATCCACAACATTTTCCTCAACCTGAACAATCTACTGGACTTTGCGCAACGGTTTCTGATTCGCATCGAGCAACAGAATGAAATGCCAGAAGAGCAACAGAATTGGGGTCGGCTCTTTGTGCACTACAGGGATCCATTCAGGCAGTATGAGCCTTTCATCGCAAACCAGAGGAGATGTGAAGCCAGTTGCCAACAGGAATGGGACAAAATGGTTGCGACCGCAAGATCCCCATTGACCAAACAGATGCTTGCGAATCCGACCATCCTCAACGGATTCCTCCTCAAACCGTTCCAGCGGCTGACAAAATATCCTCTTCTACTGAAAGTATGTATGACTTGAATTACTTGAGACATCATTGCTGACCTCCTCAGGACCTGCTGAATCAAATAGAAGATCCAACTCTGAAATCGGATCTCACTAGTGCCATTGCCATCATTCAAGATGTGCTCATGCAAGCGGATGCTTCTATTGACAAGGAGACTCGAGATGACGCCCTTCAAGACCTGCAAGAGCGGATAGATGACTGGAAGCAACTGCAGATCTCCGCCTTAGGTGAACTCCTGCTGCTTGGGACGTTCAACGTCATGAAAGAGAGTGCGATTCGATCAGACGAGAAAGAGTATCACATCTACCTCTTCAGCCGGATCTTGGTTATGTGTAAGGATGTCAATGCCAACAAACCGAAGAATAGACTGGCAAACAACAAACCAGCTCTCAGTCTACGTGGCAAACCCAAGATGAATCTGAAAGGACGAATCTATTTTGCCAATGTCACCCAGGTCATCCCTACAACAAGTCCTGGAAGCTATTCCTTGCAAATTTCATGGAAAGGCGAGTCCGGCATCGAGACATTCAACATCAAATTTAAAAACGATGATACACTACAAAAGTGGCACAACTTGATTGAGACTCAACGGTCGGCTTGTATGCTGGAGTCTAAGACCAGAGGCATCTCGGAAACTCATCTTCTTTCCTTGCAAGGGGCGAACCTGGAAAACCCATATCTCGCACAAGAGGAGGACGATGATTATAACAGACTTTCTTCAACAACCTATGGCGGGACTGATGCAAACGGATATTCCGAATTTAACATGAGCAGAAATGCCTCGAGCACGAGTCTCAGGTCACGTTCCGCCACAGGAGGCAGTGGTGGCAGCGGCCCTCAGATGTCAGCGAACCGCATGCGGGTGCCCGCCGGGGAAATAGGCGCACTTTCATTGAATACTCGAGGCCTTCCCAGCGCATCTCCACATGAATTCAACGGTGGCTCGTATTTCTCTCCCATTGACCGAGATACCCCCCCAGGTTCCACAATCTCAGCGCGGTCCAGCTCCCAATCCGCATTTGCAGGTTATCACCGAGGGACTACTCCAGTCAGCGGCGGCATGTACCCTCCGGAGTCACATCGAAATACTGCTCCCGCTATGGCGCGAAACCCCAACGGACAAACCAGTGGAAACCCATACCTGGCAAACGGTCGAAGTCGAGGACAGTCATCTGGTCCAGCAATGCAAGTGCCTCGCATGCGGTCCGCGAGTAGTCCTGATGTGCACCCAATGGTTCAACAGAGTCGCAAGTATACTTCGACCGAGCATGTCCCAACTGTGCCGCCGATACCCGCTCACATGGCCAAGCAGATGGCTCCTCCGAGCAGGAGTCAGAACAATTCGCCCAACAACGCGCCTCCGTCACGAGGAAGCACTCCTCATCAGCAGTTTGGGCTACCCTCGGCGCCGCGGCCTCCCATGCCGGGTCATGGCTATAGTTATGATCCATCGTATAACAATGATCCCAGGCGACCTGGACATGCACCGTCACTATCACAAGGTCGGGCTTTCTCGCCTCCCATATCATCGCCCTCCAGCGATGGGGAACCATATATCCCCAGTCAGCTTAAAGCCAAGGTCTGCTTTGATGAGAATTATGTCTCGATGATCATTGCCAGCAATATTCAGTTCAGATCATTGGCCGATCGTATAGATGCGAAGCTAGCACGGTTCACGAATCATTCGATTGCCTCTGGATCTGTTCGTTTGCGTTATCGGGATGAAGATGGCGATTTCATTCTTATCGACAGTGACGAGGCGGTCCATGAGGCTTTGTTGGATTGGCGTGAGACGCAAGCTGCGAACTCGGCGAATCCGCAAAATGCAGAGCTATTGTTGTTTGCACATGCTACTCACGGCGAGTCCATCGTGAATGGTTGAGATAAACACACGATTCTGCGCAACACGCCAAATTCGACAGAACCAGGATTTCTGCAGTCGAGGAGTCTCCAGTTCCTGCTCATCACGAATGACCGAGTCAATCATAACGCGGTGGCGTTCCATCCTCACACCAGCATGTATACGCTCCAGTGAGGAGATTGATATGCTGCGCCGACTAATTACATCCCTACAAAATAGGGGCAAGAGTACACTGAGACGAGCTATGACGTGATGGGTTATGATGTTGGATATGGTTAAAGGAACAAGAAAATGCAATGGAGTACAGGGGAACGGCAATGCTATGGCGCTTCAAGATAGTGAAAGCCTATCGAGGCCAAGAGGGGGAATTCGTTAATAGGGGCGAGACTACTCGATCTCACTCATCGATATTCTATTGTCAGAAATTGGCAATATATTATCATCATCTCCTTTGTTGCCCGCTTTTGCTATAAGCCGAATGCTTCTGAGCTCACGGGAGCCATCTGTATCTCGTACTGACCTGCATATAAAGTTCCCTTGTAACACATCGACTTGACACACCGGTGATCGTCCAGATCCGCCAAATACCTGTAGAAGTTTCAAGACTAAGGCCCCTTTGGCCATCACATGTATCCTGACGGTTTAGTGGTTTGAGGCCCAGACAAGGAGATTGCGACACATTAACATGCACGTTCCCCATTAAATCATGATCAAACTGAAACCGGTGATCGATGATTGGTGATCGTCGGTCGGTGATGCAGGCACAGATATGCTAGACTAACTAGCTGGATAGGGAGGAAAGATAGCTATTTATTTACATGGTATTTAGCTAGTTCCATTGTTGTGGTGTTGAGATATAGAGAGGTAGATAGAGACACACACAGACATGTAGTCAGACAGACTAGTCGTTTGTGCCGCCGCATAGAGAGCTCATATGTGACGTTTGAGGGAGAGAAGGTACACAAAAGGAGAGAGGGAGAGGGGAGACAGAGGCAGAGGCAGAGGCAGAGAGATTGCAGACATATGGTTGAAGGAGAGGAGAGCAGAAAATGGAGTAAAATGATGATGGATGACGGGTAATGCAGCCAATATCCATGACCATCGTCACCATCACAACTTCTCGTCCCTGTCGAAGCGATGTTGCACGTCGACGACGGTTTCGTCGCCGCTCCGACGGCCGTTGGAGCCCAGCAGCCGGCCCTGGGCGTCGTGCTCGCGGTCCCACGCTTCCAGCTGGTCCAGGGGCACCTTGACGAGCTTGTGCGTGACCTCGCCGCCGTCGAGGAGCACCTTTTCGTGGCGGATGCGGTAGCCCCGCCAGCGCGGCAGCAGGTACACCCACAGCAGGTAGTAGGCGGCGCAGGCGACCAGGATGCCGATGCCCGTCACCACGTAGGTCGCGTACCAGAAGCTGACGTCGCCACCCGTCGCGCCCCCCGTTGGTGGATACCACGGCATGATCAGCATGTACAGGTTGACGGCGATGGTGAAGAGGACGGCCACGTGCCACGCCTGGAACCGGTACGCCTTGGATGGCGGCGGCACGTTGAGCCGTCGGCGCTGAGCCCGCACAAAGTAGATGCCCACGGCCATGAGGAAGTTGAAGAAGGAGCTTGGGTAGTTGGCCAGGTCGACGACAAAGTTCTATACCCAGAACAACAAGAGAGGGACGATTTGGTCAGCCAATTGTTTTCCTTTGAGGGATTGAGTCTCGGTTATGAGTTCTGTCAGGAGGGTTGACTTACGAAAGCGTCGCCCGCGGGAGGCGCAAGGATCATCAGCATCGTCAATGCCCATTTCACCGAGTAAGGTCCAAGAGGAGTGCCGAACGGTCGAGTGCTGACCCAGAAATCTGGGAACGGGAGGGTGCCCTGCCTGTGCACGGAGTTAGTACACCAAAAGAGACAGCCTTGGGTTTCTTATTCAAGGGACATCGAAACATACCGACCACACTCTCTGATCAGTCTGGACTGGCCCAACAATACCGCAATCAAGTTGCCAAATGCGCTCAGGGCGATCAGGAAATTGAGACCCCTGACGGCTCCGCTTGACCCAAAGACGTGCTGGAAGAACAGACTGGCGGCGATCTGCGACGACTTGACCAACTCTTCTTTCGGGACCGCCGAGAAATAGGCGATGTTGGCCAGCATGTAGAGCACGGCGACGATGAGAAGCGAGAGGCCCCCCGAGTTGCGAATGGAGCGGACCGGGTTCTTGACTTCATTCACGACGTTGAAGGCATTCTCATAGCCGGCGTAGGAGAAGATGATTTTCACCAGGGCATTTGTCACGCCGTATGCCGAAGTCGAGGCCCCTTCAAAGCTGGAGAATGCGTCGCGGAAGTTGGCATGGGGATCTGGCACTCGAGAGACGTTTCCGCCGAGGACTACCAGGCCGGTGATGGCAACAAAGACCAACGTCAGCAGTTTGACGACACCGATGGCGTTGGAGATATGGTAGGACCACCTGGTTGAGAAGGCCACGAAGAGGAATGCCACAGTGTATCCGGCGACGGCCACGCCTTTCAGCTCCCAGGCCGTGGGGGTAGCGCCATTGATGCGATACAGATACTGTGCGAGGACGATGGCATTTGAGGAGCTGAAAGAGAGCAGCACGGACTGAATCGCAAAGGTAACTGGGAAGAGGTATCGAGGGCGCGGGTAAGCCTGTTCCAGGTAGACGACTTCGCTGCCGGATCGGTTCGGGAAGTAGCTCGCGAATTCCAGATAGACGGATAGAGAAGATCCAGCAATGATGAAGCCAAGAAACCAGTAGATCAGAGCAAGCCCGACGCTACCTGTGCCCTTGAGAATCGACGCGGGGGTCGAGTAGACTCCAGTACCGACCATCTTGGAGAGGTTGAGAAACAGAATGGTGACCTGGCCGACATGATAGCCCAGAGGCGAACGCGTCTCGACGGGAGCCCCCGACACCTCCTGGTAAGATGGCTCGTTGCTGTTCTCCCCCTTTTCGATGGCATACTTGAGATTCCCTTCCGCGAGGAAGGTTGTAGAGTTGAGATCGTTCTGCTCGTGGACAAGGCTCGGAGGGTCGGTTCGTTTCCACTTCAAGGAGACCATCTTGTCAATAATAGATCAAAGTATATTCCCCGGGAGCGGAACGGTACGCAACTGGATCTCGCGCAAGAGAGGACAAGTCCATGATCGGGTTTTCTTATATGCCATTCTCAGGTCGCCGCCCGTGGCAAAAGAAAGTCCTCACGCAATCGCATGGCGCGACATACCTGGAGCATTTCCTGAGCTGATGGCGTTGTTGATGTTGCAGCACATGCACGATGCACGATTGTCGTGCTTGACCAGGGGTATGGCGTTGTTAGACATCCCACTTGATCCCAGTAGCAGATGCCATCCTCGGCGTGGATCATCGTGTGCTCTAACGACGTGCCCAGCGTAGCAGATGGTGCAATATGCCAGCATTTGATCCTCCTGCCCCCCAATGATCCTGGCCAAGGATGCCCATCTACTATTTTACAAGGAATAGAATGCATGGAGTATAGAAGATGGACAATGCACAAGAGCAGTTATGCGCGGCAGGAGGAAGTATGAAACCTCACGTTCTCTCTCCAAATCATCCTATGAACAAGGTATCGCCGATTTGCCATGCGCTGGAGGGAGGCCAATGGCCGATATCTATTGAGTGGCCTTCTGGGATCCATTGCTAGCGCTTCGAACATATGGGTCCAAGGGAAAAACCTGCGTGTCTGGGGTGACACCATGGTACAGTTGCGCCCACTTAGGTTGCAAGGCATTCGGTGTTTCCCAGCAAAACTCTGGGTCGCGAAGCCAGAGGCGAACGAGGTGGCGTCTGGCGACAACTGTTAGTACAAGATGCTCAGGTAATCAACTAATGAGTCTTACTGCTGCTCCTCCGTGTCCTTGAACCCATCACGAGCGTGGAAAACTGCCAAATTGTTTACGTACTGGATGTCACCTTGCTGAAAATCCAGTTCAACGTTGAAGCGTTCTCCCAGAAAATGAATCGCATCTAGAGCTTCAGCTTGTGCTTCAGTGATCGGAGGGATTGCTGTTGACCGGGGCAGGGCACCAAAGCCCGTAAAATATCTTCGAGCATATTGCAAGATGATGCGCTCCGGGGTCTGGGTCGTAGCGGGTTGATAGAACAGAAGGGGTTTGGATATATATGGCTGCTCAGGATTTCCAAAGTTATCGGCAACCCAGTCTTGAGAAAGCGTCTCAATGAGATCTGGCCTATTTGCTGCCAGTTCATTGTAGACTCGCCAAGTGCTTGCCAATCTGCTTTTGCCCCCTTCTGCCGCGGGGCTCAGGCAAAACAATGAGACAATGTCGCCAGTGTCAGTGTGGAATACTTGCTTGTCCGCAGTGTAGGCGGGGGCCCCGATGCTAGCCCTCTCTTTGCTTGCGCTAAGGTCTTTGATATGACCGAGGACCACATCGGCGGGCTCCCCATTGTAGCGGCTGTCCTGGCGCGCTCTCAGAGGAGCAATGTGCGATGAAAGACCAGCATAAAGAATGAGGTTCTCCTCTCGAGAGTATCGTGTAACAGGAATACCCCTGACGACTTTGAATCCATGGCCGAAATGCAATTCGCGCGAGACACCTCGTAACTCCTCGTGTAGGGTTGGTAGAGGGAAAGTCTCTTGGTCAATGTAACCCAGAGGCTTCTTCAAGGCTATAACAATGTCAGTACACCTGCCACAGATACACGGCTGACTGACATTTAAAATGTGCAAGGGCATGTTCCAATTCCTTGATATGCTCAGGCTTCAACACAAATGTCCAATCGAAATCTTTTGCAATGGAAGCCCCGTCCCATACGAAGTCTGACTGCAATCGTCGTGGGAAGCCCGCAGGGAGGGTCTTGGTCGCAAGCGTCTTTTCTGTTTCAAGTCTGCGCTTGACCCGAGCTTCATACTTGTGAAAGTCGGGCGAGTACTGGATATCAGGCTGTCGCGTTGCTACTACCGCTGCCGCCGCCATGTTGACGATGTGATGCTGACAATATTGACTCTTGTCATGGACGAGACAGGTTTATATCGATGGGTTGAATGACGCCATCAAATCGGTCGATGGCGTGGCTCATATAGGCGGAGGTCGGTTTGATTCGGTATGGCCACCGAGAGTGAAAGTCAGCGTATAATAGATGGTGACCTTGGAGGCCTCCACATTGCGTTGGACCAGCCTGAGACCAGACTGTCTTGGTCTTGAGGGGTTTGTCGAGGTTGAGAGATGCTTTCGGGAGACTTGATGCCAATATGTGACTTTAAAGCAGCAAATACTCTAGCCCAAAAACGGCTAGATCTCAATGCGCTTCCCTGCGTCTCTGGATTTTCTCCCGCAGCTCGATGCAGTCAATCAATCACGAATTCTTCATCTTATTCCATCTCTCCAAATTTCGCTTAGGCAACCACAGAAACCCGCATTTCGACCAGCTAGCCACGGTCACGGCCGTCATTTTCATAAAGGGAGTGTAGCCATTCACGACCGAATAATTCCTCGACGTTGCGGTAGAAGCTCTTTCCAGACAGGCAGCCTTGGAAAATAATATCACTAGCTGAACTCGAACACAATGTCTGCATCTACCACTCCACGCGGTCCCCCTGACGTCTCGGCGATGAAGACGCGCATCATCACCCACATGAACGCAGATCATCAGCTTTCCCTTCGTCTCTACCTACAACACTACTCCCATGTCCCTTCGCCCGGTACTGCCTCGGCTCAAATGTTGGATATCACCACAGAACACATGATTATCTCGTCAGCCTACGGACGACATGTTATTCAGTTTGAGCCTCCCATGAAAAGCCTGATGGAAGCCCGGGAGAGACTCGTCACGATGCATGAACTCTGCCTCAAGCAACTAGATTTGTCTGCCATCGTGGTGAGCAAGTACGTGCCACCGGATCGGGTGTGGCAATGGGCGTTGTCCGGACTTTGTCTCTTGATTTTCACGACATTTCCTTTTCGCGAGTCCCTCAAGTCAGAGTCGGGATCGTGGATCTACCAGGTATGGAGCCTTGGTGGCGTAGCGCCCTGGCTGGCCGAACTGAGCTACACACTAGCCCCAGCGGTGCTAGGTGTCATGGTAGTTGTCCATGGCGGTGAGGCGGTGTGGTTCATTCAGAGAAAGTTGAGGCGCCACTGGGTAGAGTGGGGATCAGCAGCTTGGTGGTGCTGGGTCGTTGACTGTTGTATCGAGGGGTTTGGATCTTTTACCAGATTTGACCGGATAGTGAAGACCATGGAGATGGAGAAGAAGGGTGGTGGTCAGCATTGAAAGGATCGTGTTGGAGAGGACGGATATCTGACTGTCTGGCTGGGAGGGTGGGGTTTCTTTGGTCAAAGGGTCTAGCCGATGTGTTGTGTAGATAGGTTGGTATACTCGCTACTCTTATCGACCCGAGGATTACGCCAACGCATACATGACTTAGCTTTTTACGATCCCCTCCGGCGGTCCTGAACCCATGTACCGAGTATAGCTACCAGATATTGTCTTTCCCCAGCAAGGATCGGGGTCATGGGTGGGTGGTATGATACCGGGGGAATACCCCGCCATCCTCTCCCGCCGCCCTATCACGGACATATTCTGCCTGCCATCTGCCGATCGGCCCGCAATCTAATCCGGAATTGGCGTTGCTTGCAGATCTTGGCAGGGACCGTCTTGTTCCTTCGTTCGACTGTCCCCGTATTATTACTTTGTACATTTTTCCGCCTGAGAATCACCTTCTGAACCTCCCCCTGTCCCTTTTCCCTTTCACTCGTCTTCTCACCAGTATCAGAATTGATTCTCTGGTCTGTTAGAAACACCGTTGCCCTCATCGACAATGCGTTACGACAATAACCGGGATCCCGATTCGGGGATATCTTGAATCTGCAGGGGCGGAAGATTCCCCCTGTTTTCGAAGCGCCATGGAAAGTAAGGAACTTTTTCTTTGTGCCATCTCCTCTTTTTGGATGCTCTCTGACCCTTTGTGTTCCCCAGAACCACCGTCCTCCCACGAGGTCACTCTTGATGATGCCAGGGAACACAGGATCCTGCCGCGGGCCGCTGCTCTGTTTCGCAAACATGTCCTCGGCGTCTTTTCCGAGTTCTCCTTCATCAACTGGCACTACTTCTACTTCATCGTCACATGTTTGGTGTCTAGTCTCATTTTCTGGGGCTCGTCCACCCCAGCAAAGTCGGTGTCCTATGTCGACAGTCTCTTTCTGTGCGTTTCGGCCATGACTGAGGCCGGCTTGAACACCGTCAATCTCTCGGAGCTGAATACCTGGCAGCAGATCATGCTGTTTCTTCTCATCATCTTCGGCTCGGCGATATTCGTCTCATCGTCCATTCTCCACATAAGGAAACGAGCCTTTGAGAAGAAATTTGCAGAACTTGCAGAGCGGCGGATAAATCGCCTCCACAGGCCTCGAACATTGACTTTCTCATTATCGAGAAGAGATCATGTCCATGACAACGAACGCGAGGCTGCCGTGGCCTCTGGCGCCATTCGTGGGCGCCCTGTGTCAAATTTCAACAAGGAGGATGAGCACAAATCCTCGTCTAGATCGCGAGAACGTCCAGAAGCCGTCGGGACGCATGCAGACATACCGCGCAATTCGTCAGCAGATGGGACGATCGCTGGAAGCACCTCCAACGATCCCATTGCGAGCCACATCAGGTTCAAAGTCCAACACCCACCTAGTGAATACACCGAGACTCGGGCCCGGAATATCCGCCAAAGTACAAGTTTCTTCGAGGGAAGAGGTGTTGGTGCGCGGAGGCTCGACAATCATCCGCGCAATACGCAGCCTTTTGAATTCCCGTATTCGGTGCCAGAATCGGCCATCGAGGACGACCTTCCCTCTGAGGGTCCACTAGCAAATAAGCTCAACAAATACCTCGACACCCTCCATGGGTATCTTGGGAGGAACTCACAGTTCCACCATCTCAGCGAGAGGGAGAGAAAAATGCTGGGGGGCATCGAATACGATGCAATCCGCTTGCTTTCCTGGCTTGTGCCAACCTATTTTGTGCTGTTTCAGCTCTTCGGCGCGCTTGGTGTCGGCGCCTGGCTCACCGCTAACCGTCCCAGTACGACGCAGGAGAATGGGTAAGCTACCTGACACAGTCGGATAGATAGACAGCGAAACTGACCCTCGATGTAGTCTCAACCCTTACTGGACTGGAGCCTTTTTCGCTATTAGCGCATTCAACAACAGCGGCATGGCTCTCCTAGATGCCAACGCCGTCGCTCTGAACCGGAGTTACTACTGCCTCCTGACGCTTAGTTTGCTCATCCTGGCGGGAAATACCCTGTTTCCTCCTTTTCTGCGAGGCATACTGTGGGTGTTCAAAAAGCTAATTCCAGAAGATCATCCCTCGCCAGACTGGCAGAGACGAAGGCGCACCATTCAATTCTGCCTTGACCATCCGCGAAGGGTTTACACGAACTTGTTCCCGAGCGCGGCGACATGGTGGTTGGTGGCCTCGGTGGTTGTTCTGAACACTATTGACTGGGTTGCGTTCGAATTGCTCAATATTGGCAATGAGGTGGTAGACTCACTCCCAACAGGATTTCGAATTGTTGCGGGATTATTTCAAGCCTTTGCTGTGAGGAGTGGCGGATTCTATGTCGTCTCCATACCAGGCCTGCGTTCCGGGCTGCTAGTCCTCTACGTTCTCATGATGTATCTGAGCGCCTTTCCGGTCACGATGACAATCCGAAACACGAATGTTTACGAAGAGAGGTCGCTGGGCATCTTCGCGGACGAACTGCCAATCTATCAAGAGAACGACGATGCTGCGCGAGAGAACAAGAAGACAGGATTTCTGAGTGGTCTCCGACGGACCATCACAATGACACATGGCGGCCCATCAGCCAACACTCCTGTTTGGACTCGGCAAGATTTTGTCCGACTCCAATTGCGATCCCAATTGGGCCACGACTTGTGGTGGATTGCCATTGCCATTTTCGCCATCACTGCCATTGAGACGGGCCAGTTTGAGCGTGACCCTGTCAGTTTCTCCACATTCAACGTCATCTTCGAGGTGGTCAGTGGGTATGGCTGTGTGGGTATCAGTGTCGGCGTGCCGTGGAACAATTACAGCTTTTCCGGCGCGTGGCACCTCGCGAGCAAGCTGATCCTGTGCGCCGTTATGCTGCGTGGGCGCCACCGCGGGCTCCCTGTCAGCATCGACCGCGCTGTCCTGCTTCCAGACGAAAGCCTCGCCTGGGCCGAGGAGGAAGACGCCCACATGAGAACCTCGAGCTTTTGTTCTGGAGGGGCAGTGCTCTCGAGAGCGCACACATCTGCCATGACCTCCAAAGAGGCCCTGGCGAGGCCCAGAACAGCCAGCTTCGGTGCGCCAGGGCCGAGCATCTCAGCAGCTGACACGCGAGAGCGAACGATCGAACAGGTTGCGTGATGAGCCTTTCAGTGATCACCGTTACATCTCGCTCTATCCGAGCGGCAGCGGCTTTTTGTTTAGGCCGCAGGCAAAATGGGTTGCATACTTTCTGGGGGTTATGAGCCATTTTGGCTGTCGAGTCTGTCGTGACTCGGACGTTCATTTACAATCTGTCCTTGATGTTGTCACACTTTGAAGATCGCCTTCACCATCTATCTCGTTTTTCGCTTTTTTTTGGTTGGGTTTCTCCCACATCGAATGATCCATATTGAGCAGCACTTCTAGCAAGCGTTGGATTTTCCCCCTTTTTCTTCGAGGTTTAAAAGCACATACAACGTCTTTCGTTACCATCAACATACATATGATATCTACATGCATATGATATACTTTTCATCCGAATATAGATAGATTGACAGGAAAAATATATGTCTGGGCTATCCTATTCTATTCCAGTTTTTAGGAAAATCAATCAACAAACAATATTGCCAGTTGCTGACTCGGGAAGTATACGAGTTCTTCGGGACAGAAGGTGTAGGGAGGGAGGGAGTCGTGGAGATCCCATCAATCGGTTGTTCATTTCGTCAGAATAGACATCTATCTATCTGCCTGCCTGCCTGCAATTTTATACCTCGGACCATGTTTCTTTCGAGACTCTCCTCTGTCTTTGGATGATGGAACCCTTCAAGGGGTGTGGTGTGGCTACCGGCAAAACCAAAACCAACCAAGGAAAGAGGATCCAGCTTCTAGCATCTAGCCAGGTTGATTTGAATTCGATTCCCGTGAGAGATTTTCAAATGACGTTCTGCAATTGTTGGCCGGCCAGGAAGCGGCGCAGGTTGGCGGCGATCAACTTCTCTGCGTCCTGGGGTCTGCCGCCGGCGGCGTGGGGGCTGACGACGCAGTTTGGGGCGTGCCACAGCTTGCTGCTCTGGGGGAGGGGCTCGGTCTCGAAGACGTCGAGGGCGGCGCCGCCGATGGTCTTGTCGGAGAGGGCGGTGAACAGGGCGTCCTCGTCGACCGAGGTGCCGCGGCCGACGTTGACGACCCAGGCGTGGTTGGGCAGCTGGGCCAGGCGGTCGGCGTTGAGGGCGTGGCGCGTGCTGGCGCTCCCCGGCAGGATCATGACCAGGGCGTCGGTCTCGCGCAGCAGCTCCGGCAGCGCGTCCTCACCGTGGACCTCGACGCCGTCGCGCACACCCGCCCGGCGCGCCACCCCGCGCACGTTGGCGCCCAGCAGGCGCAGCATGGGCGTCAGCGTCTTCGCGATGTTGCCGAACCCCCACACCAGCACGTTGGCGTCGCGCAGCGTCGTGAACGCCCCCTTGGGCCGGTCCGGCTGCGGCCCGCCCAGGTGCGCCGGCCACTCGGGCGGGTTGCGCATCTGGTAATCGCGCATCTCGTGGAACTTGCGCGCCGCCACCAGCAGCAGGCCCAGCGTGTGCTCGGCCACGGTGCGGTCGTGCAGTCCTGACCCCGTCGTGATGGTCACCTTGGCCGGGTCGAAGCCCGCCGCGAGCACGTCGTTGGGCCCCGCCGCCAGCGACTGGATCCATTTCAGCGACTTCATGTGCCGCGCCGCGTGCTGGAGGTTCGTCGCCGCGTTCGACCACGTCACCAGCACCTCGGCGTCGAGCAGGTCCTCGGGGATCTCCTTCTTGACGTCGTACGCGTGCAGCGACACCGAGAAGCCCTCGAGGTCTTGCACGTTCAGGTGCAGCGACGTCGGGTAGAGGAGCTTCATCTTTGACGAGATGTGAGATGTTCTGCCTTGCCTTGCCTTTTTCTTGCGTACGCTTGGGACACTCAAGTGATGTGGTTGATAGTTGGTCCTTTTTTTCTCTGTCACACACTCTCTCTTCCACAATCTATTCTCCTTCTCTTATCCTGCTTTTCTCTTTGGTGTCCTGCTCTGCGGTCGTGAAAAATGATTCTGCTCACAGCGCACACACACACCGTGAAGGAAAAAGGTTGATAGAACAGAAACGATGACGAGATGTCTCTGTGACTTTGACTCGAATTGAAGGGAGGTCGGTGATCTAAATATGATGTAGATGGTGCCATAGCCTTTCTTTGTTGGTCTTGGGTGTCCCACGTCCCTCACCCGCCGCCGTCGGCAGATATCGGCCCTCTCTCCGCATAAGGAGCTGCGGAGTTCACCCAGTTTCTTTCTTTCGCTGTCGCCATCTTGATTTTCAATTGCCGACGGGCCAGTCAGAGGTATTGGAGGGGTCAATTGTCGGGAAACTTTTACGCGGGTAGAGAGGGAAGGGGTATTCTTTTCGTCTGAATTTGATGTGATGTAGTGGCGTATTGGTCGGAGTTTGACATTATGTAGCTACATATGTTGCCATGCTGCCATGTTGGCACCTCCACAGAGATGTATCCAGAAACCTGGACTGATAAGACCACGAACGGAGACATTTTGTCAGCTAGAAAACAAATGAGCTTCAAATTCCCAGTCGATTCCAGTATGCATGGGAACTCGCCAATTACCAGAAACCCAAACCAAAGTCTCGCTAGATCAGCTTTGTTCGCTATGCATATTCCGCCTTGAATGCCCTCGAAAATCAGTCAGAACATAGTAGATATGTCTGGGAGACCCAGTATCACATAGATGCCAGCCGAGTCCTGTATATGAGGCCATCGCAACCCACTCAGATAAAGCCCCCCTTTCTTTTCTTTTTTCTTTTGCCAGCCATTTCGTCCACATGTCGCTTCCAAGTCAAATTTATCAAATCATGACCATCGTCAGACAACGATGGCAGAAGAAACTTGGAACACCTTGTCACTGCATGTTCCTGTCCGTGTCTTCCTCTTTTGGTCTCGACACGGCAACGCTTATACGATTCTCACATGACGATGCATCGTCCCCCCTTCTTCCCACCACCTCCTTCTTTGGTGGGCCTCGAACTGGTTGGCATGGGTGTTTGACTTCTCGGCACCTCTTCACCTTTCTTTCTCTTTCCTTTCTTCTTCTTGCCAGATTCTGCGGAGGTAGGGTCTGATAAAACGCGTCCGTTCCCACTCTCAATTGGGCTCGGGTCACTTCCAGCCCAAACTCGGGCTCGATGAGTTGGTATGTGTTCATACGGCGGCTGTGGGACTGATTGAGTCTGGGTGATCAAAAATGGAGTTTGTTGTTGTGGGTGCGGCAGCGGCGGCCCCATCCCTTGCGCAACACTGTGTGACCTCGAACCTGGTTCGCCCGGCCCATACGAGCTAGATATGCTGTCAATAGTGTCGAGCCTGCCCATGCGAGGTCGCTGGTCTTGCATCGGTAGTGCGGCGTGTAGATTTGGTGTCGATGAAGAAATAGGAATTGAACGACCGCTTCCTCTGGAGTTACTCCTCATCAACCCGTTGGGCAGATTGATTGCTTTGTTAAAAGACGGAGATCCTGGAATTCCAGCGGCGCCCCATGCGCCTCGAGGTGGCGAGGGTGGCACGTTAGGACTGCCGCTCGACTCACGTGCTGGAGCCCCTTGATAGGCAGAGCCATAAGTGACGATTGGCGGGACTGGCTTGCGCAGAGTCTGAGAGACTCGACGGTCCAGATGAGCCATCTGGTCAGCTGTCGGGGGAACAATACTGTATGACCCATTGGTTTGAATGGTGGGTGAAAGTGCCGGCTGGGGAATCATAGAATGAAGAGCAGGACCGTCGGGTTGTGGCAGATGCATCCGTTCCAGAGATGTCGGAGTTGGTGGGACGGGGTGATTAAGCCGCGCTTGCAAATTTGCTCCAGTCAATGTCACGGATCCTGATGAAGACGGTTTATGAGATGAAGCCGCGTCAGAAAAATGCGGTACATGGAGAGGGGCGTTCAGAGGAGACGGACGATCCGATGTGTGTGGCCGCTGGGAGATTGGAGTCTGTTGGAAGGGTGAAGTTCGACCTTCATGCGACACCGGCCTTGATGATTCTCCAGATACGGACGGTACAAACGGTGCATTCACTACAGGTATTTGCGAGGTTGGAGTCGCACGTTGATACGTCTCCGGTATTGGAGCAAATGATTGATCGTTCATGGTGACTGGAGCACCATACTGGCCGACGGCATGCCTGGGAGCAGTGTCCATCACCACCTGCACTGGTTGAGGAGTCAAATGCAGAGGCTGAGATGGATGTTGCGGAGTCATGGGACTGCCATGTCCGAAGCCAGGGTGAACCTGCGGAGCATGGCCATTCTCGGGAATCCCTACCATTGGCATGGATATCCCTGCCATTGGACGCGCCTGGACCAAAGGTGAACCCAACGTCACCCCCCCTTGAGGATGCAGAGACCCAGTGGTATATGGTGGAGGTGGCGACTCCCAACCATCCTGCTGTGGACCAGGCGAACGGTGATAGATGGCATTGGCGGCGTCTTGTTGCTGCGCCAGAGGTGGTCTGGGAGGGTACCGTGCCGTAGAAAACCCAGCAGCTGTGGCAGATCTGTGTAAATTGGACGGGGCTGGTTGTGAGGGCAGTGGGTTTGAGTTGGCCAGAGCAATTTGTGCGTCAATGTCTAGTGCTGAGGAAGCCTGAGAGACACTTCTCAGGCGCGATCCCGGCGTCGCTGAAGCTGTAGTGACGGATCGACCGAGACCGCCTCTCATGCCCCCTCTTGCACGTTCCCTGACTGTTCGTCTTCTTTCCATTGCCACCTCAATATCCATATCACCCATTCGTTCAATGAGTAACTCCGGCTCCTTATCGCCCACCTCGATAGTCAATTCGCGGTCTGCTCCTTTGGACGGCGAATAATCAAAGTCGAGTATCGAGAGGCGCGAGCCGTCAACCGGCATAGTTTCGTCTCCCAGTTCCTCCATAAACTGATCGACGCCACCAGGGGCCACGACAACTAGCCTCTTACCGGCGAAAGCGCATGGTCTATCTTCGCACCTCTCCACCCATTTGGCCGCCGTGGCGCCGTCAAGAGTCTTGATTCGTTCACATTTGACGAACAGGCTTTCTCGCCAGTCGACCTTTGCTGCTAGCGAGTCATCCTCGATATCCTCGCTACTTCCAGATATCGAAGGCGAATATGCCATCAATGGTTCAATATGGCCCGTTGCAGAGGTAAGCGGAACCCTTCCTTGTAAGCGTTGTTCGTGCCGCTCGACGACCGAACCCATGTCTGGACTGACGTCCAGCTTTTCTGGGACGCCGTAAATCCAGAGACCGCTTCCAGCGAAGCCGGCCACAACAAGAGTTCCGCACACAGTCGCAGTGGGCGCAGTTGATGGCGCAGGCAGGCTAAATCGCCTGTTCGTCGTTGGGTTCAAGAAATATGCGACGCCGGTTCGGGTGTCATCAGTGCGGACGGCTCGGTAAGACATGAGGGTGTGATCGTAAGCAAAAAGCCAGTTGGCGTCACCCTCTGTATGACCCTGTAGCAACTCTGCGTGGCTGCAAATACTGCTAATCTGTGGAAAGAGAATCTGTGTGGTCCACATGCGACTGTGAACCTCTTTTGGCGACAGATCATTTTCGGTGTAGAACGGCGCAGTGATGACAACCGCCGAGGGTTCTTCGAGACTTTGGGTGCTGCCCACTAGCATCGATCCATCACCTGAGAAGCTCAAGATATCGACGCCTTCGCTCCTCACAGCTCGTCGGTCTGTGGAAAGAGCATTCGGTGCAAGGGAAAAGACTTCGACACCGCCCTCATACGCTGCGGCCAGGACTGTTCCTTCGGGAGCCAACGCGATCGTTCTCGGCGGATTGTCCATGACCAGCACCTGGATGTGTTTTACGCCATTCGGCGTCAAGTGATATACATTGGCTTGATGTTTGGAGGACAGGACGGCTAATATTGTGCCGTCATCAGTGATCGAAGCCGCCAAAGGCCGTCTCATCGTCTTCAGCTCATGGCGCACACTGATAGGATCTGTGACGGCGTCAATGACGTATATCCGTGAGGAACTGAGCGCGAGAATCGATTGCCCATTTGGAGAGAAAGAGAAGCGGAACGCTTCAGCTCCAGGCAAAGCGGCGGAGGAACTGGCATTGACGGATATCAGATTAATCAGAGTCTGGCGAGGTTGCAGATATGCCTCGAACAGATTTCGCCGGACCTCTGCCGCGAATTTTGTCTTGAGCCGATATAGGTCAAATTTCCGAAACGGACCGGTAATGACGGTGTTGGACAAGGCATAAGATGGACACCGAGATAGGTGATGGGCGTAAAGTTCTCGGTTTTGTGCTGCCCTATACCAGTTCTTGTTCAATATAGCCAATGACGCAAAGCTGTTGGCGTCGACCGTCCATAGTATTCTAGGTCAAGTTAGCATCGACGTCGGAGGTCGGACAAGCACTATTCTATTTATGGGTGGCGTACCTCTCCAGAACCTGGATAGGGAGGTTGTGAAAAGCGACAGCTTCCCTTCTCTGATGATTTGGCCCGATAGTATCTGGAGATTGGGGCGAGTCGTCGATTGCAGCTGTCCCAATGGTTTGGGATATACCTAGTCCGGTCTTATGACTAGGATCCTGCACATCTTGGTCCAGTGGCTGAGGGGGGATATCGTCCTCCCGCGAGATGGTCGAACCAGATTTCGATGGCGGATGTAGGGTCATCTGCGGCGACATGACAGAACGACCGTGGGATAGGAAGGGATCAAAAGGCTACACATAAAACCACGAGAAGGATGACATGATGATGGTGGCCTCAATATTGCATGGCTCCATGAACGCGTAAAGTCGCGACGGGCAGAAGGAAAAGCTTCCCTTCTTTTTGCGCCGACGTTGAGAGGCCTTGGGAATATGCGAAGTATATGTCGATCGAGTCGTCAAGTGATGGATGATGGCATTCAGCTGAAATCTGATATGATGGAAGGTGGCGATGGGTGAAGATTAAGGGTATCGGATAGCAGAGATGATGGATGAGAAAGGCGAATTGGGTAGTTCCGGAGAGGGTTGTGCAAGGTGGTCAGCGTGCGAAGTCGAATCTTAGCAGGGCTAGCGAGTGTCTAGTTTCCTAGGGAAGCTAGGAGCAGTTAAGCAGCCGTGGCAGCCACCGGCAGGCCAGGTAAGGCACGGTAAAGTTACCTAGGCGTGCTAGGTAATTAGGTGTCTAGGTACTCATGGGGAGGTACCTAGTCGACTTTAATTAACTAAGCCACCTTATTGTTGAGTTTTGCTGGGCGCCCCAGTACCCTCTCACGCCCTCAACCCCCACGAATACCCCCTAAATGTCCCAGCAGGCACCTGAAGAATTAGACGCGGTTCCATCCCCACGATGGTTGTTAGCGAGACTCAACTGCCAATCGCAGGGTCCTCTCAGTCCTTTAGGTTTCCTCTAGGCGACCCAGAGTGCCAGGCCACATGCCTAGGTACTTCCGTACAAGTACAGAGGTTGGCCTAGACGTTGACGGAGGCTCCTCCATATCGAGTTTAGCCCAGGCAGCCCATGTTTTAAGGGCAGTTCTTTTCTTAGTAGCATGCCCCAATCTCTACTTCCTCACCACCATCACCCATGTATGCCGGTGCCTAGGTATCCTGTACGAGGTAGATGTATCCTGTATCTCGCATTCCCTATTTATTGTATACTTGATCCATGTCGCCGTCACCCATGTAGCAGGAATATCAAACACCATCTACCTCATCTACCTCCTTTCTCCCTCCTCCAACTCCGTATTCTCCTCTCTTTCAGTTAGACACAGTAACATGGGCCGGATGAACTACTCCTTTGGGCTTCCATCGGTTTCATCTTGACGCTCATCACCAAGATCAACATCCGCCAGACCATCTCCATCACACCTCTAGAAACACCAGCAGGTCATCCACCTCAACCATTAAGAGTCTCTCCCATCTATTAACGCCTGGAGTTCGAAAATGTGTATACGATGAGAGATGATGTCTTCTGAATTTACACCCGCCCGGTCTCGCCGCCTCATATCTCTGACACGAACATGCCAGGGCCTCTCTCTCTCTGCCTCAGATATTTATTTCCACAGCTGTTTGTACAAGAATATTCTAACCAACCATCAAGATCCGCACTGGCTTGGAATGTGCAACATGCATATCTCCTCCCAGTCAATGTCAATCATGCTTCACTTCTGCTCCGTTTCCTCAACCTTTTTGCTGCCTGACAGGCCTGAAAACCAATTACCAGGCTTCATGCTCTTGTACGCCTCTTCCTGCAATCGCTTCTCTTCGGCTTCTCGTTCTGCTAGAAATTTGGCACCTTCCTGTTGAATATGCTTCTCCAGCTCCATGTACCGTTTTTGACCACGCTCCCTGATTTGGTCCCAGAGCATCTTTCCCTCGGACATAGCCTCGTCAGGACTCTGCATCCCATCTGGGTTGTGGCCTGACAGTCCCAACATTGATGACAGTTTCCCCAAGGTCTTCCTGGGTCTTTTCTTGCGCTTCTCTGCTTCTTCGGCCTCAAACTTGGCCCGAAGGAGTTTCTCTCTTCGGGCGAACTCGGCAGGTATGTACGTTCCTTCGAATGATTTCAAGACTTCTCGTACATCACTGAATCCCATTGTCGCTAGGTATTCCAGGAAGGGAATGAACTGAACCAGCGTCTGGTCTTTTGGATCACCATCCCACTTAGGCAGGATGATAGCGTTCTCAGGCTGATGCTTCACATGGTGCGGATCAGTGTCCATGATGATCACCTTTTTGAGGTCCCTGTTGAGATAGGAAAGATCCTATTCAGGTCAGTGACTAGTCTCCCGTTGACGTATTTGGCTGCTCACCTTGACATAACCGCCGTCTTTGTATAATGTCGCTTCGCGAAACAAGTAGAATGGAATCATGCCGTAAGGATCCAACTTTCGAATCACCTGCTCCACCACCGCCATAGGTTGACTGGTGAAGAGGACAAGTTCATAGTAATTTGACATATATCGGATAAAATAGTCCATTCCTGGTCGCTTGGCTATCCGCCAGCCCTTCTCACGAGTCCATTCCGAGTGAACAAGCATGTCCTCCAAGCTTATTACAAGAACAAACGGAAAGCGGAAGTTCGGGTCCTGATCCTCGTCTGGCAGGAGTTTCGGCGAGACAGGATCTCGGTAATAGCTCAAGGTAGAGGATAGACGAGCGCTGACTCTGTTGTAGAAAGGTTTGAAGCCCCATCCTGAAGGGGCATCAGGGTGTTTCTTCTCCTCCTCTTCGTCTGCCCAGTTGCGTCCCAAGTAGACGGAGAAGCCGATGGTGCCCAATCCCAGGACAATGTACATGTATCGAAACGCCGCATTCTTCTTTCGATCGCTAGAAGAGACATATTGTTCTCGAGGAATATCGCGGCGGTCTCGCCCACGTGCTCCGCTCGGCAGCTCTTCCGACGGATCTTCGGTGATATTGAGGCTGGGGGGGTGGGAGCTCTGTTTCGACCTTGCCTCACGAAGTTCCGCGTCCAAAGTCGATGGGATGCCTTTGGTCAGATCAGGGAGGGGTTGTTGCGGTTGGTCTGCCGCAGTCTGATCACGCTCACCCAGAGTTTCTTGTTCCGCAGCAACTTTTTCTGGTTGGTGGGCGCCTGGCTCGTTCTCAAGTTCTTTCTGTTGTCCCTCCCCATCCTTTAAAGATCTCTTACGTGCTTCAATCACTGATGCCGAGACATCGTCGAGATCCCGAGCCGGATCGGTGCCGAATGGGGGATTTTCAGAAGGTCGCTGCGGATTTGGGGACGATTTTGATGGAGTGATAGGCGATAAGTCTCCGCGATTGTCGGCATTCGAAGCTTGGGAGGGTTGTGTGAAGGGGATTTTCCGTAGGGGTTCCTTTTGCTGCGGCGAATCTTTTGATATACCGGGGATCTTGTAATCTGCGTCCTTTGCAGGTCGATCCCCTTTGGAGTAGTATCGCAACGGGATCTGGGTCAGTGCTTGCGGCAGCAGAGGCCGGGCGTGGCGCGGCCTCAACAGAGGCAATGCTGCACGTCTTAGCATCTCTCAATCGACATGCCCTCAAGGTGAGAAAATGGGCATGAGATGTCGATGTCCTAGACAATGCTTGTACCTACTGTCGTCGGTACAAGGCGGGCTCCTGGAATAATGGAGAAGTCTGATGATGGTTGCATCTTGTATTTGCCCGACGAAATTCTTTCGACCCCAACTCTGAACTTCTTTTAATCCTTGGCATCCAAGCATCTTCGGTCACAGGCCGCAGTCGCCTCCACCGCGGCAAACTGGCACTCTGGCTCCGCATCTACATTTACTCCTCTTCTTCCTCCGCCTCTTTCTCTTCTTTTCTCCTCTTTTCTTCCACAAAGAAAGTTGATTTACACCCCAGAATTATTTGACTCGCCGTCCACAGACATATCATATGTTCGAGGAGTTGTATTAGCTGGGCAGAAAAACGTTCCAAACAGAACTGTCGTTCTCCTCAAGAGCGCACGAGAGGCCAGCCCATGATCTTCCAGTCGCCCCGTAAGGACGATACATTCCTTTCCTCCTTTCCAGGATCCATCACGATGAGTGTATGAAGCCGTCGCCTCGAGAGTGGTGAACTACGCGCGGATCAGTCTTCGCCTTGTCCCTAGTCACTACCCTGCGAATCCGACCCCCGATGCCGCCGTCATGGAAAGAAGGTCTCGTGAATGCCTTTCCGATCCCTCACGATCGTACGAAGTTGAGATATACTTCGAAGAAGGATAAAAACAATGTGACCATTTCCTCGGAGCTTGTTTCTGTCGTGGAGTCGTTGGGTACTATCTCTTTGGAAGGAGACCCTTTTCCATTCCTCGACCTGCCAGCAGAGATCCGTAACAAGATTTATCACTTAGTCTTGTTCGGCAAGCCGGGCTATCGACTCGTTAATGGTCGGTTGAGGCCTACCCGCATAGGTATTATGCTTGCCAACAAAAGGACACATCGCGAAGCTGCCTACATTCTTTACAGCACTTCAAGCTTCCGAATCTTTCCTCTCCAAGACTTTACCCCGGCGCCGGTCATACAAGAGCTTCGCCCTATGTATCGCGCCATGGTGACTTCACTGGAAATGGTGGTCGGCTCGAGTTGGACCAGTCCACCCAAGACGTGGCGTGTAGGTAAACTACTGGCAAAGCGCCTGTCTAAGCTGTCTGCTGTCCACACTTTGAAGGTCTTTGTCGAGCTTGATCCAAGCTTGCCGATGTTTGAGAAATACAGGGTCTCACTAGACTTCTACACCGACTTCTGTGGAGACCTCTTGCGAGATGTCCTCGCGTGCATGCCGCACGTGAGCCACGTTGAAATGAGCGGGAATCCAGGCATCGACACTACAGGCCCGTTGGTGTCGAGGTTGCTCAAGGAGGTGGAGTTTAAGGGCAGAACATGTACTTTAGGACCAACGAAGGCGATCACCACCCCGGCTGGGGTGAAACTGGCGTTTTGGTAACCACATTAATACACTTCCTACGTCGTAACAGCTCTTGTCGATCCTTCAGGTACTGATCGTATCTTGCCCGGTAGACTCAAAAACCAGAGTCATTCAAAGACCGCAAGTAAACTCTTAGCTCTTTCTGTAGCCCAACGCCGTGCATGCATGCCCTGACGGATAGATACAAGTTACAAGCCGCGCCAGCCCCGTTGCCCATCGCCTACAGCTCCTCATCCACTTCCATGTCTCCGTTTTGCCCAGAACCGTCTCGATGAGCACCATTTGCGCCATTGCCATTCGCTTGCACAGGTTTTTTGGCCACACTTGCCTCTTTGTCGATCATTTGCCTGTTCACGGCAACGATGTTGTCTTCAATCAACCGCTGGCCGACATCCTCGATGTGTTTCTTCGGATCAACTTTTCCCACATATCTTGTCTTGAGTTGTTCAGCGGTTAACTCGTTCTCTTCTCGCACACGCCTCTCGTAGCCCTCGGCAAGCTGAACGAGTTGCTGTAGACCTTCTTCGTTTCTTTTGCGTTCTGAGCCAAAACTCGAGGGTAACTCGAGACCTTCAGTCCAGACTTCCTTGTGCAGATTCATGAGCATGTTCTCTTCCAAGCCGGTCTTGCGGTATTGAATTCCGATGCTGTAGTAATGTCTATTCAGGCCGTGGATCAGTGCTTGAATAGAGGGTTTGTTCAAATGACCCAGGTTTGAGGTGGTTTGGCGAGGTTCTTGGCCCATCATGATGGCTTGGGGGTTGATAAGCCGAAATGCGTCGATGACGACTTTACCCTTGACGGATTGGATGGGATCAACGACGACAGCCACAGCGCGGGGAGTCAGCTGTTCGAATGATTGCTGCGTGTTGATATCGACCGAGGACAACCAGCATCCGAACCCGGGGTGTGAGTGATACCATCCCACTACCACCTCTGGTCGACCTGTTTGGCGCAACATATCCATCATCCTTGTTTGAAAGACCGGATCAACAGACTCGACGCTTACGGAAGTTCCTGATTGCGGCATCGCGAAGACGTCGACAACTCGGACAGTGAAGTCATCAACGAACTCGCCGAGCATCAGTCCCATGACTTCCATAGGAACACCCGCCCTTCCGTGTCGGAGCATCTTTAGGAGGGCGAGGGAGGAAATGTAGACGGTTTCTGAATTGTCGACTAAGTTTGTGTCTTGCCCAGTTTGTGTGCCACCCATATGTGCCGCAGCCAGCATTCGGTTAAATCGATCCATGGTGATTCTGAGAAAGAAGAGAAATCACGGCGAAGAGGATAGACAGCGAAGGTAAGGAGGAGGGAAAATGGTCGCCGACTCGAGATTGATAATCCTGATGTAGGTCAGTTCGTGGCGGACCTGTACGCCGGTAACAGCCTGATCAGGGAAGAATGCCGAGTCGAGATACGAAGAGGCTTTTTGGATTTGCAAGAATCAAAAGTAATTCGAAACACACTGTAATGGGAGATCAGGGAGGAGGTAGGTTATGGTCGTCTGTTTGAGTGGAAATATGAAGCTGCAAGGCAAGCATGAACTGCGCGTTCAATATGCGGGTCCCAAAGCGGTTAGCCAACTTGGCCTCCGCAGATCGTTGGAGACGGAATCATGGGCCCTGGTGGCCCTTTTGCCCTCGCGCAATATGGAATAATTCACCTCTCGCTGTGCTTCCACCTGCTTTCCACCTTTCTGTCTCTCAAGGAGAAGATTTGCTCTTATCCTGGGCGTCTCATATGTAAGAGAAACTCTGCGACTTCCCAATCAGATCCTTGCGCCCTTTTCCAATCGACTCTCCTGCTCTCCTGCAAGGTTGTCCCTCACGGGTTGACAAGCTCCATCCAGAGAAAAGAAACGGAGGGAGTAGGGCAAGATATTGAGACGACCCGAAAGACGCCCTGTTATATCTGTCGATTCATACTCATCATCGCTACTCCTTCCACCGCTCTACCACCCTTCGCTGCCTTGGGTCCATCATGGCATTCGCACCAGTGGACAATCTGCCCCTCAAGCGTGAGGACAAGAAACGAGTCGCATATTTTTACGACTCTGACGTTGGCAACTATGCCTACGTGTCGGGCCATCCCATGAAGCCTCACCGAATACGACTTGCGCACTCGCTAGTGATGAACTATGGCCTGTACAAGAAGATGGAAATCTACCGCGCAAAGCCTGCTTCAAAATATGAGATGACACAGTTTCACACCGACGAATACATTGACTTTCTTGCAAAGGTCACTCCCGATAACATGGACTCATACCAGAAAGAGCAGCAAAAATACAATGTTGGCGATGATTGTCCTGTCTTTGACGGCCTCTTCGAGTTCTGCGGGATCAGCGCAGGTGGTTCGATGGAAGGCGCTGCCAGATTGAATCGTCAAAAAGCAGACATTGCCATAAATTGGGCTGGTGGATTACATCACGCGAAGAAGTCAGAAGCAAGCGGCTTCTGTTACGTGAATGACATCGTTCTCGGGATCATCGAGCTTCTCAGATTCCACAAAAGAGTCCTATATATCGACATCGATGTGCACCACGGTGACGGCGTTGAAGAAGCGTTCTACACCACTGACAGAGTCATGACCGTATCCTTTCACAAATATGGCGAATATTTCCCGGGGACCGGCGAGCTGAGAGATATTGGAGTTGGCTCTGGCAAATACTACGCGGTCAATTTCCCTCTTCGGGATGGCATCGACGATTCATCCTACAAGGGCATTTTTGAACCGGTCATTCGAGCTACTATGGAGTACTATCAACCCTCCGCTGTTGTCCTGCAGTGTGGAGGCGATTCTCTTTCTGGTGATCGACTGGGATGTTTCAACCTCAGCATGAGAGGACATGCCAACTGCGTCAGATTTGTCAAATCTTTCAATCTCCCTACCCTCATTCTGGGTGGCGGCGGTTACACCATGCGAAATGTCGCAAGAACGTGGGCATTCGAAACGGGGTGCCTTGTGGGTGATTACATGCAACCAAATCTTCCATACAACGACTACTATGAGGTATGAGCTTCCCAATATCTTGAGCCGAATATTTCTAACTCATATTTCCCAGTACTACGCTCCTGACTACGAGCTGGATGTCCGTCCCTCAAACATGGAAAACGCAAACTCGAGAGAGTATCTCGAGAAAATCCTCAGCCAAGTGCTGGAAAATATGAAAAGGACCGCTCATGCGCCTTCAGTGCAAATGACAGACGTACCTAGAGATTCCCTGGGAATGAACGACGAAGACGAGGCTGCTATCGATGATCTTGACGAGGACCAGAACCCAGATACACGCATCACTCAACGCAAGGCAGACAAGTACGTCCAGAAGAACGGTGAACTTTCCGATAGTGAGGACGAAGAAATGGAGGAATTGAATGGACACCCATCAGCCAGCCGAAAACGGCGCATCATACAGAATTTCCGACATATCATGGATGTAGGCGGCAATGACTCTGGTGTAGAGACCCGAAGTGGGACAGGAACACCGCAACAAGCGTCAAGTCTGCCTGATGAGGCGGCAGATGAGATGAATGTGGACGACGATCTGGACGATAAGGTCGACCAGCAGACACCAAGCCCTGCCAATGGTGAACAGCGGTTAAATGATTCTGCTGGCGCTTCCGGTCTGCAGTCTCCCGACCATCGCGTACCAGCTGAAAATGCAGATGGTGATGTTGAGATGGGAGATGCAGAGGCGCCAGATGGAGATGCTGCACCCGCGGACGAGACCGAAGCCGTTCGACCCACTGAAGAAGACTCGACGATAATTATCCAGCAGCAACGGACGCCACCAGATTCACCACCTACACCGGATGCTGAAGAACACTCACCAAATGTTCCTAATGCGACGGTTCCAGATACGGCGATGGCCGATACCGAAGAAGCCAAGTCGCTCACCCCTCCGACTATCTCAACGGCTCCCGTAAATTCCGATGTCACAGGCACAGCTGATCCAGAAGCTGCTATTAAACAGGAAAATATCGGTGACGATGAAGCTGCGAAGACACAAGAAGAAGGGCGCATGGAAAGGGAGTCGGCGAATGTGGAAGGGGAAGCTCGCACAGAAGCAATTGCAAAAGTGGGAACATTCGAGGCAACCGAGGATCAGGGTCAAGGCGCAGATGTAAAGGCGTCTTCTGACGTTCAGGAGACCACTACAGAGACAGGAGCCGATGTGGCGCAAGGGTCTTAGGAAGGCTCTTGGAGTTTCGAGCTGCTTCAACGAGATGACCCAGAGGTCTATTGATCATCGTGGTATGGGAGTATAGGAGGACTGAGGGCATCGAAGCAAGGCGCGTATGAAATGTCATTGGCGCCTTAACAAAGGACGGAGCGATTACGAAAGGGAATACGCTGGAGGGGAGCACGAATGGCGTTGGAATTGGACGAGTGTCGGCTGGGCTGGTCCAAAATGAGAAGCGGCTATGGTCTGGCGGCAACTGTTTTCATCTTTAAAATCGGGATATGCATTGATACCTTTTCAATGAGCTGAGATATGTTTACCTTTAGAAGCCACAAGGGCTCATCAAAAATGGGAGAAAAACGAGTCCACAGCGGCAGCGAAGCAGTTTACTGAGATGCCACTCTCAAAACCACCTTTCCCCCGCCTCTTCGTCCCCTGGCTTCGACAAGCTCCATGGCAGCTCTCCCGTGATCCAAGTCAAAAACCTCCAGGACGTATCCCTTTAGTTTCCCTGCTGTTACCCATTGCGCAAGAACATCCAGCTCCTCTCCCGAGGGTCTTACCACGAAGAAGTCAACGTCGACACCAGCCCCGGAGCAGTTACCTTGGATCGCTTTGGCTGTTTCGGGCCCATAGATCTTGACCGGGGCCACAATTGTAACCACACGTCCACCGGGGTTTATGATGGTATTGAGTGCTGGTGTGCTGGTGAGGAGGAGCGTAGAGAGTGTGTCCCCTCCAATGCAATCGACTACCAGGTCCACTGGTGGGAGAGTTTGCGAGACGAAGGCAGCTGAGAGGGAGGTATATGTCTCAGAGGTGTAGTCGACGAGAGTGTCTGTGGTTTTGTCAATAAGAGACATTATCAGAGGTGTAGACGCAGAGCTGCATGTTGCGATTACGGGAAACCCAGATGCTTTGGCGAGCTGAAGCGTCGGGAGGCCGACGGAGCCTGCTGAGCCCAGAATAAGGACTCTTTTGCGCAAGGCAGTTGGTGGCGGCGATGGTCCTGGTGATGAGAGAGGTAGCCTGCCATGCTTAAAAAGTGCTTGGTAAGCTGTCAAGGCTGAGAGCGGGAGCGTTACAAGTTGTTCCTCCCATCTCTTATTCGCCATAGTGGAGCTGTTTGGGTTACTCGGCGCAAGGCTTAGCTCCTGTTCATATACAAGTGTATATGTGGCCGCTGCGCCATCACGATCGAAGTCGAGAAGAGCCCAAACCCTGTCTCCGGGTGAGAACTTTGGTTCTGATCCTGACTTGGGGGATGTGAAAACTTTGTCCACGATGCCTACGACATCGTGGCCTGGGACCGCACCACCGTATTGTTGGAAGCGCGCCGGCTCGAGGATCTCTTGCCAGGTTAGTTCGCCTCGAGTTAAGGCAGTAAGCAGGACACGAATCAAGTAGACATGTTGCGATGATGATGCGGAGAAATCAGTTGTATGGGTGCGAGGTTCAGGGTAGTCTGCCGCTGTGTATACCAAGTTTGACGGAGTAGGCGGGTTGCTTGGAAAACGAAAGGAGGACTCTTGTTCGTGTGGAACGCCAGGAAGGTGAAGGGCTCGCATGGCGACAAAGACAAGAGTGTAGAACCTTGGGAGTTATCCACAAATAAGACGGGACGAGACCCCTTCTACTCTCCTTTCTCTTTCCTTATATACCTCCCAGCTCTTTTATTGTCGAATGCCCTCGGAGATGTTGACAGCGCGGAAAACATGTGTTAGTCATCGGGAGCAGGTATGTATGGTGCATTTGATTTCTCTTTTGTCGACCATGCTGCAGATGTGAATGCCATCTGAGCGGAGGAGAAGGGGCGCTTTGCGCTCAGCGTGGAGGATTCAAACTGCGGAAATGTTTTGGCAGAGCAGCAGAGGTAGCCCGTGGATCGGAGGCGTTGATGCAATGACGACGAGAGACTCCATCAAATCAAGACCAACTCGTCCGGAGCACACGTTCCTCAACCAATGACGAACGAGAGACGCCGTTGCTGATAACCAGTCAAGACAAGAAATGTGGCTGGGCTGTGCTTGAAATTAGGCCATCGAGCCCCAATCACCTGTCATCGTGTGCCTGTATCACGCCGTATCAAACCGCCTTGTGTTAATCGTGCAGCTTCAGCTTCCAGTAGTTGCTTCTTTCACCACGCAACCACTTTCTTCTCCTTCTTGCTGTGCTTTGTATTCTTGTTTTTTTCTTCTTTTCCTTTTCTTCCCTGCATTTAGCGGTCTTCTGACAGCTCCTGTGGTTGTAGTGCGGCACGCGGGACATATTTCTCCCTGCCGACTCCGGCCTCCCTTCAACCTCTTCACTTCCCAAACCTCCCCTTGGTTTCTTGCTCACTCTACCTTATTGCGGTCTCTTGTATCGGATTAACGCAGCCAACGGTGTCCCGTCGACTTAGTTCAACACGACCTCAGAAGACTACCCTCCAGATCTCTTCCATACTACGAGGTCTTCTATCCCCTCCCGCTCCTGCTGGATCCCCCGATCTGCTTGTCCGGATCCTCGGGGGTCAGAGCAAGTACCAGCATGCCTTTTTCCGAGTACTTTACGAGTCCTACATCCCTCTACAATCGACAGATTCTCAGCGGACTGGTCTCTCGTGACCAGATACCCTTAGCCAACGATGCCTTGCAGATTCTCAAGAAGGCCGCTCCTCATTCTGGCCACCCGAACTTCGCACACCTTACCCTCCTTGTTTTCGAAGCCGTGTTGGAAGTGGTGTGCGTTAGTTTACCGGGATACATTGTGGCGAGACAAGGCATGTTCGATGCGGAGGGGCAGAAGTTGATGGCCAATCTGAACGTCATGCTGTTTACTCCGTGCCTAATCTTCACCAAACTGGCGTCACAGCTCACGGCGGAGAAGCTGGTAGATTTAGCCATCATCCCGGCAATCTTTGTCGTTCAAACCTTGGTATCATACCTGTGCGCCTGGAGCATTGGGAAAGTCATGAAGTTCAAAAAGAGACAGGCCAACTTTGTGATTGCCATGGGGGTGTTTGGCAACTCCAACTCGTTGCCCATTTCGCTGGTCTTATCCTTGTCTAAAACACTCAAGGGGCTACATTGGGATAAAGTCCCCAATGACAATGACGAGGAGGTTGGAGCTCGAGGTATTCTTTACCTGCTCATATTCCAGCAGTTGGGTCAACTTCTTCGCTGGAGTTGGGGCTATAATGTCCTGCTTGCGCCACCAGACAGCTACACCGAAGCAGAAGGTGGGACAAAGAAGGAAGACCGCGTTGAACGGGGACGAGGAGAATATCGCGAATATAGCGACGATGACCGCGAGAACCGTCGGCTTTTGAGCCCCAGTTATGACGGAATTAGAGATATGAGCGAGGATTTTGAGTACTATGATGGATATGAAGTCGAGGACGACGACGAGACTCGGATAGGCACTGAATCGCCTACCACAGCGAAGTCGGATGGTCTCAAAACCCCTCGTACTCCGCACAACAGGTCATCTAGAAATTCTCCCAACCGGCAGCCGAATGGCACTGCTCACGAGACACCGGATCTCCTGTCCACTCCTACCAATGGGATGGTGCAGCCTCATCACAACCCCGACTATCCTGCCTGGCTGGAATACCCCGACAATAAAAAGTACGATGAGGATTGCGGAGGCCTCCAAGGACACATCAATCGAGGAAGAAACGTGGTACGATATCAACTCTTGAAGATCGGGCATGCGATTCGGATGAGGTCTAGGCGGGCCTTTGACTCTCTTCCCAAGCCGGCGCAAAAAACCATGTCATACACCGCGTTCAAGACTAGAGCTTTCCTGGCGGGCGTGTGGGAATTTATGAACCCTCCGTTGTGGTCGATGTTGGCTGCCATAATAGTTGCGTCTGTGCCCTACCTACAGCATCTCTTCTTCGATAAAGGGACTTTCCTCGCAAATTCCGCCACACGAGCAGTGCAACAAAGTGGTGCTGTCGCGGTGCCCCTGATTCTGGTGGTGCTTGGAGGGAACCTTGCCAGAAACACTATCCCGAAGAATCAACCAGGAGATATCACGGATCCGAAGGAAGAGAGCAGGCTTCTGTATGCTTCATTGCTGGCGCGTATGGTGTTCCCGACGCTTTTGATGGCACCTTTTCTCGCACTGGTCGCCAAATACGTCCCAGTCAGCATTGTCGACGACAAGATTTTTATCGTGGTTGCTTTTCTCCTCACTGGGGCTCCATCTGCTCTCCAGCTGAGCGCCATCACACAAACAAACAACGTGTATCCCACGGTCATGTCAAACATTCTCTTTCAAAGCTATGTGGTTTGGATTTTGCCATCCACACTAATTCTGGTACTTCTAGCTCTGGAAACGGTGGAGTGGGCTACCAATTGAAATCTCAGGCACACGCCGTTTCAACAATGGGCATCGGGAGGTATCTGGCTGTTTAACTCAAATTGTCGACATTGCTTGACTGGTTATGGAGTTCTGGAAACGGTGGCTCGTGGCTCGAACGGGTCGTATAGCGCTGCGAGGACCGTTAAGGAAACATTGTACCGATACAGGCTTGTACGGATGGGTGGTGCGATATGGAGAGACGATCTCCAGATAGGGCAACAAAAGAGACGACGATCAATATTCTCATGTACAATGACTTCATTCTATGCTATAATAGAGGAGGAACACCTGATTGTGGGGTTTCTAGGCTATGTCACTATGGCTTATTTCACTAGTCGACGTTTCTGTCTGGCACAGCGTCGATGTTGGATCAGCTCATGGTCCAACTCAGTTGGACACTGGCTACAGCCTCATACGTATCCGCCGATGTAGAATGACGTCGGAAGGGAAGTTGGAGGCACTTCAGGGGGCAATCAGGGGAGCACTGGGAGCACTCCGGGCCAACAATGGGGTCTCATTTCTGGGTGCGAAGAATGGCTTAAGCTCGTCTTGGTTAAAGCTAGGTTTGCCCCAGGGACGCCCAGGAACGCCGAGGGTACCAAATATGAGGTTTCGTTGAAATGCCATACTGTGTACCTGTACAAACCTCGTACTAAGCTCCTTGTTCTCTCTTCTCTCCCACCTCCACGTCGGCAGAAGGTGCCCTGTTTTGCGCCCTCCCTATCTTCCTGGGAGTTAATTTAGGTATTGGCCTACCGAGAGCACTCCCTCCTTTTCTCCCTGGTGACAATCCCGAATACGTTGGGTCCCCTATTCCAAGGGCCAAGATACCTACCACCCTACCTATGTTGGTACGCTTCCAGGTTGCCCTACCAGGTATACCTGCATACCTAGGCTGCTAGTCTAGCAAACTGGCTACCAGGGCAAAAATCTCATGCCTCACTTTTCTCTTCTCGAGGGATGGAACTAATGCATCGCAAGCCTCAACCCACGTAGCTAAGCCTCACGTATTTGTTCACACACGCGTCCACCACACAACCCACTACTCCAACCCACCGAGCCATCCACATACTTGTATTGAACGTATGGAGTATCGTAGAAGCTGATCGACACGTTTTATATCCACGATGAGCCTGGTTGGGTTTTTGTCCATCTTTTGCTACCGTATCAAGGATCTCTGTGCCTGAAGACACATCATCATTTCATCTTTACCTTGACCTTCAAATATTCGGGGCATATCCCCACCCTGCATTGAGTGCAGGAAAAAAAAACATCCGCCAACCTCAGCTCAGTTGCTCAACTTTGCCTGAAGCTTAGCCGCTCCCTCCGTTTGCCTTGCCCTGGGCTTGCCTCCCGATTTGAGGTTTGTCACCCCCGGCAAGCCCAAAAAACGCCGTGGTTGCTCAGCAGATCCAGGATCTTGCTTTCCGGTCAAATGAGAAGTCGAGAGAGACACATCTTCCAACAATTGATTGCAACTTTGGGCCTCATCCCCCGTTTCTCCACCACCGGCTCACGCTCTGGTCGTCACCTCGCCTCTTCCTCCGAACGAGCCCTCACGAACACTGGTCCTCACTCCCTCCTTCCATCGAGTCGTATAGACCGGTCAATCACCGTCTAGACCTTTCTTTCAAGCTCGTATCTTGTTTCGTCTGTTGTCACTCCTATTCCGAGTCGCATGCCTCCTTAACGAAGCCCATATCCTCGCGCGACTGCATGCGCACGCCGGCCACATAATATTACCTACACACACACCCCTCCAACCAAGTACGGAATCACCACCACCTTCTTAGTCACCATGGACGACTCATCACCCCAACAGCCGTCCTCTCCCGAAACCTCAAAATTCTACGAACAACCAGCTTCAGAGTCAACCTCGTCCTTCATGGCTTCACCGACAGCTTCCTCTCCACAATCTCCCTCCAGGCCCCCTTCGCTGGGCTCGCCAGGAAACAGCATAAGTCCTACCATGAACCCCTCCTCCGCCCCGCTAGGCCCTGTCAATGCAGCGAGACGACCTGGCCCGCTGCCTTCACGCGCGAGTGGGTTGAACTCTGATATTCAGGCAAAGATGAAGGCCTTCTCTCTATCTCGGCAGGGTGCACCTCCCACAAAAGCACAAACTGCGGGGTTTACCAGTCAACAGCACGGTGCTTTTGTAGGCGGCGCGTTGACAGGAGCTCCTCCTCCTTCCCCGAACTCTTCTGCAGCCAATCTTCGACTACCCCCGGGTATGCAACGACCGAGCGCACCGAATTTTGGCTCCTCGCCTTCTCCGATTCCCGGCAGTCCTCGAGTGATGACTCCCAGGCCTCCCATGGGTGGATTAGCAGCAAAACGAGGTTTGAAGCCAGGTGGCATGAAATTGTCAGATGCGCACAAACCTGCCCCTGCTGGACAGGAGGAGGACAAGACAGACACTGGCTCTCAATTCAACAAGTACTCAAACATCATTGATACCAAAAAGGGGACTCTAAATTTCCACAACAAAGCGGTTATCCACGGGAGTGGTATCGATTTTGCTGGTGGCAGTACCTTTTCAATTTCTTTAGACGAGGTCGACACGCTGTCAGAGTTGGGTAAGGGCAATTATGGAACGGTTTTCAAAGTCAGGCACGCACGGCCCAAGATGAGACGCCCTGGGTTGGGTCTCCGAGGCAATATGGTGCGGCAATCATCAGCCTCCATTCCCAAAGATGACGAAGAGGTAGATTCACAATCAGACACAAAAGGGACAAGCGGGCTTGTCATGGCCATGAAAGAAATCCGCCTCGAGCTCGAGGACTCAAAGTTTGCGGCCATCATCATGGAGTTGGACATTCTACACCGATGTGTATCACCTTTCATTATCGATTTCTATGGCGCATTTTTTCAAGAAGGTTCTGTTTATATCTGCATTGAATACATGGACGGTGGTTCTGTGGACAAGTTATACGGGGATGGGGTCCCTGAAGGAGTCCTCAAGAAAATCACCTTGTCGACAGTTATGGGGCTCAAATGCCTCAAGGACGAACACAATATCATCCACCGAGATGTCAAACCGACGAATATACTGGTCAACACGCGAGGCCAAGTCAAGATCTGTGACTTTGGGGTCAGCGGCAATCTTGTGGCTTCAATAGCCAAAACAAATATTGGGTGCCAGAGCTACATGGCACCAGAACGCATATCAGGGGGCGGCATGGCTCAAGTCGGCGCTGGCGGAGGCACCTATAGCGTGCAGTCCGATATCTGGTCACTCGGTCTCACCATCATCGAATGCGCACTCGGCCGATATCCTTATCCCCCCGAAACCTACGACAATATATTTAGCCAGCTTAGTGTAAGTCCTTGCCCACCTTTCAATCGAAGCCAGTTGCTAACAAATCTGATAGGCCATTGTGGATGGTGAGCCTCCAGATCTTCCAGCTGATCAATTCTCCGAAGCAGCCATTGATTTTGTACGGGGCTGCCTGAACAAAATTCCCCGGCTCAGACCAACCTACGCCATGCTGCTCCGACATGCATGGCTCGCACCACTACTGAAGCCACCCACGATTTCCGAGGACGAGGAAGGCGAGCAGGCTGCCGAGGCCGGCATCGAGTCCGCCTTCTCAAATAGTGAAACTCCAGACACTGCGGACAAAGAAGTTGCAGATTGGGTAATGAGCGCACTGGAGAAGAAAAAAGCGGGCAAATTGGCATCACATAAGAAGCCAGCACTGCACGAAGCACCGCTCGACGCGGTTCCCGGTAGCCCTCTACTCACCCATGACGGACCTATGCCGTTGGGCGGAGATGCAACGGCCCCTGATGTCAAGGCCAACGTTGGAGTGAGGATCGATTCAAGGGATTTATTGGCGGCAAGGGTAGAGGGTATAGATTTTGCTTCATGATTGCCCAAGTGTTTTTGCAGGATGGCCATGGTTTATGACCCAGAGTGGGACCTAAGAAAGTGTAACGATAACGATGAATGATGGAAATGCATCACTTGCGATAGAGCGGCCAAAATTCAGCGATACAGAAACATGATTCTTTCGTCTATCCGCTCGCTCAGATTCGAAATAATGTAGCATCTGGACCGAAACCTGCAACATGTCAGGTGCAGCTTGTCGCGACACTCTCTTCTTTACCGATTACAGAATTCGTTGATGGTGTTGACCAAGATGACGCCCAATGATGTCAGTGGTTTATGACCATTCGAGAAACAAAGCCTTGGGACTCTTCCACCACTTTCACAAGAACAATCGCTTTCTATAAGACTACCGCCACCGCCACAGGTCCATCCTGACCTCGGACAAGCCTGCTCACGGGCGAGGGCTCCTTATGCTGCATAGAACTGCTCGCAAACATGGGTCTCGTTCGCAGACTGCTGATTTGGGCAGCCATTGATGGCGTCGTCCTCCAGGCTCACGGTCCTGCAGAGCACCCAAAAGCTCTTCAGATCGACTACAAGAGCCGACAGGTCAAGGAGCTTCAGAAGTCGGATGCATTGGCGAAGAAACCAGCGCCTTTGGAAGCTCACGGCATAGTCGGTAAGGAAGCCCACAACTTGGCCGACGAACTCCGAGTCGCTTAGATCAGTTGTAGGATTGCTCTCGATTGCCTCGTCGTCTTTTCTCATCGCAATCACTCAACGGGAGCAAGTTGCCCAAATATTCGGCAAACCCGTCTATGTCATTACCGATGTTGCCATTCTCCCCCTGTCTTCGCAGAAAGCAGCGTCCCTGGCCATCACCACCGCCCTGGAGTCTCAAACTACAGAATCGTCCACAACTGACACCGATACCGATGTGACCGACACAGAGGATCAAAGTACTAGGCTAGAGGACCAGGAAGAGCCTGAGACTCCAATAGAACATACCACCCCTCAGCAAAAGATATCCAATCCCACCAGCATCGCCAGAGATGTCATTGCTAACCGAGGCCAATATGGACGATTTGCTGCCCAATGGTTTTCCAAGCAGGGCTGGGGCGGAGGCAAGACCTCAGGGACCACGTCTGACCCTGTAGATACGAGTGATGCCTCACAGACGGGGACTAGGTCCAGTCCTGAAGCAGAAGCAGCGGTCGCAGCGAATCAACCTGAAGCCAGTGGCAACATTGAAGCACCAGAACAAACCCATAACAAAGACGCCGAGCAACTGCTCAACGACACCTCCATCACTGAGGCGACCCCCAAGATTCTCAGGAGGACGAAGATGATCTTGACCTCGGGCAGTTACTTCTTCTCGTACGACATTGATTTGACGCGCAGGCTAGCGGTCATGGAGGCGAGCGCGACTGCTCCTTCACGTGAGACTCTCGACCCTATGGTATGTTCATATTCATGATCGTAAAGAATAAGTTGGGTTCTGATTGCAACAGTATTGTTGGAACCGACACCTCCTAGGTCCATTCATGGATACCAGGCAAGATTCATTCATGATGCCCATTATACAAGGTTTTGTGGGACAGAGGACTTTCACAGTTACGAAAGCAGAGTCAGAGATTCCAAACTCGGCCTGTGTGGTGGACGCCGAGCATGGCCAGCAATCGACAGGGGTACAACACGCCATAAATCATGCTAAACAAGATCTTGCCAGCATCAGCACTGACATGCAATCCTACCTCCTCACGCTGATTTCGCGGCGATCCGTCAAGCGATCAGGCCTTCGGTACCTCCGACGTGGCCTCGATGACGAAGGCAATTGTGCCAATGCTGTGGAAACTGAACAGATTCTGTCTGCTCCAGATTGGTCTCCTTCTCGGCGAATACGATCGTTTGTACAGACGCGAGCCTCTATTCCCCTTTACTTTTCCCAGTCACCCTATTCGTTGAAGCCGACACCGATGCTCCACCAGTCAGCATCCAAAAATGATGTAGCCATGAAGAAACATTTTCAGGATCTTCGGCGACGATACGGTGGAGTTCAAGTTGTCTGCTTGGTGGATAAACACGGTCCTGAGAAGATCATCGGCGATGCCTTCGAGAACAAGGTTCACTCCTTGCAGAAGTCTAATCAACTTGAAGACGTCCAGTATGAGTGGTTCGATTTCCATGCCGAGTGCCGCGGTATGAAGTTCGAGAATGTCTCAAAGCTTGTGGACAAGCTCGAAGATACCATCAAGAATTACGGGGAGACCATGATCTCTGGAACCGGAATCGAGACAACCCAGTCCGGGATAATCCGTACGAACTGTATGGATTGCTTAGACCGCACCAACGTGGCACAGAGTGCTTTTGGACAGTACATGCTTCAGAAAGACCTGGCTAGGGAAGGGTTCGAGATTGATTTACTGCACGATGAGACCACCACCTGGTTCAACACCCTATGGGCTGATAACGGAGACGCCATATCTCGGCAGTATGCGTCTACGGCAGCACTGAAAGGGGATTTCACACGAACCCGGCGGCGGAACTATCGTGGAGCCTTGAATGATTTCAGCCTGACGTTGACTCGATACTACAACAACATGGTCAATGACTATTTCTCTCAAGCAGTCATTGACTTCTTACTTGGGAATATGTCATGGAGAGTGTTTGAAGATTTTGAGAGCAGTATGATGAGTAAAGACCCAGGCATATCTGTTGATCAAGCTCGGCAAGCTGCGATTGAGAGTTGTGCAAAACAGGTTATACAGGAGAACGACGAAGATCTTATTCAGGGGTGGACAATGCTAACGCCCGCACATGAGAACACTCTGCGGACCCTGCCATTCGAAGAGGCGGTGATCCTGTTGACCGATGCAGCTCTGTACTGTTGCAGGTTTGATTGGACCACCGAAAAACTTGCCTCTTTTGAAAAAGTTGACTTGCGCTCTGTCTCCAAGATCCGATATGGGACGTATATCACGTCCACTTTCAGTGAAAAGCAGATGAAGGAAGAGCTGAATGCCGGGGTTGTGGTGATATATCATCCTGGAAAGGGAAACACCATTCGGACGAACACGAGATCCTTACAAAACTACGTCGCGCCTAAGGCGGATGAATCTGAGAATCGAATCGACGGAGGAACAGGGATCCTGTCTTGGCTTAGTCCCAGCCATGCACCGGCATCGAGAAAGTTGGCCATGAAGGTGATCCCGGCAGCGACGACAGACCCGGATGGAGTAGTGGGAATCCAGGCTGAGGCACCGTTAGCGGTGGCTGAGAATGTGGCAGGTGAAATTCGACGAGCTCTCACAGGGAGCACAGAACAAGGTGAACAGCAAGGAAACGACCTGGTAGAGCAGTCAGCCATTATCTCGTTGGAAGAAGCGAAGAAACGTACCGGATATTTTGAGCAGCTAGGTCATTCCTTGAAGAAGATGGTGTGGACCTGAGGCAGAAAACAGTGCGTGATGATGACATACACGGCCTTGCGGCCCCCAGAGACTATCTCGTGCACGTTCCATGGGTGTCTTGTAGCACAGCTAACACAGCCTTGTTTGTCCGACAACTCATAACTTTGTTCTTCCCTTACCCCCTTCCAACGCTTCTTACCCGCCGTGCCGGCCCGAGAACGGATCAACATCGGCATATTGTAAATCCGTCCCGGCTTAGTCACGGCTCATATAGAACATGATTGGCGGGAAATTGGGGCGCTAAAGACGATCTGGATCTGGGATCTTGCCATGCCGCAGCGTTTCATCCCCTCCCCCCAAAAACTGCTCTGCGTGCACTTGTCCAAAATTCTCCTCCACAATTACCCTGTCGTCTTTGTGTCAAAACATTGTTAAGGTTGATGACTGCCGTCTGGCTTGATGTGATTGATGGTGTGTGTACTGTATGTCCAAATTCTCGGCGCCTTGGATGATTGATGAAGAAGTGGACAACTTTCAACTGACTTGGCTTTGTTCGCAGGTTTGTGAGGAAACGAGTCGGCTAAACTCACGAGCAATCAACGTTCCACCTCATTCTGCCTCGGATCTCATTGTATTCAAAGTTCCCACTTCAGACAAGCGGAAACGTGAAGGCTCTCCTGTCCTCTTCAGTTCTCTTTGAACGACCCTCCCGAACCACGACACTGCGCATCTTTTTCCTCGATCGAAGAGCCTCCGGGCAACGGTGCCCGTCATGACGTGGCAACCGGAGGAGGATGGGTTGAGGCAGTTGTCAGAATACCTAAAGAATTCCTTAAGTGGCCATGACAGAAACAAGCAAAAAGAAGCTGAGGTGGTGCGTCTTGACTTCCTGTCGTCTTGTCTTTTACGTCCGGCCCAAAGAGAGAAGAAAAAAAAGAAATCCGGGGTAGAAGATCCCCGCGCGGGTCTTCTTCAGAAGGGACGATCTCAAACTTTCCAGAAGAGCAAAATCACTAACCAGGACATGAACCAAGCAAACAGATGCTCATGAATGCGCGCAACAATAAGGATTATGTCAATTACCTTACCTACATCTTCAGCACGCCGCAGCTTGGCCAGACTCTGAATCTCGCTGCACCCAGTCTTTTCCTCATTCGCTATGCTGCTGCTGTCAACCTCAAGAACCACATCAAACTGTTCTATAGCCAAATCCCCAAGGATCAATTGGCATACATAAAGGGGGCCACCCTTAACGTTCTCCGCGACCAGAACTCACAGTTGCGCAGTTTCGCAGGGACTGTGATCACCGAGACGGTCCAACAGGGCGGTCTGCTGCAATGGCCTGAGATTCTGCAAGAACTGCTGGCGCTCGTGGGTAACGCCAGTGGAAACGTTGCGGGAGAGACGCAGGAAGGTGCGATGAGCGCTTTGGCGAAGGTATGTGAGGATAACCGAAAACTGCTCGATAAGGAGTTTCAAGGTCAACGCCCCATGAGTGTCATCGTGCCGAAATTGCTCGAGTTTGCTCTTCATCCAAACCCTAAGATCAGGGTCTTTGCGCTCAGCACCCTCAAGTCGTTTATTCCACAAAAATCGCAAGTGTTATTTTCCACGTTGGACGTCTATCTGCAGACTATCTTCCAACTTGCCTCCGATCCGGACGTGCAAGTCAGACGCATAGTGTGCCAGTCCCTTGTGCAACTGGTGGATGCGAGGCCCGACATGTTGGCGCCTCATCTCGAGGGACTCGTCAATTATATCCTCACCCAACAACAATCGACAGATCACCCAGATCTAGCGTTGGACGCGGCCGAGTTCTGGTTGAATATTGGGGAACAAGATCAATTGCGAGGTCAAATGGGGCCATATTTGGAAAAGATCATTCCTGTGCTTCTCTCGGGCATGGTATACGGAGAAGAAGATGCTTTCAGACTGGGTGGTGAAGAAAACAATGCCGATGTGGAGGATCGTGCCGAAGATATCAAACCTCAATTTGCCCAGACCAAGGCGGGAAGAGGTGTTGTTTCGATCGAAAAGGACGAGAGTCAGCCTGGAACGCCACAGGCGAATGGGACATCACAACCTAAAAACGATCTCAGCGACGGGGAAGTCGAGGACGAAGATGAAGACGAAGATGAATGGGATGACGAAGATCCTGAGAACGCGTGGAGTTTGCGCAAATGCTCTGCCGCAGCACTGGATGTTTTCGCGGTCAACTATCACTCGGCCGTCTTCAACATCATTCTGCCATACCTCAAGGAAAACCTTTCTCACTCTCTCTGGCCGAAACGCGAAGCCGCAGTCCTCGCTCTTGGCGCCATCGCAGAAGGTTGCATGGACGTCGTCTCTCCTCATCTACCCGAGCTCGTTCCATTCCTTATCTCTCTGTTGTCGGACGAGGAACCAGTTGTTCGTCAGATTACGTGCTGGTGTCTGGCCCGTTATTCCGAGTGGGCCGCCCGACTGGAATCTCAAGCTGATAAACAACGATACTTTGAACCTATGATGGAGGGTCTCCTGCAGCGCATGCTCGATCCGAACAAGAAAGTCCAGGAAGCCGGGGCTAGCTCCTTTGCGTCCCTCGAGGAGAAATCTGGAGACAAATTGAAGCCGTACGTCGAACCTATCTTACGACAATTCACCGAGTGCTTCAGACGGTACAAGGATAAAAACATGTACATCCTGTACGACTGCCTGCAGACTCTCGCTGACAATGTTGGCTCACAAATTGCCACGCCGGAGCTTGTCGACCTGCTCATGCCTGTCCTGATCCAACGATGGAACAAAATCCAAGACGACTCCCGCGAAATGTTCCCCTTGCTCGGGTGTTTAGGGTACATCGCAATGGCTTACGGCGATACCTTTGCACAGTTCGCTCCCCCCATTTTCGACCGGTGCATCAAGCTCATTTACGCAAACCTACAACAGCACATGGCTTATATGAGTGGCCAGACTGTCGATCAACCGGACAAGGACTTCATCGTGACGGCTTTGGATCTTCTTAGTGCGATCATCCAGGCCATTTCTCCAGAGAAGTCAGCACCACTTGTACAGAACTCGCAGCCTCAGTTTTTCGACCTGTTGGGCTTCTGTATGGAAGATGCAACCACTGATGTGCGACAGTCTGCATACGCGGTTCTGGGTGACTGCGCGATTGCACTCTACCCCAGCCTGGATCCCTATCTAGAGAAATTGATTCCGATTCTGATAAGACAACTTGATCTGGACTCCATCCCGGACACGGATTCCGAAAACGGTTTCAACGTCCTCGCCAACGTGTGCTGGAGTATGGGCGAAATCGCGGCAAGAGCACCGGCCAGCAGAATCGCGCCTCTCATCGAGCCGCTCTATCGTGGTCTGTTGTCCATGATTACGAACGAAGAAGTCCCTGATGCAGCAAGTGAGAACGCCGCAACTGCATTGGGCAGACTTGGTGTGCCGTGTGCGGACCATCTCGCACCCTTCTTGTCCGAGTTCGCAGAGCCGTTTTTGCAGTCCATGTCCAAGATAAGCACATCGCATGAGAAGGCCTCGGCGTTCATAGGGTTCAACAATATTTTGGAGAAAAATCCTCAGGCCATGGAATCGAGTCTGGTCTTGTACTTTTCTGCAATCGCGCAGTTCCCCCTCAAAGGACGACAGGGACAGGAATACAGCGATGTACGAGCCAGTTTCGCTAGGGTCATCAACGGCCTTGGCGGATTGATTGGGCAAGAGAGGTTCGAAGGTTTCATTGGAGGGCTGGCAGCGCCGGTTCGAGCCAAGTTGAGGGATGGCTATGGTGTTGGCTCCGGATGAGGAGAGATGCAACAGTTGCGGTATCTGCTCGGGTTGCGGAAACAGCCAGCCTTCATTGCCGCAACTAACGGAAAATATGAGTCCGAAGGCGAAGATGGACATGAAAATGATGCAACAAACAAGCCAACCAACCCAACTACATTACGTTAAGCTATCTGGGTGGGGAAAAGATGAATAAGGGAGTGCTGAGTGGCCGTGAAGATACAAAACAATTGACATCATTTGTGATGGGGTAGGAAGAAAGAGAAATCCGACCAAGGCCAAAATGTAAGACAGGACCCAGACATGAATCGACATGATGACGAAACCGAGATGAAAAGGGGGAGAAGAGAGGAAGAAATTAAGAAGAAAAAGAATCAATTGAGCTGGTCGAAGCAATTGCAACATGGCCCCTTTCTTTTTCCGTACGTCGAACAAACCATCTTTGCCCGATTATCGTCGTCGTCGTCGTTGAGAGTCCAAGAAAGAAAAGGAAACAACAGAGGCAGAGGCAGAGGCAGGGACAGGGACAGATGACATGATGCGACACACGATATTCAAGCGATTCGAGTTGCTGGGACGGGAACGTCGGGCGGAGCTGGTAGCTAGCCATCTCACCATCTCGCCGTCTCGCCGTCTCGCCGTCTCGCCCGAAGAGATAGATACCCCCGGTTTTGGGCCAATGGAGAAAGAAAGAACCGGGAAGGTGACAAGCCACACACCAGTCAACCAACAGGTTCAAATGGTCTGCCACTCTGTCCTGTCCTGCCCTGCCATACCCCGTCCTGCTGCCCACTCACTCACTACCCGCTCCACCGTCTCCAGGCAGAGAATCAGAGTCGTCAGGCCGAGTTAGCTTTGAGACAACCGGACTATCGACCTGGACCCGAGCTTCAATCTGTCTAGCGATATGGGACAACAAAATCTTGGGTTTTTTGTTTCCTCTCCCCCTTGCTTTGTTTTCATGTTAGAGAGCGTGGTTATTCCCCCCCTTTTCCCCCTTGTCTCCCTCTCCCTCTCTTCGTCCTTCCCTCTTTCCTTTTCATTGTATAGCGTAGATAGTCACGATAGTCTAGAGTAGATAGCTAGGTAGCGATGGGCACTCGAGCCTCTCTCATAAGCGCTTTGGGCGTGTTGAGCATTGAGCGGTCGGTCACATACATACATAGCAGCAGCAGCAGCAGCAGCAGCAGCAGCACTAAATCAAATAATGAATGGACCGCAGGGAAAATCAGAATCAACAAGTCAAAGTTTGTGGTCAACATCAAGTGGTATTTGAGAGGTAACTAAAGGAGACACCAACCTGTCTTGCACTTACACGCAAGCAGCTTTGGTATCGTGGATATGCTAGATGCTGCCTTCTGCCACAAAAAAAAGCGCCACTCGAAAATCACTGCCTTGCCATTCGTCTTTCCTTTTTGGCTCGGTCAGTGGAATCGTGTCAAGCCTCATGCAATGGTGGCGGCGCCTGCTATAGCTGTTCAAGGCGAAAGAAAATGTCGAAAATCCGTGTCAGTGACCCTCCATCTCACCCACCCTCAATGAGACGATGACTTGCCCCTCGTGAACTCACCAAAAAAAAAGCGCCTATCTTGCTTGTACCATCCGGTATTACATTTGTTGCCAGTGTTGCGACAGGGACGAAAGGATAATGTGAAGCGTGAGCTGATATCGTCTGCAAGACTTATCTGAAAAATGTATGCTGCCGAGTTCCAGTCTCATTGACAAATCAAGTCTTGATGGAAGAGAGTGATGGGATCGTTACCCACTGCTTGGCGAGCAGGTCGATCGAACAGTATCGTTTAGACCACAATTGTTTTCTGTGCAGGAGTAAATGCGTACTTTGGCAACATGGCCATCTTCTCTTCAGGACTTGTCTCGTTATCAGAGTAGACCAACCTGGTTGCTTTTGGTTTCTCCTTCTCCTTGTCTTTCTTCGGTCCAGCCTTATCTTCGCTGGCTTCGTCCTTGGTGGTGGCCGACGCAGTGGTGGCAAGTGGCGTACTGGGTTTGGCGACAGCCTCGGCAGCAGCGGCGGCGGCATCGGCATCAGCTTGTTTCGAAGCATTTGCAATCAAGTCATCAAGAGACGAGGCATCTTGAGCTTCAACAGCAGAAGGCTGGTCCGGTATGGGAACCTGTGGCGGGACTTGCGTGCTTGTGCTGCCTTGAGTCTGTCCGGGAGCGTACTGCGGCACAATGTTATGGGATTGTGGAGCAGGGATCTGACCTTGATGCATTTGTTGAAATTGGAAAGCATTGACTGGCGGAGCACCGAAAGCGGGCCTCTGCGGCAATCCTGGAGCACTAGGTAGACTTACACTGCCAGTACGCACTGGTGCAGGAAAATTACCGTTTGTAGCAGGCGAATGGGAGCGTTGTGCAAGAGCTGGGGGTGGCTGAGGAAACCCTGGGACTGGAGATCCCGATGCAAATGGACGTGGAGGTCCAGCGGGTTGGGGAGGATAGGCTTGGCTCGGATAAGGTGACGTGTACTGAGGTGGTGAAAAACTCGGTTGTGGGGGATATCCCACCGGTGAAGGTTGCGGCGGCTGAAATGATGGCTGCGGCGGTTGAACGTATGGTTGTGGAGGGTATGGTATCTGCCCATATCCAGGTTGCCCAGGCTGTGGAGTTGCAGCGTGTTGGCCGTAGGCTTCGCCAGCAGGCGGAGATCCGGCAGAAGGATATATAGGTGATGCCTGATACGGAGCAGATAAAGCGGTTGGGGGTTGGGCGAAGGAAGGGGCTTGACTGTACGAACCATTCGTAGGTGGCGCTGCATAGGGTTGTTGATATCCAGGGTAGGTTGGAGACGCTGCCTGTTTCGAGAATGAGTAAGTGTGACACGGTGAAGACTTGAATCGACTCACCGTGTTTATCTGGGGTTTGGCTTGGACTATAGTAGCTGTAGGGGGGTTAGGAGTGCCACCACCACTGCTTCCTCCATCGGCTTGCTCAGCAGCCAGTTTGGCAGCCTTGTGTTCTGCCAGACGTTTCTTAATATCGGAAACAGATTCGATCTTGGGTTTCTTGGGGGCGTTCGGATGCTGGGCACCTTGAGCATTATTGCCAGAAGCCGCCTGCCGGTCAGCTTGGGCTTGGTGAAAGTTGGTCAGGACTCGCTGATTATGTTGTTGGATAATATCTTCGGGTATCCCTTCCATTCCAAATATTTCGATATCTAAACCCGCTCGGTTAGGGAGGGCGTTGTCGACGGCAGTGAGATTCTCTTTGTGGACTTGACTCATGTGGACGCTGAGGCCTCCTGCCGTGTTCAACCTTCGACCGCATCTTTCGCATTTGAAGTGCTTTGCTTTTTGATGGTTGATCAGAATCTTGAGGTCGTCAAAGTCGCGCTCACAGTAGTAGCACCATGGCCGTGCGAGCACCTCTTCGACATCGGGATGGTGACGCTTCTTCTTGGTCATGACGAGGGCGTGCAGGGGAGAACCAGAGGCGTCTTCGGGATTGTGCAGCTGAGGAAGGACTAGGCAGCCGGAGAGCGGAGAATGCTAGATGAGTGTTGAGATTTCTTGTGGAATGGAAGAAGATCACAAACTCGCCGAGATAAAGGAGCACAAATTCACGCGATGGCCGGCCGGTCGATAGTGAACTTGATGCCGTGGAGTTGGAGACAATAATAACATGAAGAAAGGGAAAAGGTCCGCAACGTGAAATGTCCGAAGCGCAGTTTCGCTCCTGCCAAGATTTGACGGGCGACTGCTGACTGTTCTTGGTGGTTGGAAATTGGACTTCAGCCTTGCCCGCAGCTCAGCCTTGCAGCCTTGTTTGTTTTTCCGTATCGAGTAAGGCAGACAAATGCTTCCGTTGTACCGAGTACAGCATACCTACTCAGACATGGAAAAATATGGCATCGCTTTTATTTAGTAAGACACTCGAGACTCTATCAAGAAATTCCATACCTAAGACTCTGTAGGATGATTCTCTTCGAAGCGGCAACTATCGCCCTACAGTGACGCCTCCATACACACGTCGTGCTGTTGCCAAACCAATGATGTCTTCTACCAATAGACAAACTTAGCCACTGGATCTCCGTGTATTCCGTAGCGATCGCCTTGTCGACGGGGCATTGCCCTTGACCACAATCGTCGAGTCGCTCTCTTCTCTCTTCATGCTTGGCCTTCTTATCAATGATGCGTGACTGTTCAGATCTTTGCCATTTCTGTCCACTGCCACCTCCTCTCCTCTTGATGATGGTTCCATCTCTGTACCTGCCTGTTTTCCACTGTTCGTGCCATTGCGCTTATCTTGCTCCAAGTCCTTGTCTCTGAAAGTGGCGTTTTCCGCCCCAGGTGCTCTTCGGAAGGACTTCGTTGCTCGTGTGTTTACTCCCAGCTTTGGCGCGTGTGTTGCCACGCCATTGACGGCTTCTGGCGCCGGCGTCGTTGCAGGTGTTGATCGCTCGCTGTCCTCCGCCATTTTGGGCTTGGTCACCCTTCGTCTCGGCTTTTGAGACTCGCTGGAGTCCTCGGTTTCTTTGACTGCTTCTTCTGGTTCCGCCGCGTTCTTTTTCGCCCGTGGTCTCTTGGCTTGGTTGGTCACTTGCCAGTAGTTCCATTTGAGCAGCATGCTCAGGCTTCGAACTGGATTGATGCCATTGAGGAGCTTGTGCTTCCACTCTTCTGCCCTTTTGGGGTCATCATGCAACCACGAGTGATCTTCCTTGATCGACTCGATCAAGTCCGGGTCTGTCCACTTGTGTGTGCGTTTCGACATGGGCGACAACTCCCGCCATGTGGGTTTTGACGATGACGACGATGACGGCATTACGGGTTTGACACTAGCTGGAGCCGGGGCGGTTTGCGTGGTCGAAGCCAATTCTCTCTCCTTTGCTTTGGTATATTGATTCGGATGCTTCGGTTTAGGCTGTTCGCCACCATTGACGGTAAGATGGATCTTCCGGCGTTTCGAAGTAGGGGTATCTTCCCTGGTGTCGGCTCCTGAGGGGCTTGCTCGTTTTTTGCCATTTGGAGTAGAAGCTGTCGACGGAGCCTCCGACACGTCTCGCGTGGGCGGGAACTTTTTGCCATCAAAACGAGTTCTGGTCAACCGTTTGTTGACGGCCTTGTCTGGAGTTTCACCAGGGACTTCGCTACCTTCGGGCGATTGAGGTCGAATAATCTCACCATTTTCATCCACATTGCGCTTAACATATGTGATGTTGTATTCTTCATGGTGAGTTTGTTGACGTGGAATGAGGAGCTTGCCGTCCTTTTCGATGGGGATCCAGCCGTCGACGTTTCTGGGATCTTTGGCTTTGGCGAGCCTGGCCTTGTACTCTCTCTCCTTGGGCACAAAGCCGCCTTGCTCGAAGGGTTCTTGGAACAAGCGCACATCGTGTTTTTCCCTCTCGGTCAGATCATCGGCAGATCTCAGACCAGGAATGCCGGCATGGAGAAGCGCTGGGCGATTGGCATCATACTTGTAACCGTACAGCGCCGCTTCTTTCCTTTCCTCAAAGACATCCGGTGCCGGGAGATCTCTGGGATTTTTGGTGATTTCTTTGCCCTTGATGTTGGCGATGTGGCGTTCTAGCTCCAGGTATTCGTTCTGGGCGTCTATCATGGCCAGTTGATTGTTAGCACTCGCGGCGTAGAGTTGTTGCTGGTTCAGATTGGCCAGGTTCATGATGAATTTTTGCGGATCCGTCAGTGGTCGCCATCCATCGTCGCCCAGCTCTTCCGAACTGTAGGGCAGGGGTCGGATAGCTGATTCGCCAAACGCGAAGCGCCACAGAGTGTCGATTTCGGTGGCTGACATGGTGCAAAGCAAGAGGATACGCGATGGAGAAGCGCAAGGTTACTTTCCATCTAGGTGATGAGGGATAAATGAAGATGTTGGTGTAATGATGAGCGGATGGAATGGCGTGAAAAAGGATGGTTCGGGGCGGAAAGCAAAAGGGCAAGTTTTGGGGGGGAGGGAGTAAAGCGCAGAGTGGCACTCAAACAAGTTGGCTGGGAAACAAGTGACTTGAGACAATAGATCGGACGTCAATGGAGATGAATGAATCAACTATTCAAAACAATGGAAATGAGAATCTCTGAAGGTCCGGCAGGCGTGCTGTTGTATCGGGGGGTGGTGGTGGGAGGCGGCCAGGATGGCTGATGAGCACTTAGTATTTGGCCGGCCGACCAATCATATGCCGCCCTTTACACCAGTCCCGCCCGGCCAATCAGAGCCATTCCTCCCTTTTTTGTGGCATCCAAGACACAAATTTTTCCTCCTTTCAAATGCACCGTGCCCCCATCAGGTATTGTAAGTACATTAATCCGTGATACCAATCTGTGGCAAAAGGAATGGAATATGGAAAATAACTGTTTTTCATGTCAATGTTTGCTTTCCATTGGACAATGGACATGCACAATCTACTCTTTTTGTCTATCACAGTGCCTTTTTGCGGGGGCCTTTTTCCGAGCAGGGTATCAACAAGGCCTGCTCCCTATTGTAGAGAATTGCTGTCGTTTGACATGAGAGAAAAACACCGTCGAGCTCAGATGCCAGGCAGAGTTCATGTAGCACCACGGCTCAACTTCTCCCTCATTCTCTTCTCAGTCGCCTGTTTCGCTTGGTCTATCCACGCATCATAGGTTCCATCTTGAATCTTCATCTTGACCACCCCCTTGAGCACTTCCTCCGTAAAGCCCACAAAGTTGTGCCGTCGAAGTGCGTTGTCAAAATCCCATTTTTCTCGCTTCCGCTCCTCCTCCGCAAGCAGCCCGGGTTCCTGGAGTTCGCGCCACTTGATCCTCTGGTCTTGGCACACGACCATGAGGTTGAAGCGGATCTCATCTTCTGGGTATCTCGAAATCCTCCGTTGCAACACAGAGATGATCTTGTCCGGGAATTCGTCCGAGGTGCAGTCGCCATGAGAGATGGGATAGGGTTGGAGCCCGTCGAGCTCGTACAGTTTGCCATGGTATTGCGTGTACGCAATGAAGTGAAACACGTCTTCGGTTCCCGCGTTGGGGTCACGTAGAGTCTCGTCAACAAACGGGCTGGATTTCGCGAAGCTGTTGTGTACAGTTCGTATCATTTCCGAGTTTGAGAGCGATTCTCCGCGCAGCCCCGGGTCAAAACCCGCTGTGAACTCTTTGAACTCTTGTAGCGCAGGTCCGATGTCAATTCTTGCTCCTCCCTCACCCGTCCCCGACGAAGCGCCGTCGACCGACTTGTCATTGTTCAAAACCACTGAGAGAACAGCCTGCGTACCACAGGCGTTTTGTATAGTCTGGGCGGCAAAGAAGAGTCCCTCGTCCTCGACTGCGGTACGATCGTAGGAGCCATCTTGAGGCGCACTTTTATTTTCTGAACCTTGGCCGATCCATTTGAAGAGAAAGATGACACCATAGACGGGACTGAAGTACAAGCCGGGGGTTGTGTCAGCGTGGCTGGTTTCACATGGGAACGACCCTCGCGCGGGACGCAGAGAGGAAAGGGCACGGGGAGTACCTCAGAGCACGGATCCAATCTGCATTCAGTGAGAACAGCTCTTCAACCTGCACATCCTTGACTCCCAGCTGTTCGATCAGAGAGGTGAAGACGCCCTGTAGCAAACATCAACTTGTCAGCGATTCCATCGTGAATGCGATGCGCCGTCGAATTGGAACACCGGAACGACAAGGGTGCATGGACCTTGTGTTGGGCTTACTTCATCTGATTCTATGGTGCTCCAACCACCACTGGCGGCATCTTCAGCCATCACAGAGGGGGTTGCGGACGAACAGAAGGGTCAGGTGCGAGAACTTCAACACCTGCGCCGTCGGATCGATGGGTCAGTTAGAACCTGGGATATGCACGAATCTGTGAACATGTAAACATCCCCAGAGTGGGGGTCAATTAACTGCAGACCTCGTACGGTCAAACTGCGCTCCCCTGCAGGTCAACTTGCTGCACTGTGGCTCCTACGGGGCGAGGGGGTAATAAAAGTGGGATGGTTTGATGATGCTTACAGGTAGGTTCCCTTCCCCCGTAACTTAGCGATGCTTGTCCCTTTGGAGGCCACAATACATACCTCGTATATAGATAGGCATGTACCTCATACCTCAACCCTGGGCCACCCTCCCCTCTGCATCCTTTCTTCTGCAGGTCAACCCGTGGGTCTTCTTTCATGCCCTTTCCACATACCCCTGCCACGCTCCAAGCAAAATGTCCCCCCGGCGCTTGATTTGTCTCCATCAGAGCTGTTCCACAAGCCAAACGGAATAGAGGTGACCACCTAGCAGGAGACAAGCGTGGCTACTTATCTTCCTTGACTCATGTCAGTACCTAGGTACTAGGGTACTTGTTCTGCTTATGACGCTCTCAGTACTCACTCTATCATTCTCGCTACTGTCTTCGCCACGTGGACAGCTTCGTGTTCCAAGGTGGAGGGATGGAATCCAAACCCGTTCGGCTAATGCGGGTCGATATGCACCACGGGACGATGCAACTGCTCAATATCGGGACCCGTAACCCCCGTGTCTCGTAATAGGAGTCTACCCTTTGTGTTTCGGACACCAGGCGTTAAGACTCCATCTCGTGTTCCCTCCCGGCACCGTATACCGTCCCAGTCTGCCGACGCCATCATACGAGTTATGAACAACATCTGCCTGGGTCAAGCGGACTCCCAGGGTGCGGCACATGTACCGACGCGCCCGATGTTCCCAAATTACCTATAAATACGAACAAGCTTGTTTTTCAAATGAGCACATGAGGACCATCCTGCTCAACCTTCAACTTGACATATATCATATCGGTGAGAGCACATCAAAGCCGTCATTGAATCACAAAGGAGTGGCTGGGGTTGGAAAGGAAGCACTGGAGTTCCCTACACACAATGCCAACCAAATTAAGCTGAGCTGAAAGAGCCTCCGTCCAGCACTGCAAAAGCAACTCCGTTCCTGGCAGTACCGAGCCGGCAAGGTGAAGTCATGCCTCGTCGTGAATACACCATCAGCAGATAATGCCTCCCCGAGAACGTGATCGATCTTTGATAATCAAGAGATCGACGAGCTCCATATGAGTCAAAGAAAGAGAGAGCGTTCCATTCCTCCCCGAACCGAGATGACAACGCAGGACCAACGCTGATTGAGATTTTTTTTTCCGCCGTATTTGGTATATTGCCAACCCCTACGTCCAGTGGTACCGGCCTTCGCTCGCGGGTTTCGTTACCGTTCCCACTGGGATCCCGTCTGGCCTGATTCGATGGCTCGCTAGTCATCGTGGATCGCTCCCTCTTCAATATCTCCAGTCTCACGTCATCGCCCAGCCCCCCTGCTTGGTCCGATGTCATTGTTGGCGCTCTTTCCCTTTGTCGGGTTGCCCTTGTTGCACATTCGGAGACATAGTGGCCGGCGGAGTCCTGTGGGAAAGAAGAATACTCAGTCGAAAGATGTCCGTCAAGTCCAGAGTTGTGAAGGAGCGACGAACCGAGTATTCATGTTCATGCTGCCGTATTGATTGTACGGTGCTTGAATTTGTCCAAAGTAGTCCATTCTTGACCCTGAAAGCTCGTGGCTGCTTCGCGGGTGTGTGGCTGGAGATCCATACACCATACCCAGGGCATGTGGGCTGCTTGAGGCGAGGCTCCGAGGGTCACTCATGGGAGGGGTACGCCCCATCGACGATATCGATGATATTGACGATTCTCGCCGTGGTTCCGCAGGCGCCAGAGCCGCTTGGAAATATGACGATCCGGGCATGGACAGATTGCCGGGCGCGTGTAGCGGTGAATTGGGGTAGATAGGGGCAGCTGAGCTGTCTGAGTTAGGAGTAGCAATCGGTATGCGAGGGCCCACATAGGGACTTCCTTGCGGAGAATGGTGATAGCCCTCAATGCCCTGATTCCCCTGGCTGTTATGTCTCTGCCTCAGTCTGTATGAAGTCATTATCTGTATTGGTACCTCCATAAGAGATAAGGCCAGAGAGATGCTCGTGTCTTGGGGTTGTGTCGCACGCCTTGTTCTCAGCATGTCATGAATCTTCTCCAGTGGTCCAATGGACATGTTTCCGAGGTACGCGCCCCCAATCTCTGGAAACAGTGGTTCAATCGCAAGCGCACCGGCGTAAAGATGTGCGAGTAGAGCCAAGGGTCCCAGATCGGGGTCAGGACCCTGTAGGATGAGGGGTGGCAGCCAGAAGATCATGTCCCGTAGTGGCTGTAGTCGGCTGAACGCTTTGTCGGGTGATGCAATTGATAAGTCTCGTTGTAAGTCCTGCAGGTAATCAAGTAGTTGACCCGCATGTTCCTGGAGCTCTTCGTTTGCCGAAAGTCGCAGTCTCAAATTATGAATGGCCGTGATGATTTCTTCTATCCGGCGAAGTTCATCATGAGGGATCAACACCTGGGCATGCGGCATTGAGGGTGTCGCCGGTGTTCTTGCTCTCGCTATAGTTCTCTGGCTTTCCAAGTACCTTGCGAGCTCTGATTCATGTATCCACATCCTCATCGCACTCAGAACCTACAGAAAGTCAGGAGCTTTGCTTGTTAAAAGACACCGTTTGACATACCGTCGATACTCCCTGTTGGAGTGAGGCCCAGCCGCGCCTGGTAATTGTTAGCTGTTGCAGAGTTGCTAGACACTGAACGCACCAATCCGTAGCCTGCCACGAGAGGAGAATTGAGGCAGCAAGAATAGCTTCGGAATTCTCTCTCGAAAAGGCCCCAATGGCTTGATGGAGACCTTTGATAGCGACACCTCGGTGGTGGTACGCCAGATTGACTGTGTCTGTGTTCTTCGTCTGCCATGCTAGATGAGATGCCGACAGTGCAAGCAACGCACTCATCACGAAATCATGTGTTAGAGCGGCCGAAATGAGCCTAAGGAAAAGTCAGCTGAAAACCATATAGGATGATACGATCTACCCTACGAAGGCATTCTAGACACCCAGACCGTGCATGGGCTATATCCCAGATTGTACATGTCAGTTGATAATGTCGTGATGTGGTGAACAAGACGTAGATCAATGGTTGAAAATCGTGTCCAATATATCCTGTCAGAAACTTGAAGCTCCTGCAAGGGGGACTCGCCCGTCAGTCGCCAGTTGTCGAGTCGGAGTTGCAGTTCAGGTGACATCAAGAGATCTGGTGGTGTGGTACCCTTCACGGGTTCTTCTCCTGCAGCTTGCAGGTCCATATAGTCGCAGCGACAACTGTGTTTCGTGCAATTTCGACATTGTGGAAAGGTTTCATCGCAGCGTATGTGTCGCCTTTTGCAGGTTTTGCAGCCTTTTCTCGATTTTGTATGGCTCTTACGCGGCGGGCCACCTCCAGGACCTGCCATTCTTCGAGCCAGATTGAAAGATACTGTGCGTGGTTGGAGCCTGATGAAGCCAGCCGCGTCTCTGTACCGTCCCGAGCAGTACTTGTCCTGACAGATCAAGAGCGCAAAGAAACCCGAATTCGATGGAGAGGATGTTCCGAATGGTCCGGAACAACCAGAACGCGCTCTCCGCGTTGTAAATCTCTGCAATACTCACAACAATGTGTGAAAACGGTGGTCGGACAAAGACGTGCTGGACTCCAGGAAAGGTTCTCGTATTAATGGGCAAGGCTGAGAGACATTCGTCCCCACAAGAACGTTGGGTTCGACAAATCCGAGGAACAAGGAACTGACATCGAAGAAAGAGAAGGTCAACCAAAAATGAAAGGGTCGCTCGTATGACAAAGGTTCGGTTTTGAGTCCCGTCATTCGCGGAACCGATTGTCAGCAGGGACAAGGGAGATAGGTGTCAACATGATAGACGTTCTGCTGGACCACGGGTGTGATGGAGGGGAGGAACAGAAATCTGGAATGCCACGAGGCGTCATGGGTAGTAAGTACGAATTCGAGGCTCGGAATAGAACTTGTGGTCACGACATGCATGCATTTCGGTCTCCAAAGCTACTGCGTCGCGTGGAGCTGCAGTTCAGGAAAGGCACCAGGCAATGGGACACCGGGGCGACTCAGCCTCGATTCCTGGCGGCAGTTCCATCGACCTTTGTCGTCTGGGCTATTGGACTTGCGAAACCATTCGGTTGAGAAGAGGCGAGCTTTCTGCGGAAGTGGAAGCTGAAGGCAGCCATACAGCCGACGATTGGTCTTGTTGGCCTAAGGGAACCAGCAGCAGGAACGCACAGTGGCTGCCACTTCTCACAAGTGGAGGGAATCAGAGGCTACCCGCGGGTCGCCGTGCAGCTGCCACTCTCTGGGCTTGGCCTAATGTGACTAAGAGGACCTTGGAAAGGTTTTTTTTCTCACCCCTCCCACCTGGTCGAGAAATGACTTGTGGGAAACTGGAATAGGGATCCAGGTCAGAATCGAGTGACTGCTGAAAGACCGGTTCGACGGAGCATATTCGCCCGCCGAGGTTTAGCTTCAACCTTCAGGATTTAACGTGGTGTCCCCGTCGGGAATCTCAAAGGGCTGTGAGCCAGAACTCTGGGATTCGGAAGTGAAGGTTGCAGGGTCTCTCTTGGTCGGCTACAATGCTGGGACGAAGGGGGATCTCCAGGCTGACTTTCCAAGTTCTTTGGGTCTGGGGACGGGTGGCCCCCACCAAGTGCCCGAAGGAGACAAATCTCTCGTATTTGGGAACCAGTCTGATGGATCGAATCTGGCCGGATGAGATGAGCGCAAAGAGAATCAGCCTGGCGCCAGGCAAGGATGACTGGGATATGCATCATGATGCATGCTGCTTAGAGGTGGGTACGCTTCTGGAGAAGACGAATAGATTTCGGAGCGCAATGACCATCTGCAGCCCTGTCAAGCGTGGCAAGCAAGTCTTGTCGGCGTCCAGGGCCAAACAACTGTCATGAAGCCCAAGAAAAATGATGACAAGAATGCGCCGGGGAACTTTGTTGCGAAGCGCATGCCAAGGCCAGCTGAAGACCTCGTGGCTTCTTATCCAACAGCAGAATACATCCACTGATGCAAGCCTAAAGGGGCAGCCACTGAAAACATGTCTCTGGTCCGTTGATTGGGTTGGGCCAGAACGCTTGAGTTTGGAGCTCTTGGAGTCTCCCTCCTAGTCCCTGCAGAAGCCGATTTGAGCTCATGCGACAGTAGTCTCCAAAGACCCCCTCACTGATTACCCTCGTTCGTCTCGATGGGGTGTGCTAGGCCAATTGCTGCAGGGTTTAGCTGGGAGCCTCATGGTTGATAAGAGACCATCTGTGCTGATGCTGCGCTTTCTGATGTCATGCTGGAGGTGCTCAGGGGTTAGATAATCTCGAGCCTGACCACAGAAGTTGGGACAGTCATTTGTCTTCGGGGTCTTGGTGGTTTGAAGCATGGTGATCGTCCTGGGGTTGAGAAGCTCCACTGCCCTGTCAAGCGCACACCAATGTCGGAGCCGGACGGAGTGCTAAACGGTAGACCGGCCCCTCGAAGGGAAAAACAATACCTAGTGATCAATTATTCAGCCTGTTCTTGTAAGGCGGGGAATATGACGACTCACATGATGGAGTGCTGGCGCCAGTCTACCATATCCCTTCACCCTTGTTTCACCCTCTGTGCGTTGTTGTTCTATATTGGGTTGGAGCATCTAATCCCAATCACTGCATCGTCCCAGATGGTGCTCATTCGCCAGTGGCTTTATTGACCATTTGCAGGCGGAAAAAGGTAAATAGCATGGTGTGAGGCTCGCGCACTTCAGTTCCCAGTTGGTAACTAGACGCTTGGACCAGGTTGAATGTCATTAACCACACGGCACCTGCAGTCTGCCATCCATATCGGGCGCCAGGGTTTTGCTGCTGTTGGGATAGACTGCGGCCAGCTCTGCAGACGCGGGGTTGGGGTCCAACAGGATCCTTGACCTGAAGCCCCAGCAAGTAGCTAACCTTGTCAAACTTTCCTGGATTCCACGAGGGACACTGGCGACGGTGGACACTGTGGACACACCCTTGTAGCGCCTGGAGGTGCTGGACCACGCGTTTGGGAAGGGAATCTGGACGGGTCTAGTCCCACTGCGCTCCCTTGGTAACGCTCTTAGAGGTCGACCATTTTTGCCTCTCGCTTAATTCCTTCAGATCCTCGCCGATCGCAAACCTCTTTTCGTGATCTTCTCGTTTCGAGATAACAGCGAGCCTCCATCCTTCCTCGAATGTCTTTGTGAAACTGTGTGGGGAGGGTGCCTAGCCGTACTCGGATGTTCGGAGAAACGGAGAGAGTTGTTGGGGAGTGCCATGTCTTGTTGCAGTCAACGGCTTCAGCCTGGACGAGGAGTCAAAAATGCGGCCGACCCCAGTCAGTGAGTTTGACACGCCTGGCCAAGTTAGCCTCTCTGCAGAGCAAGCCACCAAATGGTGTTTGTGGAGTGAAAGAGAGGGGTTGATCCAAAGCCATGACGAGCGTGCCAGTCAATGAATTCATCCTTCTCCCCAATTTCTGGGCCCTCTCAAACGGTCAAGCCGAACCGACAGAGCAAGGTGCAGCTGAACAGAAAGGGGATCGGGCTTCGTGTGCCAACCAGTCCCCTCAACTCTGTGTCAAATCAGCAGGTATGTTTGGATGCGGGAGCTGTGGCATGACAGCTGGTCCCCGAACGACACCTACCCACCTACCACAGATCAAGCCACCGGAAAGTTCCAATCCTCGACACTTGGCCCGGTCACGCTGAGAACATGGGCATTTTGACATTGGTACGAGGTACTTGTGATTAGGCTGAGCCGCAACTGCTCCTGCCTCTCTGGGTGGACGTTGGGGCGGATCCACGCTCAGTGCTGCTGGTATTCGTCAGTACTATGGCCCCCTCGGTGCATGATGAAATCGAGAAAAAGAGATTGATGCAGCTGGGCACCAGGCAGCTTGCCACGCGATTCGAGAACCATACTTTTGGTACTGAGAGGCATCCGGGATGCTTGGGACACAAGTCACAGGGGGCCAGAACATGAGGGGCTGGCGTTGTCTAGACGAGAATTCATACGAGCAATAGCAAGCAGCGCCCTTGACCTCGATAGTGGTCGAAGTGAATCTGTGACGCCTGGTACCTTGAAATAGGGCTACTCAATTCCACGCGACATTCATGACCAATGTTCTCGTCACTCGGATTTCGATGCTTAGGGCTGGGAATACTCGACCTGTCATCAATCACATGCGAGTATTATTGTCACTTGCATTTTTGGTCCTCCACATCTCAGCCCCCAGGTCGAATGATGCAGATGTACTTGAAAGTGGCTGGACCATTCGTGTGCCATTGATGCGCAGACAAGTCGTAAATGACAGAATTCTATGCAGGGTAGACTGTCTGATTCTCATCTGTCAACCAGGGATTGTCTTTATTCTCTGGAATTCATTTTTCGTGGTCCGTTGCTCATGACCAGGAGTTTTGTGGTATCATCTCGATTTTCGCCGACGTGCATCAGGGTTATCCTTGCCTCCATCATCATGACCCAGAATATGTTTTCTAAACCCTCCCATTGGCGCGAAAAGTTTCTCCATGCTCAACAAGTCTTGCTCTTCACATGACAACGCCACTGTTGCTTGCAATTCTAGGCCACAGTTCGGCAGCTTCCTTGCCCACTGGTCCTGTGATGGCACTGCCCTTCATTTCACCCTTTGGATTCACAATAACTCCAGCGTTGTCTTCGAAGTACAGATAGATACCGTCTGGCCGTCTCCAGGGTTTCGACTGTCGGACGACGACTGCGGGCATGACTGAATCGATAGTGAGCCGTCGAATCCACAGCTCAATGGGTTTGTTTGACGTACCTTTTTTCCTCAGCTCAGGCTTTCCCTTCTTGACGGTGGCCATGACCATATCTCCCACACCAGCGGCGGGTAGTCTGTTCAATCGAGCACCGATTCCCTTGACGGAAATGATGTAGAGGTTTCGCGCTCCCGAGTTATCCGCACACGACATGACGGCTCCTCTATTATCTCCATCAGTATACTCTCACTAACCACAAAATAACATCGCTTGGGATTGTCGTTGATGGGCGAAGACTTGAATATTCTTGAGACCAATCCGTGTAGACTGCGGCACCGTCGCCTTTTGAGTGGGAGGGATGCGGAGGAGCCTGAGGTTTGAGATTTGGGAATCGAGAAGCACATACACAGGAAGACCGAGAGTCATCTTGAGCTTGTTGCCAGAGGCACCACCACGGCTGTATCAGAAAGTCAGTGTAATTCTTCTCAACGACGAAAGTTCAACAAGTATTTGAGGGTCCTCGACGGCGCAAAGGGAGCCCATAGATAAGTTTTGGCTACGTACCCTCGTTTCGACATCCTGGCAGCAGTTTGATTTCTGGGATTGTTTCAAATTTTATGAGTATGAACTGGAGCGCAGTCGGCGGGCGATGAAGTTGAACAGGTCCATCAAAACTTCGTGTGCGATCTAATGCCAAGACATAAAATCTTGGCGCTATGCTATTGGATGCTGCGGATTCAGGTTTGGCAAATCAAATGACAGCGTCTGACACAGGAGATTTCTATTTTGGCTGGTCTTTTCATCTGTGTCTCTCTGCCAACTTGGAACATATCAATATTTGCTGCATTGGTGGTGGGTTGGTTGTCTTCATTGTTCACTTTGTGCAACACTAATTTTCTCTCTAGAATGTCTGTTGGCTTCGAGAATTCCAGGCTGAGGTTGGTTTGAGTGCAGATGTTGCTTCGTCGACTTGAATTCATTCCTGTTGAGCAGTTCTTTGCTGTGTTGAGTCTTGCACAACGTCACCCTCCTGTCTTCCTACAAACTCTGCTCCTGAGCTGCACTCGTATTGTCAATCTTGTAACCGGTGTGAACCATCGTCTTTCAAATCTGTTTCTAAGGGGCAGGGGAGAGCCTGTGCCACCTCTTGTCCACCCCTGCAGCTGCCTTCGCATGGTTTCTTCAGGGCTGAAGTCAGCGGCTGATATAGATGCTGCCTTCAAACTTGATGAGCAACTCGACGCCTTTTGCAGCCCTCGGGTTCCATTCACGCTATCGTATTCCTATCACACAACTTTGAGATCACCCGACTTTTTCGGACGTAATTGGACCCAGTGTCATTTGGCAGGGGCCCTACCAGTCTCTGCCCTTATCCTTGCAAATCCTCAAAGGATCTCTCCTGCGTTTCTTTGACGAGGCTGGCTCCGCTTGCTAGTGCTGTATGGTGGCTGCTTTTGTCATATTGCAGCAGTCTACGAGTACAACACTTTCCCGACACGGACGAAAGGTATTCTAGAGTGTCCCACGATGTCTCAATGGCTCTCTTATTGATGATTGCATCTCGGATCGAAGCAATTGTGAGCTTCAAGACGTACATTTCTTGTCTGTAAGCAACAGTGAAGGCTGGCTGAAATTGTACTCCACAACACCCTTTGTGGTGTGACGCAGCCACCTAGTTACGACGCCTATTGTTCATGTGGGTGCTCCAAGTTGGGAACCTGGAGTTCACTGGCGATCGGCCGGTTACACGCGGAACGGAAGAAGATTCTATTTCGAAGACTGAGAGTCTCAGGGTCTTACCTACAGTCTGTGATTCTCAAGGTAAGGCAGACCAAGATGCTGTGGATCAACCGGTCATCATTGCAACAAAAGAACAATGGGAACTAGGTACATTCTTGGTGTTTCAAGTGCCCTGGTTGACGTGCGTGTGCTTAAGGTTGGTTAGACAGCGGCTCCTATCAATCCCCCCCGGATGGCCCCTTGGGCTTACAGCGAGTTAACCAAATTGGCAGCGGGACTGGTCGCATGGCTGTTCCCCGGTCATTCCAGGCGCTGAAGCTGATGATTCTCGAGCAGATTGTTGTGGAATAATCTTTCGATTAAGAGCATCGAGAAAGCAACTGGATCATTTTCCTCTTGGCCAATATTTGAATACAGTTAATTCCAAGCTTATCCTCTGCTTACTGCCCAAGGACACTGTTCACTCCTGGCTACTTTCTGACTGGTCTCCACTCGAATGTCTCTGACGATATCAAAAGGCGCCATTGCGCGTGCTGCCGAGGCTGGTCACCGAGCCAAGGGCCCATGGCCGGAAGGTAACCATGACTGTTCAACGAGGCCCGTTGCCAATCAGGACGTCGCCATCGCAGACCACGAGCTCTCGGCCCCCCATGAACCCCTGCTGAGATAGTGGGCCTAGGAGCCTCAGCTCGATGCTCAGCCCTCAGTCTTATTCGTTCGAGGGAGCATTTGCGAGACTCCCTGGGCCTTTCGTTTACTGATGTTGCTGCCTTCCCCTTCCACTGCGACACCTCACTCGCTTCTGCCATATCCGGACCTGACTCCTGTCCTTGTAGCCTGTGTTCCTTCGACGCCTTACGGGGGCCTCGCCTATATAGCTGAGACCTCTGCCAGCCAACAATGGCGCGCAAAAGGAAGATTTCTTCAACTTCTCTCAACGCAATGGACGGCTCACGCGAATTTCCGTCGAGCTTGGGTGACGAATACACGGGGTCGCGAATCAGCACCACTATCAGAAGCTTTTTTGAAAGCATTGCAGGGTCGAATTCTGCATCCACCAGTACCGTCATCAATGGCGCCACAGTGCAGTCCCGTCCCCTTCTGGCCAGAGTGCTTGCGGACGTCGCATCTCAAGCACCTCGAATAGGAGAGAACCTTGGACTACTTGGTTCTTTGGTCGACACAACCTTGTTCGATGGCGGTCTCGTCGATGATCGTCAGTATCAAGTGAGCAATGTTGGAGTGAATGCCTCTGATCATGTCTAATCCGGTCTTTCCACAGATGGAGAAGATTCTCCAATTGGCAGCTTCACTGCCTCCCGAGTCAAAGTCGCTGGATGACTTGACCAACCAGTTCATCAAGCTGCTCTGGGAGAACTTGGAGCATCCTCCCTTGTCATACCAAGGGGATGAGTTCAAATATCGCACTGCCGACGGGTCCAACAACAACATCATGTACCCGCACCTGGGCAAGGCAGGTTCGTATTACGCGAGGACCGTCACTCCTCAGACTCTCAAGCCAGGGGTGCTTCCCGACCCTGGTGTCATCTTCGACGCCATCTTCGCCCGGGGTGACGAGCCCAGAGAACATCCGAACAAAATCTCTAGCATGCTCTTCTACCTTGCTACTATAATCATCCACGACTGCTTCCACACTGATGATACCGACTACTCCGTGGTCAAGACCTCATCTTATTTGGACCTGGCGCCTCTGTATGGGAGCAACCAGGAAGAGCAGAACCAAATCAGAACCTTCAAGGATGGTCTTTTGAAGCCAGACAGCTTCTGCGAGAAGCGCATTCTCGGCTTCCCGCCTGGAGTCTCCGCCATTATTGTCTGCTTCAACCGCTTCCACAACTATGCTGCCATGCAGCTCAAGGAAATCAACGAGGGGGGTCGGTTCAAACTGCCAAAGAACGACCAAGACACTGCGGCCATCGCCAAGCTCGACAACGACCTGTTCCAGACAGCCAGGCTGGTGACGTGCGGCCTCTACGTCAATATCATTTTGAACGACTATGTGCGAACGATTCTCAATCTCAATCGCACGAACTCGACTTGGACGTTGGATCCACGGAAGAACTTCTCCGATGTCTTTGACAGCGCAGGCGTTCCCTTGGGAGTGGGAAACCAAGTCAGCGTCGAGTTCAATTTGGTCTACAGATGGCACTCGGCCATTAGCATCAAGGATGAGAAATGGACCAATGATCTGTACCAGTCTCTGTTCCCCGGCAGAGATGTCACTACAGTGACTCAGTGGGAGCTGTTACCGAAGCTGAAGAAGTGGCTGGACGACCGCGGCCCAGATCCCTCCAAGTGGGATCTTGACTCGGGCAAATACAAACGCACACAGAGAGGGACTTTCCGGGATGAAGATCTTATCAAGATCTTGACGGAAGCTACCGAAGATGTGGCCTGTGCGTTTGGACCCAGGAACGTGCCCCTCGTGATGAAGCTCATCGACGTCTTGGGTATCCAGCAGGCGCGAGCCTGGAACGTGGCGACACTCAACGAATTTAGGAAGTTCTTCAAACTGGAGCCCCACAAGACCTTCTCCGATATCACCAAGAACAAGGAGGTCGCTCGCTCCTTGAAAGCGCTTTATGAACATCCAGACTACGTCGAGCTCTATCCCGGTATCGTCGCCGAAGATGCAAAGGATCCATTGGAGCCTGGCTCGGGCCTATGTCCGGGATATACCATCTCTCGAACCATTCTGGCCGACGCCGTGGCTCTTACCAGGGGAGATCGATTCTACACGGTCGACTACACACCTGCGAACCTAACCAATTGGGGCTGGTCCCAAGTCAAATCCGACCCGGCTGTGGCACAAGGGGGCTGCTTCTATACCTTGCTCATGCGAGCTCTACCGTTCTACTATCGTGGGAACTCGGTGTATGCCATGTTTCCCCTGACAGTACCCGAAGAGAATCGTAAGATCTTGACCAAGCTCGGCAAAGAGCAGGACTACAACTTCGACCGACCGACATACATTGGAGTTCCGACTTCAATTCGGTCGTGGAAGGCTGTCACCGGCGTTCTTGGAGACCAGGCCTCGTTTTCCGTGCCCTGGGGTCCCCATACTTTCTATCTCACTCATCAAGATTATATGCTGAGCGGAGACAGCGCTGCCAATGCGACGCAGCGAAAGGAAGTCGAGAAGGCCCTCTATTGCCCGGTCAATGGTCTTGCACAGGTGCAGAAGTTCTACGAGGACCTGACCACTCAACTAGTGGTTGCCCGGTCTGAGCGCCTGCGAGGCGAATGGTACCAGCTTGACGCGTGCCGCGATGTCGGCAATCCGTCCCATGCCATATTTGTTGCGCGCATGTTCCATTTGCCGCTCAAGCAGCCAGGAGACCTGAATCCCGTCGGGGTTGAGGTCGACCAGCTCTACCTCGCGTTGTCCATCATGTTCGCCTACGTCTTCCTGGACCTTGACACAGCCAGCTCGTTCAAACTGCGGGCGGGTGCGAAGACGGCGAATGATCAACTCTCGAAGCTTGTCAAGATCGTGTGCGAGGCGGTCAAGGTTGGTGGACTCCTTCGGGTCCGCGACCTGTTCTCCATGGGGACGACTGGTGAGCTGCTCGGAGATTACGGGACTTTGCTTCTGAAACGGCTCTTTGAGGGAGGCAAGTCGGTTGAGGAGGTTGTTTCGACCATCATCCCCACCGCTGCAGCTGCTGTTGCCACGCAGGCTCAACATTTCATCCAAATGTTGGACGTTTACCTGTCGGACGAATACAAGGAGCACTGGCCAGAGATTCAACGATGTGCTTGGTCCAACGACCCTGCTGATTTCGAGAAACTCAAGGGGTACGCCCTTGAAGCGAACCGTCTGGCGCCAGCGGCTTTCGGGCTGCTTCGCAAGGCCAACATCGACACGGTTATCCCTGACAACGGCCAGAAAGTTCCAGTCAAGGCCGGCGACCAAATCTACGTCGACTTTATCGCGGCCGGCTTGGACGAGAGTGTGTTCCCCAACCCGCGCCAGATTGATCCCACGCGTGATCGATCGCTGTACATCCACCACGGATACGGCCCCCATGCTTGTCTCGGCCGTCCCATGGTCGAGGTGGCCATGGCCGCTCAACTCAAGGTATTTGCCAAGTTGAAGAATCTCAGGAGAGCGCCCGGCCCACAAGGCCAGCTCAAGAAGACGGTGCCGGCGCCGAATCCCACCAGCAGTGACCCGAAGTCCAACCCAGGCACCGTGGAGGTGTTTATGCTGGAGGACTGGAGTTCGTGGTATCCATTCCCGACCAGTGAGTCTTTCCCACCATCACCACTACCATCCTCCTGAGATCCCCCTCTTCTCTTTCGTCAGTTCAAGAAAGAGAAAAAGCGTTACTAATACCAAAACTCAATCACAGGTATGAAAGTCCACCACGACGGCCTCTGGAAGGACCAACCCGACCAACTTGCGGGCCTGACCGGCGTGCCAGGTATGCAGGAGGAAATTCTGAACAGCGACATGGCTGCAGCGAACGGCTTGAATGGAGATTACATGGAGGAGGACACTGCTTGAAGGGGAATTTGGTGCCAACTCTTGTAAGTTCAGTAGGCAGATCGGCAGGCTAGGCAAGGGAAATGTTATGGGCAAATTGACACCAGGAAAAAGGACAGTTTTGGGAGAAGAGGGGGGAAATTGTGTCTGTATAAGTGATGGGTGTATGGGATACCTGGGTATGTAGGGCATATTTTGGGCCGAGCGGGAGTTGGGATTGTGTTTCGAGATGCTTTTATATCTCTATATCTTCCCGTCTCCGGCTTGCGACTGATGGGAAAATCTCACTCATTCAACTCGTGTGTCTCGTACAGTTCTATATTAAGTAGGATTGAGCACATGCCTACCTACACCCATGAATTTCTAAGAGTTGTGCCTAATATCATCCGAGTTCACCATCATTACACATATATATAGTTTCTCCGTCATCTCTTGCTTTCTTTCCCGTTCTCTTCTTTGTCTCGGAGAAGAAAAAAAGTCAAAAAAGTCACCAAGCATCAAAACTTTCCGAATGCAGGCAGTCGGTCGGTGGATGGTCGATGCGTGGGATGCATGGGATGACACAAGCAAAGCGATGACGGTGAGTCAGCAAAGGTCTTGGGTAAATATCTACGGAGTATCGCATCCCAATCTCAACCATTTCCCCTCCAACCAAAACGATATTTGTCCACGGCAGAATACAATTCCTCACACCTAGATTAGATGCCCGCCATGTCCATTTCGCCCGTGTTTTGATTGACATGGTCATTGCTGGTCAAGACGGCGTGGCGAGCTTCTAGACAGTCACTATCCATCAATCAATCAAGCAACGTCTCCTCCCCCCCACCACAGGCTGTGCCTACTGAGAAAGCATATGAGAGCAGCGCTCCGAACCATCATGACAAGCCCCACCCACAGCCACTACGAGGCCATCATCGTCGGGTCCGGCCAGGGCGGCGGGCCACTGGCGCAGGCGTTTGCTAAAGCCGGCCGGCGCACGGCGCTGATCGAGTCGACCCATGTGGGCGGGACGTGCGTCAACGAAGGGTGCACACCCACAAAGACCATGGTGGCCAGCGCGCGCATCGCACACCTGGCGTGTCGCGCCCAGAGCTACGGCGTCCAGTTCAAGCGGTCCAGCCTGGTGCTGAACATGGAGACGGTGCGCAAACGCAAGCGCGACATGGTCGACAGCTTTCGCGGCGGCAGCGAGACCCGTATCCGCCAGACCGACAACCTCGACCTGATCCTCCTGGGGAAAGCCAAGTTCACGGGCCCCAAGCAGCTCCAGGTCGTCGTGGCCGACGATGAGGCCAACCCGCTCACGCTCACGGGCGATCAGATCTTCATCAACGCCGGCTGCTCGCCCGCGCCGCTGCGGGCTAAAAACGCCGACAAGACCGAAGGCCTGCTCAACTCGACGACCATCATGGAGCTGGCTGAAGTGCCGCGCCACCTGGTCATCATCGGCGGCGGCGCCATCGGGTGCGAGTTCGCGCAGATGATGAAGCGGTTCGGCGCCCGCGTCAGCCTGATCCAGCACCACCCGCAGCTGCTGCCGCGCGAGGACGCCGACGTGGCCGATGAGGTCAAAAACATCTTTGTCGGCGCGGGCATCGACGTCTACCTGGGCGCCGAGGTCAAGGAGGTCTCCAACGTCACGCTGGGCCAGATTGTCGTCTCGATGACCCAGGGCGACGGCACGCCCAAGTCGCTGCTGGGCTCGCACGTGTTGGTGGCCACGGGCCGCACGCCCAACACGGCCGACCTGGGCCTCGAGAGCGCCGGCATCGACGTCGACGCCAGGGGCTTCATCAAGGTCGACGAGCACCTGGCCACCACAGCCCCGGGCGTCTGGGCCCTGGGCGACATCAAGGGCGGCCCCCAGCAAACCCACGTCAGCTACGACGACTTCCGCGTCCTGCGCCAGAACCTCATCACCCTCGCGAACAGCGACGAGCGCGCCTCCATCCAGGGCCGCCTCGTGCCCAGCACCACCTTCATCGACCCGCAGCTCGGCCGCGTGGGCATGACCGAGAAGGAAGCCCGCGCCCTCACCCCGCCGCGCAACGTCAAGGTGGCCAAGATGCCCATGTCGTACGTCGCCCGCGCCCTCGAGATGGACGAGACAAAGGGCTTCATGAAGGCCGTGGTCGACGCCGACACGAGGGAGATTCTCGGCTTTGCCTGTTTGGGGATTGAGGGTGGGGAGATTATGAGCATGGTCCAGCTGGCCATGTTGGGCGGGTGTAAGTAATTGCAGTCTCTCTCTCTCTCTCCTTCTCCCATGGGTTTCGTTCTTTCTTTCATTCTCTCCATCTGCCCCCTTTTCTTTGGTCCCCTTTTGGCTAACATCTACGGTCTGGGTGATAAGTGACCTACGACGAACTCGAGAGCGCCATCCTCGCCCACCCCTGTCTGAGCGAGAGTCTGAATAATCTCTGGGCATTTCTCGAGTAGTGAGCCTGATGCCATAGGCTCGTGATACTAGGGGCGTGGGGGTCAAGTTAAATCTAGGGGACGTAAGGGCCGGGGAGTGATTCGATCGATCGATCACATTAGATCATATACATACCAGGCATACCAGGTATCCTGAGATAATTATGACATGAAAATATGATTCAATCAGAACAGGATCGAACGAGATTCAATTCTGTCCCCGGCACGAGAGTGAGAAAGAGAGTGAGTGAGTGAGATGATGATCAAAGTATGTATGTTGGATACAGGCACAGGCAGGTCTGACTTCCTATCCATCCACCATTTGTCATTGACGGCCTGAATTCCCTCCACGTCCCACGTCTCTCGTCTCTCATCTCACATCTCGCGACTCACGTCTCTCCACCGACCGACACTCCTCGCGACCCCTCCCCCATCTCGGGCCTCCTCTCCCCATCATACAGCGGCAGCGGCTCGCCCATCAACTCCGCCTTGACCTGCAACGCCACATGGCGGGAGAAGTACCTGGCATGCCCGATCGTCCCGCCCACGTAGTACAGGTTCGGGTGGCGATTGCGTCTGAACACGCCGCGGAGCTCGCCCTCGGGGTCGAGGCCCCAGAAGTCGTCGGCGCGCGACGCGACGTCCTCGCCGAAGATGCGCGCCACGTCGCTGCTGCGCATGTTGCCCACGAAGCCCGTGCACAGGATCACCACCGCCGCGGGGATCTCGGTGCCGTCGCTGAAGGCCAGGCCCGTGCGCGTGAAGTGCGTGGGCAGGGCGTTGGATTTCATCTTGATCTGTGAGGAGAACCGTTAGACGGCGCGAGAAACAAATGGGGTGTGTAACACTGAGGTGTGGAAAGAGTGCTCGAGAGAGAGGGTGATAACGTACCTTGCCCTTTGCTATCAGGTCGGAACAACCCACGTCCATGTAATGGCCTACACGAAGGAGTCAGCTTCTTGATCGAGATCTCTTATGGAAGATGATATCCCCCCGCTGGGTGGTCTGAGCACATGATGTATGTGCCAGCCTTTGCACCGGGAGAATCAGCCACGCACCGCCCAACTTCTCACAGATATGCCACATGATATCGCCGTATCTCTCGACCCGAAAGCCCGCCCGCTCCAGGGCGTCGAACCGTTCAGGCTCTTTGGCCGCCATGCCATGCAAGGCTTTGCGACTCAACAGCCTCGTCACCGCATACGGCATCTGCGACTGCTGGTCAGCTCATCATATCCCATGCGCTGACAAAGTGGGCTCCAACAATTTCCCAAAAGGTGAAAAAAGGGGCTTGCCTCACCGAATACTGTTCTCGGTCAGCATCGACCGTGGGGACATCCGCGTTGTATGACCGGTCCGAAATGACTTTGAAGTATTCGCACGGCAGCACGTACGTGCGCGACCGCTGCACCATGGTGATCTGCGAGAGTCCCGCTTCGACCATGTCCTCTGCGACGTCGTGGGCCGTGTTCGCCGTGCCGACGACGATGCCGGCCTGGCCGCGCCAGCGCTCCGCCGACTTGTAGTCCGCGGAATGGAGGACGGTGCCCTGAAAGACGTCGCGGCCGGGGTATTGCGGCATGATGGGAACCTGTCCCCCTCCGCCCGTGGCCATGATGACATTGCGGCAGGTGAGGGTCTGGGTGGAACCGTCGGCGCGGCGGACGTGCAACGTCCACGTCCTGCGCCCTTCGTCCCACGACCCGGACTCCAGCGTCGTGTTGAACCAGATGTGTTTGTCGATCCCGAATTTCTCGACCCAGTCCTTATATCCCCTGGCCAGGTCGTATTTGGTCAGGAATTCTTGATACGGGAGTGGAAACGTCCGGTCAAAGGGCAAATGGTTGTACTCGCGCGCGGTGTGTAGCCTGGCGGAATCGTATCGCGTCATCCAGTTGTCGCCGACCACGGCGTTCTTGTCCAGCACCACGTACGAGATCCCCAGGGCTTGAAGCCGGCCTGCCGTGCCGAGACCGGCTTGACCGGCTCCCACGACGACACAGTCGAAGTGACTATCGACCCCGTTCATCGCGCCACGGCTCCCGTCGGTGCCGTTCGCCTGTGGCTGATTGCCATTCACGCGGTCCGACATTTCCGGGACAGTTGGGAGATGGTCGACGTCCTCGCAGCCATCCAACTGCTCGAGGATGGTTCTGATGAGCCAGATTTTCCAGACCCCGTCGTCCGCTGACACCAGGGACAGGATTCCTCTGCAGGAGGAAGCGGGGCTTGCGCGATTGCGAAATGTGAATGAAACATTCAGCCATCCGACATCCTTGTCCAGACGCGTCGGTGTTGCAGATCCCTTGATCGGTGCAAAGTCGCACGCCTGTCGGGACGCACACGTCTCTGACCAGGCCTTCGCGACAGAGTCGGCCGAGTAGAACGTCCGCATGGTGCCAGTCAGGGCGAACACGTCGCGCCATATTGACGCTGGGGAGAGATTCGCTGCTGCTGTTGTGATGTCTCCCAGTGACTGCACAATCGGAGTGGCGATGCTCTCAAAGTCAATGTCCGTGTCAAAATGCGATATGGGTAAAGTGCATGGGAGTGTTTCGAGGACGCTTCGTGGCTCGTACGGGGCGATTTCGACCTCCATTTCTGACCTCGTCATTGCAGCCTTGCAGGACTGTGGTTATGCCTGGAAAGAACTGTTTCAGCAACAACAAGTATTCTTCGGGGGGGGGGGTCTCGTATAGATTGAGTGCAAGCTTTGACGAGACTAGAAAGATGGGCAGGTTTGATCACCCCTGTCATACGTCACCCACAGACTCCAAAAAAACACAGATGGCCAGTTGGCGATCGAGGACATATAGTTCGAGTCTGATCGGTGATAGATCAGATTGCCGTAATGCCGTCTGGGCCTCCTGGCACTTATACCTACCTGGTCATGATGTGGATGGCCGGGAACTAGCCATGGAAATCCCAACTGCCGCGTAGGGTCCTGAAGTGGAGTTTTGATGAAAATGCATTAGACGTTTCTGGGGTCGAGGCATGGATGCTTGTGGGGTCAAACAATGGATCTGCCCTCCATCTACTCGTAATATTATATCGTCTTGCTTATCTTGGGTAAGCGTTAGACTTGTACCCTTTGGCTGTAATGGCAAGGTCGAGAAGAGGGAATACCCAGGTAGTCAAAATGTGTCTCACCCGTAATAGGAAATAGGTCATAGAGTGAGAGTGGAGTCGAAATGGGCACTGTAGATAAAACACGTATATAGATACGAAAAAAGTTATCGGTGCTTTTAGACTCTTGTCTCCGTCCTTTGTCGACACGCAGATCTGGCAGTGTATCAACGCACATGTGGTAATGCCCTTCTTCTATATACGCGGTAAGAGATGTTGCGAGAGACTGAGAGACGAAGAGATCGCGAGAAATGGTGGCACGCTTCGATCGCCAATCCTCTCGTCTGCGGACAGGGCATGGACTGTATGTAGCTCATGCCGCGCCCCCGGCAGCCTTTTTTAGGTCTCCAATGTCGATCTTCTTCCAGCTGCCGAAGACGCCAACAATAGTGGACGTTCCATACGCGGCAATCGTGATGGCAAAAACAGCTTTCAAACCAGTCATATACGCGTCGATGACAGCCGGAACTTGGGCGGGAGTAAAGGCGTGTCGGATCTGAGTTGCTCCAATTGTAAGCACCGATGCAGGGTCGATGTCGGGGAGAGTGGTTGCGAGTGTGCGTATCAATTGATTGTTGAAGGCTGATTGTGCGGCCGAGATGAAGAAAGACCCCCCAATCGTCACAAAGACTGTGAATCTATATCAGCACATATATATCGCGTGAGAAGGGGGCCTGTTGGGACTTACAGTTGACGATGGCTGACACTTGCGACATATCTTCCGGGCTCGCATGGATCTGAGCATTGGACAGGGCGACCTGGAACGTCCAGCCACTGGTGAAGCCGACAATGATCTGGTAGCCGATCCACTTCCCGGTCGAGGTGTTGGCATCCATGGTATAGAACAGTCCGCAGCCAACGGTGCCCAGAGTGCCACCGATGAGCCAGAACAACGGGACGATGCCGATTTTGATCAGTGCGATACCCTGCACAATGGCCGCGATCGTCAAGGGAATGATAAGCGCCAGCATCTTGACTCCAGAGCCGATCGGACTGTTGTTGAAGACACTCTGGAAATATATGGGGAGGAAGTAAAGTATCGTGAAGTATGCGCCGCCAAAGAAGAACATGAAGATTGAGCCGACCATGACATAACGCTTGGTAAACTGTTGTATGATTTTGCTGTGGTCAGCCTGTTGTGCCACTCGGTCAGAATAGGAGTGACTTACCAGCCTTGCCACGATCATGGCCCGCTCCTTTTGAAGTATCTCCCACGCCACGAAAACCACCGAGATGGCGACGAAACCGACAAGCAGCCCGATGACGACGCTGCTGTCCCAAGGATGTGTTTGGCCACCATATTGCAACGCCAGGATATAAGAGACGATCAGGCAAATCATGAGCGAGGCGCCAACCAGGTCCAGCTGCAACAACTTCTCCTTCATTGTGGCCTCGGGCGGTTTGGCCTTGTCGGGGACCTTGAAGAAGATGAAAACAATCACGGCGGCGACGCCACCTATGGGTAAATTGATGTAAAAGCACTGGTAGCATGTCAGTGGCTATGCCCTCCAAATCTTTTTTTCGATGCTCATACCCAGCGCCACGTCACTTGGTCGGTGAAAGCGCCACCGATCAGTGGTCCCAACACGGCCGCAATCCCATATGTGGCTCCCGTATATCCTAGAAGCTGTGGGCGAGTTTCTGGAGCTGCAACAAACCCGAGAATGGTAAAGACTCCCACCCCGATGCCGGCTCCACCGAGACCTGCAATTGCTCGACCAACGATCAAGGTGGTTGGTCCTGGAGCCACACCGCAGAGGAGACTTCCAATCTCGAAGATGAACACTGCAATGAGAAACCAGAGCTTGATCGGGAAGTACTTGTAGAGTTTACCCCATGTTGATTGGAATCCTGACTTGATCAGCGATGGAGTTTTCGAATAGAAAGGTAATGCTCTACCACGAAAGGTCAGTATCTCAGTCAGCAACAGGGAGGATGGGTGGCCAGAACTCACCACCACCAAAGGTCATGAAATATGACGCTCCGTACCATGATATCTTGTTCAAGTCGTTAAACTCATCCGTGATTTTGGGGATGGCAGTACTGAGGATCGTCTAGGAAGAACCCTTTGTCAACGGTGAAATGTATTACGCAGAAAATGACCCACGTTGTCGAGCGCCACCAAAAACATGCCTAGCAGGAGGGAAACGGCTGTTGCAGCTAGACGTATACCATGCATATGCTCGTCAGAAGGCTTGGGGGTCTCGTCCAGGTTTCCGTCTTGTGGGCCATCTTCTTCTGGTCTTGAGGTGGCAACCGTGCCACTCGAAGATGGCTGAATATCGGTCGACGGCTTTTCCGAGTCTAACGGCGATGCAGCCATGATTGAATTTAGTATGGGAAAGCGGGAATGTAAGTGATGGTTCAAACAGTGTGTAAAGATGTGACACCACCGCAGGTATACCTTTCAGACTGATGGGACGATGACACCAATCCGTCAATAGGAAGCCAATCTCCGAGCCTGTTCTAGGAAATCATTCTATGATGACCTCGTCGGTCGGGTCGATCAAGGTGCTGGGAGGAACATGCTGGACTCGCCCGAAGTTTGCTGGGCTCTCCTTCGACTCCTCCGAAGAGCATATGTAAGTGTCGAGAGGTTCACCGAACTCCAGGCCATTCTACAGAGCTCGTATGCCCACTCTTCCCCTTGGTGGCGTATGAACATGGGTCAGTGAGATATGGACAGTATCTCGCAGGACAGTCGATGGTTCGGGGGAAGATATCTACGGGGGTGACTAATCATGTCTAGAAACCGGACGTGATTGGCTGGAGGCTCCACAAATATTCGGCCGAAGAGAAACACTTCGGGGGAAGCAGCCAGCCCTCTCGGTTTGTCTGTAGGTCCTCCTATGTATCTCGTAGGTCCGAATTACAAATCTACGCTCTCTCTCTCTCTCTCTTTCTCGTCCCAGGTGAATGTAACACATCTACGGTCTAAGAAGCCAGTTGTCCGCGCGTTGGGCTTCAACAATCTCGTCGAACATGGTGCATCACTCGGACGAAAATAGGATCAAACGACGGAAAGTCCGCAAAGGCACGCACAGCTGCTGGGAGTGCAAACGAAGGAAAGTGAAATGTATTTTCACTTCTCCGGGCGATATTGTCTGTATCAACTGCCACGACCGAGGAAAGCAGTGTATCAGTCAAGAAATCCCCGAAGATTCGGTCGTCGCAGCGAACAATAATAGCAGTCTGATCGATGGACAGCATCCGTTACAGGATCGGCTAGGCGACACATCTTGTGGTAGTACGGACCCAGATGTGTGGGATGTCGGTTGTGCGGCAGCAACTTGCAGTGCTGTCTCATCGACACCGGTATCAGATCTGCGTCGGAGACCACAAGTTCGCAATCACTTTCACCTCTACTGTGCACCACACATACTGATTCAATCCCAAAGCAGGCCTCTCTCACAGACCGTGGAGATGGAGGTCAACTCGTCCAGTCAATGCTGCCGCCGCCGATCCCAAATCTACTGTCTGTTCAAGCTTCCACTTTGACCTCAAACAGACTCGCGAACATCACTCAAGGTCTACTTAGCGCACTTCCATCTCGAAGCGATATTGAGATATTGCTACGAGAAGTATCTCAGTCGAACTACCGCTTCTCATGCTTGAGGCAGAATGAAACACCCCAGACTGAACTATTGTTATTAGCTCTCTCGGAACCCGACGTCCATCCTGTCCTGTTGGCAAGACAAATGTTGCTGGTGGCTACGGCACTGCAACACATCCCACGAAAGCAAGTCATAGCCGACCTCACCGAGCATCACCATGTCGCCATGGAGAAACTTGCCGAGGCGGCAATCAGCTTGGTCACGACTAATGATACCCTGTTGGGTACGCTCGAAGGCCTCGAAAACATCATCCTGGAAGCGCTCTTCCATATTGATAGTGGCAACATTCGAAGGGCTTGGACGACAATACGGCGTGCCGTCACGACCGCGCAGCTGCTGGGTTTGCATCAAGGAGGCCAGCATCGCTACAATATTATCAACGATCAGAACGATCTTGACCCTGGGGCGTTGTGGGCTTGCATTGTGCCCATAGAACGATTTGTGTCTCTGTTACTAGGTCTACCCTCCAGCACCCCCCCTCCTTCTACGAGGACATCTACCAAACAGCAGACCCTCCCTACACTCGTCATGGATGTGGCGGCCAGCATTCTTGCACGAAATGATATTAGGGATCCCCAGCTAGCTCTAGATATGACACGGCAGATCGATCGAGACCTCATCGAGATGACTGAACAAGTCCCGTCTAGTTTTTGGCGGCCTTCGACGCTGGCCAGTCTCAAATTGGGCTCCCAAGAGGCATTCAGGGAGCACCGTCGAACCTGGGATCTGATGTGCTATTTCACGTTATTGAATCAACTTCATTTGCCGCACATGCTGTACTCTAGCGATGCGTCACAGGTCATGTATTCCCGAATCGCCTGCGTCAATGCGAGCCGCGAGGTCTTGATTCGAGAGATTGCAATGCGGTCCTTCAATTCAGTCACAACTTGCTGCCGGATGGGCGACTTCATGGCACTCATTGCAGGCATGACGTTGATCCTCGCCCATTTTGTGAGCCACTCGGATAACGGAACGGACAATCTACTCGCACATCAACGAGCAGGCGACAGGGCTACTGTGGAGCGGGCTCTCGAATGTATGAAGTCCATGTCGGAGATCTTCGAGGACGTGCTTGCGGCGAAATGTGTGGCCCTCCTCAAGCATTTGTTGGAGGTTGAAGCCAGTCATTATGCACAAGGGAAAAACCATTCTCACCAGCGGCCATCCGAGAAGGATGGAGACCATGATAAAAGCGACGTTTTGGTCATCCAGATTCCATATGTTGGCGCTGTTCGGATTGCCCGAGAAGGAATCACCTCTCTGGCGCCGTCCAAGGGATCGCACCCTCGAGTGTTCCATGACGGTGTTACAATTGGGGGCCTTGGATCTCTCCACGTGTCCGAGCCTCGTCGACATTCAGATCAGCGGGACGGCGGCCAAGGGAGGTCTGACTTGGTCTCACAGCCAGCATCGGCCGGATCGACAGTCGATACGCTATCTGGCGGGCAGCAGATCCCAGACAACACTCAACAAGTCCCGCCAGAAGATGTCTTTATTCAACAGCAGCACGAAATATTTCCCGACGCTTCTGCGAGCTTGGATGACTGGGCGTTTCAAGGGTTCGATACTGTCTTCTTCGACATGTTGATGAGAGGGTCTGGGGACCAGCCGCCGTTGAACAGTGCAGCCGCCGGAACATGGGACTTTGAGACGATCACCTAAGGACTACATGATGCAATTTCACATGACAGGACTATCAAGTTTTTAGTCCGGACTGATGGCACCCGACAGATTAGAAACGTGGTTGTATCAACAAGCGAAATGCTACGATGGTTTCCAGATCTGCACATCCTGGTAAAGCCTCTCAGTCTTCCCGGCAATCACCTCGTCGATGAACTCTGCATAACTTCTGTACTTGAAATCTGGGAAAAGCTCGTTCGCGTCGATGTATCCCAAATACCTGGCGTTTTCGGGCGTATTGTCACCTCGAACATACTTGGTGATGGCATATTGTGCCGCAGCAAACAAGAACCGGTTGGTCTTTTCATCCGGGTTGCTTCCAAGTGCTGCTTTTGCCTGTTTCAGCGCTGCGTGAGCTTCGTCATTCGTCTTCTGTGAATCGGTCAGCGTCGAGCTCGGAAGCAGGAGAGGCATTTTCTTTCTCGAACCGTGGAGAGCTGCAGCTTTTCCCCGGTCTTGTCCTCGATGATTTGGTGGATTTCATTCTGGCTCAAGACATCCCCATACGCGATCACTCGATGGTTGAGCGTTCGGTCGTCCTTGATAATCTCAGCCGTGATTCTCCCTACATCTCTGACGTCCGTCAGCATGTTTGGGGTCACTCCGCCGGCATAGACATCATTGATCGGTATGAAGATGGCGCTGTCAAACTTGCCGCTCGGCACCCGAGGCAGACTCGCTTGATACCAGAAGCCGACATCAATGATGGTATATCCCAGCCGGTGTTGGAAGATGTAATCGTGAATTTCTTCCTTGATGTCTTTCACCGCCAAAATACCGCCACGGGCCGAGGGCGTCCCCCAGTTGCAGGGCAGAAACCGTTTGACGCTCGCTCGGACGGCGGCATCGACCAGCGGGATTTGATCTTTCAGAGCCACCGGCGACATGCAGGAGATGACGGTGTCGCAGTTCTCCAGCATCGCAACAACAGCCTCCAGGGGACCGTTCAGATCACCGATGGCAACCTTGACTAGCAATGCCTGGGGCAAACGCTTGGTCATGTTTGTGGAGGTGGCATATTTTCGTTCATTTTATTGACTGTTTCGAGAGTGCTGGGTTTCCCTTCCGACGAGGAGCGGATGAAGCAGGTAATGTCCTAGACAGCGTTTGAAAATTTCGGTGCATGAGAATGCAAATATTCTTGAGTCAAAATGGACAGGTGACGGACGCCGGTACTTACGAAAGAGCCATAGTCGATCAAAGCATTTAAGACATGTCTACCTACTTCCCCTGTTGCACCGACCAGAAAGACCTTTTGATTTGACATTGTTTACGGAGAACTAACAAAAGGAACATGCAGCTCAGGTTTGGGGGCGGGCCTGGCAATTTGGGCGCGACTATATACTACTCTGAGACCCATGATTAGTGCGACAAGTATACTGTACAGATACAGGCCTAGGGAGTCAGGGGGACAGCTTCCGGCTAGAGAAATGAGCTGCCCTGCCAGCTATGTCCGATGGGATTGATCTGTAAGCTCCTGAACATGACGAAAAAAACAGGGTGTATATCAAAGGACCAAATTACAGTCGGCGGTCGAAGCGGACGGGCATCCTCTTTCGGCGGAGGGGGGTTCGGCCGATCGAGGGAATCCCGAGATGTGAAGATGTATGCGAAATGCTTCCAATCCACACTGGGCAACCGAGTATGAGTGCTTGATCCTCTGATCAATCATGACCACATACATCCAGACAGCCTTCCTCATATGACCCCTTGGGACCTTTGACGAACCCGCAATACCATGTCCTCGTTTCCTCCTCAACAATACTGGGCCTTTCCCACGTGTTCCACTGGATTGTTCCCCCTCCTCTGATTCTCCTCCCAGGGGTGATTTGAGAAGCCAACAAAAATGTCGACAGGGCCGGCATTGAAGATTCTGCTTGGTCTCGCCAATGTATGCCCAGAACAGTTCAAACGTATGAATGAGGAGCACCACCACCACTGACAACCGATGATCAGGTCGGGGATGCACAGCGGGATCCAACCGTCCGATACGACACGCCTGAACAGGTGAATGAATACCTGGATGCATTCTACGCCCACGCCGGGCGCGAGCTGGACACGGCCCGCAACTACTCCCCCCACGCGCCCGGCACGTCGGAGGCCAGGCTGGGCACCGTCGAAGCAGGCGAGCGATTCTTGATCGATACCAAAGTTGTCTCTTTCATGCCGGGCAGCCACGCCAGACACAAGATTCTGGAGAGTATCGATTCCTCCATCGAGGCGTTGAAACAGCCAAAGGTCAATGTCGAGTACCTCCACGTCCCGGATCGCGCGACGCCCTTCGAAGAGACGGCCGAGGCCTTGAACGAGGCCTACGAGGCAGGCAAGTTCCAACACCTCGGCCTGTCGAACTTCACAGCCGACGAGGTGGAAAGATTCGTCAACATCTGTGATAAAAGGGGCTTCGTTAAGCCAAGTGTCTATCAGGGACAATATAACCCCATCGTCAGGAGTGGAGAGGAGGTGCTTTCCCCGACGTTGCGAAAGCATGGCATGGCCTTTTATGCGTGGAGGTTTGGCCGAGTTCCCCCCCCCCCCCCCCCCAAGTCTTGGTCGTCAGATTGCTAACTATTACTACCTTTACTACGACCGAATAGTCCTGCTGCGGCGGGCATGTTCGCAGGGAACCACAAGCACATCAAGCCGGGTGATCGATTTGATACGTCCGTGAGTTATTTCCACCTAAGCGATCATGGGCAAAAGGACATATCAACTGAGACATGGGCTGTAGCACTCGATGGGCCAGCTATACGCAAGTGGCTATCTGAAAGAACCCATCCTGGCTGCTGTGGATCGAGTCATCGAACTTGTCGCAAAGCACGGCATTACCGGCCACGCAGCGGCCTTGAGGTGGACTGTCTACCACAGCAAGCTCCAAGCTGACCATGGCGACGGCGTCATCATCTCTGCCTCGAGCGTGGTGCAGTTGAACTCGAACTTTGACTCCATCGCACAAGGTCCCTTGCCAGCCGAGGTTTCTCATGCTCTTGATCAGGTGTACGGTCAGGTCGCGGGCAACGAATTCCCCTATCACTATTAGACCCAAGGTCTGTCTCCCTGCCAAAATCTATTCGAACGACGGGTCGACCCTCGAAGGAAGAAATTGGTCGGAAAAGCCAAATGCAGATCCGGACTGTGTTGTTGTTGTCGTTGTTGTTGAGGTCGGAATGTCCGCGTAGATAGATGCTCAGAGGTGTTTCAACTTGACGCCCCAGGCGTACACGCACGCAGAATATCGAGAAAAGGATTAGATCATAAGCGATGAGGTGGGAAGACTTACCATACATGGAATAGAAACAAGGAATTTCCTGCCCTTGGTCAGCGAATAAAAGATGCCCGTGAAATGGGTAAGGTCATGGACATTGTTTCCACCAAGGCCCACCAAGGGGGACATGAAGACGATCCACTCCATTTGAGCACTGACATATCTCAAAGCCTGCCTCAGACCTGGCTGAATGCCCTCTGTTCGCTGGGTGTGCGAGGACCATGTCTTCTCGAAAGCCTGGCTGCCTGGACACTTTGACTAGCGTAGCGGCGTCACCCTACGAGCCCAAGTCTCAGGTGAGCTCGCCGACAATTGGCCATTTCTTCGCTTGGCTGCATCGTTATTAGCAGCCGCCGGTTCTCGCTGTATTGACAGACTTGCGACCAGGCCGGTAGAGTGGCTGGGTGGGCGACTCGTGGCGGTTAGAGTGGTGATGGGGAGTGCAGGGCACGAGGGAATTGGCACAGTAGTGGGAGTATAAGCACCGCCGGCCTAGCTGCCTGGGATGGCCTGGCAATTATTATACAGAGGCCAAGCCGAAGTTAAGCTAGGTCACCTAATTCCTGCATAAAGCAGCAAGCCACGTGCAGATTCGCCGCTGAATATCATGCCATTCATGCAAAGGTCTTAGAGATGTGCAGAAACCACAATGTCTATTGCGGTCAATGACACGCTTGCCACACCAGATCCATCATTCTTTTTTAATCAACATGGTCCCCCACCATTGATCCATTGGCTTGCGTGGCGAGATGGTCGCCGTTCGCATGAGATCCATTGGCATTGGCCCGATCGGTGTCGACAGGCATTGCTAGGGACTTCTGCGGCTTCATGCCCAGGAGATTTGTCGCATCGATCAGACGTGCATTGGGATTCAACTCCAGCCCGAATCCAGGCTTGTCCAATTCGCTTACGTCCAAGTAACCCTTTGTGGGGATCGGCTCATTCAGGAACAAATCGCCAAAGACAGGTAGAACGCTTTTTCCATCGGGGCTGTTGGCTAGATATTCTTGGAAAGGAGAATTGTGCTGACTGACGACGAAATGATACGAGTAGGGGCCAGAGGCGTGTGGGACTACTGGGATGTCGTATGCCGCCGCCATTGAAGAAACCTTCAGAAGTTCCGTCAAGCCACCAAGCCACATCACGTCAGGCTGGATGATGTCGACATTGCGACCTTCGATAAGTTTGCGGAATCCATAGCGTGAATATTCATGTTCCTGGGAGCGAGTTAGTCCTGAAAATGTGAGGCGCTTTTGGTCGAAGAAAACTTACTCCTGTCGTGAACTTGGTGTCTGGATGTGCCCGCTTCAATAGTTGGAAGCCATCAAAGTCATCTGGCGACAACACTTCCTCCCACCAATCTATTCTGATGTCCTGTCTCTTGGCCTCTGACACGAGCTCAATGGTGTAGGGCACATTCAACGACATCCAGCAGTCGACTCTCAGAGGAAAGTCAGGGCCGACTGCTTCCCTATGCTTCTTCAAGAACGCAATGTTCTTTTTGATGCTATCTGGTTCGTCGGCGCTGTAGGGCAGAGGGACCTTGCTCGCCATGAAACCCATTTCTTGAGCAGCTGTGGGCTCGGGACCGGTACAATAAAAGTTCAATCTGTCTCTTGTGGCGCCACCGATCATTTTGTAGACTGGCTCGTTCCTAATCTTGCCCAGAAGATCCCACAAAGCAAGGTCAATCACAGAAATGACGGCCACTGGTAGACCCTTCCGCCCGTAGAACAGGGAACCCCTGTACATGAGTTCGTACAGATCGTTCACGTCCCGTGGATCTCGTCCGAGCAGAAATCGTTCAAAGTGTTGCTGGACAAGCCAACAGCCAGGCGGTCCACCAAAGCCCGTGGCAAAGCCTTTGGTGCCATCGGTGGCTTCGATCTCGACACAGAAGGAACCGAGTACATTGATGCCAAAGGAGGTTCGGGAGCTCCTGTATCGATCCCATTTGGACATGGGCGTTGCAATTTTGTTGTCAATCAGCCAGTGTCCGCCTTTGACATTGTGATAGTCGCCGCCAGAGCCCACCCCCTCGATAACGAATGTCCGGACGGCTCTGATGGTAGGAAACGTCTTAACTCCAGCCATGATAGGTATCGAGCTATCTGACTGTATTTCTCGGGCTTGATTCAGGGGTTTCAGTTATGGAGGAAGATGGTCCTGAGGAGATCGGAAGCCCTTTGAAGAGAGAAATGAACAGGAAACAACGGCGGCAAACAAATACGCCATGATTTGTCCTAAGGGGTGAAATGCACAAATAATACGACGAAATAGCACCACCAAATTTCACCCGGTGAACTTGGATTTCGCTGATCGGGACAGCTTCACCCGGGTTCGGAGCAATGATGGACTCGCCTGGTGATAGACAGGCATGCAGGGCGCGGAACGGGGATTTCCCTGAGAGCGAGGTACAGAGGATTCAAGGCACGAGATCGTGGATCTCTCAATGCATTGTCTCCATTATTAGCCGAGTGGTGCCGGAGGAGCAGCATCCGTGAGCATATCTAAAGAAAGAGATGGATGAAGGTGAGCCAGGGGCGCAGGCAGTTTGGGTGTAGCAAGCGTGGCGGGGTAAATTGGTGGTAGCTTTGGATTCTGTCTGTCAATGCACTCACTGGGGAATGTCACAGAAGATCCACGATATCCACAGATATGTTTTTGTCTGACCGTCAATGCCAAGCTCTCGTGACAACCTCCCGGTGGAGTGATGTAAGACTTGGCCCGCCGACCCAATGTTTTCGCTGACTTTGCTTCCCCAGCTTTTCTCTGTTTTGCTTCAACCTTTTTCTCCATTCTCGGCCTCTTCTCAACCGACAACTCGGCGTACGGGGCAATGCCACCAGTGCCAACACGCCTGACGGGCAAACAGAAGGCCAACAGCAACTGCTAGCTGATGATCATGGACACGACGAAGCTCGAGCTTTATGACCATCATCCGGGAAGCAATGGCCACGTCCACGTGTCGGCCACCACTTTGGGCTCTCTGGGCCCGCTGAGGCCGTTGTCCAACACCCCGTCAGACTCTGAGTCGGGGGAAGACGACGATCGTGATGGCTCCAAAAAGCGCAAGAGGCCCATGAACGTCACGTACGTGCTGGCAATTTCCACTGTTGCTCCATCGTGTTCCCCTGTTCATCTTATCTTCATAATTATGCGCATCTTCACTAATGCCCGAGTTTGACAGTTGTGAAGCCTGCAAGGTCCGTATGAATAAGTCCCGGGTATCCTCTATCGAGTTGGACTGATTTTGTGGAGCAGCAGCGAAAAGTCAAATGCGACCGTGCTCAGCCTGCATGTGGGTGGTGTTCTCGGAATGATCATCCATGTGAATACAAAGAGCGGAAGAAGCCTGGCCTTCGAGCCGGTTATGGCAGGGAGCTAGAGGGAAGACTGGATCGACTAGAGGCTTTGTTGAATGAACAAGGTCGCCAATTGGCCGCCCATCTGGCAGAATCATGCACCATTGACGCTGGAGTCAACTCCGCCAGCAATAGACACAGTGTGCAAGGCTTAGGTTCCGACGTCGCTCGGCCGCGGGTTTCGTACGATGCCCAAGCCATCAATGTCACTGGTGAGCTTCAGCAACAGATTATCGACCCCAACTTGCATGCTCCCACCTCGCGACATGGTTCCCTACAGTATCAGCAAGGAGCTCCAGACCAGCAGATGGCAGCGCAGCAGAGCCATTACACTCCGTCTGCTCAGTCTCACACCCTCACTTCGCCACATTCCACCACAGGATTTCAAGGCGCACACATGTACAATGAATACTCGGCCATGCTTCCCCCATATGACCTTCTTTATGCCTTGGTGGATCTCTATTTCAAACACGTCAATATATGGCTGCCTTTGCTGGATAGAAAGACCACTCTAGACACTCTCTTTGGAGCTTCAACTCTCGACGAAGCCGACCGAGTGCTTCTGCATGCCATTGTTGCAACCACCCTACGTTTCTCGCAAGACCCTCGATTGACCCCCGAGGGCCGCCAACACTATCATGACACCTCCAAGCAGCGTGTTCAGTTGTTTGGCCTGGAAAATTCAAACGTCCGAGCGCTGCAAGCACTCGTCATTCTGGCGCTGGATGTGACGGGTTCGACGAATGGTCCGCCAGCGTGGAATCTTCTTGCTTTGATCAGTAGAAGCATGGTGCAACTGGGGCTTGCGGTTGAATCGGGGTCTGCGCTTGCCTCGCCAATGTATCCTTCGATTGCAACCCTCAGGGCTTCTGTCCTGCCCGAGCCCAAGTCTTGGATCGAGGATGAAGAGCGGCGCAGGCTGTTCTGGGCAGTTTTCCTGCTTGATCGATACGCCACTATAGCCACGGCTTTCGAGTTCGCGCTGGACGAGAAAGAGGTTGACCGGCGCCTGCCTTGCAGAGATGATCTCTTTGCTGCAAACAAGCCGGTCGAGACAAGATGGTTTCGGCCACCGGAGCGCCCCAGATATGCGACAGGAATCGCCGACACCCATGGACATTTCTCTTACCACTGCGAGCTCATGGCTATTCTTGGTCACATCCACCAGTTTCTGAAACGGCCCGTGGACATTGGCTCTTTGACTGACGTGGAACAGTGGCAAGGCTCGTACCGAGCCCTCGACAGCGACCTAAACGCGTGGCACTTCAGTCTGCCTGACGAATTCGCCAACATCACACGCCTTCTAAAATCCAACGTGCCTGCTAAAAATACAAATTGTGGCTGGATCATGCTGCATGCAGCATATTGTCTGACGGTCATTCGGTTGAACTCATCTGCGGCGTATCCCAGCCAGACTTCGCCGATCTTCTCTTCGTCCTACAGCGCTATGCAGCGGTGTTTATCCGCTGTTGAGAATTTGCGTCAGCTCTGTCGTTTCGTTAAGCTCAGTGGCCTGCTGGACCGTCTCGGGCCCCCATTTGCCTTTGCCATCTGGGTCGGGGCACGGGTCATGCTGGTGCACGGGTCGACCATGGATCACGAGGTGGATCCAGACATTGACTTCTTCGTGACGACGCTCGCCGAGATGGGGGAGAATTGGCTCGTTGCCAAACGATACAGCGAAATCCTGAGCCGGGTTTTAGGGGAATATCGACAGTCGCAGAGAGCCAGTGGAGTGACAGGGGAGAGGGTAACTCCGTCGACGGTGAAAATCCTGGCCGACATGCGCCGGTAAGGTGGTTCTGACATGTGATTGGATGCGTGCTAAGTTCATGGAAACAGGTGCGCCTACGATCTCGACTTTCTCATCTCCCGCCAGCCACATGCTGCGGCCGTCAAATCATACCACCCAACCCGAACAAACACCCCGGCCCCCAACGAGCTCGAGTATCTTGATGTCTTTGACCTTTTCAACTTTCCCCGGGTCCCCATGACTCAGGAAGGGGTGGAAAATGGAAACGCACAAGGCCTGGGCCAAGCTGCGCCCCCGGATCTGTCGGCCATGAATGCTGGGATGATCCCGAACTTTGCAGTCCCGAATCCAGAAGCTGATTGGCTCTTCCATACAAATTAATGCCACAAAATGGCGGAGAGGCAAGGTTTGCGTGTGCGGTGACGTGCCCTGATATCGCTTCGGTGTGGCGGGTGTAGCCGAACAAAGATCCCTCACACGGAATTTCTCCAGTTGAGGATTTGTCAGTGAAGATATTTTAGCTTCATCTCTCGTGGTCTCATGCAGAGGATTTGAAACTTGATCCTAAGCCTCAAGACTTGCGGGAGGCAAAAGCGGAACAACAACCCCTCCGAGGGGCAGAGATGAGACAAAACTTTGTGTGTTGTAAACTGGAATTACAGCATTAGGGAAATTTCGTGATAGCGTCAGCAAGGACGGGGGTGGGGGAAGGGGGAAGAACACGACACTGCCCATAGTATTTTTGTACCCGTTTATTATGGCGAGGTTTTGGATCGAGTCAGCCTTACCCGATACCCGATTGGGCGACAAAGGTAGCAAGGGAAAGCCAGAGACTCGTGATGATCAACAGAGGAGAGCATGCCTCGTGGGATGTAAATGAGACGAGTGAGGCTAAGGCTACGTGTGTAACTATTTAAGATGTGACTTGAGAGGTTCCCCGAAACTATCGTATTACGAACCGACCAACAAGATGGGAGGGCGGGGGTGTGAGAGCAAATATCATGAGTACGAGGTACAATACTTTGTCATATCTCTCAGCCCTAAGAAGGATTCTTGGTAGTAAAGGAAGAGGGTGAGATGAGGAGAGGGTCTGACATTTGTGTTCCTCTGCTTTTGTGGTTCCGGGTCGCTTCCACTTGCCCTTGGATACTAAGGTACCTGGGTAGTGAGGCATACGAGATGTACAGTACCAAGTCAGGTACCGATTTTCGCGGCAGGTACAAGTGTGTACGAGTATGTCTTCGTATGTAACTAGTATATTAGCTGGTCCCTATTTAATTGCTTTAGCGCTCTCTAGCGGCTGTTTAGTGCGACCACTCAGGTTCAGTACCATCATACCACTGGGTGCCATCCGGCGCCACCACTACTAGCTTAAAATGACGTAATTCTAAGATCCGGAATGCCGAGATAGTCAGGTGACTTCACGTGACTTTGTGCCTCACCTGTGCTTCACTTGGCCTCCCACCTCCCTCACTTTCTTCCGCCCGTGTGTCATCCATCCCATCCCCTTCTCTTGCCCAAGAGTCATCGCCCGTCTCTTAATCTTATCCTTTTTCTGTATCGCTCTGACTGAAGTTGCTGACCTGATTCACCGCGATCTCTCCCACCGAATGTGGCGAAAAATGATACCCCCATGTCCCATGTCCCTCACTACCTGCGCACAAGTCATATCTTGTCCCTCCCCAAGACTGCGCAGGGCTACGCAGGTACCTTGGCTCGAAGTCTCCAGTCTTCCGCCCCCTGCCAATACCCATCCACAAATGGTCTCCTTGCTCAGTTCACCGTTCCACTGACACATTTGACTCCCTCATCCATCGGGCTGGTCCCTAGTGCCCTTCCGGGGTCATTCGAGTTTCTCTGGGCCCGGATAGGAACTTCAGGCTGCTAACAACCAGGCAGACCCTCATTCTTGGGTCGTGTCGTGAACCACCTCTCAGCACCGCCCGCCCTACGCCCAATCCGTTCAAGCCTATTTCAGCCTCAGACCCATCCCAATCAGCAAGTCACTCCAGATGCTGCATCGAGAAAAAAAACCGCACCTTTTCGTGGGACCACTACGTTGACCTCGTTCATGACAGGGTAGGTGACGATGTGAGTCCCCGCTCTCTCGGCACGCGGATGGCTGCTGTTTCCTGCATCGAACAAACGTTCCATTATTTTGTGTTCGTGGTGATCGATCAACCACCACGTTTCGGACCCAAACTCACTCGTCTCCCCGGTCCAAACATCGCAAACAACACCATTCCGCAGTGCTCAGCAGTTCCCACCCCATCTCTCCGGCTCAATGCCAACCCCTACGCCGCCGTTGCTGGGCCTAGTCCTTACAATCAGGCCGGATTCTTATTTGGTCGACACCTTGCATCTCGACGTTTCTATTGGTACCGGTTCTATTCTCAAAACGTGGCACGCTGGGGGCGTGGTTGGTTCTTTGCTCTTTCCAACCCAGGCAATGTACCGTCTTGTTTGTTCCCCATTTCGACTACGCAGAATACTTCTCATCTTCAAAAGAATCTACGGCTTCTTGTCATTCATTGGGCCAATTTTGGCCCTCGACACATGACTCCATGCGTCGCTACTTCCCTAAACCCCCCGCCTAACTGCATCAGTCAACTGATTGGTTCCTTCCTAAGGCTACAGTTATGACTTCCATGATATAAGACTCTGGAAGCACCAGGTGCCTACATCACCTCACATTTGTGTATTCAACTGTTTCCTGCACATATTTCAAAACTTCTCTTTTTCTGACTCAAAGTGATTTTGCCCACGGCAGTTTTTCGTCCTTCCTGCAACTCTCTCCACTGTGCAAGTATTACTGAATCTATTTCCAAGACCAGGACAAGCATGTGCTATCAGATTGTCGAAAGATATGCAGTATGCCGCTGTCTGTACCACAAGCATTCGGTTGATCCATGTCAGCGATATGGTCAGCGAGGTCATTCTACGACCGAGAAGACAGTGCTCGTTGGATTCGCCTGTCCAAACCATTCAGCGAAGAGGCGTTCAGACCAAGCATCATCATCATCGCCATCTGACTCCAAGCCCTCTGGTGGTCGTCCATGGCACGACTCTGGGTACTCTAGCGGTGGCTACCCTTCAACATCTGGCCGCCGGTGAAAATGTCGGGTTCTTCCACCCTGGACCCTACTTTCCTGAGACGACAGCGAAAGCTTTCCGAGCGTTTTCCTCTCTCTCGATGGACCGGACGAAACGGGCAACTCCTAGTCGGTCCGGCGGCAGATCCAATCTGCCGGAACGCCCACGTCATTCGATTATTCTATCGGTCGCAGGTCGACGCAGATGACCCACCATTCGTTGCTTTGATTTACAACGGGCTCACTGCACGTCAATATGCGCGGGCACCCCAAGTATCTGACATGTCTGTGCTGAGCCGGGACCGCAACTCTGAGCTTCACCAATACACTCAACCCCTCGGGATGCTTCGTGGCGAGAACTGCACACGCCAAGGATGACAAATACTGAAGCACTCGGCACCAATGCTGGCGCATTTTCGAGCTGCGGAAAAGCACGCACTCCCAGGTGGCTATTGGGAAATCAAAACTCTACACACTCGACGATCTTACGCCATGGCTACGGTCGACACACGTCACAGTCTACTCATTTCTGCTTTTGAATGGATGCAAGGTTCGGATCGGCGACCTGGTGTCGCAGGAACATCAAGTCCGGAGCGTATGAGCGATGGGGCGCAGGCGTCTCCTAGTAATGTACATCTCACCGGATGGAAAGGGAAACGGACGGCGCTATTTCCGGGTACTTTCCTGGAGATCTTTTGATCTGGTTATGGTGTTGGGAATTCCCTTATGCAGAGCATTAGGGAGTGTTGCATGGGCGTAGCCACAATGATTCCTACGAGCATGAAGTCTACGACAGCGACTGCGGATAGGTATATTTTGGGATTGATTCATCTATATGATATATGTACTACTCCACAGCGGGTGCTGTGACCCGGAGGACCGGGGATACTGGTTGGCATCACAGATGTCTGGAACATCGTTTTGGGCATGGGCTGCCCGGGACAAGCGAGAAATGGTCAGGCAACCAGAATCCATCACCGCCGTGTCATTTACTTTTAGATACTTCTTGTCTCAGTGCCGGTTGGAAGACAGGCAGCAGCAAGGCTTTCTCTGCCTGTGTTCCGGACCTTTGCGCCATCATGTCACTCTGTCTGGGCTGGCAAATTTGGACTGGTTTTTCGCCCTATGAGGAATCTGATCTTCACACCGCAAAGGCGCCGAGGACGTGGGAACGACTGCACACCAAAAGTCCGCGTGGAACAGGCATTGATCACGTCGATTGTTCCCGGAGGGGGCCGCATAGCACTGCTCGTCCTCGTCACCATGATGTTTACTACATCTGCACTAGGTATGTTGGACGGCGCATGACGGATATTACGGCCGTGGTCGTCCAAGAAGTCCAAATCGACACTCGACATACATGCCCCCGAGTCGGAGTAATTGCATGCATGAGCAGCCCAGCCAATGTGACCGACAGACTGTGCCACTTATCGTCTCTTGGAACCATTCCTAGGGCTTTCACGGCTATGACCGGTGCCCTAGACCATGCGGTTCGCCGGATATTCTTACAATCTCGGACGGAGCTACATACGCACATACGACTGGAAAACTGGTACTACCCTAGACCAAGAGTAAGATCCCGAAGTCGACGATGGTGGCGGGCAAAAGTTGCGAGCAAAGTCCTCACAGCTTTTCCAAATCAGGATCAACCAGGTTGGGGGCGGAAAATAGTGCTCAGAAAAGCCACAGCTCCCCCTCTATTCAGCCGCAATGGTCGAGCCTAGACAGGGATCCCTGATTTCCCACCCTCGCTAAAGGAAGCAGGATTCGGAGGTACCTTGCACCGTTGGACCCCTACATAGGTACGCACTCTCGGCATGGACGGAGTTCATTGCCTGGACATCCTGGACTACTGGAATGTTTCCAGACTAAACAGATCCCTCGGCTCTTGAGGGTTTCCGATCCTACCACCTCGCTCGCACCCAAACCGTTCCCGGTAGTGGCTGTGGCTGAACATAATAGCCCTGCAATGAGCGAGATAGGATTTTGGCCGATCCGTGAGCGGTCCGTAGCATGGGGCACGTGCGCCGACATGCAGTTATCAGGGAAGATCGAGTCATGCGACTTTCGAGTCTGTCATTTCCCTGATCTGGGGTCGGCTACTGCTGCTTCTTCTGCTACAACTTGGAGGGCCTTTGGGGAAGTTTGTCATCTCTCTGCACAAGGGCACCAAGGGGTTACAACAAGCCCCAATCCTTCGACCTACTCTGCTCCATATTTGTCGGTAGGATGCCTCACGTCTACGAGGATGCCAGAACCGCTCTTCCGAGGGGACATCGTACTCCGCCTTCTCTCCTCTGACGTTGGCTCGTCAGAACTCACTACTTCAACGAGTCTGTTAGTAACAGTTCCGCCAGCTCCTCAAGGCTGTTCTTGAGCGAGGTCGTGGGTACCAACATCCAATGAATGAGAAGATGTAAAAGCTTTTAGCCCAGAAGGATATCGAGGCTACCCGTCACCCACCCATGAGCTGCCATCACTGCTGACGAATGGACTGACTGGTCATGTTCGTGATGATGGACAACCTCTCAACGACTTTCGGCACTTATTGTTGAGGTATTGTTTGCCGTCGGCGATTTGTGGAGGAGGTGCACCGAAATACAAGTTCGCCATCGGAGAGTTTGATAGCTCAAGTTTCGGCAAGACATATCTGCGAGGTACCAGGAGTTGATCGATCATGCGAGGTGATGTGGCGAACCACGGGGAGAACTTTGGGCCGCCTGAAGTGCTCAAACATTCTCAAATCTTTTCGGAGGAGTTGCTTCTCACCACTGCGTCTGCGCACGACACTGTCGGGATCTGTCCCAGGTTGGTGAAACTCTTTGCTGTTGATATGACCAAATTCTCCCTGATCTGTTGGTGTCTGGGCTTCCCTGGCTGGTTTTCCTCGGCGACCTTGGCTGGACTGGAGATTCGCTGTCGACTTCTTGCATTAGCATCCGGTAAATACGCCGGTGAGTATGGGCCTCCACAATCCTATGGCAAGCTGTGGCTATTCATCAGAGCTGAAAGCTCTTTTGGGCTGGTCACCGCACAAGTTGAAGGCGTGTGCTGTGACGGTTAAGCGACAGGAAGGAAGGACAGAGCCATGGCATCGGAGCAGGCATCTTCGTTACAACAAGCTTTGGATGTCGCTGTGCTGAACGAAGACAACAGGAGTCCAATGAGCACGTACGGATGTCTTGACATTTACGAACTGGCCGCTGTGGACTCTCAGGCAAACCAGAAGGAAGAGGGGCAGAGAGTGGGACAGGCACAGCAAGACGATCGACAAATACGAGCTCGGTATCGCCGGTGGGATGTTCACCCGAAGGAGGGGGCCAAACTATTCACCAATTCCCTCGTCTCTCCATCAAAAGAAGGCAACAGACTCTGGCTCTGTTCCTTACACGACGAAGACAAGACCCTGGCCAAATGCTCGCCGGAAAGAACGCGGTATAACAGAGACAACAGGTGGAGAACACAGGCTCGTGATTGATCGAGTCCATCCTTGCTACGTGGTTATGTGCCTCGCCGACACTTGTTATCAATAAATACAGACGCCCACTCACACAAGTTCTGAAAGTGATCGTGATCGGAACATGGACATATCATCTGTATGAGTCTTGACTTTGATTGAGTCTTACAAGGTCTTTACAGACTGAAGGAATCCTGTTGCTCGGGAAAACTCAGACACGACAACACCTTGGCAAGCTCAGGCACGTTTAGGCATCTTACACCAAACCTCATCATACCACATATCCCAAAGTGACGATGACACTCCCACCCCTCCTCGTCGGCCAAGTCTGCGCAGTAACTGGAGGATTAACAGGGATCGGACGAGCTATCACCATCCTCTTCCTGTCGCACGGCGCTAAAGTGGCCATCAACTATCTGCCCTCCCACAACAAGGATGAAGAGAAACTCCTCACATCGTTGCGCACCGAAGCATTTGACGCTATCAAATCCCGCTTGCAACCTTCCTCATCATCGCCCGTGGCCGTGCACGACCTCCATGATGTGCCCCTGCTGACCGTTCCGGGAGACATTGCGCTTCCAGAGACGGGTCAGGAGCTCGTCTCGCAGACGGTGTCTCGTTTCGGGCGGCTGGACACATTCGTTTCCAACGCAGGCATCTGCCGATTCGAGGAGTTTCTTGAGATCTCGCCGCAGAGCTACCAGCGGCATCTCGATACGAACCTGTCGGGCGCCTTTTATGCCGTTCAAGCCGCCGCGCAGCAGATGGTGCGCCAACAGAACCCTCAGGGCGGTAGCATCATCGGCATCTCGTCCATCTCAGCACTTGTCGGTGGAGCCCAGCAGTGCCACTACACGCCCACCAAAGCCGGCATCTTGAGTCTCATGCAGTCCACGGCCACCGCGCTGGGCAAGTACAATATCCGCTGCAACGCTCTGCTGCCTGGCACGATTCGCACGCAGTTGAATGACGAGGACTTGAGGGATGGGAGCGACAAAAAGACCTATATGGAGGGACGCATCCCCCTCGGTCGACTGGGGAAGCCTGACGACCTGGCCGGGCCCGCACTCTTCCTCGCCCAACCTGAGTTGAGCGGCTATGTTACTGGAGCAGCCCTTTTGGTGGACGGAGGAGCGTTTGTGAATTTTCAGTGATGTAAACGGGCATGCATATATGTACAAGTATGTGCGGAGGCCAAAGATTACACGGAACATTCGAAGAAAGGGATGCGAATTACAGCCCGCGGTTATTTCATGAAACGGGCACAGTCAATTCTGTACGCTTTGATGGCAGTGCCAGACCAGATCTTTGCTCGTTCCTCAGCCGTCAAGTCCTGCGAGGCAAGGATCGCTTCCACTAGGTCGTGCCAGTGGCTCCATGATTTGATGACGCCGGGACCGCCAACATTACACACCGGCCAGTCGGAGCCGAACATGATCCTGGACGGGCCAAAGGCTTTGAAGACGACGTCAACCCAAGGCCTCGTCCGCTCAACAAGAGCGGTGACAGCGGTCGGACTGGTGTCGTTCTGTTCCGGCAGTTCAGAGAAAAACCCCGAGAGTTTCATATAGGTCGACGGATGTCGGGCCATTTGTTCGATACAGTCTTTCCATCTTGTGAAGTCCGCGTGGCTGTACGCGAGGGATTCCTGGGCAGACAGCCGTAGGTTGGGCTTGCAGAAATGGTTGATTATGATTACTAGGCCGTTTCCGTTCTCGTAGACTCGCTCCATCATCGTACATGCTTCCTGGAGTTGGTGTAACCCACCAGATCGAGCGTCCACTCCCAGATCGAATGTGAGGCCGTGGTCTCCTAGCCATTGTAACCCTTCGATGAACTTGTCCTGCAGCATTGTTCCAGCGGGCTTATCCTGGACGAGATAGCGGAACCCCTTGATGAGAGACCACTCCTTTCCCGCACGCTCTTGGACTTGTCGGATGTAATTCGCAAGACCCGCCTGGCCGGCCGGTACTGGTGCCCACGGCACGATTCCCAAAACCAACGCGGCGTCTTCAGGCCGGTGACCCTCGCCTGCTCGCGGGCTGCCTCGGGCGATTCTGACCAAAAAGTCAACTTCCTCGAGAACATGCTGCCATACATTGTCTTGCAGCCCCGATCTGCGGTCTGTCTCGAGGAAGATGAAACCTCGCAAATTGGCAGATTGGTCCCGTGCGGCGGCGCGATACTGGTCGAGGGAGTTTTGTCTGTTCAGTGGATGGTCTGCCGCGAGGTCGCCGGTCCAGTTCAGTGACGGGATATGGGAGGCCGCGTAGAGGTGGATGTGGGAGTCTACGATATCTTTGGTTGCCGTGCTGCTGTTGTGCTCAGATGCCATCTTGTCCTTCGTGTAATAATCACCCAAAGGGCAATATGGGGAACACGGTTTCTAGCCTTCTTCTGGCTATTTTGCCCACACTGTAGTAAAGCGTTGAGAAGGGGGAAGACTCTAGCAAACATAGGGGACAAATAGCCTAATGACAACAGACAGCTTCTCCCTAACCCGCTGAGGTCACAATGAGTAACACCCATGGCTCCCTGTTAGATGGCTCGACAGAGGTTACCATCGTGGACCTTCGGTGTTTCGGGCCAATGTTGGTAGAGAGGTAGAGACAGCCAACCGTAGGGACGGGTTATTGCCAAGCTGTGGTTCATAGGATCCCATTGTGAGAGGCTCTGGATCTTCTGTGGACGCAAGTAGTAAGGTTCAACAGCACAGGGCTATGATGAGAGGAGGAGTAGTGGTTCAATCTGATCTTGTGTCTGCGGAACCCAGGCGGCCCAGGCACAGGGAAAGTCGGCGGTATTTGCCGTCACCAACTGCGTCAAATAATGTTCATCGCGTCATTTGAAACGCGCCGAGGATACAAATGACGACGAGGTCCACGAGGTCAACGAAGGTCTTCAGACTTTCGTGGGTGGTCTGACTATCTGCCGTTGGATAGACTTTACCATTGCCCTTTATTTGCCTTGTTGCCGTGTGTCTGAGGGAGTATATAACTCACGAGTGAGACCGTTTGCCATTGAGGAGAGGGATTTTGATCTCTCCAAAAAAAGCAAATGGCTTCCCATATCCAGTTCATCACGAGACCAAAGTCACATTGAAACCCAGCACTCTCACTTACTCAGAAACCATATCATGACGACCCTATCTTCCCCGAGAAGAATGGATCATCCGCAGAATCATTCCTTCCCGACCCCTCCTACCTCCGCAGCCTCTCCTGCGCCGAGCACCGCCTCGCTGGGCAACCGGACGTCTTCTCTCCCAACCCCGCGTTCGCACCGTCTGCAGCCGGGGTCGCAGAAGGAGATCGCCCTCATAAACTACTTGGACGACCGCATCTTGAAAATCACACGGCGATATGCCAAAAAGTTCAGCCACGAGGGGCTCGAGAGAGACGACACGCCGGGCTATACGACCTACGACGAGTTTGTGGCCGACGTCGATCCTCTGGTGGACGTTGTCTGGATAAGCGGCACCCCGACCATCCAGATCCCCTACCTGCTGTCTCTCGCGGGATTGGCATGCAACTATCTCGAGGCCTTTCCCTTCTCGACCTCGGTGTTCTCTCTCACGAGCAAGATTGATCAGGGGTTTGCGACCCTGCTGCAACCCCCAGAGAATAACACCTTCTCGGCCACCATACCCTACCAGGTCTCCATGACTGAAAAAGTACGCATCAAGTCGCTCATCGAGGAGACCCGTGTTGCCGCCGTGAATGCCGCGTCGGGCAGTGGTCACGACGCTCGAATCCACGACCTCTCCGAGACGGAGACGGAAGACGATGACAAGGACGCAGAGGAAGACGATGAGCAACAGCAGAACATGTCTATATCGCTTGGACTGTCCCGGATATACAAAAGGACGTTGGAGATTCTGGGCGATTCGCTGGTCGCAGATGTCGTGCTTCAGACCCAGAGCAATGATTGAGAGAGAAAGAGACATGTTCTTCACTTGATGGGCACTATCCAGAGTGCTAGGATGGCCTCAGAGGCGAGTGTACAGATCTACGGGTCGATATGCGAGACTACTCCGTCCAGCACAGCAAAAGCACCTGCCTGTACAGGAGCTCGCAGCACCGCGGACAAGTCAATGGGACCGGCACTTCCCAGAGTTCATGCGAGACTGATAGAGAGGGGCTACATTCTGGACGGCAGCATATCACACTCTTTGCTTCCCCCAACTTCTGGTCACCTCATCTCGACCAATGCAAAGACATCAACGGGTCTGTTGGGTGCAGCTTTTTGTGGGCTCCAATGCTTTGCAACAAGGCAGCCAATCAGACGCGGCCACGCTCGGCCTCTGACGCTCACCGACATCCGCCACGCAGCACCAGCACGCACCAGGTACCAGGAACAGGAAACTTTATTGAATGGTCTGATTTTCAATTGATGCCCGAGGAAGTTCTTGGGTCACACAAATCAAGTTCACAGCAATGTCACGGACCATGCATGTTAAACTTTGCAGAAGTAGAGAGCTTGACCGGCAGAGCTCTCTCAGTCTTTGCTTCTGCTTCTGCTTCTTAACCTCAAGATCGAGCTTTGCCCCTGCCACTTTGCAAGTTGCAGCACTTTGAAAATATTCAAAATGGAACTGTTTATATTTCTTCTGTTCGTCCAAACGGCGCTCGGTTTCGCAGTCACACCACTACCCCGACAAACCGAAGAACTACTGGTGCCGACGACAACAACAACCACCGAATCTGTTACATCAGTGGTTCCGACGACATTTTGGACCGCTACTTCAACCATCACTCCGACCAGATCCCAGGTACAACTATCAGCTCTGATAACGATTGCGCCGTTGTCGGCCAACCCTCTCGAAAAGCGACAATGTTGTTGGAATGATCAAGGGTTCCGGGTAGATTGTGCTCAGTGGACAGGATATTACTACACTTGGGGACCACCCGGCGACCCTTATCAAGGAGGGCCTCCTGGTTGTGGACAGTCTGGCGATGGCGGAAGTGGTGGGAGTCCGGGAACCGTGGTTGTTTATCAAAATGGGGGAAACCCAACGGACCTGGCCAGTTGGTCCGCGATCCTGGGAACGCTTTGTCTGGTGCTTCTATTATTCATATGAAGCCCTTGATTCTGCGCAAAGTGCAGCTTACAAGGTCGGAGGAGAGTCTCAGGCTCCTATCTGTGGCGGAGTGACAACATGGCTTCGCTCAGGCATACAAGGTACAGCTCAATGACACAATTCTTCAACAGTCAGATCGACCTCTTTCACAAACATCGTGACATCTGCGGCAACAAATCTGAGACCAGTATTATGGGCCAACACCCATTGCCTAAAGATCGGTTTGTTCATCACCAGCCATCGGCACACACGCTGCCTGTTTGTTGATACTGCCTAGAGATTAGCCATAAAGCATGTCCTTTTTTGGAGCCCTCTCTGCCTTGTGGTTTCTTTCTTTTTGTTGGGATCGGGTCATAATCAGGAAAGACTGACAAAGACAGCACACAGCAATCTCCAGTGGAAGCGCATCGTATAAATACACACGTCGTTTGTATAGAATTGTGCCCAGCAGAGCTCAACCGGGCATCTTCCACCATAGCTTCAACGTCGACCTTTTGCGCCCAAGATTGTACGCTCCCAACCAATCCAAGCCACTTGAAGTATATTTGGGAAAAAGTTTGGGTCAGGTTGGTGTCGACATACTGCGAGGCTGTACTCCAAAGTCGTCCTTTGGGGGCTGCCTCTGCCTCTGCTGCTCTCTCGCTGTCAATCTTCCAAGATTGAGCTGGACGGTCGGATTCAGAAGGCCGATCGGGTCATTTCCGTGGCGCCCTGGACCGCGAACGAACCATGGTTCAGAACAGCACCTCACACGTTACAAATGGGTCCATCGGGGGTGGTATTTGCTTCAGCCTTGACTGCTTCAGGGTTTTCGATGGTGACAGACCAGAGCACTGTCTCTTCCGCTTCTTTTGTGGCGCCGGTTCGGTCAACTGTCGCCTCTGGGAGGGATGAGTTGCCCTCGGTTTGGTCTTCAGGCCATGGAGTTCAAGGGTCTTTGGGTGGCCATGAGACTGAGACTGAGACAGAGACTGCCGATTTCGTTCTCACGTTGTACCCGATCCCTTCGGCTTCCAGCTCGATGCCTTTGGTGACAGTCACAGGGGAACCGTGGGGAGATACTACAAAGTCCCGCCTTTGTCATCCATGAATCAGACACTTTGAGCCCGACCGGCTCTACGACCATTGCACCTGTTCCCCCGAGAGCCATTTCAATCGCGACATCCGCAGCTGCCGCCGATTCATTTGCCTCTCAAACGACGACGACGACGACGCTCATAACCCGGGTTAGGACCACATTGTACGTGACGACAGTTACTACGGTTCCCCGTCCGTCTACTACCCTAACGAATTCTACGTGGCTGGTGCGGACAAACAGTCTTCACCTGACCGAGCAGGACGTGGCCAGCATGGACGAATTCTACAATGTCGTCGAGTATCTCGCATATCCGTCCTCCAAGTCAATCTCCAACGATGTCGAGTGCGGGTTCAGCAGTGTCTCCGCGAGTCTTGACGCCGAGACGGTGACGGGGACGGCGGTGCCACCACGAGGAACAACGTCAACCTCAAACCGCAGTGTTACTCCCAAGTATCACTCCTAATACTACCACTACCACTACCACTACCACTACCACTATCGAGCAGCAGCGGTATCAGCACTACAACCTCGTCGGACGGAGGTGGAGGTGGAGGTGGTCACGGCCACGACCTCGCCGAGCAACGCACCCGTTGGGCTTACAGGCACAGCACGACCGAGCACACTGAACACCCTCCTCGGTCGACGTGGTCAGCGTGTATCGATTGGCTTTAAGCGTGGAATGAATGATGCGGTCACAAACATGGCCATTGCATCAGGCGGTCGGACAGGACAGGACAGGAGAGGATAGGATTTAAATCAATCTGACATTCTGCCATTCTGCCATTCGCCATTGCTCAAGGTCTCAATGGCTCGATCTCATTGTGGATACGCATACACATATGTGTGCACCTAGCTGTACTTGTACTTGTACTTGTAATTGTAGAACTCGGCCATTCCTGGTGGTGCAGTACAGCCAGCCAGCTCCTCTTAAGCAAGATGGACAAGGTACAAGTATCAAGTATGTCCCCCTTTGGAGTCAAGGCAATATGAATGAATCGTTCCCGTCCTTCCTGGTCTGTGACAGCTGTTGTCCAAGAAAGCCCCCTAGAGACATGCCCGGCCCGGCCAGCTTTGGGTTTGAGGGAACATGACTTGTACAGAATTTCCCAGCACCCAGAGAGTTCAATCTTTCTTCTGGTCCTCGTCGTTGGGCTGGAAATTCAGCTGGTTCCCATTGTAAAACTGCTGGTTCCTCTTTCCTGCAGCATCTGCGGCGCGCTGGTCAGCGAGTGTGCGAATCCGGACGTTATTCCCCGCCGCAGAACCAGCACCAGCACCAGGAGGCTGATCTGCGTTCCCACGTCCGCTGCCCGTAGGCGTCGTCTGTTCCGCATCGCCCGACCCATACCCAAGCAGTGACCGTACACCACCAAAGACCATCCCTGCCGTTCCACTGACGAGGTTGTACCCTCCACTCACAACACCCCCGAGTAGCCCGCCTCCCAGAGCCAATCCGCCGGAAGCGTACGAGTCAACATACCCTTGCACCGGGACCATGACGAAGGTACAGCTCCCCGTGATACCCAGGTCGGAGAGTTCAGTGTCTTCTTCTCCCGCTTCAATTGTGCGGTTCGGAAGGGGTGTCAGGATGAGTTTGAGATTGTATGGCACGCCACTTGTCCTGGCGGGTGAAGCAGTCGAGCTGGCCGAGTCAATCCAGGGACGGATTTCTTTTGTGATGGTTGCGCTTGAAGGGAATGTATTGCGCAAGGTCGAACCGTCGAATGTGCGGACTTGGACTCTCACATCCCCTCGAGCGTGCAATATTGACGTTTTTGATTTGGCATGCGAAGAAGCAGTTGAAGAACCCAGGGTTTCCGGCGATTGACCATGCTTCCTCATTTCATCCAACATCCGCCTCTCCTCCCGATCTGCTTTAATCTGTGCTTTGATCCTTTCACGTTCCTCGCGTTGTTTTTGTTCGCGCTCTCGTTGCATTTTGATGTAATCTGCCCTTTGCGCTTTTTGTTTGTCACTCTCCGCACTGGAACCTGATGATAGTAGGGGTTGGGCTGAGACTGGAGATGGATCCGTAGGTATGGCGTGTCCTCGCGGCGCTGATGAGGAGGGAGGTGACGGAATGGGACGGTGCTGTGTAGGGTAAACCTGTTCTCCCGCAGGTACAGGCACCGACGGCGTTACCGGTGGACTTGTCTGTGTAGGGTGATGTGATTCAGTAGAGGTACTGGGTTGTGCCGGACCAGAGTCCTCCTGCACACTGTTCAGGTCCCCAGACGTGGGCTCCGTTTGATGGGAGTCACTAGATTCATCTTGTGGTTCGGATTGATGTGTCCTATGACAGTTCAGCCTGGGAAACAGTCTGCGATATCATAGATGCATACCGGGGGTCCTGGAAGGACGATGTTCCTCCATCTTGTCCAAATGCAGAAGCGAGGCGAGTCTTTAACTGCTCGGTCGAAACCTCTGCGGACTGAAGGTTTTCTTGTACTCGCGCATCCCTACCCTTGTCAACATACGGGCTGCAATCTCTCGGCCGTCTCCTACTTTATCACAATGATTGCGGGCGTGCTGTGGATCGGGCAGATCGAATTCAGAAAGCCGGCTTCTTCAGAGCCCTCGTTGAGTAATACTGCCACAGTTTGTGAGGAAACGGCTGGCGATATCTACTCTAGAGCGTCAATGATTTCGAACCATAGACATGAGGGAAATGCATTACCGAGGGATCCCTCAAGACGGTTTCCCATTCCCTGCTGGCTTCTGTGCTGGTATCTGAGCGCGGTTAACAAGACTGCCGGCTGCACCAGCGGACAGCTTACCAGATACAAAGCACAGGACAGCCTTTCGTTCGTGAAGCGCTGTTGATATAGCACTCGACAAATCTCCGTTATAGAACATCTTGAATGTAGAGTGGATCGCAATGGCCGATGTCTTGCGTCGATTGCGAATCAACTGATGCTGAATTCATATGCAAGCGGAGATGCGAGGATCTTGAGACGTCATTCGGCACGCGCAGCACCTCCGAGAAATTATTTTGCGACTCTGCTCTCAACTGTCCTTCTCACATACAGCTTTCATTTGAGGAGAAGACATGGCCAAGTATGACTTGAAGCTCCTCCGGTCACTTCTATCGCGCTCCGGGGGTCCTTCTCGTCCGTTCACCAAAGCCCAATCTCGTCGTCTTGCGACCGAGAAGCCCCCAACACCACCAAACAACAATGAGGACTTTGTCTCAATAGTTGACGCACCTCCACGTCTGGTGCGCACCGGCCAAAAACACAGCAAAATCGGCATTGCCATACTCTCGCTCATCCCAATCACTGCTTTTGTACTCGGCACCTGGCAAATCCAACGGTTGGAGTGGAAGACCAAGCTCGTCGCAAGATACGAAGATCGTCTCGTGCGCCCACCACTACCCCTACCACCGAGGATCGACCCCGAAGCTATCCATGAGTTTGACTACAGAAGAGTGTATGCCACAGGGAGATTCAGACATGATAAAGAGATGCTCATCGGGCCGAGGACGCAGGACGGGAAGGATGGTTTCATGGTGGTCACTCCTCTAGAACGAGAAGGTGGGAGTACTATCTTGGTCAACAGGGGTTGGATCAGCAAAGAGAAGAAATATCAGGTCGATAGAGATCCGGAAAGCTTGCCCAGAGGCGAGATCACCGTTTCGGGACTGCTCAGAGAGCCTTGGAAGAAGAACTTCTTCACGCCAAAGAACCAGCCAGAGAATGGCAAATTCTATTTCCCCGATGTTCACGAAATGGCAGAGGTTGTGGGCGCTGAACCTGTCTGGATCGAAGAGACCATGACTCCCGACTTATTGGTTAGCTATTCTCGGGAAGCGAGAGGGATACCGATCGGGAGAGCCCCAGAAGTCAATCTGAGGAACAATCATTTGCAGTATATTTTTACATGGTGAGTGTCTGCGCTTGGTTTGCAACATATCGTATCTCATTAATCCGTCAGGTACTCATTATCCGCCGCCACAACGCTCATGATGTGGATGCTGTTGAAGAAGAAACCGGTTGACAGAGCTCGACGAGTCCGCCATGTCACCAACTGGTAGCATTTTCAACGGTGATCATTGATCCGATAATTCATCGAGATTTAAGCCAGCAGCGACGTCCTTGGGAAGCAACTCTTTCGCAGCTTTCACAAGCTCTCCATCAACTTGGAACAACCGTTGCCTACGCATCAGCATTAGGACGTCACTCTGATCGATGCGTTTCCGCCGCGCGTGGGTTGAGTAAGCTCCCAGGTCTTCGCCGACTTGATCGAAATACCATTCGGTCGCCTGTTCAAGAGCTTGCATGTGGTCCCTTCCAAGTTTAGGCCGACGATTGCCGAGCCGGGCTTGTGCTTCAATGGCTGCCCGTCTAATCAGGCTTCTGGGCAAGGACGGTACCATTTCCCCTTGTCGAGTCAACTTTAATTTCTTCCGACGGGTATGTTGAGGCGCTGGTCGTGGGGCCTCTTCCCTAACAGAGCCTTCAAGAGGAGCTCCATATTCAAGGTCCGCTTCTGGGTCCGCTTCTGGCTCGGGACTTTCTTTTCGTTGATGGCCATCGTGTCCTGATGGTGACGCTTCGACGAGTCTTGCCTCCCCAGCGCGCTGAGCATATTTTGAAGTTGTTTCCGTTTCCGGAATCGGCAGTTGGAAGTCTGTGTCATCAAAGGTCGGGATGTGTAAATTGCTCTCGTCAGGTGCGGCTATGGATGGGGATCTCTGAAGATCCTCGAGGCCCTTCAAGGCCTCAGTTTCCCCTCCCTCATCCCGAAGAGGTGTGTAGAAATCTTTGTTGGTTTTCTCCAGACTCTCTGGAAAGCCCTGAAAAAGCGACTCTCTTCTGATTTCGAGCTCCGAATGGAAACCATCCATGTCGATCATCCCAAAGTCGTAACGTGACAGATTTTCTGTTGGTTCGACTGTTTCCGCCCTTCTGCCTCTCTCGGATAGGAACGTAGATTCCTCGTCTCCGCCATTAAAGCTGACCTGTCCGACAGGATCTGACGCAGGAAAGGAACGTCTAGACATACGGCGGCTGGGTTCAGGCGAATGTGTTTGCCTCCCGTAATCTAGAGACCGGAATGTAAATGTTGGATCCAGATTGTATAGCTTGCCGTCGTCATCTGGCAGAATTGAAGGCGTAGGAGCGGCTGGGAGTTCGCTGTCCTCGTCATCGTCCTCAGTTGGTTGAGGCATTTCAATGCTCTCCAGACTTTCGTCAATGTCCAGGGCCAGACGTGGTCTTTTGGCATTCTGCGCGACATCCCCCTCATTCAGCGGACTTTCAACCCATGGCGCTCTGTTTTCTTTTCCCCTCACAGTTCCAGGTGTAGGTATTACTTTTTTACTGGCGGGTGCAGTAATCTTAGCTAGCTGTCTCAAGATACCTCTCGCCGAGTCGGGTCGCACGGTCTCGCTGAATGCCCTCCTCCTGCGAACTGAGCGCGTCTTGGCTCCGCTTCGTTGTTGAAGGGCGCGGATCGCATGGGGTGTGGACGGCGCATATCGCGAAGGGGTCTGCGTAGCTTGCGTCTCTTTCAAGGTTTGTTTTCGAGAAGACATGTTGGAGTTCTGAGATTATCAAAGGTCAGAGAAGTCGTGCGCCCTGTTCATGAATGAGAGGGGCCGGCAAGTCATTGGGAGACGCGTCTTGGTCAACTCATGGCGACACGAGATCACGTGAACAAAGTCGCTGAACTCGCGTAGTGCCAATAGACTCATTTCTTTTCTCGTCAATCAGTTGGCTCTGTCCCAAGTTCCATATGATGGCCTCGTAGGCCACTTGTTAGTCTCCTATGTCTTGGACATGTTCGTTGTTGTCTTCTCTCGCTCGCACAAAGTCCACCTCTAGGTCACGGACCGTCCCCAAACTAGGAATAATATGGACTCGCTGGCAACATGTTGCTGCCGGGTCTATCGAAGAACCTGCTCCCGACTTCGCTCAACAGCTCGAATCCATGAAAACCCGCCACATGCCAACTGATGAAGGCCCCTGGGATGGATTCAATATCCGCGCTCTGCGGAAAACCCTGCAAAGCCACCTTTCGCTTTCAGATCTCCGACCACCAAATAGTGTTCCCCCAGGCTATCATCAAGTGTCATTCAACAGCCTACCTTATGAGCATGAGCTAGGCCATGACGGTGCTGAAAAGCGCCATGCTCCTAGTGACGAATGGAAATATCGAGTATGGGCCGGAGGCTACATGGAGTTTCAGATTCCCAGCATATGGACAGCCCGGCCGAAATTCGTCGCTGTCAAGGAGAGAATTACAGACACTCGACTCGTTGGCGACCTTACCAGTGAGAACGCGAAAGTATTTGTCACGTTAACAAGGACACTCTTTCCCGCCATGGTAGATGCCCGGGGAAAACCCGTGCGTAGAAGACTGGGAGGTCTCCGCGCCACGAATCGAAGGGACAACATCGTGCTTAAAGAGGAGAAATACCTCTGCTTCATGCGGGAAATCCCAGAGGGTCTAAAGTCGACCGCTCCGCCGCGTATACTCAAGCCCCCCTCTAACCCGGTGTACTCGCAAAGTATGATCCCTTCACCAACGCTGCTCTTCAGATTCAGCGCCCTATCCAGAAACGCCCACGCCATCCATCTTGATGCAGACTATACCCGACAGGTTTACGGTCTTCCAAAACTCATTGTACATGGGCCCCTGACCTCCGTCCTCATGTTGGATATCCTTGGTGAAGCTCTCGCTCTTCACACGGTTGGGAAGCCGTACACCTTGGCCATTCGGACATTTCAATACAAAAATCTCCTTCCGCTTTTTGTGAACGAACAGATCACCATCGCCTGCAAGAAGGTGCATGACATTCAACCGCAAGGGACGAAATTTAGGACTGCATTCGGAGCGACATGGGAAAAATGGGAAGTCTGGATTCAAAAAGGTGCGGGAGGAGATGCCACGACAGCCGTTCGAGGATCTGCGTGGGTTTCGCCAGTATCGCATCCTGGTTCAGAGGCCGCTGCTAAAGTTGCTGCTGAGGCACCAGCTCCGTCGACCGAGGATTCCCAGGATCAATACCTAATTGACGAGGAAGAAGAGCAAGCTGCTAGCGGTGCCTCGGAGGGATGAGCATCCTTGAGACCGGGTCCGACCCAAGAAGCCCGTCGCCATTAACGGGATTCAGATTTGGACAACGCACCGAGGTAGATGTCTCGTGGAAATAGAGCATCCATGTTCTCCCAGGGCTCTGATCACCGCAAGAAGGTTCTCTACGCTCCTCGGAACAGATGCGTTCGCGCCTTTTGAACACCCCGACGTACCGTCCCCCTGCGTAACGTGGGCAACCCAGAAACATTAGACCCGGGCTCCTCAAGGAAAAGGTGACAACCTGGACTGGATCACCCGTTGCATGATACGGAACAGCGCTTGCCTAAGAAGGCCTGTCCACGGTCGACGGAGGCCCGAGACATCATTTGCCAGCTTGAGTATATGCCTCAACATTGGATTTCAGGTCACTGGGCTTTTGAAGCGGACATTGCAAGATAGTGACTTGCCATGCCAGGAGTTGTGCCCGTGTCTCCTGGAATCTTCGTATCGAATCCTTGTGGACACCGTGACGAAAGCTCTCATTGACATGACGTGGCAGCTGACGAGGGGATGAATTGAACGGTCGGAGGAAAATCGTAATCCTTGAAGAAGCAAAATGATTTCCCTGGCCGACCTTTGTCGCTTTCCTAAATACACACCGGTATCTTGTCCGACAGCACCAGTTCTTTCCATGACCAATGGCCTCCTGCAAACAGAATCCCAATTCATGTTACCGCCAATTCACTCAAAGCATTGACTTTTCTATCCAAGATGTACCATAGTGCCAGACCCATGCTCCGATCTTTAAATTGCGTTTCCAGTGTCAACGTCAAGACACACAGCCCTGCTCCCTCGATAAACAAAGGTCGAAGGGAATGCCGGCTTCGCAGGCAGCAGGTTATACGTGCTTCCACCCATTCCAAATCAGGATATGCTGTTCATCGATGATACACAGCTCCCCAGTCTCCTTTCTATCCTCCAGCGAATTCTCCCCTTCTTTGACCCACCTTTCCATTTTCCTTTTGACTTCCTTCGTAGTCTTGGTCTCGCGTGGCAAAATGTTTCTTCTAACTCGATTTGTCCATACCCCAACGACGTATTGCGTTGCGGAAACAAAGTTCTCGTCAGGCCCAAAGTGCGTGGCGTTGTAGGCTTCCACGGTGTATCCAACGCGTACCGACGGGTTGACGTATATCCGATCAGCGGAACCGGGAGAAGTGAGGTTCATGTCTGTGTGGATGAGACAGCATTCACTGGCTTCAAGATGCTTGCTGGCAAGACTATCGCTCAGTGCACGGAACTGAAGTCCATCGTAGAAAGGTGTGCTGTCCATCGCGATCATCCCATTCCAGCATGCTGAGACTTTGGTTGGGAGACCCTTGAGCATTGACTCACGAGACTCCGGAGAACGGAAATAGGGAAATACAGACTGGACTGTGGCCAATCTTTCATTATCCCTTAGAACGAATGTATCGTAATAGGCTGGTGGCAAATGGAAGTCAAGGGCACATGCGGAAGAGAAGGAACCTTGGTTCGTGGCCAAGAGTGTAAGGACGTCCTGTGGGCGGAACACGACATCATTGAGGAAAAGGATCCTATCGTACTTTTGCCCTAGCTCGTCGCGGAGCCTGAAGAGAGGCTTTAGAGATAGGTTCCGTAAGCGAGCGAGGTATGGAATTCTTCGCATCTCTTTACCCCATTGCGTTCCCACACTCGTGGTCTGAATCCAGCCCTGCCGAGGGACACCCTGATCATCGAGGGGACCAGCGTTAATTTCGTCTTCGTGCGTAGTTGGATCCAAGACCGTTTGGTGAGGAATGTTGTTCTGCGCCAGCACATCATCCAGCATTTTCAGAACTTCCTTTGTGTTGTCCAGGCTCCCCGACTCGTAGATGCTCACGTATACATTCTCCTTTCCCAGCACTCCTACCAGATCGAGAAGAGCCTGACCCCATCGCTCGGAGATGACATGTGCATTGGTCCAGAACTGGGCGACGATGAAGATCTTTTGATTCTGTAGCGGCGTCGGTAGAAGCGCTGGGGATGTGTATACATGGTCGAGGAGGTTACGGGTGAACTCGCGGTGGTGTTTTAGAATCGTGAGCAGGTCAAAGACAAAGAATGTGAACAGAACGTAGAGGAGAAGCCGCAGAGCACGGCGTTGAAGAGGAGAACGGCGGTAGGATCGCGGCGGAAGTAACATGGCCAGGGCAGGAGACGGGGGCCATCTGTTTGCGAGATGAGAGCATCGTGGGAGAACCAAAGGTTAGACCTTGGGACACTGTCCGGGCGCGTTTGACATGTCTTGGTTCTTGAATCTGAGTGGGAGGAGTCGCGTTGAGGCTGATGAAAAAGGAGTCGGACCGGGAAAAACATCATGCCGAATTAGACCAAGCAGCCAAGTTCCTTCAATGCCTCCGCAACCAAATGTCCTTCTATCCTCGCCTCGTCCTTGACACGGTCAGGGCTAGTCAGGGCTACTACATTCGGCGAAGCATATGATGGAGGCGTGAAATTTCCACGTTTGCGCGGACCCATGAAGCGCAATTTCTTACCAAGATCCAATGCAATGTCACTGTGCCTTACTCAAGAGTGTCGTTTCCTCTGGATGATTGTGGCGCGTGGATTCGGGGACAGAAAAAGCAAGTTTTGAGGGGTCCTACTCACCTCCGCAAGAGGGGGATAGAACGCTCTGTATGGTGGATAGATTGGTATTTGTCCTGGGAACTCCTCCTGCGTGTCTACACACCGGTGCATGGATACCTGCATATCATCACGAGCTGAATGGATCACCAAAGGCTACCTGCGTGGTTGCACGATGCAGCGTACAGGATCCCGGACAAGGTCGTCGAATCAACGGCGACCCAGCAGAGGAACAAACATGGATATGAGCAACGTTGCGTATGCTGTGCAGCATCAGGTAATTTCCACTCCAATTCTGGCTATATTGACTGCAGGAAGATACAAGATATCACCATCCAACGATGCGTGGTAGCTGAGGGTGCTGGTGCCCGGCCAACAAGGTCAGGAAGAGCCATTGCATCCCTTTGTATGACCACACCCATCCAAGAAACCAATGCCTGAGAGGTCTGTGGATTGCCACAACAGATGGTTCAGAAACAAGACGACAATCAGTTGGTACCTCGTAGATGTCGGAAAAAAGGGAGGAATGGGTACAATCGATGCGGCTTTAGAACTGCGCATCATGATGGTCTTGGCTTGACTTCAGCTGCGGTCGCTGGGATCATCTTCCTAGTCATATAAAGCACGCACATCCTGCTGTCCCAGTCCCATCTCGGCCTTACAACGCTGTCAAACATCCTCAAACATCCCTTCTTTGCCCCCGACGACTCCCGAGTCACCCCGTGTGAGCTTTGTGCATTGTTGCTGGCTTTGAGACAAAGATTCAGAGATCCTCCCACCATGCGGCTCTGCGTCCTTCTGCTTCTGCTGGTCTTGCTCAGCTTCACCAGCGCAGCATCGGTGCCTCGTCCGTCCAGTGATCGTTATCCCATCAATCGCCGGCCGCAGACTTTTACCACGCGGAACGTCACATCCACCTCAGACACCTTGTCCCTCAACATCGATCCTGACATAGTCAACCCGGTCTGTGGTGGAATTTATGAGGCCAACATCAACATTCAGACTGCACCGGACCCATTCTACCTTAGCAAATTCTGTCAGAACGTTTTGGGTTATATCGGCGGCCCAAAAGGCGACAAAGATGTAGACGTCATCTTCGCTTGCACAGGCTTCAGTACCTCAGGCATAGGAACTCGAGACGTCAAGATTATCTTCAATACCCAAGCCAACTCGGCGATAGATGCTGGCAAAACTGGTACACAACTGATCCCAGCAAACATGCAGCTTGTCTCGGAGAAGGACAATGTTTTTTACAGTTCAGAGGTGAACATTGGAGTCAAGAGAAACAGCGGGAATGGGGATGTGGCCTTTCAGCACATCTATTGTTGACCGAGTCGAGCCTAAGAGGTGGCCGATCTGTTGGGTGCACGTTTCTGATACATGGGGAGTTGTAAAGTGTCGAGGAGAGCTTTTTCGACAGGAGCCAAGATGGCAGTGAGGATTTCGTCCGGCGTCCTCAACCCATCTGAGTTGCTCGAACAGAGTATTGCGGGGAGAAGAAACATATTGTCTGAGGTTGTGGGACAAAGGAGGAGGCATAGCAGGGCTGTGGTATGACAGAATACCGATCTGGAAGCACGATTCATTCGTGCTCAGGGCTCCAACCCGAGACCAAAATTCATGCCTGGAAATAGACAGCACAGGTCGCGAACTGCTCTCAACGACATTCGTGATATCAACCAAGCCTGTCAAGCAATTGCCGGCGTCTTCGATCCACCAATTCTTCCTGAACTTCTTCCAGAGTAGGCAGGCGCCATCTCACACCATCGCCGGCGTCGCCAGGTAATGGCTCCCAATCTGAATCCTCGTCTTCTGCGCCAGCCAACTTCGCCACCCTCTCAACAGCCTCCTTTTCTTTCTTCCTCTCATATTTCAAAAGCGTTGGATTCTCCTCGTCAGGCCCAAACCCGAAATATCTGGCGTCGAGGTTCCTCCGATTGATGTCCAGCTGGGGTTTCTTGGCTGCTTCTTCTTCATCGTCGCCGTGGGCTCTCCTCTTAGCCGCCCGCTCAAACATTTCCTTCACCCCGGGTAGCTCTCTCGCCCTTCCAAAGTATCTGTACCCTTTCCCTCCCCCGGAAACCTCTCGCCCTTGATCGTCAAAGACTGTGCCTCCCCCTCGCATATAATTTGGTCCCCCAAGCTCCCGTATCCGTCGTTCCCACCCCCACTTCTCTTTCATTAACTTGTTGATCTCATCATTTAGATCCCTAATCTGGAAGTCGGACAGAGACTCGTCTTGTATTCTTGTTACTTTGCGCGAAATATCCCTGAGGATTTGGCCGCGCCACTTTTCGCACAAGGGCACCGTATCAACAGTAGAAGGGGCCTTTGGTCGGCGTAGGCTGGCAGACGGGAGGAGACCAGATTCGGCAGCCTGTGCGGCGCGGAACCGGAAGAGCATGGACTGCGCCTTTTCTGAATTGCGTGCCATGGCTGGATATGTGAGCCTGCAGCGCTTGTGGTGATTTCGTGGTCCAACGGAAGTTGTGTAGTGGTAGGCACCACGAGGAATGCGCTGATGCGCGCAGGATCGAGTTGTAGACGCGAACACTTGTTCGTGGAGATGCCGAGGATTTGGTGCGCTTCAGAGGAACCAGATTTGCGTCAGACGTGGCCTCACAAAACAAAAGGGACTCAAGTTGAGTTGACAAAGCGTTTAAATCTTAGAGTGATCTGTGAAGGTTTGCGAGACTGCGAGGTTGCGGAACTCGATGCGGAGATCGCATGATTGGGAAAAAAAAATTGTGGGGGAAACACTTTCGAGCGGCATTCACCAGACTTTCATAGCTACTGTCCAACAGCTGTTGCTCAAGCGTCCGCAGATCTACTCATAGCATATGTGTCGCGCAGTGATTGTGATAGTATGCGACTTGGTCTCTTCGTGTTCTTATTCGTATAAAATGCTATAATGCCCCCATCTAGTTGCGCAATATATTCACGCTAGACATCCGTCGTGTCTCTATCTCCAGACTACTCCCACAATGTCGCAATGGATCCAGAGGCATACCTCCGCGACAGCCTTCCAGATTGGCCTCGCTGCGACGCTGGGTGCAGTTGCAGCTACCACGGTGATCTTTACCGCGACCGCGATCCACCGCCGTCGAGCAACCGAAGAGCTCAAAGCCTCCATTCCCGAGATTTCGCGCGAGCACCATGCCATGCAGCTCACGGAATATGGGGGAGCCAGCCGGCCCACGATGACGGACAAGGAAGATACTCGGGCCGCGCAAATAGCGGCGAGGGCCAGGAAGGGAGACTACGATGAAGAGTTGATACTCGAGCAACTGGCACGGAACAGGGTGTTTTTGAAAGACGAGGGCCTCGCGAAGCTGCGGACTGCGTTTGTGGTCGTCGTGGGACTCGGTGGTGTAGGAAGCCACTGTGTCGCGGCGCTGGCCAGGAGTGGTGTTTCGCGCATCCGAGTGGTGGACTTTGATCAGGTCACGCTGAGCAGTCTCAACAGGCACGCTCTTGCGACGTTGGCAGACGTGGGGACGCCCAAGGTCAACTGTGTCAGGAAAAGGTTGGAGCAGATCTGTCCGTGGGTGCGCATCGACGAACGCAACGAGCTGCTGGGATCACGGTCGATCGAAGGCCTGCTGGGGAAATGGGATTTCGAGCTGAGAGACGGTGAAGGCTCCAAGGAGGTGGATTGGGTGGTCGATGCCATTGACAACATTGACACCAAGGTCGAATTGTTGAAATACTGTGCGATGAGAAACATCCAGGTCATCAGTGCTATGGGAGCAGGGTGCAAGAGTGATCCAACCAGGATACAGGTCGGAGACATCTCGACTAGCGTTGAGGATCCTTTATCAAAAGCGACGAGGCGGCGGCTACGGCTCATGGGCATCAGCAGCGGAATTCCTGTCGTCTTTTCGACGGAGAAGCCCGGCGAGGGTAAGGCGGAGTTGCTCCCCATCGCGGACGAAGAGGTCCAAAAGGGTCAAGTCGACAAGCTGGGCGTCCTGCCTGAATTCCGTGTCAGAATCTTGCCTGTTCTCGGAACGATGCCGGCCGTCTTTGGATATACCGTGGCCAACCATGTCATTTGCAGCATTGCTGGATATCCGATGGACTACCGGATGGGCGATAAAGGGAGGGAGAAAATGTACGACGCCATCCTGTCGACCTTGCTGGGCCTGGAAGAACGACTTGTCCGGTCAACCAACGGGCAAGATGTTGTCGGTCTCCGACTACCAGTGAGTCGCGAAGATGTTGCTTATCTTGTGGAGGAGATCTTCCGTGGCAAAAGTGTCATTAGCGGACTGGGCACCAGACTTGCTCTCGTCAGATGGCGGAAACCTGCCGAAGGCTTCAAAGTCGACCAGGGGTACGAGAAAGAAGGACAGAAGATGATCAAACTGCCTCTGACAGACTTGGTTCTTGTGACAAAAGAGGAGGCACAGAGGCATGAGAAATTGGTGTTGAAGGGGGAGATGGATCCAGACGAGCTATACGACGCCAGTGTCCTATCGCGAGTCAAAAGGCGCCTTGACGACGAGAGAGCATACGAGAGGTATAGGTAGAAAATTACCTGCCTGTTATGCGATTGCTTTACACGAAAAGAGGGATGTTAGCGAGCCTCGTCTACATGTCCGTCCAAGCTTCATGCTCTCATGGACGGCTACGAGCGCATCTGCAAAAGAACCAACAATATGTTGCGCCACCCCCTCCCCGACAAGGTGATTAAATATGCCAACTATCATCTTCCACTACCTATCAGTCCTTCGGAAACCCGTGGGACGCTTGTGTTCTCCCTAAAGCGTCAAGGCACCGCAGGTTCAATACGCTGAAGCTCACGTACGGACGCAAATCATTCTCCAACACTGTCTCTGAAAAGAGACTCTGCTGGTGTGCTTTCGAGAAGCGGATACACCTTACTTTCAAGCTTGCCGACCGGCGAGGCGGAGCATCCAGACACGGGGAATGCAGGCGACAGTCCAACTCCAGGTCAACCTTCTCATGACACTTCCGGAACTCTGGAAAGTTGGAACTAGAAACGTTCAGCCACGCCGTACAACGAGGGATTCTGGGTATATCCATGCGAACGTTTATCAGGCTGGTCTTCAGATGGATCTCGACTTCATCCTCGCCTCCTATCGGCCTGTAGTGAAGACAAGTCTGGAGTCGGTCGATGAATTTGGCGCCAGGGAAATATATAGAAGGAATGGAGTGTTAGACAGCCTTGCGATACACGTGTAGAGCGAACGTCAAGATCATCTCCACGGCAAACCTCGAAAAGGAAAAGACAAGCAGCAATTGGATATTAGATGGTTGTCGGTTAGATTGAGCTGCGAGGGCTGAGTACATGACAGATTCGCCGTGACGCAGGACCAACTCACCACCTGCAAGGCGTCAAATGTACCAACCAACCAACCAACCAACCAACCAACCCACCAACCAACCCTGCATCCTGCATGCCACTGCGCCTCGTCTTCCATGGACCCCAATGAAGGTCGAATGGTATCGAGAAATCAGCCTAATCCTAGCGAGTTTGCCCGTTCAAATCTCCCTTCAGATCATGTCTCAATTCATGCTCTCTTTTTCAATCGCGCTGCGACGGCTCTGTCACCTTGAACTGGTTTCTTCTTCCCATATCTGCCCGCTATGGAGCCTCTCAGTGCCGGAGCAAGTGTGCTAGCCTTCATAGGAATTGCTCTAGAAGGAACAAAATCTCTCTACATTGTGATCTCTGGACTCCGACACGCAACACAAGGCACAGCGTCTCTTGTTTCCGCCGTGGGAAACTTGCAGAATATGTTGACACAGCTGCGCGACTGCAGAGCACTAGCCGATCCTAATGCTAACGTACACAATATCAGACATCTGCTTGATGCTTGTACTACAGACATGGCGAGCTTCGAGAAGAGCCTTGACAAGATAAAACATGATCCGAGTAACCCAAAGCTTCAAAGAGTGTGGAAGAAGGTCAGGGCAACTGTGGCAGAAAAGTCACTCACTGCCATGTGGCACAAGCTGAACTATCACTGCAGCGTGCTGCAGTTGCAACTCAATCTTCTACAAAGGTAAGTGATTGTATTTCGCGCAGCGAACGTCCCTCTAGCCGAATGGTGCAGCCATTTACAATATCACAGTAATGCTACATTGGACTGCAAAGCCCAAATCCACGAAATACGAGATACCTTGTCCACGGGTGCTTTACAAGTCTCCTCTTTCAATGACAATGTGCAGAACATCAAAGTTTCGGTGGAGGAGGTCGTCCGGAGCACCGTTGCAACTGTCAACCATAACATCGGGCAGACATCAGGAGCGACCACCGCGCAATTGCAAAACATATCCACTCTTCTGGAGGCACTTCAAGACCAGGTTTCGGGAAATTCAGCTCGCTTAACTGGTCCTCAACAAGCTGGAGCCATGCCACAAGAAGACAACTCGCCACCTGCTCCCTCCAACACACCCACTGGGATGAATGCGAACCTAAGGAAGTGCCTTGCCAGGTTATGCGAACTAGAATCCCGGCATCCAGACACGATGCTCTACGAGGAAGCAGAAACCATTATCGAGGATCTGGAATACTTTCTATCAGCGCTGTTTGAGCTCAAGCAGAGTGAGGATTTGGATTCCGGGACCGGGGAGGAAATGAAGGAAGAGAGTCAATGTACTGCGACAATCACACGCCGTGACATGAAGCGTATGCGCGGTCTTGTTTCAGCGGCTGCTACTGTAGGGGTGAACCAAGCCCGTGAGTTTCTTCTTTCTGCTTCTCGCAAACTCCTGATCAGATAGCTCACCAAACGAAAGCAAAACGGTCCACTGCAACCCAGCGCGGAAAAGTCGTTCAAACGCATCGCACTATCGAGCTTGTCCTGCCAGGTTGTAAGACGAGCATCACTGTCAACAAAAGGGCGTTCCAAAAATGCTCCGATCCTTCCAGGCAGGGGAAACTTACCACCGGTCCACACACGGAAGAATTCTTCGCCATTGTTAAAGCTTCCATAGAGGATGCTGAATCACCCGCCGTCCTTGTTGCATATCTGCACCAGATCCAGTCCGACAATGGGTTTTATTCCATGAACCCTGTGGTTTCTATTGGTAGAATTGTACCTACTGGTTCTGCAATCTTTGAAATTGTGAGCCGAGGCGATGTTGAAGGACTCCGGAGGCTCCTTGCACTTGGAGAGGGGTCTCTGAGAGATAGGGATCCCAGGGGGACTCCTCTCTTACATGTGAGTGGATGTTAGAGACTGACTCGCATGCTTCTCATGCTTATAGCGTAAAGTACGCTGCTGCAGGAGCTACAACAACGACCCATGGCGATATGTGCAAGTTTCTCATTCAGCATGGAGCAGACGTTGACGAGATGGCCGAGGACCCTAGGCAGACAACTGGACATTCAAGGTAAGTTGACCCAAGAGTGGAATACTGTAAGCACCACGTATGGGACTGCTAAATTTCTTTGGTTCAGGACGCCAATGTGGTTGACACGCAAGGTTGGCCTTTCTTGGGAGTCCATCACAGAGTTCGTTCGTCTCTTTCTGGAGGCTGGAGCGGATCCTAATCCAATAGTCTACGACTACGTAAATGTACCAGACTTCAGATACGAGCTAACTTTTGACGATGTAGGTGATCTCACCTTCTATGAAAGTCGCAATCACTCATCTTTTGCAGGATGCTTTAAGGCTGGTACTGAACAACTCAATACCATTTATTGATGTCGAGAGCAGAGACAGTGCAGGTCGCACAATGTTACTGTCTTTTGCCTCAAAGTGTACCGACTTCAAGGACCCCGTATCTTTGTTTAATCTCCTCCTTGCGAAAGGTGCCGATATCATCGCTCGAGATGGACAGGGGAGAAATTGTCTTCGACTCGCGCTCGAATCCTTGTGGGCAGTAGAAAACGCCGATGATGTCCGCCAATGCCTCATTCTATTGATCCAAAGAGGTGCAGATATCCACTCTGTAGATGAGGATGGAGTCTCAATATCCGACTATGCCTATCAAAATCCAACCGAGAAAGAAATGGGCTCCTGTCAAGCCGACCTGTGGGATGCAGCACTATCGGAGTGCGGGTACAACGTGCGCCAGACACGCCTGGGGTACCACCGAGTGCCGCAATATATTGACGAGTATGTTGACGGATGTTTCGAGACAAGCTTTTGCAATCTCGAATACCAGCCAAAAGCTTTTCGAGAGTTCTGGAAAGGCCGGGAAGACGCTTGTCCGTATTACCACGATCCGCCTGTTTGGTGTCCGCGGAGTACCTTGCTTTCTGGATCATGTCCCTTTGGTGGACTTGACTGGCTCTGTCCCGGTCCGGAAGCAAAATCCAATCGATGCCCCAGCAGCGTCTTTGCACCTGGACAACGACTGAACGAGTCAGAAAGCGATGATCTCTATGGAGGTGATGGCGTTATTCGACAAGATAGCGAAGACAGTAATTGCAGCGTAAAAGCAAAACTCTTCAACATCGACGACTCCGAGCCAAGCGACCAGAGCCTGGGGCGGGAGAATATGAATGCCGAGAGTTCCGAAGGGCACGACAGGACATTATCAGACGTGGCCCGGATCTGGGAGATGGAAGAAAAAGCAGAAGATCTTGCAGCATAGAGCGCCTCGGAATCATCCGAATATCATGACACTTGCGACTACGCCTGACAGGAGGCAAGATGCGGCTTCTGTGAACATGGGAACTCGATCGTATGGCTTTACCACACCCGAACTGGCCATTGTTCAAGTAAGGTTCTTTTACGACAAAGGATTGGAGTGCGGCCCGGTTGAAGTGCCACGAAAACGGTGTAGGTCAACCGTCGGGTAGGTTCAAACTACTCCCACAGAACTGGGACGAGCGAGCATACATGGGAGAGGTAGGGCAAACATCATTGGCGACTCAAAAAACTTGTTAGAATTAGCACATTGTCGACCTATACGCAGGCGAAATACAGAGCCCGAGAAATTCTTGTTTGGCGGGAAAGATAACCGGGAGATACAAGAGACTGTGGCTGTCAGGGTTGTGATTTGACCAGCCCAATATTTTGCGCCTGTGAGAGAAGGACATGTGCATATAGAGAGTGTATATGGGCTTAGGCTTGGGCCTGGAGTGGAAGTGAATGTCTTGGAGGGCCTGGGATACCTCAAGGTAGGATTGGTGCGCCGAAACATCCATCACTGCCGCTGGAATTGGGTGGTAAAAGGGGCAGGGAACTTCGAAGGGTAATGCGATTTTTTTCTATGTCGTCGAGAAATTGTACTGATCAGAGGAAGCAGACTTTCGCTTCACGGCCCAAGATCGCTCTCAAAGTGTACCGTCGCAACCCCGGTCCTTCTCGTGGAGATGAACTCTCTCAGCTTCTTGTGCGCCGCACACCCTTTGTCGTAGTAGTCGACATCTTCGCGTGACTTGAACGTCGTGACGGCAATCACGGTGTACCCTTGACTTCGCTCCTCCGACGAGTTGATGACGCGAGAGGCCTCGTTGGAGACGATGTAAGGTTTCCCATCCTAAAACAAAGGGGGAGCCATTGCCAGGCCGCAGATTAGAAGAAATTGAGACTCGAAACAAAGACAGTCTCAACAGAACACACACCTTTTGCGCAGTGTTTCGCAGGACTTGGTACTCTGCGAGAATGGCGTCAATGTCATCTTCCTTGGGCACCTTGAAGAGGGACACCCGCTTGACGTATTTTGAAGACATGGTGACGACAAGTCTTCTTTTGTCCTATTCACAAAAGACCAGCAGGGGGTTTGAGCAGCTACTCTACAAGAAATAAGGAAGGGGTCGTGTCGATTATATACAAGTCAGTGTGGGTATATCCCTAGTGAACATGGAGTATGTAAGTACACGGCCAGCATCCGATGGGCGGAAATTCTCCCGCGCCGATCGGATAGGGACCAGTCACGTGGAAATTCATCACGTGGTACACCAGATATATTGAATTCAGCGGCTAGCGCCTCAGCGCTTAGGAAACCCAATATCACGTGGCAATGTCCCGTGAAATGATCGTCTTGGCATTCGAATCATCGTCACGTTCAACTCCGATCTTGGGTGCTTCTGCTCTTCTATCAGCTCACCCTTCAGTCTCGCTCATCCCCCGCCATTGTGCTTAGGACGTCTTGTCCCTCCCTTTCTAACCTCCTCTCTGAGCGCTGGGGACACATGTTCAATACTTCTCTGCGCCGGGTGGCGCGCTCCTGCACCAATGCGCCGTCGGTACCCTCTCGCCCGTCCACTCCTACGATAGCATCCTTCACCTCTAATGCTCACCAGCGGCGGCATTCCTCTTCGAAGCCACCTGTACCGCCAAACAACGGTTCCTCGGCAATCCCAGCAGCCTCTGTGAAACAAGTTGGCGCTCCCCGCTCAGAGTCGAAGCGCCCGGGTGCCGAGTCTCGTCTTTCGAAGAAGAGGTCGTCCAAAGACAGGGCAGACAGCAAGGAAACCCAGGATGACTGGACTTCAAAATTACCCGCGGTCCCTAGTCTGCAACACTTGAACCCCAAAGGTCTGCATGGCGCGGATAACCACATTATCCCAAGCTGATTGCGTTATTAGATGTATATGTTGCCTCTTTCTTTTCGACCCATCGACCCATGTCAATTACCGGACCTGTACCTCCTGAGGCATCGATAGAAGCGATCGATAAAATCTTCCAACCAAAGCCAAAATCCCGATCACGCAATACATCTCAAGATGTTATCTACACCCTCGCTTCTGCAGTAGAGAACCTCGACGATCATATTTCTCAAAAGCAGGTGGATCAAGCCTCACACAATACGGCCGAGCAGAAGGCGGCCCTGATCAAATCTCTCATGCAGCGCAACGAGAGTCCCGCTGATCCGAATCGAACACATCATCTTGACGGTGCGCCTCAAACCATCCAGATTGCGGGTGGGAATATCAAATTAGTCATTCAAGAGATGCAACGAAGGTTTCGCCCATTCAATGCTCCTCCCGTGCCTCGCCCCATCAGTGACGCCGAGATCAATGCAAGCGAAGAGCAATCTGCGAGACAGGCAGAAAAGGAGGAAGAAATGCAAGCAAAAGCGCTGGAAGTGGACATAGAACAAGATCACAACGACCCCTACATTCAGCAGGTGATGATCAACGTTCCTCAAAACTCGGCAGAGCTTCAAAACGGACGCTTTTTCACCAGCCGTGGCGCCCCTGTGGTGGAAATTGAGCATCCCGACGCCTCGTCCGCCCTGCCAGAGATTGAACAACAATTGCCGCTGGGACGAAGCAGAATCATCGGCCACCGAAGGCAGGTCGGGTCTATTCCAGGCAGGCGAAGAGAAGGAATGTATGCGATCAGCGTCAAGAGACAGAGGCGCCTGAAGATGAAGAAGCATAAGTACAAGAAGCTGATGCGTAAGACAAGGAACTTGAGGAGGAAGTTGGGACAGATATAATGCCACCTGTTTGGGAAAGCGAGGCTCTGCTCTTTTTTCAGTCTATCTGCATTGCTTGCAAGGATCATACACCTGACTTAGACACATGTGGTCATGAGGGGTTTGCCATTGTTATTGCATTTCAAGCGGGTTCTGCAAAGCCCTCCATGTCGCATTGACTTGTTTGGAGGGGTAACAACTTAGCAAGTCCAGTTTCGATCATCGCCACGCAGAATCTCTATATATATACACAGCCTCTTTTGAATTAGCTTCTTTGATGCTGAGCCCTCGTCTGGCTAGTGGCTAGTGGCTAGTCAGGCTACTTGAATAATCTCTCTTCGCTCTCGCTTCAACATCTTTGTTTCCTGCTCAGGGTGAATTCCATGTATACCGAGTGCAACTACAAGGACTACCTGGCGAGGTAGGAGTGATACGGAGAGTGCCAGAGGACTGGGCTGCATCAGACTGGACCGGCCTTGTCTCGTTGAGGGGAAAGAGGACTCGCTCACCCGCTCACTCGCTGGTTCGGTTCCAGGTCCGACTTCGGACGTCGGCAGTGCATTAATGGCATCAATGCAGCATGTCACCCCTTTCTGCCAATGCAAGTACCGAGTACGAGGTACACGAGTCCATGTCCCTAGTCCTAGTCCAAGTTCCGCACTGCATTGCACTACTTATGCACGGAGGAGAATGGGATATGTGTATGGGATATATGTACCTCGTAGCTCGTACCGAGTACTCGGCACTGTGTACTACATACTATGTACGAGGTACGGGGTACTCGATACTAGGTACTAGGTGCCAGGCACGCAGTACGCACTATGCACTCGTATATAGATAGTACTTGTACTTGTACTTGTACATACGTAGAAACATACATAACCTTGGTCGACCACCTACATAGATATTCCGGTATCTAAACTACAAGTAGCTATGTTGCTATGTAGCTATGTAGCTAGCTAGATAGCTAGATAGCCACCTAGCAACGTATTCAGTAACACACCAGTAATACAAGCATATTAATATTACCATTACTCCCCTCCCCCAACCTTGAATTGCGGCTATCTGACTGATTGATTGACTGACTGGCTGGCTGGCTTCAACCCACCACCTAGATTCAGCTGCTGCTGCTCCTGGCATTGGCTACGGTCTGCCCATAACGATAGAAATCAGCCTCCCCCCTCGCCCTGGACCCCGCGATATCACGCTCGAGCTTCACAACGAGGGCCTGCGCCGCGTCGTAGATCAGCCCCCGCAGCAACCCGATGCCATATCCAAGCAGAGCCTCCCCAATGATCTTCCAGCCCGAGGCCCCGATCTCGAGCTTGGCCCTTGTGATGTGCGCCCAGTTTCGAAACTCGAATTTGAGCGGGTACTCGGCTCTTCTCGTCGGCATGATGCACGCCTCGTCGGGTTTGCGTGGCGGCACGCGGACGGCGCGATGTATGCGGACCCAGACGCCGTCCTTGCCGGCGACCATGGAGAAGAACCTGACTTTGGCGAAGAACACGTCCTCCTGGCCGGCGTCGCGGAAGAACTCGAACATGTTGTGGAGCGCCTGACTTGCGTCGTTCAGACTGGAGAGACTGCCGACGTTGTCGCTGGTGGACGTCAACCCGTCCGTCGCTTCGGCGGCGACGAAATGGAATATCCTCCCGACCCCGGCGGCGTTGATGCCCTCGAAGCAGGCAAGCATCTTTGTTGCTCTCGGCAAAGCATACCACAGCCTATCAGGAATGACCATCTCCCTGCGGAAACACACCGCGAGCTCTGGCTTGGGTTGTGCCAGGAAGCTGCGACCTTGAGCGAAGGCCCGAGTCGGCATTGGCGGGCAAGTCCATGGTTTTCCGTTGCGGAACTCGAGACAGTCGGGCTCGACACTCTGTCTACTGTAGTTGAGGAGGTTTCGCATTATCATGTCTACCATCAGCGTCCGATGGAAGAACGACTGGTTCGGACCATCGCCGAAGTTCTCGTTGATCATCGCTTGATATATAGCCCACTCGGGTCCGTAAGGGTCGTGTTCTGCCTCCTGTTCCTTGAGCATGGGAACTGATTCGAGACGTGGAACTTTGTCAGCGAAGGGATCGTCCTGTATATGCTCGGATAGAGCGACGTTTCGATCCAGGAGGCCCTGGGGAAAATCCGCGTGGCATAAGTCGATCCTTGAGAAATCCTCCGGGTACCCTCGCTCCTCAGTGACCCTCTCGGCGTATCCATCGGAGAGGTCTGCCTCGCTCCACGTTTCGCGTGGCCTTTGATGCATCGCCTCTAATTCATATTCGAATTCGAATTCCGATCCGTACTGGGATTCGGATACGGCTTCGGATCCGCTGGTTCCACTCTGCAAAACAGTAGACGGTTGAGACTTCATATTAGATCTAAGCACCCGTGTCGGAGGCGGGACTGGTGGATGTTTGGTGTCCTTGGGAGCCTTTATAGATGCAGTGCGTCAGAGAAGGAGCTTTTAGTTATCTTCGGCCTTCGGTGCCTTGGAAGAACAAAGACTTCCCACTTTTGGAAAAGGTAGGAAGGGGCGAATGGGTAATGAGCATTGGATATTACCTGGCTGCGAGCTGCTTGAGAAGCGGCCCTCTTTCTAACACCCTGAGGAGCTGCTCCGGGTTTTGGTGTGAGCCGGGGCTTCTTCGCCTTGGTTGCAGGAGTCATTGGGACGATTGTGTTGGCCTCAGAGCCCAGACGTTGCGGTACGTGTAAGTCCTAGAAGTGAATAGAACGAAGGAGTTTTCATCGCGTTGCAAGTGTGCCGGGAACGCGGTATTTAAGCACAACCGCAGGAGGAAAGAATGCGTCGGAACATTGTCAACAAATGGACGGTCCCGTGCAGAGTCTCTGGGAGATGCGTGATGTTGAGGTTGTTTCGAGCAACAGAATTGGAATGTGCTGCTACATGTAGGTGTGGAATGTGTGACACGCGTGGTGACGCTAAGGCGCCCTTGCACCCTTGCGCCTTTGCGAGATGCTCTCTCATTCTGTCTCTCTGAGATGCCAGCGCATTCCTAGGTATTGAGACATGGCGGTGGTCAATCTTGCATGAAGAGAATACTTCACAACATGTCGAGACATTGAGACATACATCTCTTCGGAACCGGGAAAATGTCAGGCCGAGAATGGCCGAACCAACCACGTACCTCAACGTGGACGCGTGGGAAAGTCTCCAATGATCCACCGAAGCGCTGCTAAACTATTATCCGCCCGCCGTCCGCGGACGAAGCGGGTAGTCTCTCACTACCTCAGCTTGTCTATCTACCCTGTATCTAAGGACCTGATGCATGGACGTCCTACTCGGTATATGCAGGATATGTACTCCTCAGGTACCTAGGTGCGTAGGCCTGGTCAACTACTCAAGTCATCTACTAGGCGCGTCTGTGCGCCTCGTCAAGCGTGTTAGAACCCTGAAGAATTCGATATCGTCCAAGACAACTCCCGTGGTTGCTATAGAACCTGCCACGGTCGCTTTTGTGGCAGCTGGACGAGGGCGACAAAAGGAGAACGATCTGCTCTCCAGAGATACAAATTAACAAGTTCAATACACTATACTATCCATAGCCCTAGCTCGGCGAGCGAGCAATCAAATTGCGCCGCCTGATCTTTGATCAAAAGCTCTAGCACATTCATACATAACAAGTATTTGGGGTCAAGGACAAGCCTTGTGTGAAGTTGCTGCCCCTCGGGTCGGTGTTCTGGTGGTTGTCGGTTCTTGGTGATGGTTGACGTTGGTTTTCATCGTTTTCAGAGGTGAATTGGCGATAGCTGGTCCGATTCGATGCGTTCCTCATACATCTCCTTCCATACTCTCTGATCTGCCGTCCTTCTAATGGCGCTACATCGCAGCCGCCATTCCTCTCTTTCCTCCTATTATACTCAGACTCATCTCCCAGTCTAGCAGGTGACATCGGTCTGCGCCTTCGAGTTCATCAACAGCGCAACAATCAACCCATAAAGACCCAAGACTTCGGCGAAAATCAAGATGAGAATCATGCCAACGAACAAGCGGGGCTGCTGAGCGGTGCCGCGAACGCCAGCATCGCCGACAATACCAATTGCGAAGCCCGCGGCGAGACCAGCAAGACCGACAGACAAACCAGCACCAAGTTGGATGAAGCTGGTGAATAGTGCTTCTTTTTGGGAGAGATTATCGGAGATCAAGACGGAAACGACCAATCCGTAGATACCGATGATACCAGCCATAATGACGGGGACGATGTCTGTAGTTGTCAGCCACAATGGTCAACAGCTTCAGGGAATATAAGGCCGGAGTCCCATACTCTTGACGATGAGATCAGGTCGAAGAACACCCATGGCGGAGATACCGACGCCAGACTTTGCGGTTCCATATGCGGCACCGAAGCAGGTGAAGACGATGGCAGATGTGCAACCCATGGCGCCAAAGAAGGGCTATTCAACATTGAGACAGTCAGCTTTCTCCGCTTTCTGGAAAGCTTTGCGGAAGATCATCGAACGGAAGAGGCAAGCATATCGGCAGATGAGGTGGCATTTTGCGCAAGGTAGCATGACATACCGCATAGACAGGACTAAAGAAGCAGAAATGTTAGTAAAAGGTATGTCAAGAATGAAATCGGATGGAAGGAAGTGTCAACTGGTAGCTCCGTCCACCTTGTCATGCCAGTAGGTGGGCGCAGGCTGAAGGCAATCCGACAGCATGAGGGGGGCCGGAAACACGTACCAGAGATCTGAAGACATCTTGACTGGTCTGCTTGATTCGCTCGTGGATAGCTCCTAAATCAAGGCAATAGGTGCAGGGAGAGTCGGACGGAGCGAAAAGAGCTTGACGGCGATGATGGAGTTGAGCAGGAATGGAACAGTTTTTCGGTGCTGAGCAGAGCAGGTAATGGGTGATGATGTTTCGAAGGTCGAGTTCCAAGGGGGAGCTCCAACTTGGCCAAGCCTCTGTTAGAGGAAAGTCAACCGAGTTTCTTGAGCACCTCCGCGTAAACTTTTTAGACCCCCAGAAATTATTTTTTGATAGACTCACACCAACACCAAAGTTATTCAGTGCGACATCGTTTATCGCAGAAGCAAAGGGCGAGCCAACGCAAGGAACCCTTTGCTACACGCTTGTTCATACCCATCCACATCTATTTCCAAGCTCGAAGTTGCGTTACAATCAGCCACTCCCGCTCTATCGAAATATTCAAGCCGCATATCGCAAAAATGGCCGACAACCCGAGCGCTGCATGGCCTTTGGCCGACGAAGCTCTGTCGCAGAAAATTCTGTAAGTCTTTGCTCTCCTCTCCCAAAGACACTTGACCGCCGTCCTTCGAATCACAGCACTGACCCGATGTGCGCAGGGACACCGTTCAACAAGCCTCTCACCACCGCCAGCTGAGGAAAGGCGCAAACGAAAGTAAGAAATTTGCCTCCCATGGTCCCCTCCCTCGATCTTGGATCTCGGTTATGCTGACACAATCTTCTGTCAACAGCAACCAAAACCCTCAATCGCGGCACCGCCGAACTCATCGTCCTGGCCGCCGATACCTCTCCACTGGCCATTCTCCTCCACCTTCCCCTCCTCGCGGAGGACAAGAACGTGCCCTACGTCTATGTTAACTCCAAGACGGCGCTGGGGAGGGCCTGCGGTGTCTCACGGGCGGTTATTGCAGCGAGCATCACGACCAACGAGTCGAGTGATCTGATGCCTCAGATCCGCGAGCTGAAGAACCGAGTCGAGAGACTTATGATCTAGTTTGTAGGAGAAGGAATTGGGACATCGCGTGAGTTGGGGGTTATGGGTTTGGAGACAATGGTGCTGTAAGGATGGTGTGCGGCGATCGGGAATGGGCTTTGCTTGCCATAATAGCATATTCCAATCGTGATGGTGTACCATATGAACCCATCCCCTACAGCAGCACGAGGGAGGCATACGGAGTGTGAGAACATGATTCCACAAAAAATAAATTCAAATAACACCAATAAACTTCATTCCAACGTAATTCCTGTAGTCAAATTGCATTCAGAGTCAACCAGAACGCCAGAGGATATATATGTTGCTACATTATACAGCGCGACCTCGTATTCCATTGCGCAATCCGCTCGTGGTCGAAAAATAGATTGTTCCTAAAACAAAAAAACGCTAACGATGCATTCGACGTGGAAAATCTCTTGCCATGGCGCCTGTTACTCGTCCTATGAGGTCGTAAAGAATTGCCAATGGTGGTCCTGTCCTCAAGAATCTCCCAACGCCATAATATTTCCCTGCTCTGACCCTTCAATAACCCGTCTGATATGGCCTTGCTCGAGCCGTCTGGCATTCTCCCTACCCTCTTCGAGTCGCTGCACGCCCAACCGTAGATTCTCGACGTGCACCGCCAGCGGGATCTCTTTGTGGCCTCTCAACACTTCGGCGCTCGAGACTCTGGTCCGCAGTTCCTCCAGCTCGGCACCCATGGCCTGCAGCTTGAGGATCGTGGCAGAGACATGCGCCCATGCTACTTTTCGATACTGCCCGACTTGTCTCAAAAGAGTCAGTTGGTTGTTGTACTTTCCCAGCTTGGCACGGTTGCCGCCCAACAAAGTCCACAGGTGCGAGAGGATCTCGTCCTTGCTGGCCTGTGCGGCGAGGTTGTCGTGCAGCGCGATTGCGTGTATTACGTCGAGCCGGTCTTCGAGATTCTGCAGGACCATGAGTAAAGCTTGGGCCTCTTCGATCAGACGCTCGATTTCTTCGGACACTATCCGTGTGTGAGAGATGTATTGGTCGAGAAGCCTTGCCTCGGTGAATTGTATCGGTTTGAAAGGGGCCAGAAGTTTGTCTTGTATGAAGCCCGGGATGATGCCTCGGGAAGATTGCTTGACCGCCATGTCATCGAGCACGCGTTGCGTCCAACGCGCTGTGCTCAGAACAATGTCCACCCCGCGGCCAACGTGTGAATTGAATTTCTGAAGGTCGTATGATGCTATACGAGCGGTCTCGATGAACCCATCAAATTCGAGAACCATCTCGTTGCGTGAGGCGAGCTGTGAATACCGCACAATCTGCCGTAGATCGCGAATCGAGGTCTCCGATCTTTTCATGTCCAAGGGTAACGAAACACCTGCGGCAGATTCAGATAAAATGTCTTCAAAGTGAGATTGCGTCTTCATAAGAGCGTCGAACTCGACGGGAGCGGATGCTCCAGCTGGAAGAGTCGGGTTGTCGTTATGTGGTGAGGCAAATTGACAGAGTCGAAGATTGAGAAGAGAGACGCCAGGAATACGACATATGGGGGACAGAGCCGTATAGATGGAGCTGGTTAGGAGATTTTGCACAAGCATCAAGATGCCGAAGAAGAGATATGCCGCAAGCAGCCAAGATATGGGCCGCTTCAAGGTCTTCAGCGTCTGCCCTAGGATATCGAGAAGCCATTCAGTAGCATGCACCAGAACTAGGACGATCTTATCCACCACTGGCGATGTCGTTCTGTTGTGTGTTTGTGTCTGCCTCAATTGGTCCGAGCGTGCTGATGTTGCCTGCTGCTTCGATGAAGCGACATTTGGCCTGCCAGGTGGTTTCCCCCTCCGGGCGACCTTCTCCGATGGATTGATACTTGTTGCGAAGGATGGCATGATGAACTCTGGTTCTCGTGCTGTCGGCGTGGACAATCTGGGAGACTTGCGTCTCTCTCGTATGACTTTCGTCTTTTTTGGTTCCTCGTCATTATGGACAGCAACCTTCAGTTCTCTGTCGGATTCCGATTCTGCAGAACGTTCGTCCCAACTGATCCTCTCATCGCCTTCATCCTCCACCACCCAGGATTCGCCCAATTGAGAATTGGATGCAGGAGCCATTTTACAACGTTGGCACTCGGTGGTTTTGGCCCGTCATGTAAAGAGGACCATTGCCCTGTGAAAAGGCGACACTCAGAAGGGTTGAATGAGTTCAGCCTTGTGTACGGAGGGGTGGCAGTCCCTGGTGGCGGGAGGTCTTCTTAAGGTATTAGCGAGGCGTTTCCTTTGAGTTGATATCTAGGTGTATGTGTAACATCCGGATCAAACATGTGCTTTGCCACTTTCACTTACAAGCCAGAGAAGCACCGTACCAGGATTCTTGAATGGACACGTAACAGGTCGCGTCCAAGGTCCAACTATTCGCTGTCCAACAACAGGAAGCGATTCGGGAAACATTCCAATCATGGAGTTACGTCATAGTCGTTAGTGGCTAGGCACAGCTAGTGGCTGCAGTTGTCACTAGGGGCTCATTTGCTCTTATCGGGTGAAAATTATGAAGAAAGCGGCAGAGTCGCAGAAATGATGTTGTTCGCGTTGATCAGGAAGTTTCGACGAGAGAATGTCGAAACCTTTGCCATATTCCTTGACGCTGCGCTGAATCGGGATCAACCACCGCTGCACATCTTTGACGGTTTTAATGATGAGTACATCGATGCGAGAATGACTGGGTTGTCTCACTCGGCTGCGCTCAACTCGATCGACTCGAAGTTTGTGGACGCTCACCACCCCCCCGACTAACCCCCCGCTTCTCACCTTCCACTCATCTTCGCCCGTCTCCCGCACCGTCTTCACAGCATAATCTACCAAATAACACTACACGGTGTGTGGGTGATCCTTATCTAGGACCGTGTTAGTGAGGTGAAAGGCTCTCCTACCCCTCGTCTTATACACAATCTACTGAAAGGTCTAGTCAAATGTTCCCCAATTTCTAGAACCATAATGCAGTATAACTTTCTGGAATGCTCTGTTCTTGAAAACTATTCTGTTACCTGTCTCGCTATGCCCTAAATCAAAAAAAGCTCCGTCTTCTGCAGTTTACTTAATTGCATTGCGTCCACCGACTTCAGTGGGTGCATATCCCGGTTAGACCTCGTGAGTAGAGAACGCCACCGCACATCGACCCACCCGAGTCCGATTCGCCTGTACTCGTTCTTCTCTGTCGGTCCTTCGAGCACGAGGAAGTACGGACGGTTTCTGCTAAGGGACGGTTCGCATAAAGGCGCGGCCATGACTTGCCCTGAGAAGAATTGGCTGTCATCCATGCGTGCGTAGCCATGGCCGATTCCATCCAAATGGAAGGCCATGTCGTATTCCATTCTCGCCAAAGCGTCAAATGGTGGCATGTCCACCCTTCCTCTTAGGAGTGCTGCTCTCAGTGTCATATGCGCAGATTCAATAGCTCCAAACTCGTCCGTTGTTCGATAGTAGGTGGTAGTGGAGGTTACCTCACTATACCATCTAAAGTCACAAACACCTAGAGCCGCGAATCTTATCGCAGAATCTTGGCTTGCCCATGACCAAGATGGAGCACGATATGTTTCCTGATGTCGCCCAGTAGAAGCATTGCGTTTCCACAATAAGCCCTCGCGAATCGCATGTGACCAGACTCCTGCAATATAAGTTGACCCCATCATCTTCGAGGCATATTTAGCTAGCCCTGCTATAGCTATCAGTTTATCACTTGGCCGGGACAACTGACGAGTAGAATAGTCGGCCGCGATTATATCATTGTACCATGAAAGAGCAAGTTGTTGTGGGGTATCAATTTGTTGACTCGGAGTGGCATCATGGCCCAATGGCTCGACATAGTCATAGTCGAAGCTGCCGTCTTCCTTCAGGACCAAATGATCACATTCCCAATATAACTGGCTTGAGCCATAAAATATTTTTCGGCGTGACAGATGGCGTTCTTGACAACACCAACCCCGGGCTTGTAATGAGCCCCGTCGATATTCTTGGCCTTGGATGGGATTCGAATCCTCCCAGTGATCTGCAGAAAATTCGAGGACACTAGTGCGGCCGTCTTGGAGTCTGCTCTTTATGCGAAAAGCCTGTTTTATTTCGGAACGAGCTTCGAAATCCGAAACACTCTTGCTGTTGAATATCCCCGATTCGCTTGAGCATGATGCGCCTGCACATATTGTTACAAGAGCTCCACCGTAAATAGAGTCCATTTTGGTGCTTTCAATCAACCATTCATCCTGACTATCTTGAACAATGCATAGCGCATCGATCCACAGGTAACGAATGTTCAGACGACGGTTGATGTGGATAGCATCTTTTAAAGTGTTCGGGAGAGCCGCTTGATCGATCGAGATTTTCCTTCGTGCGACGTTGAAAGAAGTCGTCACCCAGGGAGTGTTTTCAGCTGGTCCCCAGCAGTAACTCAGACAAGCATAAGGCTGATGATGTTTGGTTGCATCAACAAGCTTACAAGAAGCCTGATCATCACTTTGATTGTTGTGGGGGCGCAGATCGTGAATACCACGAAAACGGGTGTCCGCAAAACAGTCTATTAGACGTCGAGGATGTTCAGGCACTCGCTCGTGATCAATGGCCGAGAATGAGTGAAGCCTCCGTCGCATATTGATCCCAGTCCCAGGTACATGGTTTCCCGCCAGGCAGTCCTTCAGCCATCGATTTGCTGTTGCAAAACTGCTATTTGACTTTGTCGTTTCCCCAACATCCTCCCTCCACGGGAGTCGAGATGCGCCAATATAGCCATCAAGTCCAGTAAGGTCAACTAGTGCTGCAGGGTCGTCCTTCAGTGTAGAAACCTTGAAATCGGTGTCAACAACTGTGCTCGCTGGCTGCTGGCCGGTTATAGCGACAACTTGCAGGGTACACGCATACCGGCATTCACCCCAATAGACCAATTTGAGCCATAACTCATTTTGATCTAGTTGTAACTCCAAATCCTTAAAATGTTTGCTCTTGGTGATGGCTCTCAAAAATATTGAGCAGATTAAGCAGTGTTTTGACGAGAGCGCCAGTTCTCGCAGCGGGCTGCTGTGTTGATATCCATTCCCTTGCTTATAGCAATCGGACGGCTTGATCAGGTTTTCGATGTTTATTTCAAGGCAGCTTTTACAATCGCCGGGCTGACGCACATCCATGATTCCTGAAGTTGATGCCAGAATGTTCGCTGGTGACTGCTGCCTGTGTACTCCGAAGATGGTCCTGTCTGCTGTGGTGCCTAGACACCTGTGTCTCAGTGTAGCCAAGATTGGGGGCCAGCTTGCGCCCGGCCTTCATGCGATGCACGTACGGAGGCGAGCGTTAGCGTGGCCCCGATCTAGTGCCAAGGCAGGTGAAGATTCGGTGCTGAACACCAACAAGAAAAACCGAATGGTGATGGAGCCCTACCATGTCTGCGGGTTTCCAGTATCTTGCTGTGGAATTTCCCTGCAACTTGCGTTGATCTGTAATGGTGACAAAGTATCTGGCCCAGGCAACAGTGAGAAAGGTCCTCACTGCCCCAGAGAAGCAAGAGTTGTAAAGGAAAGATGGCCAAGACAAGTTTCTTCCTGATCCTAACCCTCAAAGGTCGACCAATCGAGGTTTGCCGGGAATTCCAGAGGTCAGCAGATTGATATAGATAGAGGTGTTGCGAGTCCAGTGCTTCCGCAATCGGATGGGCTCAATGAGCTGAGCCCAAATGGCCTTCATAAATCATTCGACCAGGGCAACAAGAGCTGTGTTTCTGAACATGGTACGGCTGAAGATCTGCCGCTCTGAACGAATCTTAATTCTTGATGCACAAAATACTCGTCCTAGATGCTGGTGTGCCATTACCGTGCTGTTTGCATCGGGCTCCGTCGTATTTGTGTTCTCGTTGTCGACCATAGCGGCCCAAGACTTCGATTGCTTGACATAATCCTTTAAGTATATGGGTAGGTAGACAAGTTTAAATCCCAGGCTAAAGATTACCTTTGAGCCGACTTTGTACAGGTAGACAGGGTCTCGTGCTGACATTGTTCAAGGCGGTCAACTACTTTTGAGACTCGGCCGAGTTGGAATTGCCATAAGCAGGCAGGCAGGCATAATTACGAGTATGCTTGTAAGGTTCACATTCGTCCGAGGATCTGGCGAGTGACGAATACTCGTACAGCAGTGAGCTGTCTGCTCGTTTAATCCATACTAATTCCTCTTGGTGTCCACATCGGAGATTGGCATTCGGAAGAGGGACCGCGCACAGGTGCCAAAACTTCAAGCACGATACGAGGTACAATTAGTATATCCAGTATGCAGAGGTAGAATATCAGACAGAAATAGCTGGAAGAGTGCTTGCACTATAACCAGAAAGCTTCTATTGAGCAATGCTCGGTACATACTACTAGGTATTCATGAAAGTCGTTCGGAAGGCACCTCCTTGGGTGATTTGGATACAATAAGCAAGGCGAGCCACTAGGAGAGGGTCTGTCAGTGAGTCTTGGCTCTGTAGCGTGATTGTCACTACAGTGCACAGATGATACTGTTGCCAAAGTCTTGGCAAATATTTTTGTTTAAATACCTCGCTTCCCCCAGTCCCCTTTGTGAAAAGACATACTTGTGCGTTCTCCCCAAACCACCCCCTACATTTGGAATGATTAAACAGCTAACATGATGATAGACCTTGTGGGAGCAACCTAGCTCAAGAAGTGGGTTTGCTATGGCGGTGTCCCTGCATTGCACATCGCGGTGGATGTCGCCATTAAGTGTCCTTCGGGGCTCTTATCCGCGTATTTTTTGGCTCCTTCATCTTTTCATCATTGTCTCTTTGCCTCGAGCAAAGCTTTGGAGAAGAGAGATTCCTTGATTGCGCTGGATACAACTGCCTGCTAGGAACACGTGTCCAAAGTAGCAATATTTAGAGAGGACTGGTTTTGAATGAATAGGTCTCTTGAGTGTCTCACGATATCGTCAGTTAGGGCATTCGCTGTCAGGAGGCCGTAGTTGAGCTGGAGAGCCATCATCATGGTCTCAACTGAACAGAGCGCAGTGACTTGATGGCAACAGTTCCAAAGGAGTCATTTCTGTGGTTTGGCTGCGCGCAGGCAGCCGTCCGAAATTAATGTGCGCAGGCAAAACCCACCCAAGAGAGCTTCAGACACTCTCCCTCGCCACAAAGACTCGAGTCCTTGTACAATCAAGTCCTCCAGCAAATCCCTCGACGATCACTTTCCCACTCACGACTACTACAGAATGCCACATGAGTCTGTCCGTTGAGTTCTAGAATCCAAGCTATGTCCTTTGCCCACCGAGTCGCGTGCCCCTGTCGCAAGAGATAGGAAGATCATCAAGCTGATATCCATTCGAAACAGGACGTGGATAATCCATCGTGATAACCATCAGGAACGTTTGATCTAGAGGACTGACCCAAACCAGTGATGACTGCCTACATCAACGATAATATGGCCTGCAATTACCAATTGCTCCTTTCACAGTAACCCGCCGGCTAACCCTTGCCCCGCATAAGCTCTCCAATCCAACAGGTACCTAGGCACGTGGATTGAACCGAGGGTAATTGACAATACTGGACATATACAAAGGCCCATAAAGAGCAAGTTCCACTGTCTTCCGCCATCTCTACGCTTTTCCAAGACACATTCGTCCATTCGGTACCCTACAAGCGTGTTCATTTCACTCAAGATGCCTCCCAGACCTCACCCACCCATCCAAATCCCGGATTCCTATACTACCCTACCTCTGAAGCAGATCAAGGTCTCTCACGTCCCGGCATCCTCACCAACTCCCACGCCGGTGCTGCTCGTAACCTTGAACAGACCGCAGAAACACAATGCATTCACAGATCAGATGCGGGAGGATATGGAACGGCTCTATGAAATCATCGACATTGATCCGCGGGTCAAGGTTGTTGTCTTGACCGGTGCGGGACGGAGTTTCTGCGCAGGAGCCGACTTGGACATTGGATTCGTGGGAGCAAAAGATGAAAAGGGCCAGCTTAAGAATCCCAAGACTGAACGTGACGTGGATCACAGAGATGGGTAAGGATGACTACTGAACATACAAAGGCGATACTGATCTGTTCGCGCAGCGGAGGGAGAACTTCTTTGGCAATTCACCACTGCTCCAAGCCAACGATTGCGGCCATCCAAGGCGCTGCTGTCGGTGTAGGCATCACCATGTGCCTGCCAGCATCCATCCGCATCGCATATGCGAAGGCCAAGATTGGCTTCGTGTTTAGTAGACGAGGGCTCATCATGGAAGCCTGCTCCTCCTACTTCCTCCCTCGATTGATTGGGCACTCTCGAGCGCTGCATTTGACCACCACTGGCTCCGTGTATCCTGCGGACAGTCCGCTGTTTGGCACTCTCTTCTCCGAGCTATGTCCAACACCAGAAGCAACCTTGTCTCGAGCACTCGAGCTTGCCGATGAGGTCGCAAAGAATACCTCGGTCGTCTCAACAAAGCTCATGAGAGAGCTGATGTACCGAGGCCCTGACAGTGCAGAGGGCGCTCATCTCCTTGATTCCAGGGTTATTCACGGCTTGTTTGGCAGCAAGGACAACCTAGAGGGCGTTGAGAGCTTCCTGCAGAAGAGGCCAGTCAATTTCACTGGGCAATTACCCCAAGACGCACCAGCTGCATATCCTTGGTGGGATCAGGTCGACATTGGCTCAAAATCGCCGGACCCAAGAGGCAAACCCAAGTTATAGATGCTCTGAGCACACTTGTATGGTCAACGGTTCTGAGTTACTGCAATAATAAAATTCAGATTCAACCCCGCATTGAGTTATCGTAACCTGCCTCTTCCAGGAAGGCACAGTGTCCAGATGCAGAAGAAAAACTGCTGGTGCACGCCTGTCCTGGGCCAAAAGGGACGAAAAGGCCATCGTCTGCCGCTAGATCAGTCATCTTTCTGGCTGACTATCCCCTACTCATATCTTGCTAAAAAACAATAGAGCTGCCACCACCACTGTTGGCACCCAGTTGGTGCTGTTGCTGCATGATTTGCTAAGCACTCGGGCTTGGCCCCGGCTTGATGGTCGTAGATTGAAAGCTATTGGCGGAAGGTTGTGGTGGGGTTCAAAGGAATCGTCCTGCGACACGGATCACATCATCAGCCAAACTGCATTCGCATACAGAGAAGCCCACTGATCAAAAGCATTATTAGCGATCAAGATTCGGACATTCCAATAAAGACCGTTCCCGCGATTGCGATAAAACCCTTGGGCCTCCCTTTCCTGCTCTTTTGTCCTGCTCCTTCCCGTGACATGTCAATTGGGTTCGGTCGTCTCTCCAGACTTGCTACTACCCTCGAACGACCTTCGATTCTGGCGTCTGGAAGGTCTCTGCACATTGCACCGTCGCGGCCGAACCCCGCTTCGTCCCCGGCCTCCGTCTCTCGACTCGCAGGTCTCTCCAAGCAATTCTCCTCCTCATCCTCGAATATGGCTCCAGTCACGAAGCAATATGACTACATAGTCATCGGAGGTGGATCAGGTGGAAGTGGTGCTGCGAGAAGAGCAAGTGGTTGGTATGGCGCAAAGACGTGTATCATCGACGCCGGTGTGTCGGGAGGTTGCTGTGTCAACGTTGGGTAAAGAAAGACTCATACCCAAAGAATTGAGGTCCATGTACTGATCTTCCATGCTAGCTGCGTACCTAAGAAAATGACCTGGAATTTTGCATCCATTAGCGAAGCCATTGCAGCAGGCAAGCACTACGGCTACAAATTTGGCGACGGAAACTCCTTCGATTTCAAGACCTTCGTTGAGAAGCGTGATGCCAGAATAAAAGTCCTCAACGGCGCCTATGAGAATAACTGGGCCAAGGAAGGCATTGATCTGATAAAGGGACAAGCATCGTTTATCAGCGAGCATGAGATGGAGGTCACACCCAAAGATGGAGGCGAAGCATTCAGAGTCACGGCGCCTCATATCTGTATTGCAACTGGATCATACCCGACAAAGCCCGAAGGCATCAAAGGCTCAGAGTATGGCATTACGTCCGACGAGTACTTCCTGATCAAACATCTCCCAAAGAAGATGGTTTTCGTCGGCGCAGGATACATCGCAGTCGAGCTTGCAGGTGTGATGAATGCCATCGGTGTTGAGACGCACCTGTTCATCCGACACAACACCTTTTTGAGAAAATTCGATCCGATGATCCAAGAGACCATGACCAAGCATTATGAGGAAATTGGCGTTCACGTACATCGGAACCATCCTGGTATCAAGGAAGTCATACAATTGAACCCTGGTAGCGAAGACGGTTCCGACCCCCGAGAGAAGCAGCTCAAGTTGGTAATGAACGATGGTACCGAGATGATCACCAACGAGCTATTATGGGCAATTGGCCGAGGCCCAGAAACAAGAGGTTTGGGGATGGGGAAAATCCCGGTCAAAACGAATAAGACGGGTCACATTGTCGTGGATAAGTACCAGAACACATCAGTCGAGGGTGTTTATGCTCTGGGTGATGTTACAGGACAGGTAGGGAAGCCTCAGAATACCCGGATGGACCTACTGCTAATAAAGGAGTAAAGGCTGAATTGACACCTGTCGCCATCGCCGCCGGTCGTCAACTAGGTAATCGCCTCTTCGGACCTCCTGAACTCAAGGCTTCGTACCTCGACTACGATCGCATCCCCTCGGTGGTCTTTTCGCACCCTGAAGTCGGCGCCACAGGCCTCACCGAACCTCAAGCGATCGAGAGGTATGGCAAGGAAAACGTCAAAGTGTATCATACCAAGTTTTCGGCCATGTTCTATGACGTGTAAGCAACATTTACTGATGCCGGGCGCCAAAACACGGTGCCCAGACGAACACGGGACTAATGGACTTGCTAGATACCCACCAGAAGAGAAAAAGAAAGAGCCGACAGAGTTCAAACTCGTGTGTCAAGGCCCCCGCGAAGAGATCGTGGGACTGCACATCCTAGGCCGAGGGGTTGACGAGATGATGCAAGGATTTGGGTGAGTGTCCACTAACCATTCCCCTCTTCTGCTGCGCAGCATGCTTGAAGAGATATCCAATGTCACTTTTCTGGTCCACCTCTTGTTAACGGTGTCATTGCGCAGTGTTGCCGTCAAAATGGGCGCAACGAAGAAAGACTTTGATAGCTGTGTTGCGATCCACCCGGTATGTTTTATCTTCCATATTCCTGCTCCTCTTGAGGTCCAGATTACTTACGAATGAAACCAGACCAGCGCAGAAGAATTGGTGACAATGAGGTAGAGAACAAGATGGACCCTTGCGGCCGTTTCCTCCTCCAACCCTAGAATTTGGTCAGCAGGTTCTATATTGAGAAGAAAAAAAACATGCATAGAGCGAACTCGGGCTTCTCACACACATCAATAATCTGCCTGCTCCATCTCTGTTCGGACTTCTAGACACCAAGAAATGTCGCAGTACATGTGACATCTACACATATACCGGGAGAGATGTATAGACTTAAGACACCGCAGGTGTAGAAGAGAGAGCTATTGACCTCACAAAACAAAACTACAACGATAGTCTGCGCTCCCCTTCCTTTTTTTTTGTCCTTGTTCTCAAAACATCTTGCCAATCAACACTTACTTTCTGTTGGTTCTCCTTTCTCTTCCCTCTCCCCTTTCCACACGCGTATGCCAGAGGTATATATATCTGGCTTCCCTTTTTTACAGGACCCAGATCCGCTCTGCTCCACTGGCGTCCCTCACCCCATTCTTGTTCATGCGGCCGTACCACAGCCTCAGGCCGGCGGTCATGGCGGCGACGAAGAAGCCGCAGCCGGCGCAGACAAAGTTGCCCGTGGGATAGCCCTTGTGGGCCTCGTCGGCCTTCCAGATCCATTGGGCGATGATCTGGCCGATGCCAGCGGAGCTGTTGTTGAGGGCGATGGCGAAGGGGATGGTCAGCAGCGAAGGCGTGTTGCACGCGACCCAGTTGGCCATGGACGGCGCGACGGGGAACGCCCCGCACGCCGCCAGGCACAGACACCCATACCGCGACGTGTAGGCATCCGGCGGCAGCAGGCCCGCGGCCAGCCACCCCGCGGCGCCGACCAGTGACGCGATCGTGATGTGCACGCCCCGCGCGTTGAAGTGGTCTGCCGAGTAGGACAGCGTGATGGCCACGACGAAGCCCACGCACCACGGCGGCACCGTCAGCAGCTGTGCGTGGATCGACGTGTAGCCGAGCCCGTTGACGATGGTTGGCGTGAAGAATGTGAATGACCCTTGGGGGACGACGTCGGCGATCTGGTAATACACCGTCACATCGGAGTCAGCTTGCTTTGTTGGGTTTGATGTTTTCTCTAAGATGCTTCCGCGAGACAGCGACCATCCTTTCCAACCATGCCAAAGAGTGGGCAACACGGGATAGGATGTGTCAGGAGAGTTACGAAGAGGAAGATAGATCAATAGAAAGAAAAAAAAACTCACGTATGCGATATAATGCGCCAACATCCTCGGACTGAAGAAGGTCTCGAGCACTTCCTTTCTCGAGGCGTGGCTCCTGAGATAGCCACCCCCTCGTTCCTTCAACCGGTCCTCGGCGAAGCGCTTGTCCGACTCGTTCAGAAACTTGGCCCGGGCGGGATAGTCGGGGAGGAAGAACAGGAACGAGGCCGAGACCAGCGTGATGATGCCCTCGATGATGAAGAGCCACCTGAACCCTTCGAGGCCGGCCGAGCCGTTGACGTGGCCCACCCCGTAGGCGATCGCGCCTCCGAAGGCGCCGGCGAGGTTGCAGAAGGCGACGACGCAGGCGATGCGGACGGCGCGCTCGTTGTAGCGGTACCAGATCGTGATGAAGTAGACGATACCTAGAAAGGGGGTGGGATGTATTGTCAGTCTTGTGTTCCTGTTCCTAACCCGGCACGTCCATCAACAATGCGTCGTCTTTTGTCCTCTGGTGATCCACCCCCCAAGACCGCACCAGAGGGTTCAGCAGGCTGGATAGACCGAGGTCGAAGGGATCAAACGAGGTTTGTTACCTGGGAAGAAACCGGCCTCAAAGGCACCGATCAAGAACCTCAACACCACGACCGTCGCATAGTTCTGCACACCAGCAAACCCGATCGTCAATGCACCCCACGCAAACAGGAGGAACCCCAGCCACAGCGACGGACGGACCCAATGCTTCATGACATAGTTGCTCGGAACCTCAAAGATTGTGTAGGCGAGCGAGAAGAGGGAGACGGTGATGGCGTAGCCATGGGCCGTCATGTGCGTCTGCTGAAGCAGGTCATCCCCGGTCTCCGAGTTGAGCACCTTAGAATTGCCAATGTTGCCTCTATCGAGAAAGTTGAGCAGGTAGACCCAGCAGCAGAGGGGCAGGATGCGAATGTCGAGCCGCCGGTTGAGGCGTCGATTGCGCTTTTCATACTCGATGGGGTCGACGGTATAGGTGCCTTCTTCGCTCGAAGGAGACTCGATCACGACTTTCTGTACCAAGTGACGCGTCAGGAGACCTGGTGGCGTGTTTGGGATCCTACAGGTGCCTTGCTTACCTCTGGTTCGGTATCCTCATGATGCTCTGCGGGTAGTGATTTTTCCATCTTGTCGTTGAGAAGACACTCCTGACATTCACTGCTTACCTGACTTTTGAGGATTCTCACAACGAGGGAGAAGGGGACGATCGTCTCCCAGGAACGCCGGTACTATCACCTTATATCATGGGCCATGGTCCCTTGGAACGTGGCGACCTGAGTATCACAGCTCGACGGACCAGAACCGATCGGCAAAGAGGCCGTTATGCCCGGGCTCGTTCATCTTGCATCACCTGGGATCATGACACTTGAAGCCCTGGGACAAGGACCCATGTAATTCGGCATATGAGACGGAGGATCGACCGGGAAGTGATGTGCAGATCAGACATGAAATCATTGGACGATGACCAGGAAAAACTGCGGGCAGCGCGGGGAAACAGGACGGAGAAAAGAACCTAGTGATGCATTGCGCCGTCTAATGCAACGTCCACGGCCAGGGGATCCAGACTCGTTTCTCCAAAGGGGTCCCATGAGACGGCACAAGTCCAGTATATCGGTCGAGGCGAGGTAAATCGGACCCCGTACCCTGCAAGCTAGTCCAGCAGCAGTCAGACAGTGAGCTCGAGCTCGGCTGGTGATGTGCCGAATCCTTCCATTCATCTCATGACATGTACAGTAGAAAGACAGAAAAGAAGCCTGACCAAGAAAACACTGATCCACCACATGAGAACAGACACATGGCTGCTTCGCTGGACAAAGACAAAAACATCACATCATCACCCAACAACCCCGACTTCATGAATAGGCATCAGAATCTTCCTCTTCTTCCTCTTCCCTGCGGTCAGCATCGTCTTCCATATGCGCGTAGTCGAGTATTCCGTCGTCATACTTCTCCTCCCTTCGATGAGGGACGATGCTCTTCTGGATGCCAAATGTCTTGACAATGTCTTCCCAAACGTCGAAATCGAGAGTGAAGATCGCTTGGTTACGTTGCGTTTCCTGTCTCTCTGCGAGACTCTTGTCAGGTTCAAGGCCCAACGTTGGCATCCCGTGGCTATCAAAGTCCAACGCCACTTTTCCTTCCTTGATCAAAAAGCTCACATAAAACATATTCTCGACTGTTTGTCCAAATGATTTCGGGTTGACACAGAAGTTGAACAGTGGCACACAGCCATTATCAGCTATTTCATTCCTCCGTAGGATCTCTCGTGTTTGCTCTTCCGAAAGCTCCTCGTCGGCTTCGTCGACTTCTCTCTCAGCATTGTTCTGTCCTGTAATCATAGCCTCTTGCAACAGACGTGCGATCTCGGTGCAGATCTCAGTGAGGTTGGCTGATTCCTGCTTCTGCAGATCCTCGTCGCCCAACTCGACCGGACGCACCGCTTGCGTGGGCTCAGTACGAGCTTCACGAGCTTTCCGCTGGGTTTGCTGCCGGGTCTTTTTTTGAACCGAGAGAGGGCCAAGGAGAAAGCCGGTCAGGCAAGGCCGTGAGTTGTACAGGAAACAAGCATTATTCCCCAAGTACTCCCAATTCATGGTATCACCTTCGTCCTCTTCATCCGCATCCTGATGCCGCCTTCGCCGTTGGGACTGGGTTTGAGTGCTGGTAGGCGCATCACGATACGCCGCTTCGGGTTCGTTGCCCTGTTTCATGAACATGATACATTTCGTGACGAAATCGTCGACGTCAACACCAATCGTCCCATCGCTCAGCGTCAGATTGTTGATCTTTCTGTAAGACAGGTCTGCAGTTTCGACGAGTAATCGCGAATCAATAGTGGCCTCTGAAGTTTGCTTGACATTCTTGTAAATTCCGTCCAATTTTACGAGTGTCTCTTCGAGGCCATTTGAGTCAGGTTGAAGGTATTCAGCCCTGGAGTCGTGAAGCTCCGCGTAAAGACTGCGCAGACCCTTGCGGACCTGGCGTCGTTCTTCAGGATCTTGATCGGGATCATAGTATTGTTGGGCGGAAGGAGTCTGTGATTCCTCTACACCTGTTCTCCTTCGCTTCCGAGAGTCGGCAGGAGTCCTCTCTGACATATTGGCCATAGAACTCTTCCTCTTCTTGTGATTCCCCGCGGTATGGTGCTCGTTCTCTTTATCGGAGTCGTCCGTCTGAATGGTTGAGTGGGGTGCGTGCGATGTAGCTGTATGACTGTCTGGGGAGGTCGTGAGGATCTCGTTGTCAGGATCAGCCGAGACAGCTTGGGTGTTCAGACGGGCCATGGTTGGCGCATCTCCGCATGGGCGACGCCAGAAGGACCGTGCGACAAATCGCTAAGGATTGGACTCGGTGGGTGGGCGAGGGGCAGCCTAAACTTTGAGAGAAAGTAGTGCGAGAGGGTTTTCTTCCACGGCTTCACGATACAAAGCACACCGTACTAACCACAGGTCTATAAACGATAGAAGGGGTATGAAACGAGGTAATGGGCGAACACCTTGGACATTGGGAGGGACGGGGACAAGGCATGAGGCTCCACGAGACGCGGCAACCTGATCCTCAACGCGTCTGAAAGATACGCTAATCCAATATAGGTTAGCGTAACAGCCTTCCCCAGGCTGCCCAGGGACGCCCGCCTTGTTCATCCATCAGGCTTCACTCTGTCAACTCGTAACCATCGAACCATCTACAGATGGTACGAGGTACACATTGACATATCTGTTGCTACCTGTTAGAAACCATGGCTAGTGGCTCATCTGGCACTCCATCATGGATACTTACACCTTTGCGACCTCTCGCCAGATAGACTTTCCCGTCTGTGTCAGAATGTGAGTGTCTGGCTTAATCGGCTCTCATTCATACCCGCTCGTTGCCGTCAATTCTAGACCGCCATCAGGTCCGTTATACTAATTCCTTATATCTAGCAATACATTGGAGGGCAAGCAACATTCCTTCCCGTATACTGTTCTCTTGAAACACCCAGAAATACGCCACGTCGGATCAGTCCAAAGTCCGAATTCAGAGCTTTATGTGACTGCTCAGCTGTGGGCCGAATCCAAGCCGTTAGGAGTCTCCTTGCAAACACCACATACATTCTTCAAGAACAACAGAACCTGGAATAAATGGCTAGAGTTACCTGTCCTGGTCAAGGACTGTCCCGCCTCCTCTCAAGTTGCCATCACTGTATGGGATATCTCGCCATGTCCAGAGAACGGCAGTATTGACCACGCTGTGCCGTTCGGCGGCACGACCATTCCATTATTTGATAGAGATGGCACTTTGCGGAAGGGTCGCCAGAAATGCAAAGTATACCGCCGGAGACCCGCTGATGGTCAGTCACCGTCAAGGACGCCACACATTCCCCGCCCAAAACGTCGAAAGCCCAATGAGCAACCCCCTCCCCCTATACCGGAGGAGGAAGAGCTCGAAAGACTGGAGCAGCTTTTCAAAAAACATGAAATGAATGAGATCCCCCAGAACGACTGGCTAGATCAACTGGTCTTTCAGAATGTCGGCAAGAAAGCCCGTGAAGTCGAGGAAGCTGCACGAAAACGCTCTTCGGCCAAGAAGCCATCGAAGCGCAAGTCGGCGCAAATGTTACCTAAGGGATCGAATGAGACTGCAAACGGACATGCCGAGCTTGATGTTGACGACGATTCTGACGACGACACAGACGACGAAGAACGTTTCACTCTTTATGTCGACTTCCCGCGGTGGGACTTCCCCATCATATTTGAAGATTATGGGTATGAACCATCAAAGATGATGAAAGAATTTCAAAACACTCCTTCGGCTTCAGCCGTAGGCGCAAAACCTCCACCAGAAGTCCGATATGGTCCAGGCATCGCTCCAGGCACATCTGTGGCGGATGACGAGGATTTTCCAGTCGTCCAGATCTTTGACCCCGAGCAGTTCCAACGGGAAAACCCCTGTGAGAGCAAGCATCGGCGACTAGTCCGAAGCGACAGGAATGCATTTTCCGACAGCGATCAAAAGCCGAATGCCAAAATGAGGGACGAACTCAATGAGATTCTGTCGTATGGCCCAACACAAGAGCTGAGTGCCCAAGACAAAGATGTCATCTGGACGTTCCGACGGCACCTGAGCCGTGATAAACGAGCTCTAACCAAGGTCGTCAAAGCAACCGATTTCACGAATCCAAACGAGGTCCGTCAACTTGTTGAATTGATCCCTAGGTGGGCTAAGATCGATGTTGATGCAGCTCTCGAATTGCTTGGTCCGACTTATGACAACCCGGTCGTCCGGGCATATGCTGTTGACCGTCTCCGACAAGCTGGGGACGCTGAACTGCAGTTGTACCTCCTTCAACTCGTCCAAGCACTGAAATTTGAAAAGTATGAGAGTACCGAAGAAGGACTTCCCGCTTCGTCACTGGCCAAATTTCTCATCGACCGTGCTGCCAATAACTTTATGCTCGGCAACCACCTGCACTGGTTCCTCATGGTTGAATGTGTTGACCAAGGCAGTGACACGAGCGCCGCAAACCGTGCGGTGTTTGCAAGAGTGGAATATTACTTCATGGTGGAGCTAGAAAAGCGTGATCCGAGTTTACGCAAGACGCTGTTGAGACAAGGTGAACTGATCACCATCTTGTCAAGTATCAGCAAGGAGATCCGGTTCAGCAGGACCAACCGCATACAAAAGATCGAGTTGCTTAAGAAGACACTGGCTGATCCCAAGAACGAACTTGTCAAAATCGAGCCACCCATACCGCTCCCCCTTGACCCTGAGGTCCAAGTGTGTGGAATCTACCCCGACGAGGCCAACGTCTTCAAGTCGTCACTGTCACCTTTGTACCTGAATTTCAAGGTCGCCAGCGCCGCTGAGAGTTCGAGTGTGTCGTCACAGCGAACGCAGACACAAGGCAAATACCCCATCATTTTCAAGACGGGCGATGATTTGCGGCAAGATCAGCTTGTTATTCAGATTATCACACTGATGAACAATCTCCTGCTCAAGGAGAATCTTGACCTGAAACTGACTCCCTATCGTATCCTCGCCACCTCGCCATCCGCTGGCGCTGTCCAGTTCATACCATCCACTGCGCTTTCAGTGATCTCGGCGAAATACAAGGGTTCGGTGCTAGCGTATCTACGCGCCAACAATCCTGACGCATCAGGACCTCTTGGTGTCCGCAAGGAGACGATGGATACATACATAAGATCGTGTGCTGGATACTGTGTGATCACGTACATTCTGGGGGTCGGGGACCGCCACCTCGACAATCTCCTGCTTCAACCCTCGGGTCACTTCTTCCACATCGACTTTGGCTTCATTCTTGGACGTGATCCGAAGCCTTTTGCACCACTCATCAAATTGTGCAAAGAAATGGTGGAAGGACTGGGTGGCACCACGTCACCACAGTACGCCCAGTTCAAACAGTTCTGCTTTACAGCCTATACGACCCTGCGCAAGTCCAGCTCCTTGGTGCTGAACCTGTTCAGTCTGATGGTTCAGAGCTCTGTCACGGATATTAGGCTGATGGAGGAACAGATGGGGGGTATGGGCGGCGCTGTAGGCAAAGTAAGGGAACGATTTAATCTTGATGTCAGTGAAGAAGAGGCGGTAAGGGCTCTAGATCAGGTGTTGGCGGATAGTGTCAATGCTGTTTTTGGGGTCGTCATCGATAGACTGCATGAGTTTGTACAGGGATGGCGAGCATGATTTTGAGCCCTCTGTCGTTGTCCAGGTTGGGTATATCAGCAATCGAGCTATCAACGAAGTATATCAGTAGGTGCATTGCTTGATAGCAGTGCGGACCTACATACATAGTTGGACGGATGCCTGCGTAGCGCGTTCAGAAGCGAGCATGGCAGGGGGGCAAAACCAGAGCGGGGTTCACTTTCTCCTCACTGTTTGCCTCACAGTAAACACGACCACAACTGTCAGATCTCAACTACCAAAGCAGATCTCTGTGACTGACTACCTTCTTTGGCCTCTCTTTACAAACCGCTCTATCCTAGATACACCTGACGCTCCAAGAAAATGTCGGCCGAAGCCCAGCCCATCTCCGCGGAACGTTTCGCTCTAGCCATACAAGATCTTCCCGCCGAGAACTTGTACTCCAAGGCTCAGGAAATCGAAAACTCCATCGCCCACCTCGAACGCTCAAATAAACAGCTTCAAGAATATATCGACAGTATCAAGTCAGACCAAAGCATTCCAGAGAGCACGAGACAGGAAGGGGACAAAGACTGCTCGGATGCAATTCAAGAGAACCAGATTGTGATCGGTCGGCAGAGGGAGAGAGTAGAGCTGTTGAAGCGCGAGGTGGAGAGAAGAGGAGGGAAATGGCACGAAGCAGACACAAACGGGAAGTCGAACGGGGCGTCAGAGGAGGCTGGAACAAGCACTACAGAAACCAGGAACGGAGGGGGCAGGCTGACCGACGAGGAATTGCGGCGGCAGATGATGGATCGGCTCGGAGGCGACGACGATGATAACAACGAGGACGGAATGCATTTGTGACAAATTTACCTGAAGTGTGCAACAGGGTTAAAACTTTACTACACTGCCATGGCCGTTCAGAGTCAGAATCAGCATCCCGAAGGCATCTGTGCCTTTCACAAACACCATCAAAAACACAGCAGTCCACCGGTCGCTACTACGAGGCATTCCTTGACCATCACAAGGTTTTCCCAAGAAATCAGGCGAAACTCTCGACACACAAGAGCACCATATCAGACACCTAGTTCTGCCTATCCTCTCGGAATGCGACAGTAAGCAATACAAATCGTACACAGACCGCAGGATCCTGAGCGGAGGCAGTTGTCTCCATACCTCCGGATGTCTACATATGTAGCATCAAAGTGGAGTCCAGGACTACGCAGACAGCGAAACCGCGGGTTCAATATATCTGGGCAGCTACCGAGCGAAAAAGTCTATTCTTGCCAGACCCCATTTGCACCATTCGAATGAGAGGGCCCGGAGCAACATTCGAGTCATTTGTTTCAGGCGACCTGTGCTGTCGGAGACATATGAGTTCGTGATTATTCACAAAGAGCTTGCCAAGGCATGGTTGGTCCCGAGCACTTATGAGGATCAGAAAGTCGGGACCAGAACAAACCGAGTCGCTGACAAAAGTTTGGGTGGGAATGGGATCTGCACTCCCCGAACACGTGCGAGGCTGCGGGTCGAAAGGCTGCGATACAACGCCTGATCTCCACTCCCGCGTCATAGACTCGAATGAATGATCACCGAATGCACGATCCCCTTTTCTTCGTCGGCCTCTCGATCCCGGATACTGCACATGCCGATGCAATCACATAGTTGGCAGCATATTTCTCGCTCTATGATACCCTTCGCAGGATGCCGGCTGCTCGGCTGGATACCCCTTGATAGTCGTGTTGGCGCGCAGATATGCTGCAAACTCCGCATCTATCATGACGCCTCAAGGCTATGACAATCGTTAATGACGTCTTTTAAATGTGATTCGTCTTCCCCTGGACACATTCTTTTTTGCTCCAGACACATACTCTGATTTTGAATCTTTGACTTGACTTCTAACAAACATGGAGGATCTCTTTCGGGATACGGTTGCTGGGCAAATATTGCGGCTCGTTACAGGAAATAGAATTCTCCAATATCCCGAGGAGCGAGATCCGTCGCTATGGCAGAGATACCTCAACATCGAGAAATCGGCCAACATGGCTGTCCATGGCAGCACGGTCACACCTGAACCAGAGAAAGAACTTCCCAGTGTGTCTTCGTCGGATCCACCTACACCTCCCACGGACGAGGAACAGCAACAAGATGTGCCACCAAATCACGATCGGAGCACACTCCCAGCAGAGGGGAAGGAACAATTAGATCTACCGTCCGCCACTCAGGACGCGGATTCCAATCATCAGGGAGTCTCTCGCCGCTCTTCGGGCTCAGCAGCAACGGCCAACGAGTTCGAAAATGTCCTGGTCAACACGCTCAGCGGCACAAGAATTGACCCTGAAAAGGGCCGAGATGCACACATTGTGGATTGGTACGGTCCCGATGATTCTGAGAATCCTCGAAACTGGGGCCCTGTCAAGAAGGTATGGGTTACCTTTGAGATCTGCCTGTTGACCTTTTCTGTCTATATTGGGTCTTCGATCTATACGGCTGGTATCCTGGACGTGAGCAACGAGTTCGGAGTCAGTCGTGTCGCCGCCACGCTGGGGCTCACTTTGTTCGTACTGGGATATGGAGTTGGTCCAATGTTCCTAAGTCCTTTATCGGAGCTACCACAGACTGGAAGAGGTCCGATTTATATTGGTACTCTCGCACTCTTTGTTATCCTGCAGGTTCCGACAGCGTTGGCAACCAACTTTGGCATGCTAATGGCGTTCCGTTTCATCACGGGCTTTGTGGGTTCCCCGCCCCTCGCCACTGGAGGCGCCACGATTGGGGACATGTATTCTCCAGCAAAGAGGACATATGGCATGGCTGTATGGGGCATTGGAGCCGTGTGTGGACCCACCATGGTGAGTTGGTCCTCTATTTCAGGACTTTCTTTGAGGCTCGACCAAGCAATGTTGTCGTCCGCTCAATCTTCCTTTACGCTGACAATACAAATGTAGGGCCCACTCGTCGGGGGCTTCGCGGCAGAATCCAAAGGATGGACCTGGACGATTTGGGAGCTCATGTGGCTCTCCGGGTTCACTCTGGTCCTCTTGATATTTCTGATGCCCGAGACGTCTTCGTCCAACATCCTCTACCGACGCACGATGCGCCTCCGCAAGCTGACAGGCAACCCGAAACTCATGTGCGAGCCGCAACTGATCGGCGAACAAATGACGCCGAGGGAGATCGCCATGATGACCCTCGTCCGGCCGTTCCTCCTGTGTTTTACCGAGCCGATGGTGTTCCTGCTGAACATGTATATCGCACTCATCTACGGCCTTTTGTACATCTGGTTCGAGAGTTTCCCCATCGTCTTCAGCGGCATCTACGGCTTCAGCCTGGGTCTCGAGGGTACGGCGTTTCTGGGCATCCTGATCGGCGTCCTGCTCACGCTCCCGCCCTTCATCTGGTACCAGCGGAAATACATCGAGCCGAAATTCAACGACAAGGGCGATCTGCAGCCCGAGTGGCGCCTCCCGCCGTCCTTTGTCGGCGCCTTCGCCATCCCCATCTGCCTGTTCTGGTTCGGCTGGTCCGCCCGCCCGGACATCCACTGGATCGTCCCCATCATCGGCACCGCCTGGTTCTCCATCGGCGCCTTCCTCCTCTTCAACTCCGTCCTCAATTACCTTGCCGACGCGTACCCGGCCTACGCCGCCAGCGTGTTGGCGGGAAACGACTTCTTCCGGTCGACCTTTGGCGCGGGCTTCCCCCTCTTCGCCTCGGCCATGTACAAGAACCTGGGCGTCGGCTGGGCCAGTTCGACACTGGGGTTTCTCGCTATTGCGTTTATTCCCATCCCATTCTTCTTGTTCAAAGTGAGTTTGTTCCCTCCGTCCCTGAAGCCTAGATTGGGCAGAGTCTTGACCATTACAAATGAATGTATGCTGAACAAATCCACAACAGTATGGTGAGCGGCTGAGGATGAGGAGTAAATATGCCCAGAAGGATTACTAGGTAGGGCAAGGTGTCCACGTGGGATGATAGAGGGCATCAGCAAGGTGTTGGACGGTGGATACGGAATTCTATGCGAGTGATAGATACCCCTCTCCTCTCGAGTTCCTCGGTAATAGTTAGGACATGGTGAGGATTTCTAGAGCATTTGGAGGGCATTTCAGGCAGGGCATTTGAAAATGTTGTTGATTCGTTTGTCCAAAGCATTAACAATATATATATACTAATCTGATTCTTGGGTCAATGCAAATCCCCCAGTGACAAAGGAAAAGTTGTTGCCGCAGAGGCTGTATTGTTGTGTTGATTATTGGTGAATAGTCGAACCATTTCCAGCTGATAATTTTTCCCCCCCAATGTCATGTCTCTCCTGGGATCGAGGGCGCTGTACACTTTCCCCCTCTTGCTCAGGTTTTGCCCCGTTGAAACAAATGAGACCTGGACCCCAAGACGCTGTAGGGGCTGTTTTCGTGTTTAATGTCTTTATCAACAGACATCTTCTTGCACCTCATGTCCGTTTCAAGGTGCGGCGCTCGTTTCGTCACACCGAGATATTACCAACAAAATCCCAAAGATTCGTATTCCTCCACGCGTGTGGAACGCATATATGCTCATGGCAAAGTTCCTCCCACAGCCGCATCTCATGCCTTTGTGGTGTTGAAGACATAGCCTTCAAAGACAGCATTGACCTTGACGCTGTCATAGAAGCCGACGACCTCGACAATCTTCCTGGCGTCCGTGTCGTCCAATTCGGTCCTCATCAACCACGCATACTGCATGTCGTAGTTCGCACCATTCTTGCCAAACACACCTTCACTTCGCCAGTTCACCGTGGCCCAATCCCCGTCGACGAAGATGTGCTCGACAATCGGTACGGGAAGAATCACCAACACGTCCCGCAACGGTGTGAGGACTTTGTCGATGTAGACCTGTTTGCCGCTGTACGTGCCTGCGATGGGACTGCTTCCGGTGACCGTCCACACGAGGTCATCGGACAGCGCGGCAGCAAACGAGGTGCCAAAGTTGTCGAGTGCAACAGCCGTGAACAGGGACTCGATGAAAGATCGAGTCGCCTCGGTCGTGCTATTGACACATTTGTGTGGGAAAGGATGGGCCTCTGCCATGATGAAGCCCCTTCCCAGTGGTGCTGAACTCGCCGACACCGACCGCGTGTCTTGGTAGAGGTGAAGGCCAGAACCGTGGTGGAAATCGCCGTTGTTAGGTGACAAGGACGAGAAAGATAACAGGACTTGTAGGACGGTAATGAAGCAGACAGCCGCTCGGGCCGGGGACAGCACCTTAGCCATGTTTCCAACCCCGGCGGCACCCGGGCAGGCGATTGGGGGAGTGGTTAATACATAGCTCCTCCCAATAGGTGACGACCTCCGGGCATTTATATACCTCGAGGACACCGGGTATCACTTCTTCACCTCCTCTTCCAGACTGGGCCCTCCATTTCACTAGTTGTAGCATTCCACCGATTTGTTGTGCCACGTGTGCGGACAGCAAAGCAAGCGTGCTCGCCCAGTCCCGTCGAAACTCTTAGGGCGTGCATTGGCTCGAAGGCTTTGGAGTCGGTGAAAGGCAAGGCCCGTCGCGTGGAGGGGTTGGCGATGGGTCTAGCGGCGCCCCGGCAGGCGAAATCGGTCACTTACTTGTGCTAATTATCTGTTAGTAGACATGCAGAGAGTTTTCTTCGACATTGGCAACACAAAGATGAATCGATCGCGCGAAACTGACTCGGTCGTTGGAGAAGCCATCGAGATGTTGTCGGGTGTTAAAAATCAGTGGCTTTGTTGTTCGGTCATTTTCCTTTGGGTTCGTGGCCTCTGCAGGAATTCGATGGGCGGAAACAGGTGCGAGAAATGTCGAGTCTCGAATCACCTCGACGGACCATGGTACAAAAAGACATCTGCTTGAGGGTCTTGTCGTGCCTGTGGAAGCAAATGATAGTTGATTCATGGAGCAAAGTGTGATCCAGACAGCCCTCAGAGCTCGATGGGTGATTCCGTGTGTCCACAGCCCCAGTTGGTGGTCCCCCTCATTGCCGAGGCCGCAGAGTCAATGCATTTCAGCGACAGCGTTGTGCATTGCACTACCTGACTGGTATAGGTATCCCGAAACCTGTGTTGTCGTGAACTTCATCTGTTCAGTCGTCTGGACACGCATCAAATGTCGTTCTCTCGAGTTCGACAACATCTCCCGTCGTTATCAGGGGGGTTCGCAGCGTCTTTCGTGCCGGTACTCGAGTGGTGAGAAGGAAGAGAACCGATGAGGTTGAACGTCGACATGTGTCGCTTCGTCCCTCTTTCGATCGCTCTACTATCCATCGACCATCGTGGTTTCTCTGGTCCAATCTCTCTCTACTTGAAGCCATGGCAGCACTCACGAATACAACGGGGATTCTACCTGGGGGTACTCCATGCCGTGGTTATAAAAGCCATCGCTAATACCGTTCCAGTGTGTCCACCAATCCGCTCTCAATCCATTGCTCACATTCCCGCTTTCGAATCGAGCGTGTATGATCATCAATTCTCCTGTCACGCCTGTCGATCTGTGGGAACTCCACCAGCAGTTCTTGAACCTGGCTGTATCCTCCGTTCCAGCATTTCTGTATAATGCCATCCTCCCTCGTATCATCAAGAGGCGGGAATTCTTTGTTCTCGAACTTGTCCATCAGGATAATATTGTGGTCACACCCCCATCGTTCAGTCTCATACGGCTCGTGTCCACGTAGGAGGGTATAGAATACAGATCCGATGGCAAAGGTTTCTGTGTGCGCACCCGATTTGCCATAAGTACCACTGACGCCGTCCTCCCCATCGTGCAGACGTCGTCCGAATGGCTCTGTCAATACTGGGATATCCTCTCCTACCCCAATGACGCGGTCGAAGTCGCTCAATTTCAAGTCCCAATCTTTATCGAGGAGCATGTTGTGTGGGCGAATGTCTCCGTGCGTCAGACCGATTCTCTCAAGTCCCGCAACCGCGAGACACAACTGTGCCATCCACCGTCGAATCGTCAGAGGTTCAAGGTGCTCTGTGACTCGAAGAACCTGCGGACCGAGCCGCTCTTGATACCGGTTGAGATGCTGAGCGACGCTTCCCCCGTCGGCAAGCTCGAGGAATGTGTTCAACGGTGTCCGGTAGAAACTCTCAACCAGGAAAGGTATTGCGCGGTCTTGCTTTTCCAGCAACTCGAAAACCTTTTGCTCGTGGAGATGGTCTGTCTCTTCGTAGGGTCCGGTACGTGCGACCTTGACCGCAATAAAGGGTGTCAATTGGTACACGGTACCGTTGGCTCCTCGACCGAGGAGGGTCATGTCCATTGACGATTGCCTGTAATAAATATGCGCACGGAGGAAGGGCTAGTCAAGATGTAGGAGCCAAGGAAGTACATGAAGCGCAGTGAAGATGCGTTCGACTGAAGTCAATCAAGTTCAAGTTCTAGGCTGACCCCTTGCATGGTCGTACAAGCCAAGAGCCCGTGACTCCAAGTGTATGTATGCCATCGATTCTAGTCAAGACAATGCTAGCCAACAGGTCACGCACGTCTGTTATCCAATACCAAACAAGAACATCATCACCCATACCGTGCATTCTCAACCTCTTCGTCGAACCACGCGGGTGGAATACCATAGTTGATGACGGTACTCTTGACCTTTGTATAGCTCTCGTAGGCTTCAACGCCGTTCTCCTTTCCCATGCCACTCTCCTTGAATCCTCCCCAGGGCGACGAAGGGTCGTTGAGGTGGTGTCCGTTGATCCAGACAATGCCGGCCTCGATCTTCTCCGCCATCCGGTGTGCCTGTGAGATGTCGTTTGTCCAGACCGACGCTCCCAGTGCAAAAGGGCTGTCATTAGCAACGCGAATGATGTCCTCCTCCGACTCACATTTGACGACCGCAATCACCGGACCGAAGACCTCGTTGCATGAGAGGTCGGAGCCATGATGTGTTTCGATGATGGTGGGCTCGAAGAAGAACCCCTTCCCCGCCACGGCCATTGCGTTGCCGCCGCAGAGAACCGTGCCGCCATCCTTGACGGCACGGTCCACGAACGCGGCGCATCGAGCTTGAGACGCCTGTGAAATGACCGCCCCGATCTGTGTCTGCGGGTCCTGCGGATCGCCTACCCGCAGGGCTCTGACTCTCCTCTCCAACAACTCTGCGAATCGATCATAGATGTCCTTGTGCACAAGGAGCCGACTTCCCGTCACACACGTCTGGCCACTTGCGATGAAACTGGCAAACAGCGCAGCTCTGACGGCGTGCTCGACGTCTACACTTGGGAGAAGACATACCGGGGCTTTCCCACCAAGCTCGGCCGTGATGGGGATCATGTTCTCGCCGGCCTTCGACGCAATGGCCCTGTACGTGGCGATCCCGCCGGTCAAGTCAATCTTGGCCACCAACGGGTTCTCGCACAAGAACCTGCCCGTGTCGCGGCCGTAGCCACACACGATCTGCAACGTCCCATCTGGTAGTCCGGCCTCCTGGAACAAGGCGCCCAGTCTCAGGACCGACAGCGGTGCAAGCTCGGAGGGTTTCACCACCACCACATTCCCCGCCGCGAGCGCGGCAGCAATCTTCTTGGTGGCTATCAGGAGAGGATGATTCCAGGGCGTGATCTGCACCACCACGCCCAGTGGCAGGCGTGTCAGGGTATTGATGACCGGTCCCTTGAAGGGTGTGACCCGTCCCTCGTGGACACGAGCCAGCGACGCAAAATATTCCAGCCACTCCGGTATACGCGCCAACTGGGCACGCATCTCACGGATAGGCCGGCCTGTCTGGCGTGTCTCCAGCTCCACGAACTCTGGGATCCGTGACCGCAGCAGCACTGCGGCCTTGGACAAAACAGAGAACCTTTCCGACGCGTCTGCACGGGACCATTTGCCTTGGCGGAACGAGCGCAAAGAGTCGTTGATGATTGCGTCGACAACCTCTCGTGATGTGGCGTCTACCGTGCCTATCGTTGACTCGGTGGCGGGGTTGATGACGTGTATTCGGTCGGTGGAGGGAATAGCATGGACGCCATCCACCCAATTCGACGTATGAAGGAGGCCCGGCATGTTGTCGGATGGGAGTTGACTACTTAGTACTAACATCAAAGAGTACCATGTTCTACTAGTTTGCGACTTTGCAGAATCAGTTCGATATCTAACGCCAAGACGGGTAAGCGATCACCCGTATCTCCGTATCCAACTTGTCGACAACTCCCAAGTCTCGATCGAGGTATTGAACTCTGAACAAAGCAGTCGTGTATACTACTAGTAGTATTACGAAACCTCAATCGTCAGGCCATCCACCTTCTTCAGTCTCTCGACGAAAGAATCCCCAAGACAACCCGGGACGAGGAAGCCGAAGCCTGGCTTCCCTGGACCAGTGCTGGACCCAAAATCCATCCCCCATAGATCCAACAACACGGCCGACGCCTCCACAGCCAGGACTGCGGAATGATGATGCATATTACCATCGTAATGCCAATCCGCCCTCACGAATGCTTTGTCGTTGAAGTCCTTGGCGTTCTTGTCGCCTCGTGCCGCTATGTGGAGGTCTAACGACTCGTCCTGTCTCCGACTCAGGCGTCACCGGCTCCAGCTTCGTCAACGAAGGCAAGACGTTTGTGGCCTAGTATGACGATACCTAACTTGTTGGCCAGGTATACCCCAATTGCTGCGGTTTTTGAGCTGACAGGCGCGTATTCGTGATAGACCAAGTCCGGGTGGAAGATTGACGGTTCCAGGTAGCGGCCACGATAAACGACAGCTTCATTCCCCGACGAAGGATAGGACAATGCGAGATATCCCAGCTCCGGGTCCCATGCAGCGCAAAACCATGGTTTCTGCCTGTGCCAGAGGCTTGGGCAACAGCCGGAACGGCTTGGGAGACGAGTAATGGCCAGTCCCATACCGCTCGCTGACAGCGTGCATGGTGCTCAAGGACCCTTGGCTCATGGCCATATTCTTCATGTAAAACGAGCATATTATCTCTCTGGCTGGTGTTTCGTACCTGGTCTGGAATTCCTTCGCCACGAGGTGCGCCAGGATCGAAGACGGTTCGCTGGAGTTGCCAATGCCGGGGATGATGCGCGCTCGATTGGTTTCTGCGATGTCCTGGTATTTCTCAATCATCTCTTCGGTCTCTGGCGACCAGTCGAAGTAGCCGGTGCCATTCTCTGCGCACGCCTTGACCACCGGTTCACCATAGGTCGAGTACGGACCGACGCCGTTGACGAGGACTTTTGTACTTTTGGTCAGACTGTCCAGATCGGGTTCCGAGAGAGAACATTGCTGCACATCTAGGAATCACTTTAGTTAGTATTCGGCCTCAAAAATAGTAGTACCAGTCAAAGAATGGGTGAGATGTGGTTAGTACTAACCTGGTATTACTTCACAGTCAGGATTTTCCTCTTTGAGACTGTCTCGTAGAGCCTCAATCTTGGCGGCATTTCTCCCCGCGAGCGCCCACCGGATACCAGGAATGGGGTGCTTAGCGAGGTACTGAGCAAACAACCTGGCGGTGTAGCCCGTGGCCCCAAACACCACGATGTGGTATTTCCGCTGCGTTGGAGGTGTCATTGCGAGGAGTATCCGTCGAGTCATAAGACTGCTGTAGGTGCAGGCTTTCAAAGATATTCTGCAGGCGCAAGCAAGGTATTGCACCAGGAGGTACTATAAGGGCGGGGAACCCGATTCGGAAATACTAAGTACCGGGGGGAGGAGCCGGGGTTATGGTGGGATGGTTTCTCGTGGGTCCCGCGGCTGTGGTATTCAGACCCTCGGCTCGGTTGCAGTCATACCAAGTATATACATACTAACAGAGGTACTAGTACTAAGTAAATACTACTAGTAGTAGTACTTGAATTGTTGTTGGTGAGACATCCTGGACCCTCGGTGCGGGTTGAGTACCAAGTACTACGTATAGGTACTTACCTAAGTATTATAGAGACAAGTTCAAGTTCTCGGTAAAGCTCTTTCTGAGCTGTGTGTAGTCAGACTGGTAGATTGATGCGTGTCCTTGGGAGATAGTGTTAGTACTACTGGTAAGTATCGCAGTTAAGATAGATGAGTTCTATGCTCCTGCTCTGATGCTCCTCTGATCTAACTTTGATGTGCACTTTTGATACTGCGTCTGATGTATATTAGATGCACATTGACGAAGGCATTAATGCATCTGAAGCGCATCCAATGTGCATCAGACACAGTATCAGAGCAGTATCAGGCAACTAACTATAGTAGTAGTGGTAGGCGTACGTGAGGGCAAAATACACAACTAAATGAGATTGCCACTTTAGATTTACTCTGCCTACTTGGTACCACTACTAGTAGTATTCACTGTTAGACAAAGTCAACCTGCTTCAACAGGAAAACAAGCGTTTGTGTGCGGACGGCAGCATCTCGTCTGGGATTGCAGTTGAGAGAAAGAGCGAGAGTGAATAAAGTGATCAAGTACTACTAGTACCATACAGGAGAATTAGGACTACTATCTTGACTACGCATTGATACTACTTAGAACTTTGATACTGCTTTGAACGGAGCCTGAAGTTTGCTCGTCAGTATTGTGAAGCCATCCACCCAGCCACGGACTCAGTCGTGCACTTGAACATGTCGGCGGGTGGTTGGTATGTGGAATCAGACATGATCCATGAAACCCGAGGAGATTCCCAAACACAAGTTGTCAATCATTGATACTGCTTTGATACTGCTCAGACGCACACCGGATGTACATTATCGAACCATATATACTATCTTAGAGCTCCCTCACAGCAAACTTGGATTCCCAGGACCTCAGAAAGCAAGTACTACTAGTTTACTATTAAGTACTACGGACTTCACAGAGTGCAGCATGTCTCCGGAGATGATACACAGGTAGATGGTTCACAGTTCTTAGTAGTAGTCTTGGAACCAGTATTTTAATTCAATGAAACAACAAACAGAACCTTTCACACAGAATGGGTAGTGGTGGGCAGGAAGCACGTTGGGGATTAGATTCGCGCAACATGAAACGCGACACGAAAATATACTAATTGGGTTTAGCTGCCTTTGGATCGATTCCGGCCAATTTAGGAAATCAATGTCACCCATATCGGAACATGTTTTTATCACTACAACTCATGAGTCCGCATTGATAATATAATCATAATATCTTCCATGCTTCATTAGTAGTAGTAGATGTTTGACAACCACATCCGAATGTCCTTCCAACAAGTAGTGCTGAATACTAGTACTATTGTCCACTCACACTAATAAACACAACCTGCACTGCTGCAAACCTTTTAACTGTTAGAAGAGAGGCACCCAAGTGGCCCAATGTAGTAGTAGTATGGATGCTTTCGTCGACTCACGCAGAAGTTGCTGAAAACACCTCAATCAATTTCCCATCATTCAAAAACCACAGACACGTTGAAAAAAGCGCACTGAAGATGGCAACTAGTCCCAGACGGATGCCCATTCCTTCTATCAGGTAAAGCACGATGATGGCAACAACAGGCAAGAGCGAGGCAAGCACTGTCCCCAAGAGATTCGCTGCTTGGGTGATGGCTGTGTCGGAATATTCTGCAAAATTGGTGCCAAACTCGGAGGTGCCGCCACGAATTCTCCTCTGGGAGGCGGCGACTGTCAGTGGCACAGAAAATCAAAGGAGCGATAGACAGTCTACAAACAACACTTACAAGATGTCGTCCTATTCTGTGTAGCGTTGGGACCAGGGACTCTGCAATCCAACTCCTTAATCGATTCGAGCGTGGCCTGTCTGCGATGGCGACGAGGTCCGTCCCCTGAGACCACACCTCTCGGTCCCGACCCGTGAGATAGATGGCTCCTAAACTTGGCCTTCGGAGCCATTCTTGCAACCCTGCCAAGTCATTGGTGCTGGGTTTCGGCATTTCTGACATCTGGTGGTACTGTATCACTGCTTCATCTTGTCATCACTATCGTCAGTCTTTGATACGCAACAATCACCGCATGAAGAGCTAGATGCATGAAATGGGATGGATACTGTATTCCTTCAACAGTGGTCGCAACTGCAGGAATTTCTGCCATTGTTGATTCACCCTGCCGTTTTCGTCTTGAGTGCTGGCCAACGTGAACCAGTCCAGAGCAAAATCCTTCAAATCATCCGATGAGGCGTTTTGGGTCTGGGCCTCGATCTTCCGCAGGTCTTCTCGCAGCCCGTATATCTCGGCCTGGAGGTAGAGGATGTTTTGCAGATTCAAATCACTGAAACGCAAAACCTGGGCGGATTCGGGATGCAAACCCATGAAGCTGGCTATTTTGGTATAGCCCTCCATCTCTCTATCAAGTACTTACTACTAGCAGTACTAGTATGGCGAACACAGAACTTGTCTCTCTTTTATCGTGTCGTCTGGCTGTTGGGATCAACTCCCTGTTCGGACTAGCCGCTGCCTTTTGACTGCCTCACTGGCCAAGCTATGGCAGACTCGAGTGGGGCTGTGTAACACATACAGCCTTACAGGAACTCTTTTTCAACTTCGCTTTCAGCTGAGACTACTACCACTTACTACGACACAGCCTTTTTGCGAGCGGTAGTACCGGAGCCTGCTGGATTCCAATACAGCATTACTTACTACCTTGTCGGCGCTGCGTACCTCCATCTACTACTACAACTACTAGACCAAGCGCTCTCCAGCATTCCATGGAGGCCATGGAATCGGGTCTAGATCCCCTTCAACATCCATATGTCGCCCCTCTGACGATTCCGGAACCTGATTTCATAAATAAACCATATGCATTCCTCAAGACCTTTGACACCATTTTCTTAATTGACGATAGCGACGGACAACCTTGGTATCAAACTCAAGCAACCCCTGCTACCGACAACTGTCACGGGCTCTACCTGTGCTACAATTTACGAAGCGAGTGTCAGCGTCACCATCGAAGAGGTCGGGGCAAACGCAGAAATGAAGCATTCTGGACGGATTTCAATTCAAGGCCCGATGCGGTGGGCATCCCAGTGGGAAAGACATGAATTTTCGGCTAACAATAACAACTAGGATATCTTCGATGGACGCGAATGTCTTTTTGAAGACGAGAAGGGCAGCCTCAAGACACCGGCGCTCGCAAATCTCGACACTGGACTCAAGGTGCCCGGTGGTTTGATCATGTCGTCCCAATACGCCAAGGAGATCGGACGTTATCAGGACATTTCGGAGGATTTCGTCGACCCATGTCTGCGGAGCATCTCAGGCCACCTCACCCCAGTGACCGGGGTGCTCCGAGACGTAGTTTTCCGGGTCAAAGGATCGTCCGTCACATTCAAGCGCAACTTCTTCGTGTGCGATGCCATCGACGGTCTGGTCGACATCATGTTCGGCGCCCACTTCATCATCGACCAGTTCACGATGTTGTTCGGACGAGTGAAGGAATGTCTCGGCACGTTTGCAACATGGTTTTCGACCCGGAAGGAGACCAATGGGGAAAGAGAGGAGAGAGAGCGCCGTGAGCGCGATCAAAAAATCAGGGCGAACGAGAGGGAGATCGCGCGTTTGCGTAAGGAGCAGCAGATGCTGGAGGCTGCGAACAGGCAGAGTCAAGGAGGTGGTGCTGGCCATGGCCAGTGAGTATGGTCCTGATGGAGAAGGAGCTGAGGTAGCAGCCTCTTTGTGCTCGAAAGAACCCCTGTGAGTGGTTGTGAGGAAGGAGTGATGGGAGATGCGGGAGATCATCTTTTGCCAAAGCCTTTCCCTTTGGCACAGGCGTAAAGATTGGATCCTCAGCCTCTGCGTTGCTTCCTCTCAACCGCGCCATGGACTTTTGAGACCAGAAAAACGACTGCTTCACTCCGCACTCCTATGTAACGTCTGACGATAGTGAGAAACCTAACACCTGGGGATACTAGTATTTTTGACTTTAAAGTTTCAGAGACCTGGAGGAAGCCCGCACGACAAAATGCTTCATTTGGTATTCCCATTTCCTAAGTAGGAGTACTGTTTCCCCATCCAATATATCCGATGTTGAGGGAGTTCCAGCGATAAACTCCCCTGCCTGCCCTAGCTGGACATTGTCCCTGGTACTGACGGATCAAGACGACACCCACAAGATCTGCTTACGGTCAATGTTTTGGCGCTTGCAAAACTGATCAAAGGCAAGCGTGTCAAAAGTGGCGCTGTGCCTTTTCCGAAGACCGTAGACAAGTCCCAGTACCAGGCAGCCGGACGCCCAGATGGAAAACAGAACAAGAACGAGCAATGGAGGAACACCTCCGCCGTCGACAAGGATGGGCCGCTTCACCGTTGGATTCAGCGTGGGGTTGGGCCATTCGTCCACCGTGTTTTCCTGGCCGTAGAACATGAGCGCCAGCGCATAGTGCTTGTATGCCTCCTCGACCGCACGCTGGAGATCGGCACGCTGCATCAGTCTCGTGTAAGTGACAAAACCTGTGAGGTTCAATTCAACAGGCATGTCCGCTGCCGTAAACAATGGCTCTAACCACTCTATATCGGTCCCCATCAGTGTGTACTCCTGGCCCCCAGGGTAGTATTCCACGGGCAGTGGTGTTGTGAAAGAGGAAAAATTGTATATGTCAAATGAAGCATTGCTTCTGATGCCCGGGAGAAGCATGGCTGGCATGCCAATGCCCAGTCGAGGGATGTCGACCAGGTAAGAAGCCTCCGAGTCGGCACGACTAAAGTCGCCGAATGTGCCAGTGAGGCCATTGATGTTGGCACGGCCGGCCACCGAGGCGGACTTGCACTGGATGCCGATGGCGAGCAAGTCCTTCCCTTGAAAACTGTGTTCTTTTTCAAGTCCTCGTATGGGATGTTCAATCACATTGGAGATTTTGTTGTCATATGCCCCCTGCCACAGAAGGATCTCCAAAAAGTCCACCTCCTCCAATCCATTGTAACTCGGCTGCGGCTTCCCATCCTGGTCCGGAAATGGGTACGGGCTGTATCCGACGCCTGCAACGGGATCGAGGTCTTGGAGGACTTCGATGCCTCGGATGAGGCCAATCTCTGCAAAGCCCAGTGCATTCAAACTTGTGCCCATTCCGCCGTACGTCGGTAATTGGCTCAACACGTTGATCGAAGGGCTGTCGGCCCAGGGGCCAAATAGTACGTCCAGGTCATAGTAGAAATTAGCATTCCCCAGCGCGTTGGCGTAGTACAACCCGGCCGTGTCATTGCCGAAATTCATAAACTCGTAATCAGCAGGCACGGCGGTGTAGTTGGTCACATAGCGTGGACTGGTCGAGTTGATCCGATACTTCAAGATGGTGAACTCGTCCATGTGGTAGACAGGGGTGCAACTATACTTGAGTAGCAGACCCCAGGCCGAGCCCACAACAGGCATTGCAGCTTGCGGGGCGAGGAAGATTCCCTGGCTGGCGTCTTCAGGGAGCGTATTGGGTGTGGATGAATTGGTCACGAGTGTGCTTCCCGACTCGGTGTAGAGGGATCCCCAGCTCGGGATCTGCACTGGAGTCCCGTACCGCCAACCTTGATACGCCGCATCCAATACCATTGGTGGGCTCCGAGTGTTCATGGTTGTTTCATTGACTCCGAGAACTCGGGCATTTGCACTTTGGCCTCGAACAAACCCCGTAGTCAGGTTCATGGCCAAACCGGACAACACAAACGTCCAGGACAGAACACTGAGACTGAACAATATCACCCACACCCTACTTGGCATCGGCTTCTTGCTCTTTGCTGGACTTGCTGGGCCCCTTCGAAGCCACTTGCAGTTTGCAAGTGCATCCCAGAGGCACCTTCCAACGATCTTCCAAGCACTAATCGTACTCCATGACTTGTCGAGATGGTACATCAACTTGTCTTTTTTTCCATTGGCTCTCGTAAAGTATGCATCCAACAAGGCTGGTTCCAGCCCAGCAAGGCAGTAGTTGGAGATGTTCAGCCCAAAGGTACCAATGACGAACCAAGACCACCAAACAAATTTGCCATTGGGAACGACTCGGCTTGTACCAAGCGCGACGTTGCTTCCGGGTCGTAGCCACGTCAGATACGTCCATATGAAGTATGCTAGAATTGTAGGGGGTACAACGATGCATATAAGAGTGCGGGTTTTAAAGATTCGCTCGTCGCTGTGCTGACTGCTTGCCCTTTGAGCAGCTTTCGGGTCATTTGCTGTCACAGACCCCCTCCATCATCGTTAGCGAAATCGTTGTTGATACTCATCTACCTTGATGTCGTACCTTTGGGTGTTGCTATTTGGTAGCAAGGCTTTGCTCTCCGCTTTGTTCTCCGGCATTGAGGCTGGTGCCATTCTGTCACTTAGTAGCTCGATGGGTAAATGTGGAATGTCATGGAGAACAGGAATCAAGGATGCAGTTTCATTGATCGAGGATGACAACAACACGAGCAATTGCTTTTACAAGTTTATTCCACCTTGGTCAAACGACCAAGACATCAGGCTGTGAAAACTCGAGGCTGTTAGGCCATTATTGCCGACTCAGCCTCATGGTCGGGTTGAACAGAAACAGACTACTGTCAAGGTCTGCCATCCTTTCGCTTCACCCGACAACGATGCCCAACTCCGTTAACCCCAAAAGGTCTAGAAGTCACTGTAGGTGTGGGCTCCAGCAAGGGGGATTGGCCGGTAAATGAGGGGCCGACCTTAGTGGGAGTCCATATTTACGTGAACTTCGTATTTCTTCGAGGAGAGTCAGCCTCAGAAACACTCGAACTACAAAAGTCCCAAAAACACATGTGCATCTTCTATTGGGCATTCCTGCCCCAATCTCTCAAGTTTCGCCAGCCAGAGCGAACAGATGGTGGACTTGTCGTCTGTGAGGCTCTGGCCCAGTCATATATAGAGAGAAAAAGATAGAGAAGCACATTCCTCTGGGTTTCTGATCCTGAAAGTTTTCAAGAGACAATTTAAGCCCTGTCACTCCATATTTACCGATTTCGCGGCCAGCTTTCTCTCTCTGGTGCCTTCCTATGGTCCAAATGCATTCTACTTTCGCCATGCTTCTTTTTCTCCTCACCTTCAGCATTGGCACTCGTATGCGACACCTCTAGTCCATCGCTCCGTTGACCCCAACTACGAAAAGCTAACTCTTGGATTAGATGGACAGAACAGTGTCGAAACAACCCCAGCGCCTACCACTTTATCCACCGCTCTCCCGACGGACTCTGCCGGCCTGTCCAGCTACTTTGCTTCCTTTGTGAGCTCCTTTTCGTCCGAGGTTAGCGCCTACGAAAGCGCTTCTGCCACCTCAACCACTGATCCCAACGGTCAAGCTTGCAACAGCCTGCTTGATGTGCTATTGACCGTTTGCCCGACCAGAGAAATCGCTACAGCACCAGACAGCTATGATTCCATTTGCTACTGCAGCCTTTCTTCTGCCCTGAATAGCCCCCTGTACAAAGGATGGCTGTCTAGCTGTGACGCCTACGGACAGACTGCCTCTACTGAGAATTATACCGGGACTTACAACACGCGGCTTTCTGCCTCTAGCCCCAGAACCTATGATTGTGACGCAAAAGGTGCTGGAGCTACTGCCGTAAATACCGCGGCTGTAGCTTCGGCTTCTGCGGCTACAGGGGCTGGAGTTGCAAACTCTCTTACTGTTGGAGGTATAAAGGTATGCTGTTGCTTTCACGGTCTTGCTACAGCCAACTAACATAACACATCTAGGCCAGCATTGGAGCCGTCATAGTCGCTTTGGTCAATCTTGTACCACTCACCTGAGAGGCGTCTTGCAGAAAGATAGCTTTTGGTCAAACTCGTCTCCAGGAGCACGAGTTGTGACAGGACGGCGCACAGGCGAGGAGAAAGCTCCAAAATATTACCAGTGTACAAGAAGACGAGCCTAGGGAGAGAAAAGAAGAGAGCGAGAGGTCGCGATGGTGTAATGTGTTGGCAAAGGTGTTGTTGAGGCAAGCCCTGGGGCCAGCCTTGTCGCTGTTAGCGTCCCCATTGGCATTACAACAGAGTTCCTGCAATTATGACTAGATAGGCTAGCCGCCCCCACAGCTGCCTGTGAACCTGGAGTGGAAGAAGTTCCCGTTCCTTGACAATAGGGCAGCACCAGCTGCTCTCCTAATGCGGGACGATGGATGCCTAGCCTTGTTTGGAACATCAACATCATCTGCTCTTGTCGACCATCCCGTTCACCACTTTCCATCGCCTCACCACCCCAAAGGGCTCAAGATGACTTCGCCGCAATAGTGTACCCCTCTCCTCTATTCCTGCCGCAGGCTGTTTAGTCTATATTTTCCGCCATGGAGCCGCACTGCGAGGAAATCGCCCGAGTCAGCTACACCAACTTCACCCTCTCTCTGTTCGTCCTGTCCCTCCCTGTCCCTCCCTGTCCCGTCTCATCCCCATCTCGCACTCCGACTCTAACATTGCGCCCTCCATAGGTTCATCCTTATCGGCATCCTGATATCCTACCTACCGCAACATATTCGCATCATCCGCCTGCGCTCCTCCTTCGGACTGTCTCCGTACTTCGTCCTGCTGGGCACCACCAGCGGCACCTGCGCATTTGCGAACATCCTTGTCCTCCCGAGATCGCGAGCCGACGTCGCTTGCTGCCGTGAAGTGGATGGATTTGCTTGTCTGGCTGGATTACTGGGGATCGCACAGGTGGGCGTGCAGTGGTCCTGTTTCGGAGTGATGTGAGTACAACCTCTGCCGTCTCCCCCCAAACTTGTGGTACAAAGCCATCCTCGGGTATCAGAGCGAGACGCTGACACGAAGAATCTATAGCCTACTGTTGTTCCTGATATTCTTTCCGCGGAACCAACTCCCTCCTACACCTCTCGACGAGGACGTGGCAAGCAGCTTCGAGCCCAACCCTCCCGCCTACTCCACCACCCCGGATGTTGCTCCGCCGTCCCCCGTGAAGAAAACCGCACCCCTTGCTCCATCATACCGCACCGCTCTTGTCGTTGTGGCAGTCTGTATCTTGCATGCCGTGGTGACGGCGATCCTGTCGTTTTATTTCATCTACGCCGCGCCCCTCCACGCACAATCATGGGCCAACTTCCTTGGTATATCGTCCGCCGTGCTCGCGAGCATTCAGTACTTTCCACAAATATATACCACATACAACCTCAAGAGAGTGGGGAGTCTGAGTATACCGATGATGTGCATTCAGACACCCGGCAGCTTTGTCTGGGCTGGTAGTCTTGCGGCAAGGCTGGGACCAGAAGGATGGTCGGCTTGGGGCGTCTACTTGGTGACCGGGTGTTTGCAAGGCACATTGCTGGTCATGGGCAGCTATTTCGAGATTATCCGGAGGAGGAAGGAGAAGGAAGAGCTAAAGAGGCGGATGCAGTACAATTCTAGTGTCGAGCCTGAGCCTGATGAAACAACGGGACAGGAAGCATCGGAAGAGACGCCATTGCTTAGGTCAGGTTGAATTTTGGAATGCGATCAATATATACCCTTCCTGCCTTTTACACGCTTGATATGCTCGATCCTTGCTCTTTGTCTTATACGCTTCGCCTGAGTTTTAACACCAACTGTCATCATAAACTTGTCCTGGGAATCTGTGGAGGCGATGGTTCTTCCGGAGCGTGTCGTTTACCGTCTGCCAACGCCGTCATTTCTTCCAATTCCTTGTCCGTCATGCCGCCGTCGGCAGTGTGCTGACTGTGTTCTGAGGCGTCTCTCTCATCGCCAACTTCAATGCCGTATTTCGAGTAATCAAACTCCTCCAGCGAGGACAGCGTCTCTGCCCACCCGTCCATGAGTTCGCCAGGGTACCCGGGACTGCCCATGAGGGGAACGCCCTCGGTGTGGTCTAGATCGTCTTCTTTATGCTCACCGGTTTGTCCCGCAAGGACTTCCTCTTCTCTCCCACTGTACACGTCGAGTAGTCCCGGGTGTGGGACCCATACGACTCGCATACCTGCCCTCCTGCCGGCCTCTACCCCCGGCACACTGTCCTCAAAGACAAGGCACTCGTCTGGGGTGATTGGTCGTTCTCCTTCACCTTCTATGGCCAACGTCTCGTTGATGGTCTGCAATGCTAACAGGTAAATGTCTGGCAACGGCTTTCCTCTCCCCTTTGGTATCCGGGGGTCGTCGCCCAAGATAACATGTCGGGGAGGGAAGAGACTAAACATGTCTTTCATCCCGTTCGTTTTGAGTTCAAAGTTTTTGGAATGTGAGCTCGTCGCCAATGCGATGTGAACCTTCTTCTTGTTCGCCGGGTCCGGGGAGACGGACGCCCCGTCGCTCTTTGCGTGCGCTCTTTGAAGTTTCCTAAGCAGCTTCTCCACACCCGCAAGCGGCCTGCAATTCACAAACGCCTCGGCTTGTAGCTCTGTCTGCCTCCGCATGAATTCCTCCCTCGAGATGGGGAGCTGGGCCCACTCGTGGAAGATCTTCCCGGCGGCGGGAGCGGGTCGACCTTGGAGCTGTGCCTTGATGTTCCACGGCAGGTCGGGACGGCCGTTTTCCCTCAGGATCGTGTTGGTAACAACGGTGTAGGCGTCTTCGGAGTCGATGAGGAGGCCGTCCATGTCGAATATGCAGGCACGGACGGGTTGGAAGCTGGTAAGCGGTTAGCATTCTCATACAGGGAACCGCGCGCAGGCGGCACGGTATGCGAGGGCTGCGAGGTACGTACCCCCGGGGCTGCATTGAGGTTTTATTCTCCGGCGCCATGTTTGAAGGATGCTGATATTTTAGAGGGGGAGACAACCGCGAATCAGACACAATCTGTAATTCAATGGCAGGGACTGGAGGGGATGGGCGAGAGTTGCATCGAGGATCTCGCAAGCTTTTGTACCTGCAGTGTCGAGTGTCGATACCACCCCCTGCATGTAACCACGTTCCTCCTACGGATCTTGGATTTTGCCCGTCTATCTCGATCAAGGTTGAGTTTGGTGGGGGTTCAGCAGCCGAACACGAGCGTGTAACGTCATCTGTGGGTCGCGCGGACAGCCTCGTCGACCACCACTTTCAGCCTTGTCTTTTTTTCCCTTTCATTGTCCAGTACTTTACGGTAGGGAGATCATCCTTTCGCACAGTTCGAGGTAAATTTGTACAGTGGCGGAAAGCAGATATGTCATTCAAAGCAGACGGACCCAAGACTCGTCCTGAGCGAGTAAAACCGCCGCCATCTTCTCCTCCGACAGAAGCGCATCCCAATCCGCCATCATGGTCCCGCCGCTCCTCGACCTCGTCGACCACCTCGTTCCACTCCGCCCACTCAGTACAGCAGGACCGCTTCTCCCCAGCAGAGGAGTCTCGCATGGTATCGCTCTCCAACGACCTGAAATCACAGGCAAACACTTTCTTCTCGCGTCAAGATTACGAGTCCGCAATCCAGACCTATGACCGCGCGCTGGCAGAACTGCCGCGGTATCTGGACTACGAGATGGCAGTGCTACAAAGCAACATCGCAGCTTGCCACTTGAAGCTTGAACAATGGAAAGATGCGGTTGAGAGCTGTGAAAGGGGTTTGGACGGCTTGGAACGAGAACTGCCGACGAAGAGAAAAGAGAAGACGAAGAAAGGCACAAAGAAGAGCACTGCTGGCGCGAAGGGATCGTCGTCGGGGAGACACACCAATGGCAAGAGTCGAGCCGGGCGGTTAAACTCAGACACTGAGTCGGAAGACGAAGGAGCGCCGCCATCGCGGTCTACAAACCAGGGGAAGACCGGGGAACAAGACGACACGGTCGTCGAACTGCCTTCGGACGAGGAGGACGAATCTGCCGCGCTGAAAAATCTCCAGCTCTCAGACTCGAGGAAAGCAGACATCACGCGGATCCGGGTCAAGCTTCTGCTGCGCCGCGCCCGCGCGAGGTCAAACCTGTCCATGTTGCCGTCCTCAAAAACTTCAGCCCTCTCAGACCAACCCACCCCACCTTCAAAAGCCTCCTCCACACCCGGCTCGACCTGGTCCAACCTCGGCGCCGCGTTGGAAGACTACAAGACCCTCTCCTCCACGCCGCAGTACTGGGAGACCCTGCCTGCGTCGGACAAGAAGACCGTCCGTGACGCACTGGTGCTCCTCCCGCCCCGGATCGAAGAGGCCAAGCAGAAAGAAGTCAGCGAGATGATGGGCAAACTCAAGGATCTGGGCAACGGCATCCTCAAGCCGTTTGGGCTGAGCACGGACAATTTCAAGGTCGTTCAGGGCGAGGGCGGCGGGTATAGTCTGAGCTTTGACGGTGGAGGGGGGAAGAAGGCCTGAACGATCGACGCATGAAAAAGGCAGATGGATGCAGAACCTTAACGAAGATTTATACTGATGCTGTACGCACTCTTGCATTGACGGACAGGTGTTACTTACGAAGATAATCTGACGAAAAGCGAATCATTTACTGGCACTACTGGATACTACGGTAGTACTACAGTATTACTACCACTATTAATGCACCTCTCCTCGATCTCAATCACGGATCTCAAACACACGCAACAACAGATACAAGATTGTCGAATGATCAAAGAAAACGACACTTTCTGCAGTTTGTTCAAATCCGAATCCAATTTTCCAGGTCCAATCGAGTTATCGCTCGCTCAGACCATAATGATTACATGTGTGTATGTATCTATGTACGTCCGTTGTCGTCTGCATCAATACCCAACCAAGCCTTGTCGTTCCGAGGTTGGACTCTGTCTGAAGAGAAAGAGGGGAAAAAAAGGACATTGGTGCAAATACACACACAAACACAATGTGGGTTCTGTAGCCATTCCCCATTGCCCATCCCTCCAGGTCCTGGGGCCCCTTTGTCTATGACTCCTTGTGTACAAATCCCTACAAAGGGAGAGAGCAAGAGAACAAAGAATTCTTGGTCGGCGCAACAATAAAAAGACCCTTTGAGCCATTGTTGGGTGTTTGTTGCTGGTGTATTATCAGGGAGGCTGTGACGTGCGTGTGTGTGTGCTGTGATCCCATCCCGTCCATACCACCGCTGACATGACATGGCATGTTCTGTACTGTGCAATTGAAAGCTCGGGCGGAGAGGAGTGTTGTCGAAATCGAGAAAGAGAGAGAGAAAAGAGGCGGAAGATGTGTCGTCGGATTCTTGTGGCTAGACTGATATTGAGTCACATGGGCCACGGCTGATTGCGAAAGGAGGTTGATGGGATGACGGGGTCAGTCGCCGCCGTAGTCTCCGTCCTCTTCGTGCTCTGATTCGGTCGATTCACCGTGTCCATTTGTGTGCTCTGCCTCTTCCCGCGCAAGAATGTCCGCCATGTTGACGTGTCCTTGAGGTCTCTCTGTCATGATCCCGCTGTCCTCGCCAAAGGTGGTGGCAGCGTCAGTCAAGCCGCCCAGCCCGGAGTCGTAGCTGTGTGTCCATTGTGGATTGTCACCGGTCGAGATCGCGAAAGGATCGGGAGAGATGGTCGATGCCCCAGAGCTGTAATCAGAGTGGATCCCGAAGCTGTCCTGCACGGGCTGACTTAGCCAGCCATGCGGTGAGGCTTGGTCGCTGGGAGTCACTGACTCGGTATGGTTAGTTGAAGCACTGGACGTGGGTCGAGAGCTGGGTGTGGTGTGAAGTGGCTGAAACCGAGCGTCAGAAGTTGTCGCATAACCTTGTGCGAACATCGGGGGGTACTGTTGCATGACGCTCCGTGGCACTGGTGACGGTGTCTGCATTGTCTGGCCATAGGCCTGCGAGTATTGTGGACGGAGGACATTGCCAAACATCCCTGAAGGAATGGCACGACGATATGGACCGTTGTCAAAGATGTCGTGGGGATGTGGAAGCGGGCTTGGTTGAAGACTCTGTGAGTTGCGAGGTCGAAACATGGCTGGTGGTGCCATAGACATGTTTGCAGGTGCAGACGCTGGATGGAAGACAGGGAGTGGCAGACGTGTTGGTGTGGTTATTGGCTGCTGGGTCGTCCTAGCAGGAACAGCAGCAGAGGTTTGTCGACTGCGTCGAGAACCCTGCTTGACAGGCGGAGGCGAGAAGTCGTCATCTGCTTCCTCATCGTCGCTCTCTTCAGTCTTGACACGTTTGACCTGTCTCTTGTCCTCGGCTTCTGCTTCCTTGCCTCTCTTCATGACTCGAGCCTTCAGGCCGTTGAGTTTTCTATTCGCCTCGACACGCTCAGCATTGGTCCTTGGGTCGTCGACGACTTTCAACATGTACTTGACATCGAAGAGGTGTTTGCAGATGGTCTTTGACGTTGCCATGGTCTCCACAATGCTGTTAAATCGTTCTTCAAAGGTCCAATCACTGGTTCGCTTGTACTTGAACTTGCCCGGCTCCCATGCGTCGACAAGGTTCGCATCTTTCCTTGAGCGCTCGATGCATGCCTCTAGAATCTCCCAGCAAATACATTCGACAAGGTAGTTATCATGAATCTGATTTCGGAATGGTCTCTTGATTGCATCTTGGCAACTGCAATCTTCAGGAACACACTTGAATGCCTTGAAGAGAACTTTGACATGGGCACGAAGCTGTTCTTGGGTGCTGGGTATGGTCGTGTCTCTACCTCGCTTGTTGGGAAGTAGAGCCTGGCGAAAGATGCGTGCTTGCAGTGCGGTCTCGAAGATCGTATCCAGGCCATCTGCATCCTCCACGACCATCAGGTCCGCAGACTTTGCCAAATCGGCAAGGTCGAGGTTCAAAAATTCAGAGACCCCTCGGTGTGGAGGGGCAATCTGCTGGGCCACTTGAAGAATGTTTTGAACAGCAGTTTCGCTGTTGAGTCTTTCTTGAATCTCGGGACAAGTCTTAGGGTCGTGGTGACCCTGTTCCTGGGGGGAGCTCATGGCTGATGGAGTCGAGTTGAGTTATCAGGTAAAGAAGGGTGATTGTGTCGCAAGCAAAAGCCTTGAAGATGGTTAGTTACAAAAGCAAGATTGAAGACGTGCAGGAATCAGATATTTAAAACCCACACATCAATGTGCCAAGGCACGTATTTTTATATACAATGGGAAGGCAGGGCAGAATAGTGCCTCAAGTGACGGTGCGGCAGTAACTCGTCGACTGCGTCACTCACTGCCCTGACATGTGGAAGCTGTTGTAGTCACTGCGCATGCCTTGTTACTCGGGTATTGTCACTCACTGACAAAGAAATCGTCGCTTAAGAAGTGAAGTGAATATGTCGCTGATGCCATCCGAAGTTCTGCCATGTCTGAAATTCAAACGCAGCAGCATCGTGACAGAGCGATGGCAGACGGTGCCGTGTCAAGCCTCTGGCATATTGTCGGCACGGCTCGCTCAGTTTCAGAGACATGTGATAACCCCGACTCTTTCCTGTCACTTTGACCTGAAATGATGAGCTGGGTCCTTTGGAATATCAAAGTTGGAACGTCAACACTCCAAACCCTCTTGATCGTTTCAGAAAAGAGTTGATCGAGTCGCCTCAATTTCACCATGAGGACAGAGCGGTCAGAGCATCTCGACAGCCAGCTTCTGACGCTCAAATTGGACCGATTGAGTGAGAAATAACAACATTCGAAGTTGGCTTACCATCTGGGCTGCTTCTTGGATCTGAAGAAGTGGAGTCTTTGATTGGAAATAAAACTTGCGGGTTGGAGAATCTTGGGGTTCTCAATGTCAGAGATACCCTCAAGGCCTCGAGGCCCTATACAGGATCTCGAGACCTTGAGGGTGTCTTTGCGAAGAACTCGGAACTTGGCTTGCTAGGGTTGTGTGAAAAGAAGTCTTTGTCTTGACGGTGGACAACACAAGGGGGTGAAAGACAAAAGAAAATGACAAGGCGCAGCCGTGAAAGGTTTCATAAAGATTAACGAAGAGCGAATCAAGCGGACAACAGAGTCGCCAAGTACGACCGTTCAGGAGGCGCGGGATGAAATGCCTGCTTCACAAACGCTGAAAAATTGAAGACAAAAACGACAGTATCGTCTCAGACGGTCGCGCAGTTCGGGACAGCTTTATCAACACGTCTGCTAACGAGGACCTGAAAAGGAACGTTATGATGTCAGGTCACTGCACAGCTAGATGTGATGCATCCAACAGAGAGCCTGCCCGCGACAGCAAAGAGGGAGGTTGAATGCAGCGCTGGGCACTTCTAATGACGGGGAACGACGAAACAAAAAAGAGGGTTGGAACAGGCGAATCGCGATATACCAGGTCGTGAGTCCTGCAAAGTTCAAGAGAACCGGAACGTATTTGATGCACGACCTCATGCTGAACAGAAAAGCATACATTGTGTCTTGTGGAATGCAATGAGGGAGCGAAGAAAAGGATAACAGAACAACGAAGTCAGAGTCAAGCCAATCACCATTTCTACGCTAGTCCATGAACAGTATGGCGCCAAATGACTCACCAAGGCCTCACTCTCAATGCACTCCTCTCCAGCATCGTTTTCATGGTAAATCCGAGTATGTTTACCTGTGAAGGCTGCGATATAGGCGCTTACGACCGGGATGGCTCAGAAGTCACAGAAATGGGCAGATTGGGTGCAATGACAATATATCAAGACCAATCCATGACCATGGTTGGTAACGGCAATATCTTACAATTCCCAGATCTTCAGATTGTACCCTGGCATCACCTCTTCCGCTCGCTCTTCTTCATCTTCGATTGCGAGATATCGTTGACCGGATGAAGTGGCAAGCACACCGCCACCATGATGAACGACTGCACTCGAGACAGCGTCTTTGGCAGATGTCAGCATCTGAGTCTGAAGAAGTGGGAACAGTGATCTGCTTACCATCGTGACCTTTGAACTCGAAAGTAGGTGCAACAGGACCTGCGTTTTGTTGAGGGTCTTTCCACATTCTAAAGAACCCGTCAAGTCCACCAGCCCAAATTTCATGGCTTCCTGAATCTTTGTCACCAGTGCTGACAAGATCAATGGCCAGGCGTTGATTGGTCATCGCCGCTCGACCCTCCAGCCATGCCAACAGCTGACCGGTTTTACGGATATCATAGAGCATGACACCATTGCTTTTCCGCTCCGCAATGTAAAGATATCTCCCGCAGGGACTCCAGAGAACCTGCGTAATTCCTCCTCCACCAATCTGCAAATCAGCGCCTGTACCTTTGACAGAGAAGACCCCAACGCAGTCACCCTGACCCAAGGAATCGTACAGCCCAACATAGCGGCTGTAAGTGCCGGCTGCTAGAAGACCAGTGGAGGGCTCAATGCCGAGCGCGGACACAATACCTCGCATATTGACGGCACCACTGTATTCGGCCGCCTTCCTCCATTTGGGGCCAGTGGATATTGAAGAAACCGGATCCTGCCCCGGTCGGGACACATCAAATATTGAGATGAGGGATTCTGAACCAGCAACGACGCGATCACCTTGACTGCTGAACATCAAGGCATGGGGACTGATGAACTCCTCAGTCATGGGATTGACTAGAGGATAAGAAGCACCCAGATGGCCAGTTAGAGCAGAGTTCAGCCGAATTGGATGATCTTTCATGGATGATAGGATCAGTGTGGTGGAGGGGTCCTGAAGGTTGAAGAATGGGTAGCCGACCACAGCCTTGACGGACTCTGCCGAGTGTATGCTGCAATACGACGACAGTATTCGTGGCTCCGTGGCTTCTTCGAGGAGGTCTACAGGACTACATGCTGGTTAATAGGTAGTAAGTATCATGGTGGCATCTACTCACACCACAAAAGTGTCAATAACATTGTCCGAACGGTTGGCGATTAGACAAGTTCCATCTGCGCTCCTGTCATTCGTCAGGAATAGAAACGTTGGATACACTGCAATTCTGCACTAACCATTGGACGCTTTTGAAGTAATCCCCGGACACTGCAAGCTGAGAGGCTCCTGTCGTATCGTCAGAGGGAGTTTGCAAAGTAGTTGCCACACATTTTGGACGAAACATATCCGCTGTCCAATACTCCTGCTGGCGTTGCGGTTATATTAGGTGGATTCATTCATGGCGGCACACCCTGTCTATGACAGAAAGTCCGGAGGATAGCAAAAATTTGAGCGTATGTGAAGATTCAAATTCATATGATAGAGCCATCAGGCGCTTGAAATGGTGATCGGAGGCTGTTGTATAGAACAAATTTGAAGGCAGAAAAGAAGAGCATGGACCAGAGACGGCCTTGATGCGCCACCGTAGAGAATATTTGTACTCACAGTGTCTACGGTAGGGTAAATTGCCCAACCCGCACTTCTCCATCGCGCATCGCGTCTTTCACCTTTCGAGGAATTTTGGCCAAAGCAAATCTCATCCTCGAAGTCACTGTTGACACGCCCAACAGTCCAACAGATATCATGTCGCTCTTCGGCGCTTCAGCATCAAAGCCTGTCCTGACCTTGGGAGCCAGTACTGCCGCGCCGGCTCCCCTGGGCTTGTAAGTACTACCATGCAATGCCTTCATGTTATTGCAAGTCCTAAGTTGTTCTGTACAGAGGCCAGTCCACAAACGCTCAACAACCAGCAAATACATCCGCAGCAGCGCCTTCCTCCCAACCGCAGATAGATATCGCTCACCTGCGATCCACCACAAAATTCGACCAGCTTACGCCTGACCTACAAAAAGAAATCGAGGCGGTTGACACCCTCATTCTCAATCAGATCAAACTCGCCTCCGAAGTAGCAGACCTCCTCCCAACCGTGGTCGCTGCGGGAGAAATGCTGCCCAACAGTGTGGACTTTGTGAGCCAAAAGCTGGACGAGGTCGAAGCTGGGCTTGGGAACGACGCGGAGGCGATTGTGGCAGCAAGGGATGGTGGTGTGAAAAAGAATGAGCTGGAAGCCAAATGCGTTTTCAGGGCCATCGACCGGTTAAAAATGCCCCGGCAATACCAACAGGTTGCGCATACGCAAAATGAGAACTTAAACGGGAGCGGTGTCTACAGTGGATCAGGCCTCAGCGGGTGGTGGAACAATCCTCAGACGTTGAGAGGGAGTGTCCGGGCAGGGCATGCTCAAGGAGATAAGATTCAACTCCCGGGTGAAGAGGCGGAGGAGATACAAGGCCCAAAGAGCTTGATTGAATTATTCAACACGAGGACCGATGAGATGGAAGACATGATCCAAGGCAATCGACAACTTCTGAGCGAGATTGAGGATTTCGTCCAAGGCCTGGAAGGGAAAGTCGCCGGCAAGGAGAGAGAGTTGAATGATCGCCTCAACTACGGCGATCGGAACGGTGGAACTGTCAGCGAGAAAGACCACCAGATGCAGCTACTACGCTACGTTTTTGGAGAGGTGCAGAGAAGCCTTTACGATGTGGCCGATAAAGTTGGAGCTGCGAGGGACGAGGTTGCACAATTGACAATTGGGAGATGATCGAAAGCCTTTGCAGCATCACAACACTTACCCTAAGATGGAGTCGAACGAGATGGAAAGGGCTCTAAGTACATCGGCGGCACAGTCAGATGAGTCGGCCTCGGCACACCACGGTTCCTTTCCACGAGTGGTTGCTCATGCATTCGCTTCCCGCGTGCTGAATTATGGTCTGCAGCACCAGGTCGCGCGTCCGCCACTCGATGCGCTTCACTCACCAGACAGTGACTTTCACTACAAAACGGAGTCACGTTTCATCTGGGGTGCAATGAGTCGTGCCTTCAGCGCCCTTTCTAGCGGTGACTTGCATGTTCCAGAATCTGGTCACGAGCCTCGACAGAGCCAGCTACGGCATCCTTCACTGAACGGGAGATAACACGTCCGTTTCAGAGTAAAGAGAGAGACCAAGCTGATGGCTGGCATTCGAGAGCAACTGCCATGAGGCATGCGCGGTATGAATTCGCGCGAGGCTGAAGTCTGGCGATCGGACAAGACATGGTACCTGTCCCCTCCACGAGTTGAGCGGGGGGCCATAGAAGATGCAAGAGAGGATAAATTTGGATGTCTAGCCTCTGATCATTCCAGAGGATTTATTCTCTACTGTCCTCATCCACTGGGTAGAGGTCTACCTATACAAGTGTAGATCCTCCTACCCAGCGAGGCTAAGCCAATAGGAGTCGCCACGAAGCACGTGCTGAGTTGCCATATTGCCCACTGGCTCAAAGATCATCAACTACATATTCCAGGGGCCATTTCGGCCATTTCAATTTTTTTCCCCTTGTGAGGTCGCGGCGTCATGATCCGCTCCATTCATGCTTTGACGTCTCCTGAAAAGTGCTCGAGGTGGAGATATCGATGACTTCATTGCGGCTCCAGTATTCAGGAGAGGATGAGATTGTGATGTCATGCTTGGGATGGGAATTGCCCATCTACTCAACGAACGACCACAAAATGACAATAATTTCTATGGTTGTGCTTTGATCTGTTTATTAAAAACCTCTTTATTATTAACGAAGAAACAGGAACAAGTACTTTGACTGTGTGACAGAGCCTGCATATTAGATCGATACGAAACAACCGCTGTATCTTCTCAAGAACGCCATACCTTCTCTCCTCCTTGAATCCAAAAGAATACTTCTATCAAAAAATGTCTGGCACCTCCAACGTCGGTTCCGGCCAGGTCTATGAGGCCGGTGACCAGCGGGTGCCGCCGGACTCGCAAAAGGGTGGCAGTCAAGCATATGAAGAGGGACAGAAGAATTCTCACCTGGGAAATGATTCGAGTACGTATCTTTTTCGTTATTTCTTCCTCTTCCACGCCCTCGCCGGTTTCGACCTTTGCGGTGCTCTATCCGGGTGTCTGCATGTCGGGGAGGGGTCGGTGGTGGTATGGGCCAGTGTTCGAACAGTAACAGCAAAGGCTGGGGTGTCGGGACGGGTGAGATGGCATTGCAATGAGTGTGAGGGATGAAGACGGCTATCCCAGGCCGACAGAGGGTGACTGGGTGGCTGTGTGACTGGGTAGAGCAGGAGACGATTGCCCTGCTCTGCTCTGTATACCAATTCCTGCGAAACCTGTTGCATCCCTCCCCTGGGCGCTGGTCGTCATCCGCTCTCGTTTCTCACTCCCTCGACCCAAGTCACCACCAACCGACCACGACCACGATCACAACCACAACCACAACCTCTCTATCCTCTTATCTTTCTACCCCTCTCCCCGCTTCCCCCATGAACCCACATCCACAGAACAACGTAGCTAACCCCCATTTTTTCGCGACGACAAACAGAAGACAGCCGCTCGATAGCGAACCGCCTGGCCGCGTCGGGCCCGCAAAACACACAATCCACCTCGGACGACAAATCCAGCTCCGGCAAGTCCAAGAGCGCCGAGACGCGCGCCGGAGAAGCCGACCCGACCGCGCCGGCGAGGATGCACGGCAACGAGCCCAGCCGCGGCGCCCGGATCGACAAGGAACTGCAGGATGAGGAGGCGGCGATTTTGGCGAAGAAGGACGCGGCAAAGGGCGGGAGTAAGAGCGGTGGGACGGGCGATGTCGCCGGGAAGAAGTGATGTGAGTGTGTCCACACACAGATGGAGGGGATAGAGAGAGAAGGGGAGGCCCTTCTGAAGGAAATCCTAGAGGACTCTACAACACGTGGCACGAATACACGTGTTTCGTGTACGAAGTACCGAGTAAAGGTCAGGTTCGAGTACTTCGGTACATGTGCTATAACTAAGCACTGTCCAGTTTGGCTGTATTCGATAATACGACAAAAGTCAAATCACTTCACAAGGCACAAAGAAAACATTCCTGTCTGGCACTCTATCCGTAAATTCGTCCGCTCGACTCAAACAGTTGATCGTCTCTACAGCACCACAACACCGTTCTGTAGATAGCTAGCAACCAAGACAGTCCTTCAATCCTCCTCCCTCATATTTCAAACCTCAACTCGAACTAGTCCTGGCTGTGGCTGTGGCTGTGGCGGTGGCGGTGGCTTTGGCCAGTGCTGTAGGCCTGGCTGATATTATTTCACATCTACGATTTCGATGGAGAAGACCATCGCCCGAGGAGAGAGGGTTGAGCACAGAAGACGGAGAAAATGGTTTCCGATATATCAATGTTTCGCGATGGCTGGCTGGCTGTATGTATGGGGAAAATACAAAATAAAAAACCCAGTCCGCCAAAAGAGAAAAGAAAAAAAGACAACGCTGATATCACCAATAGATAGAGTACGCCGGGCTTTTGTTTATATGTGTATGTGCGTCCAAGAACAAAAGAAGCCCAAAGCTATACCATTCCCGCGCCACAAAACCCTTTTTCGTGTTTGCGTTCATAAGAGACCTGCTGTCATTTTTCCCCACATGAATCACTTCTATCTGTGGTGCCTCTCTCGGTCGTGACTCTCCTGCCGGTCCAGCTCGCGGCTCACCAAGGCAACGCACTCGTCCATGACATCCGTGCCGATCCTCCACTTCTTCAACACCACGCCTCGCGCATGCATGATCTCTTCTGCCCTGGCCCATCGCCTGCGCCAGATCTCCAGTTTCTTGTCGTACGGTGCATTCGCGCCTGGAGGAGGTGGAATGTAACTCCCATCGCTGGCGGTTGCGAGAGGATCAGAACCGGGGTAGCCATAACCCGTCGCCCATCGTGCAGCCGCTGCTGGGTAGGATGATATCGCCCTTCGTGCAGGCAGGGGCGGGTTCTGGCGACTGTCGTTCGACACGCCGGCTTGATCGGACGAAGCAGTCGCGCTACGGGTAGGCGAGGATGAGCGAATTGCTGGGAGAGCATTATATGCGGAGGATATTTGACGTCGTGCTACCGCCACATAGCCGTCGTCAGCTCGCGAAGAGTTACTAGCAGTGGTGGACGTGCGGGAGACTGTGGGTGTAAAGGATGGTGGGATGGACGTCGAACTAGTTTGCCTTGTGAGGTCGGAGGGGAATTGAGGCTGGCTTTGATTCTGACGAGGCGAGGAAAACGGCGCTCTTGAAGGAGGCTGTGGCACCGGCTCACTATTGGAGTGACCAGCATTGGCGTCCGTCGTCCGTCCACTTCGCCGCGGTTTAGGAGGTGGTGGTGGAGGCGACTTCTTCTTCACGGCCTCCTGAGTCTCGGTGTCTGATGACGCTAGTGATCTCTCATGGTTGGTGGGTGGCATTAATTGGGAGGTAGAGAAATTCCGTAAACTCGAGGGCTTGTTGGGTTTATTGGGAGCGTGCGGTTTGCCGTTTGTGTCAAGCTGGCGCATGTCACCCAAGTGACTAGGAGGCTTCAGAGCGCCCTTTTTCGCATCCAAATCGTCTGTGAAGTCAATGAGATCTCCCTCTGCGACCTTGGGTTCCACCATCGATCTTGGTCTCTCAGGCAAAGCGGGCCTGTTCTCAGGAGCATTGGTTTTCGCGTCTCCAGGCGATCGTGAGAGTCGTCCGCCATCTCGTGAAACCATGGAATCCGGCGGCGTGTTCGATATGGCTTGATCAAAGAAACCCTTCTTGACTGGTGTCGTCACATCTCTGATGAACACTCCCAACACCCGTCCTGGATGTTCAAGGACGACATCAGTGTAGACTTCCAGATCTGCCTCTCCACTGTCCCCGACCAGGATAAATTTGCGCTCAGGAAAGTCATTCATGATTCGATCGAGGGAGCCGCGCTTCCGTTCCGCAGCAGGTTCGAATATCCCCTGCAACATTCCGGAATACTGCTTGAGGTGGAACGAGCCCGGCGGCAGTCCTGCTAGGGAGAAATAACTGCGTAGCAACGGATACATCTGCCAGGGAGAATTCGAGACGTAGTGGAGCTGAACACCCATGAGAGCCAGTTTCGAGTACCATTCCTTGACGCCTTTGATGGTCAAGTCGCCCAGTTCTCGAATGAAGGCGTTTTTGAAAATCTCTCGCGCACCGCTGCTGATCCCGGAATGCTTGATCGTATCGTCAATGTCGCTGACCAGGCTCACACCCTTGCTCTCGGTCACGATGACATCCTCCACCGCCGACAGCTTATCCGAAGCCAGGACTCGGACTTGGTCAGGCACAAAGTCCAAGGCAGCTCGCAAGTTGAAGTGACCTGACTCATCTGTAGTCACCGACTTCGAAGTCGACTTTGACTGGTTGAAGAAGAAGACCGTAACCGGCACATGTGCAGTTGGCATTGACATGAAAGGCTTGAGCCGTGTCAAAAGCAATTCATTCGCCGCCGACAACTCGTCTCTGCTCATATTTGCCGGTTCATTCCACGACTGACGCTTTACCGTCGACCGCTGAGCCGGATCTTCGTCCTCAAAATCTGTCGCTGTTGTCATTGATCGTGTTGGCGAGTTCGATCGACTGCCGCGAGGGGTTTCGCCGCCTGACGGAGTCAAACTGTAGGTCCCTTTGACCGCCGCATCCGCTTCTCTCTGACCGCGACGGGTGATATTCTCGGCTTCTCTTGCGGCAACTTCGTCCTCATAGATGGATGAACTGTCATCCTGTGGTATCCGATTGCTAGGAGCTTGGCTTGACGGGCGCGAAGTCGCGGGACTGGGTGTGGGAGCGTAGATGCCGCTGAGTCTCCTCGCGACCGCCACAAGAAGCCGATTCTTCCTATTCAACGGCCCTTGTTGAGGGGAGTAGATCCATCCCCGAACATCAACATCGACGATGGCGTTTGTGTCTTCGTATTTTTCCCACTCTCGTTTCCAATAGTCCGCGTCTCCGCTGCTATGCGGCGTTTCCAGAGACTCGTGTGTCCCAGGAGGATATCTCGCGGAGTCATCGTGCCGGCTGTTCCGCTTCGTATGTGGCCTCGCATAGCTGGGAAAAAGGAGCATCTCCTCATTCTCACTTCGCACAATCTCGACATCCGGCCAATCTCTCGACGTCCCCGCCTCGTTGACGCTGTCTTGCAGTCTCTGCTGGATCTGCGCCTGGTAGGTCTGTCTCAGCTCGTTGGCCGCCCTCAGATAGCCCTTGACCTTCTCCCTCCTTGCGCCCGGCGCCCGATACCCGCCATAACTTGTCATCTGATCGGTTGCTGAGGTTGATCTCGTTCCCCGCCAACTGTGTCGACCACCAGCATGGTGCGATGGTCCATATATAGCCCTCAGAATACGGCTCTTTCCCAAGCGCCGCCGCAGGAATGAGGCTATACGGCTGTTTCCAGCCCTGCGCCGTAACAGAAAGACAATATCTCGACTGGCTTCTCTCCTCGCTCTTTTCTTCTGCTGCCTGCGCACAATGGCCCGGTAGATGCCCGACTGAGCTTGCAGGCGGAGCTGGGGGATATATTCGTGACGGAACCCCAAGTATTTTTCACGAGCGCGCCGGTGGGTGTTTGGGAAGAGGTAACGGAGGAGAGAGAAGGCGTTTCGGGACCTCGTCAAGCCGCGGAGTGGAGGAGCCACGATGTGTTGTTCAGGGTCGACCAGTGGGGATTATTTCCCCAGGTGCTGAGAGCGGGCACACTAAGGATCTGTAGTTACTCAGAGGGAGAGATGGTGACTTTATAGATCAGTGCATGACTGAGGCTCAGCGAGGAATGACTTCCAGGGTTACACGAGGAATGAGTGGCAGTGTATGAGGTACAGTTTTATCTTCTGGTTGATTGCTGCGGTCTGTGTTTTGGGTGCCGCCTCGCCGCCTCTCCAAATCTACCAAGTACGTCATTCAGCCTTGCGGCTGTGGATCCATCCATATATCAACAATTCCTCAGATCAGAGATTGTCTACATCACATACATCACTCTGTAGTTTGCTCCCAGGATTGATTCTCTGCACTGCACGCCCCAAAGCTGAACACGCGACAACCCTAAGGTATGGTCAGGAAGTTCCCACACTAACTGCGGCAGAGCTCAGCCTGCGTTGTCAGCATTGTGCGTCGGCCACAGTTCTGCTTCTCATCCCGAGCCCCAATTTTTGTCAAGCACGGCATTGACCCTCTCGACTATCCTCCGTCCCAAGGCATCGGCAAACATGACCATGCGCTCATCCGGGTGCATCTTGACGAACCTTCTCAGCCCCCAATTCTGGTCAAATGTGGTTTGAGGTAGGCCTGCTTTCCTCAATCCTCCAAGGACAACTTGGGCTGCCATGGGATTCAGCCCGGCCATTCTCAAGAATCGCTCCCACAGTGTCTCTTCGTTGATGAGATTGACAGTGTCTATGTTCGGACGTAGGGTCTGAGACGGATGGGTATCTGGAAAGCCATGGCAACATACCAAATTCCAGGTCAACCTACTCAGCGTGTTCTCAATTGATTGAGATCCATTCCTTGGCCAGACCCAAAGAGGGATCACATTGAGACCATGGTGACTAGAGATATTGGCACAAAACCCTGTAAAAGTGGTCATTGTGTCGATTTGTGACTTCAACAAACTATCCTCGGGGCCTGTCATTGTGATCAGGATGAACAGTTGAGTGTAGTCGTGCGTGAGTCCCAGGATCCTGCTTTGAACCATGCCTTGGCCTGCTTGGATCCCCTGTCCAGGCAGACTTTTCTGGTTCAAGGCCTGCATATTTGTAAATATGAGAGCCGCCCTCGGATTCAAAATGATGTCAGGAGATACAGAAGGAGGTGTACTGCGGTCGGATCTGCTCATTTCTCGGTATATCATGTTAAGCTGATTGCCGCCTTTTGTTTCAAGAAAACTGAAAAGCGAAGGACATTTCTGGAGAGTTGCTGTCTCGACCAAAATTGCCCTGGACCACTTTAACTCCAGAAGTGAGTAAGGGTCGTCGTTTCCACTGGTGTGTGCTGCTTCGGCCGGTGTTGACGGTACCTGGATGGTAGAGGGGCTTAACTCTGCCAGTGCTTCTGATGGCTGTGAGAACTGACCGCCTTCCAAGATGGCATGATTTCCCCCTTCAGACTGGGTCGCCTGGATGGGATCGTCTGCGAGTTCATCTGTCGAAGGGTGTTTTGGTGGTGCAACTCTCTTGAACTTTGCTCCTCGTAGATCAAGAAATGCCTCCAGCGCATGAGACGCTGAGAAACCACTCAAACCACGGCTGGTCTTGTGTGGTACCATATTTTGGACTTCTTTAGACTGCATTGTACGAGAATTCTTGGTTGGCGACTTTCGGCTCGAATCCGGCGCCTGACTAGGTCTCTTCAAGGGCACGACGGGCTCGACCACTTTAGACATGTCTTCGTGTAAGTCAAGGTCCTCTTCTATTTCACTGTCGCTGTCGTCGTTCTTGTCGAGGATGCGGAGCCCAGGTGGTTTCCAAAGCAGTTGCTCACTCCTGACAACTCCTTCTGGAGGGCACACAAGTCTGCAGATGTTGCTATCATCTCCTATACTGTCGACAACTTCCAGCCTGGTGAATCGGGTTGGAAAGGGAGACCAATTTAGTTTCTCGTCATGCTCCGAAGGTCTCGAATTCGGGGGGAGCAAGCACATATCTCTAAGCTTGTGCATGAGAAGCTCAGTTCCCTGGTCACTACATGGTGACACAACCGAAAAGGGCTCCAAGAGAGGCACTTGTAGTTTGAAGCACTCCTCTGGAGTGCTGATTTTGTCACCTCTCAAGCGGGCATCTATCTCTTTCTCCGCATTCTCGGCGAACTTGAGCAGCTCTTCATCTAGCTCATCCTCTATTGTCCCAATCTCATCTTCTTCAGACCTTATCGTTGGGGATAACGTTATTTCCTGAACAGGACCTAACTCATGTTCGTTGATCGCGCCTTGTTTGTTAGTTGATTCGGGCTGAATTTCGAGGCCGAGCCTACTTGATACTGTGGCTGGAGGCTCCAGTGCGCTAGAGGCTTGTACACGCTCACAAGGAGACGGTAATGTGACTGTCGCGTTGCTTGAACGCTCTGATTGAGAGGACGATGAAATTATTGGCACATCAAGGTGCAGATTCTCGAGGTCCTTCCTCGCTTGGCGATCCTTGTCGAATGATGCACAGACTGCTTCCACCTGCAAATCCTCTTCACACTCCAAATGGGCCTCGTCCTGAACCTCCATCAGGAGCTCTTTGGCTATTGATGGACCCGTGCCGTCGATCTCTTCGGACGGTATTCGGTCCTTCTTCTTCATCTCCCTGTCGAGTTGAAGCAGAAGACTGTCCCAGTCAATGCATTCTTCAGACCGTAGCGGAAAGTCTAGGTCGGGAAAGGACGGGCTTTGTGGCGCTGGTGATTCTGGCATCAACAAGGGTGTTAGAGATCTCGGTCGCGGTGTCTAGATTCTGTCAGTTGGGTTTGAAGAAGAGGGCCTGGGAATCAAGTCTTCACCACTGCGGGGACAAGGTTGTGGAATATGGTGGCTTTTGAGTCCTCGTCCAATGTGTCCTTCAGTGACACGGACAAGTGTGCCAGCGCCTCTTTTGTGGTATGCCATCTTTCATCTTCCAGCTCTTGTTCGACCTCCCTCGACGCCCGGCCGGACTGGATATCATTCCACTCATCTTCGTAGTCCTCTCCTGATGCAGAACTGATCAAGGAGCAAGTCTCGAACAAGTGTTCGGTATCAACCTGACGCGATGCTTCGCGCCTGAAACGCCCAACATCATATTTGTTGTCCCCGGTAAGCAACGGCTCCTCAAATTTCAGGTTTTGCACACGGTGACGTTCTGGCAGGAAGTTGCTCCAGTTCACGATAGAGTGATTGTCTAGGATACTCTCGGCCAGTACGGCGCCTTCGTGGCGGGTGAGCTGCAACTTTGCCTCTCTGGATTCGTCAGCGAAGACCGAGAAATCCGGGTCTGGCAGCTGTTGGTCTTCGTCAGCTTCTCGCAGCGGTATGTGGGAGATGTTTTCCAGGAGATCGTCTGCGGTATGGTCAATAGCAAGGCCATGGAAACGGGCATATTCGTGGACAGACGGTGCAGTCATTTTGAAACACGCAATCCAGTCAACTTGGACTCCATCACTTTGAATCGAAGGCGGAAAGGTGCAGGGAAGTGGAAGAGCAAGACGTGAAACTCCATCTGAGGTTGCCAAGCCTGAGTTTTGGGACTCAGGATGGATGTTCTCTGTACCTACGTATGTAGTCATTGAAAACTTTTGCAGACACCCAGACAGACAGTCCTGTTGACATCTTGTGTGCTTGTAACCTTCAACACTTGGTTAGTCGTTGTAGTTTGATCTTCCCGACCCATCCTTATTGGGCTGTGGCAGGCCCCATTTCTTATTGTACTCTTCCTCCTGGGACTTTCCGACAGGATCAAAGTATGGCTTCTCCCCAGTCACGGTAACCCGCACGCCATGTCGTCGATGCGGTTGGAAGCCGAACGTGGCGCTGTGAATTGTGCACCGGTTGTCCCAGATGGCGACATCGTGCTTTCCCCATTGAAGACGCACGTGCGCCTCTTGGGTCGTTGTGATGAGTTCGTTGAGGTATCGAATGATGGCGTCGCTCTCGGCCCTGGGGACACCGACAATCTTTTTGACGAAGCCTGGATTGAAAAATAGGCACTTCCACCCTGTGACTGGGTTGACACGGATCAAGGGGTGTTCGGTAGTGACGGGTTCGCGCCGGACGGGTCTCCCAGCTGCACGAGATCCTTGGGCTTGCTCCTCTGCCGAATGGAGCGCTGTCAGGCTTTCGAGATATTTCTGCATGGGTGCTGACAGAACATCGTAGATGGCATACTGCGAGCACCAGAGCGTGTCGCCTCCGCCACCTCGTGGTGGACCGCTCAATACTTTGAGAGAGGTATATGACGGAGGTTGAACTTCATAGCTTACCTTGGGTCCATGTCAGTATATGTCACTTGACAATGAGCTGTGGGTCATCTTACATCCGAGTGCCACAGATACGTCGGCGTAAAGAGAGCACGTTGGTCCAACGATTGCTCTGTCGTGTAGATAACATGGACATCTTCAAGCCCTTCCTTCTCGGGCACCGAAGTCGTAGCGTGTCTGTGGAGCGTGCCGAAGAACTTTCCCAGCTCCCTTTGGGCCTCGATGTCGAAATCTTCCTGGTTACGGAAGAAGACGACCCCACGCGTTGCGACAAGCCGGGCCAGATCACACTTTTGCGCATCGGTGAGCTGGGTCAGCTTGATGCCAGTGATCTCCGTGCCTATCTTTGGGATGTAGTCAAACACATCTTCGGCAGCGTCAAGAAGATTCCGGAACCGCGGATCTCCACGGAGGCCTTTGTCTTCATAAGGGATATCCTTCAGCGCATCCCAATGGATATCAGGGAAGCGTGGACGAAGGGAATCGTATGGATAAAATTCATGACCGTCTGGCTGTACATGACCTGGCTCGTATGTCTCTGATAGCTTGGTTTCGACCCTGGCAGTACTGGGTGAAGACTCCTGGTCTAACGAAGGCGCTGTATCCGGGGCCTTAGTCTTCAGTGGACCGGCCGAGTATGGCTGATAGTCCAACAAGGTAGGTTCCTCAGCGTGAGGCGCCATTTTGTAGAGTCCAAGTCACCAGTGCGTAGTCAGGAACAAAGCTGGTAGCCAGAGTGGAAGCCGGGTTGTAGATCAGTGCAAGTTTCGAGTCTGATATACCTGTTCTCCATTTCTATACTGACCGGGGATTGCTATTTTCGAGCTAGAATTGCCTCATCGCGTGGCAAACACGCCGAGCTGCTCTCAATGCTTCCCTGCCTACTGCGGCCCCATTCCACATACCCTGAATATATAGGCTGCCATCCAATTGCTTGTTGTCACCCACGGAGCTCACCTTTTCGCCTGGTCCTGGTGGGCTTCGTCTAAATCCTGGAATCTAGTCTACCCTCACTCTGTACAGTAGATCTTTTCCAATTGTTCTTGTCCCGGTTGTCGTATTGCGATAATGTGAATATCAAAAGAAGACGGTTGATTGCGGTCGGGGCGGATCCTCCATGCGAGGAACAACGCATGTTGATTGGCTCGGGAGGATTGCGAATGGCCCACTGCAGACGAGCACGCAAAGAATCAGCTTCGTGTCGTCAATCTGGGCGGAATGGATACTGGACTGATTTCCCTTCTAACGTTGAATATTTCGAAGGGCGTGACGCTGACTGCGATGTCTCAGATCAGAGGCTGCCGGGTTGGGTGGTCTCTGGGAAATACTTGGTCTGTAGGTGAAATTCCTTTGCAGGTGTGAATCTATGTATGTATGTACTCGATACTCTCTATGACTTCTGTCCAAAATGAACAAACACAGAAGGCCTGCGGACTCAAAGATCACTCGCTCTATATCACTTTGACCCCCCCGGAAGCCCATGCCTTCACAGGCACAAACACCTCCAAACCAACACGTCCGATAGACTCCCCTGCCACCTCTCTGTTTCGTCCCATCTACCATAAAACGCCGCAGAGTTGCTTCAGAACTCCTCTGAACCCCCTATTCCATTTCAATCGTGCCAGGAGGCTTGCTCGTAACGTCGTACAATACACGGCATACACCATCAACTTCATTGACGATTCGGTTACTGACACGCTTAAGAAAGGTGCCATCAAAGGGAAACCAGTCAGCCGTCATGAAGTCAGTTGTCTCAACAGCTCGCAGGGCGATCACTTGAGCGTGCACTCTCTTGTCGCCCATGACACCCACGGCTTTGACGGGGAGAAGCGCAGCAAACGCTTGTGAGATTTTGCGATATAATCCAGCCGAGACGATCTCATCGATGAAGATTTTATCTGCGTGTCGAGCAATCTTGAGTTGTGATTCATTAACCTCACCAAGAATCCGAATTGCGAGGCCAGGTCCGGGAAACGGATGTCTCCAGACAAGGTCCTCGGGTATGCCCAGATTGGTGCCCAAAGCCCTCACCTCATCTTTGAACAACTCTCTGAGAGGCTCAATCAACTTTAGATGCATATTCTCCAAAAGACCTCCAACGTTATGGTGAGTCTTGATCGTGGCGGATGGCCCCTTGAATGAAATGCTCTCGATGACGTCGGGGTAGAGTGTGCCTTGAAGTAACCACTCGATGTCGCCAGCTCGCGAAGAGTTTGCTGCAGCCTCAGCGATTGCTTTTGCCTTGTCCTGGAATACTTCAATGAAGGTGTTGCCTATGATTTTTCGCTTTGTTTCAGGGTCAGAGACCCCTTTGAGTCGGCCCAAGAAGAGGTCCGCAGCGTCGACCACCGTCAGGTTGATACCAAGATGCCTGGTCAATGTCTCCTTGACTGTTTCTGCCTCATTCAGACGAAGAACACCATTGTCAACCAAGACTGCATGGAACCGATCTCCAATGGCCTCTTGCATTAGTTTGGCGGCAACAGTGGAATCAACTCCACCACTCACGGCGCCAATCACTTGACCTTTGGGACCAACCATGGCTCGAATACGTTCAATCTCCTTGTCGACGAACTTTTCCATAGTCCAGTCTTGCCGAGCCTGGCAGATCTTGACGGCGAAGTTGCTCAGAATTTGTGTACCGCGCGGCGTGTGCGTGACTTCGGGGTGGAATTGGATGCCGAAGTACGGCTTGGACATGCTAGCGATACCAGCGAACGGTGCATTGGCTGTACTCGCAATGGGGTGGAAGGTGTCAGGGAGCTTTGACAGCTTGTCTCCATGACTCATCCAGACCTCGATATCATCTTCAATGCCTTCGAAAAGGCGATCAATGTGCTCTTCCTTGCCAGTGTGTCTCTCGATTTTGACTATCGCATGCCCGTACTCTCTCTTCTCACCCGCCAACACGTTTTTGCCAAAATGCCACGCCATCTCTTGCAGTCCATAGCATATCCCTAGGATGGGTACACCGAGATCGAACGCCGCAGGGTCAACGTGGGGTGCGCCATCCTCGTACACTGAGTAGGGGCCCCCTGATAGAATGATACCCTTTGGTTGAAAGTGCAAGTCCGCGATCTTTTGAGTGCATGGCAGCATCTCCGAATAGACGTTGAGTTCACGCAGTCGTCGTGTTATCAGGTGCGAATATTGAGATCTTGAACCAGTCGTAAGTCGGTGCGCTTGGAGGATAGGACAGTGGAAATCTGCGACTTACCCAAAGTCGAGAACGAGGATGGTGTCGAATGTCTTCGCAGGGACATTGACTGCGGCGCCATTGACCTCGCCATTAATGTTGACAGCCATGACGACCGGGGGGGAGGGTCGAATGGGCACAAGAGATATCAGGGACTGAGGCGCAAGAGAGAACCTGAATGGAAATATGAGTCCCCTGCGACCAAGGTGGGCTGCCCAAAAATTTTGTGGGGATGGAAATTATGATGTGAAATGCCCCGCTGAGGAGAATTTGATGCGTAGAGGCTGGATCGTGCGTACGGCGACATACTCGACAAACTACAAGATGGGTTCATTTTAGACCAAGACTTTGTTGTCCAAGCATCGCGGCGAATACCGAAAGGCTTTGAGCAGCCGTCGATACACAGCCGCACGGCTACAAAGCAATCTGCCACCTACCATTTTTCCCCGCGCGACGAGGGTCGTGAGATCCAAGACCAGACGCTTTCACGGATTGCGCAGACGAGGACCACGACCGCCGCAAATATGAGCAAGAGGAAGCAGGAGACCGGCGAAGATGTCGTCAAGGACGACGTGGACATGGACAACGATAGCGGAGACGACGAGGTCTGTTTGGTTTACTGGAATGGCCATTGTGCAGCTATTAATTCTTGGTGCAGGATTTCGATGTTCTCGATGTCGACTTCGAGTGGTTCGACCCTCAGCCTGAATATGATTTCCACGGTATCAAGACCTTACTCCAGCAGCTGTTCGACGTGGATGCTCAGCTGTTCGATTTGTCTGCATTGACCGACCTGATATTGTCACAACCCACCCTGGGTTCAACAGTCAAAGTAGATGGTAACGAGACGGACGCATACGCCTTTCTATCCGTTTTGAACCTCCAAGAACATAGGGTTAGTTCTTTTCGGACAAGGGAGCATCAGGCAGTCGTACTAACAGAAACACAGGATAAGCCGTTCATGAGCAAGATCGTGCAATATCTACTCTCTAAAGCAAAGTCGAGACCCACGCTCGCTCCCCTAGCTGAGCTCCTTTCCCAGCCCACGATTCCACAGATAGGCCTGATCCTGACTGAGCGTCTGATCAATGTTCCGGCCGAAGTTGTCCCTCCAATGTACACAATGCTGATAGAAGAGATGGAATGGGCGATCCAAGACGGCGAACCCTACAACTTCACCCACTATCTCATCCTCTCCAAGACATACACCGAAGTCGCTTCGAAACTTGACGCCGAGAACGATCCTCCGAAAAAGAAAAAGAAAGCAACATCCGGCTCATTCGAGACAATGTACTTCCATCCAGAGGACGAGATCCTGCACAGACATGCCATCTGCCATAGCGGCTTTGATTACACGACCAAACAGGACGAGGGGCACTCGGACTCGAAACGAGCATTTCAAGAGCTGGGGATTAAACCGCAGGGCCATGCCATACTCATTGCTGGGGACAAGTTTAAAGATGCCGTCCAGAATGTGGCCGAATATCTAAAACCCCAGCCTCAAACTTGAGCAGGCATGTTCATTCCCACTGGGTTCCTTTAAGCCTCTGCATAAGATATTCCACTTCGACGACTTTGGTCAGGGGAATAACAACTTGAGCATACATCTTCACCACAGCCTCGACGTTGATCTTTTCCTCTGCGCCTGCACCGTTGGACGTGACCGAAGGATCTTTGCCATAAGTCTTAGCTTTCAACCGCAGCCGCTCCAGGACCTGCTGCTCGACCTTTTCATTGGTGATGGCAGCATCGATACCCTCACGATCCTCGGCTTTAATGAGCTTGACAAACCGCTCCGTCTCCGCCTGGAACTTGCTCTCGGCCACGAATTTGCCAAAATGTATTCGCCTGCTCAAGGCTTGCAGACAGGCGACATCACAGGTTGCGGCACTGCCATAGTTCTCTTTCGTCTCGCCACGGTCTTCCCGCCCGAACTTTCGGCAAGCTTCTGGTAACACTTCCTTGATATATTTCTCTTTGATGGTGTCATTAACATTGACATCGTTATCGTGGAGGATCTTGGGGTATGCTATAGCCTTGAGCATAGGTCGTTGCAGGACTTGGGGAAAGAAGGGATATTCGTCCGGAGCATCATATCGGCGAATAGTAGAGTGTAGACGTTCAGTTTCGGAGAGGAGATAGTCACAGAGAGAGATCTGCGCAGGCAGAGCTAGATTGCTGGAAGGTATGGGGAGCGCGACAGCATCGTAAATGGTTGCGTTGAGGGGAAACTGAACTCGCTCGATCAGGTGAAATGTGATGGTATCCTCGAGTCGGCTGAACTTGAGTTAGTATGACTTTGTCTCTGCAGGCTGGGTATTCAGGCACGAACATTAATTGAAAGCGTATATTGGCCAAATCCAAAGCCTTCGAGGCATCCGACAGGTCTATCGCTGTATCCATATCCAAAAGCGGCATACGTTGGGATCGCGTGCGGGTTATGTTCGGGTTCCGCGCGATATACTGCCGAGAAGCACTATGGGAGACGCGACAGGAAACAGAAAATTGGAAGAGAACCTGGCAGGGTATTTAAGAGGATCAAAGAGAAGGTATTTCCCCGGTCAGCAGGTAAGTAAGTAAGCAGATGGAATCCAAAGCAATATGCGATGATATCCGAAGTGGGCGAAGGAACGTTCGTTCGGTTTTACTCTGGGAAAAAAATACGTCAGAGTTTCGCAGCTCCGACTTCGCGTCCCCGAAACCCAAGACGCACCTAACAACCAACTATACGATCTTCACTCCGCATTTTACACCATAGTCTTGCAGAGCCTCAGGCTTCAGTGTGCCTCGCTGCATTTCACCTCTCTTTTGTCCATCTTCGATCTGTGTAATTTTACTGACGCCCAAGGCGATCGAACTGCATGGCCGGATCGCGGCCGCACAGTCGTACTCCCTCCCAAACTCGCAGGCCAGTTGGAGATGGAGACGATTCAGTTCTCGGCACGGTCCTTGACGTGAGAGACCCATACCATCATGGTGACAATAGACTGACTTTCTGGCGAAAGACGCGCCAGTTGGAGGCCTTCAGTCGGAAGGTCACAGCGACCGCAAGCCACCTTATGGGAGACAATAATGCCGCGCACTACCCTGCGGCGATGAACAGCATCTCCCGCCAGATGCGACGCCCCGGCATTCAGAGAGCTGTATTCTCCTTTTCCCAGCAGGCGCCTTCTGAGCTCGTCAGAGCGAAACTCTCGACCAGCGAAATTGCGCATCGTGCTCTCACCTACATCTCCGAAGAACAACTGCAAAATATTCCCGAGGCCGAAAATACCTACTCCTTATTTCAAGGGTTTCAAGCATCTCTACCCGAAGGCGAATCCGAACATCGAAAAGGACACCGACGGCGGAGCTCCAAGCAACACAGGCTGTTGGGTGCTGGAGATGTTGAAGAGGATGGTCCCCCGTCAATACACCACCTCAAGAAGAAGAGGAACAGTGTCAACCACAAGTTGGAAATGATGGCAATACGCAAAAACATGTGCACCACAGAGATTCGAGACATTGACAACAAAATTGCCAACCTGATCAATATGCGGAAGCTCGCCCTCGAGAGATTGGCCGACCTTGAAAATGATGAAGCCGAGGTTGAGCATGAGCTGCTTGAACTTGACAACAAAATCGAAGAAATGCAAGAGGAACTCGAGGAGCAAGCGGCAATGGACCAGTCTACGAGCACCCTCAACGCTCCTCGCGTAGATACCCCCGAGTCTGAAGCCATGGATGCCTCCTTCATGTCCCAATCCATCTACGACAAATTGCCCTCCTCCACGTCACCGAAGGCAAAGCGCCGGCCAAAATATTCTAAGAGAAGATCCATGCCGGTTCTACACGAGCACCTGGAACCCGGCTCCCAAATCAAAACCATTCCCGCTCATAATGACTCGATATCTGCTATAGACTTTGACCAGCCATTCGGAACAATGGTCACTGCAGCACAGGACGATACGGTCCGCGTTTGGGATCTGAATCTTGGCCGCTGCATGGGCTTTTTGGAAGGCCACACCGCCTCCGTTCGCTGTTTACAGGTCGAAGACAACATTGTGGCAACAGGCAGCCTTGACGCCACGATTCGTCTGTGGGATCTGAGCCGTGCCAAATACGAACCCTATGAACACAAAATACTCGAAAACGGCGACGACGACAAGGCCGATGAAGATGACGGCCTTGGCTTTGGCAATGAAGGTGAAGATGCGCCCCCTCCACCGCCTCCTGATGCGATGGAAGAGTGCCCGCTTTTCGTGCTTGAGGCTCACGTCGACGAAATCACTGCATTGCACCTTCGCGGTGATATGCTGGTCTCCGGATCAGCCGATAAGACGCTGCGGCAGTGGGATTTGGTGAAAGGCCGGTGTGTCCAGACGCTTGATGTCTTGTGGGCCGCAGCTCAGGCGAACTCGACCGCAGATAGCACAGAAACACAATGGCGGCCAACTGGAAGATCTGCAGATTCGAATGCCGACTTTGTCGGGGCTCTACAATGTTTTGATGCAGCGCTAGCCTGCGGTACAGCTGATGGAATGGTCCGACTCTGGGATCTCAGAAGCGGTCAAGTCCATAGGAGTCTTGTGGGCCATACAGGACCCGTGACATGCCTGCAGTTCGACGATACTCATCTTGTCACAGGTAGCACTGACAGGAGTATCAGAGTAAGTTTGCAATGTTTCAGCAAATGGTCAATGGAAAAACTAACCTGCGCAATAGATATGGGACCTCCGCACAGGGACGATTTTTGACGCGTATGCATACGATTCGCCGATCACCAGTATGATGTTCGATTCCCGACACATTGTCTGTGCCGCCGGCGAGGACGTCGTCAAAGTCTACGACAAGGCTGATGGCCGTCATTGGGATTGCGGTGTTGGTGCCAACACGAGCGTTGAGGATCGGATGGCTGGCACTAAGACGAGTATTGTGGATCGTGTCAGGCTGAAAGATGGCTACCTGATCGAGGGAAGGAGAAATGGAGAAGTTGGAGTCTGGAAGTGTTGATGCATATAGAGCGGTATCAGGCGACGCTGCTCAAGATCAACACTCAAGGCCTGTGAAGATTCGACTTATATCCGATGTCCTAACAAAAGTCTTGACTAAACTCTCAGAACAGTCATACTCTCCCATGCAGCGATTGGGAATCTAAGACATTATGCCCTGGTGGCGGAAATCGCAATATCATCGATGATCTTACAGCCGTGTGTCAACAGGAGTCGATCTATATCTATTCCAACTTGAGCCTGGTGTCGCCGCTCATGCAGAGAGAGAGAGAGAGAGAGAGAGAGAGAGAGACCTCCTTATCTATGTACAAACATCAATACATATCTTCTGATTCAAATCTGCGGTGACTTGTCCTCCGAGCCAACTATGTCGAGTTCTCTCCTCCAAAGCCACCAGTATTCCAACTGGGATTTCCCTACTTTCTCCACAACCTCTGGCGCTCACCACAGGCTTGACTTCAGAAGAATGTCCCTTTGGGCTTCGCGGACTGCCGCGAGCAGTGGGTGTTGGTCAATGTTTCCGGTGTCATTAGCCGTTGGCTGGCCGTGGAATGTCTTCCACCAACATCGGCGTCTTCCACATCTGCTCCTCGACCCGCTTCTCGGCCCGCATCAGCGCCAGTCTGCTGGTATATGTCCAGTAGGGGCAATTGCTATGCCTGGGCGCCTCGGTCTCAACAGCTTCCTCCAGCTGTCGATATGCCTTTCTGCATCGGAAGAAACCCCTACTGTCTGCCTCCTCAACAGGATGCGACCCCTCCCATTGCCTATCTACGGCGTCAACGATGGCGACCACCCTGGCAGCAATCTCCTCACAGCGTTCGAGTCGGTCAAGGAGCCTTGCTTTGCGTTGCTCCAAGGTAGGCTCTTGTGCCAGGTATCGTTCACCACAGCGCATCTCCAGCTCAAATAACGGCGCAACATAGAGTTGCAAGAACTCCTTGTTATTGAGAGGATAGGGAAGCCTTTGCAGCGCCTGCTCCTCTCCGATGTCAAGAGCCTCGAGAACGGGGCATTTTCTGACGGGGCTTCCCTCGAACTCAACCGCCTGCAAGAGTGCGGAGGTCTCACCCTCACGGACTGCCTCGGTGCGTTCCGGGAAAGCACCCTCGACCTGCTTCTGGCCAGACTGGCTCGCCCTGTCCGATGTCGTTGGTTCTGCGTCGACCGCTGGCCTTATGTTTGACTCTGGAAAGGACGTCGGGACTAGTACACTTTGCTTGAGTCCGGCGATGGCCTCCGGAGTTGACCCGCGTGCCTCTGGCCGCGTGTCCTTGTCCACAACCCTCCAACCACTTCTCTCCTGCTGGAGCGCCTTTGATGCCCCGCGTCTGCGATGCGCGATATTCTCCCTCGTTGCAGCCAACCTGTCGTTGGCAAGCTTTTCTATCCGTCCGCGTGTGCTCACTGGCATATGCCCCAACTTTATGGCCTCGAGGTCGAGGCTGACCTCGGAACTGTCCAGCGGCTTGATGTGTTGCGAGTATTCTAGGCTTTGGTATGCGTGTGCAGGGGGTGCCGGGGGCTTTCTTGCGGCCGCCCGCTTGGCCTTCTTGCCTGAAGTCGATCGTCGAGGAGCCATTGTGAGGTGGGTGTGAGTGGTGAGGGGAGAGGGTGCGCTGTTGATACAATGATGTAACAAGCAAGAGTGTGCCTGTGAAAGACTGTATGTGAAGGGAAGTGTACTATATGTCTGTGGGAGTGGTGTACGCGCAGGACAAATGACGGTTGAGCACTTCGAGCTGGCAAGTACCTGGTTTATATTCTTCAAGACAGGTCCTTCGTAGTCACTCACCCCCAGCCCAGAGAGAGCATGTTTGGACTCAGCACAGACTTGAACACGCTATGAACACGCACACAGACCTGTTCTCATTGTTTTGGTCCATCCGATGTGAACCCCCGAGGACCTTTGTTGTTGGCCATTGTGCCGAATGAATGAATGAGACCTTGACAGTGAGTGGAGTCTCGTCAATAGATTTCAGAATGAAAAGTTTTCTTTTTTTTACGAGGACCTTTGACAGAGATGGAGGCAAACAGCTTTGTTTTCGATTCTTTGATCCATACATTGAGGAACACAAGCATCCCGTGGAACCAGTAAGGCTTGATTCCCTTGTTCGGTGGTCGAGTCTAAATGTACCATATCGGGTTAGTGGCGGGCCGTCAAGTCAAGCTGTGATTGGATCCCGAGAAATGCAAGGCTGTGGATGGAAAGGAGGTGGAGTGCAGAGTAACATTAGGTATTAAACTCGGTATTAGGTACTAGGTGTACACTGTCTTGACGCTGTACTGATACACCCTCCCCTAATCGATAACACAATGGCGCCCCCTGGCCATCAGTTCGCCCATGCCCTTTCATCCTCTACAGACCTCCCGTCACATCTGTTGCGCATAGCTCCATAGCGTCTCCTCCAGGTTGTTGTGTTGAAACGGCCGCTGCACAACCATATCTTCCAGCATGTGTAGTACCTGCAGTTCGCGTCTGATACTCATGACATCCGCCTCCGCCCCACCTAGCTTCCCAATATCTCGCCGTGCTCCTGTTGCCCCCGCGGACATTACAGCGTCTCGCTCGAGCCCCAACTGAATGTGCCATTCTGACGTGCCTCTCGTGCACCTGGAGTAGGATGCACCTGTCACCGAAGGGCGGTCCCAGAGGATAGCTTGGAAGCAAAGAGGGAGGGTCCGCATCAGATACAACACGTCTCCGTCGCCAACGTGGTCTCCCTCTGCCACGTCTCGAAGCTCATCTTCGCTCTGGCCTTCTCCTCCTTCCTTCGCCAGTTCCCCTGACATCCAGCTCTGGAAGGCCGTCCCCGCCTCCAGCCTCTTCCCTTTCCATTGCCGATTCTCCTTCGCCTCCTGCGTGAGGTTCTCCCTTGCACTATCAAGGGTAGCGTCTGAGTTGTACCCCGAGTCCTTCGGGCTGTCACTCTCAGCTACCTCCTCCAGTGCCTGGAGGACAGCGACGGGTACTCGCCATACACAACGGTAATGGCAGCTCGTCATGCTTTTCGCGCTCGTTGGCCAGATCTCGAGCCTCATTTCTGCGAGGCGCTCTTCTTGCCCAACGCTCTTTTCGACAACTAGTCTCTCAGGCTGGATCATCACCAACAAATGTCTCCCCTCCTCCGAAAGGGCCGAGAGAGGAAGGTCACCCTGATAGTGCAGGATGTAATACCATGACCTGGCTTCTTGGTCGTACAGCTTGTGGAGGAAGCTGTGATAGCCGGTAGTGGTGAAGGTTGACATCCACGCTTCAAGTGATAGATGACTGTCGTCGGCATTGTCGGACGCCGCTGAGCTGTTGTCCGATGATTGTGCTGTAATTGTTGCTGTGGGCGGGAAGCCCGCCATGGTTGACGAGGTTGTTTGTAGTTGTTGGGGATCCATCATTCCTATCGCTAATGAAACTAGGGGACTGGGATGGAGAAGCGAGATATATTAGACCTTCACTTGAACTTGGCTGAAAGGAGGACGCTGCGCAGAATGCTACATCTTGCAACAGAGTGTGGCATATGGCCTGCTTATGTGCTGGAGGAGTAAGGACTTTCAGGTGCAAGGAAGGAAAGGGCCTGCCTCAAAAGTAAGTCCTCACCCTTTTCGATCGTCTCAGGACCTATGTACCTACCTAATTGTCAGTTTCGGGAGGAAACCCTTACTAACCTTTAGCCTAGTCTCTGAGGACCTACCAGACCATATTCGAATATATCAAATGGCGACCGCCCAGCGAAGGTCGATATCTAACTACGTTCATAACAAAAGTGTACTGTTTACCTTAGGAAGCCTCCTTAACATTTTCCCAAGACCGAAACTTGACGACCCTCTTTGATCTGAACGCCACATCGCCTTCTATTCCTCTATTCTACACATATATTCCTCATTAGTCTCAACGATGGCTGCCACTTCTAGCAACAACAGTGCCTACAACGCGGACAGCCGCCAGTCTATGCCAAGGACTGCAGAGGAGGAAGTAGCTGTCCTGTCGCTTTGCGACTTCTGGATCCAGACGTGGCAGGAGCACGATGCCGCCTTGGCCTTGCAACAGATGCGCATCAAGGGTGCATATCTACAGATTACCAAGGGCTGGAACTACGTGCTTACAGTAGGGGGAGTGGAAGGGGGCCTGTCAGACGACACCAAGATTGAGGCCGAGGAGTTCAGAGCGGCGTTGGACAACTGGCAGCCATCGAAGTGGCTGAACCCAAGGGCCTCCTCCTCGCACAGACCGACTAGGAGAGTCATTGGCAAGGCCGAGGCACAATGTCCTGCGACCAGCACCTACAGAGGCAACAGAGGAAACAAACTGCCGCGTCTATCCGGTCTTGCAAGGTCGACAAGGTCCGCCAGCGTCAACAAGGACGGTGCGACCCCGACCGTAAAGAGTAGAGTGGCAAAGGCGACCCTCTGCAGGCAAGTGTTCCAGATGACCCTGAGGCCCTCCAACAAGATCAAGTCTGCTCGGATACGTGCGCTCCTCTGTGAGACCAGGACAGGCATGGAAGGGAGTAATGAAGGGAGTGGATATTCTTCACCATGAGGTGGATATCTATCTCACTTGGTCCTTCAACTGTGTCTGCAATTAACGGTGGTTGGGAATGGAGTCGTGCTCAATACAACGTCGGGTTCTCAGGGTGATGTCGCAACCTGTCTCGATAGATGGACAGGGCAGTGGACAGTGTAGTGGACGTGAGGTAGAACGGACACAACCTACCATCCCACGTATACATGTAGACATATCCCGAACTTTGCGTTCTTTGAGCATACCTTCATTTCGAACTGCGCGATCGCGTAAGAATCTTCTTCCAAATCTCACTGTCGCCTCACAAAATATTCCATCTCATCCTGCACTGTACTGTCTTTGACAAATGGAGGATTAATTGCGAGTGACCAAAGGGGGAGGGAGCCATGAATAATATCTTAGTATGTAGCGGACAGAGGATCTATTTCGTCTTCGTCGACGAGAGACATACAGTGATCTTGGAGAAAGGAACAGAGGAGCGAAGGAAGGAGCATGGGGTATGTGTGTACATAAAGCATCGGCATTGCTCCGCCGTGCTCAGGCCTCAGGGAGTCAGTCCTCTGAACGAACTCAGAGAAGAACTAAAGAACTGCCTTTGCCTACCACTACCACTACCACTACCACTACCACGAAAAAGAGTCCTCGACCAGCTTGACCTTGAGACCCTTCTTCCTTCTGGCAATCTCGCACACCGCATTCCTCACGTCGTCTGCCATCCCGTCTGGGCCGCTCACGACGACGGCGACGGCACAAGCGTTTCCCACGACGGGAGAAGCGCCCAGATCTCGCTCGAGTTCTTCGCGTACGTTCATGCGCTTGCCGACGAAGATTTGTTTCTCAACTCCTGCCAACTGGGGCTCCATAGCTTCGGCGAGGGACGGAGAGCGCATCCCCCACAGAAGCTTGGTCCGGCCTGGGTGGCTGCGCAGGAGTGGTAGGACCGTGGTGATCCCGACGCCGCCGGCGACGCAGATCAGCGTTGGATAGTCTGAGAGATCGGAGGGGTGTCCGTACCCGGGCTCGACGAGCACTGGGATTCGGCATTGTGAGCGCAGGCTCGAGGTGAGACCGCCGCGGGTGCGGAGGAGAAAAGTCATGGCCAATTTAGGCGATTGGGGCTGGTGCTCGTCCAATTCTCCATCACTAGAATGATCGGAGCTGAGGGCGGCGCCCGCCGTCGAGATGCCGCCATCCTTCTCAACATCGGCCATCAAGGGTTTCACATTCGTCTTCGACGCGGATGGTTCGCGGGAGGTATTGAGGATGGTCGATGCGACCGAGAATGGATGGTTCTCCCACACCCGCCAAGTCAGCGTGGGGAAGTAAAGGTAAGCATGGCCGTTGCCACCGACACCTTCAATGTCGACGCGGACATAGTCATCGTCGATAATGGTAACCTTTGCATATCGAAGACCAGCACGAACAAACCGGCCGACCCGGAGGAGACGATCGAATACCCAAACAGCAATTGCGACATAAATCCAAACTTCGTAGCCCCATTGATGACCGAAACGATCATAGATGTGCAGGTAGCATCCTACGACAACTAAGACAGAGACGGCAATGTGCCATAAGAGAAAAGCCTCATATAGCATCCGACGGAGCGGCAAGATCGACATCGGAAGCAAAATCGACATGCCTATGGTGGCAATGGCTCCCCAGTACCAATATGGAAGCTTGCTTTCGCTGGAGTGCTCGCCGTCCACATTGTAGATGTAGAGGTAGATGAGAGAGTGCACAATAGCCTGGAGAGTGGCGATGCCTGCGACATAGCGGTGCAATAACATGAAGGTATCGTGGCTCCATTTAGTCAGCCACAGCAGGACGTTGTTTCGGCCGGCGTATAGAATGAGGAGGGGAATATTGGCAAAACTGAGCACCCCGGTTCGGTTGGTCACAAAGGTCAGGATCTCGCGGTCTCGATCGTTGAGCCACCAGCTATTTGGTTGTCTGGAAGAGTACCCGGTGGCGCAGAGAAGGAGATTGACAATCGTCAGGTACGCGATGAACAGGGCCTGTCCTCGAGTTGGCATATTGGTCAGTCCCCACAATATGGGCACTTTGTGATGTCGCCCAATCGCAGGAGGGTCGATTACCCAAGCGTTGAAGAGGGTGACCCAACGGCCTGGGAAAGGGAGGAAACGAAGGAGTGAGAAGCCGACGGGAATAACGACTCCAGAAAGGAAGACCACTAGTCTGTACTCGGTGTCAGAGAGAGATTGTAAGCAGAAAGAGAATATTAATATGCAAACTCACCCGTAACGCTCGTGCAGGATCTCGATGTGCTCGAATATCGTATTGGCGTTCCAGTTTGGTTGATAATCTTCGATAGACACCAACATTGTTCGATTCAGGACATCACCAGCCACTAGGGTTTCCGTTGGCAGAGTGGTCACCTTGGCCAATGCCTCTGCATATGACTCCTTAGGGTCTGGCTGGACAGCAGCACTGCCAACAACATTCATAGCCCACCATTTTTCAATTTGCCAGTCCTTGAGGTTATATTCATTGGGGTCGTTGGGACAGCGCTGGTGAATGCAGAGGGCCAGCGACTGAAGGAAGGCATCGTCAGTGGCATAGCACTCGGGCATGGTCATGAAGTCGCCGCCACCGCCCATGTCCATTCCGCCCATGTCGTCCATCTCCATGACTTCGGAGCAATTCAGCCGGCTCCCAGACAACACATTGCGGCACGAGGTGCAACAGTAAGGAAAGTACATATTGATGCCATAGCCAATGAGACCATGTCCAGCACGACCTGAGGATGTCATGCATTGTGCAGTAAGAAAATAAGTGCTGGTGAACAGCAGGGCCACCAAGCGAGAGGGGACCTTCATCCTGACTTTGAGGAGCACGAACTTTGCGGAATTTCCTTTGACACTTACTCATGGTCACATAGAAGGACTTTATACCTGGGAATTTGATTGACTGAACGATAACATACATCGGGCCTTTGTGTCGAGGATGAGCGAGGACCCAGAGACTCTCACCTCAAGAGCCAATGAACATTGGGGAGATTCGAAAGGGATGCCAGTATTGGGGTCGGCCAGACCCGCGGAGAAGGGCACGCTGGAAAGGGGAAAGGTCCTGCCCTTGTTACCACGGGTCAAGCTGTCTATGACTGGCGATTGCGAAACTTGCTCAACCCACTTCCACTGGCTGGTGGGCAGCGATCGTCCCAGGTCTTGTTGCTTGGCATCCCGCCCTTCGGGTTCTACTGCAGCGGTAGGGGCCCATATTGGTGGCCCATTCCTGAATTTGCTGATGACAGAGGATTTGAGATCACTGGTGTGAAGGGCGAAGTCTTTGGATGTCCTGGTATGGCTGAAGAGTTGGATTGATTGACACTAACTACTTGAGGAATAGGGACATATCCGTCCGTCTAACCTTCTTAATAGAGGCTTAATAACGTGCTCCTTTCCCTGGAAAACCTTGGCAGTGCCATAATAAGCCTAGCGCAGGACAAAGCTCCATACCTCCCGACTATCCAACGACACCAAAAGGCTGGCTTGCTGGCCTCGTCCAGTCCCGCTATTCCCTTTGTAATCTATCCGGTCGGACATGGTCGACCGGATAGATTACAAAGGGAATAGCGTGACCGGAAGTGCAAATCGCAAAATAATGCGAGAAAATGCAACAAATCTGTGTAACGGGGGTACGAGAAGTACTACTTCGAACTGTAGGCTCTTCCAGGGCAGCGTTGATTGCAGGCTGAAACATCCCGACTCTTCCTTGGAAATCTGCACCATCAGGACGGGCTATGGACCTCGCGATAAGCTTCACCCAGAGCCTTGGGTTCGGCAGAGGTACAACATGTCCACGGGCATATTCGGTCGGAAGAATGAGGCAACGCAGCGTCAAGGGTGGAATGAGAGCAAGTATTTGGAGTCTCTGTCGCTTGTTTCTACCGACGAGGAGGTATGCAGATATGAGGGTTCTCGGCCATGTATCCAATCACAGAATCTCTCGCCGGCTGCCCAGACACGGCCATCCACGCCACGCTATCAGAAACTTGCTCAAAAACAGGGTCTCTTTCTGGACCAGGCTCGCGTGGTACTGCTAAAGGTGGGATGATCGTCCCGCTCCTAAAAGTTTGCTGGATGAGTATCAAACAAGATCTCATGGCTTGTTGTCCTGTTCACGAGGATCATTGTTAAAACGCTCCCTCTGCCGGCAACTGTTGGAGTGAAAACAATCTCACATTTTCCACACTCTCACTTCTCTGTCAAGTCTTTCTACCTTGTCGTTGTCTCGCCAAATCAAAGATGGACATGGGAACAATGTCAATGTCAATGACCAGCACAGGCACCATGACAGCCTCTGCAGCGGCCGCGACTACCTCCGCCCACGATATGGGAGGGATGGACATGGGTGCCAACTCGTGCAAAATCTCCATGACATGGAACTGGTACACCGTGGGAGCTTGTCAGTAACACGTGCTTTGGGGTTTTCAATCGCTAACCCGATGGCGCAGGCTTCATCTCTCAGGACTGGCAAATCACTTCCGGGGGCATGTTTGCAGGCTCCTGCATCGGTGTCATCTGTCTGGTCATCTCCCTCGAGTTCCTTCGTAGACTCGGACGCGAGTATGATGCCTGGATTGCAAGACGCGACCGCAAGCTTCTTTCTGTCGCCGCAGCCACTCGATCTCACGCCGAAGATAGCTCATCCTCGAACCACGAGGCTGGAAATGGCAAACAACCCTCACCCAGTTCGCAACTAGTGGACCGGACCGTATACCAACGCCCGCGAGTGCCCTGGTTGACGCTCCTGCAGCGCCAGGTGATCCGGTCTCTGATCCATATGGTCCAATTTGGTGTCGCATACTTTATCATGTTACTGGCCATGTACTACAATGGTAAATTGTGCCCGTGCGACGATGTTGAAGTTAGAGCTGACCGCGAGAAGGCTACATTATCATCTGCATTATTATTGGTGCCTTCCTCGGCGCCTTTATTTTCAGCTGGGATCAACTGATGAACGAAGCCAAGTAAGCGCTGCAGGGTCTGTGCTTCAGGACTGAGACTAACTACTAGTTCGCCAAACAGTAAAAAGCCCGAACCAGCTGATACCACCGGTTGCTGTGGCTGAGTTGCCGGCCAACGAGGACAGTGAGCAAATGAAGTTTATGGAGGAGTGGCATGGCATACCATGGCGAATAGTTCAGGTTAGATACCGGTACTTTGACTCACATACCACCGTCACGAAATGGTCCAGACATGCAGAATGACTCGAGGCGAACCAGGAATTAATCTTCTCTCCCCTCTCTCAAGAAGCCTGGACAGTAGAGTATCCGATTGTGGAATCATGTGTTATATGCCCACAGCAATATTCTGGAAGTCTCCATCCGCAGACATTCTCGCCTTTGAATGATGGCAGATGCTCCAAAGTCTAATCCCCATCGCAGTTCCAGAATCCAGTGCAATGCAATACAATGTACTGTGATACTCTTTGACAAATCGAAAAACGATCTGCCCAGAGATTTTAGACCTGACGTTTTATTCTGAGCGACAAAATACTTCCACCATCACCTCCCTTCCTCCCTCCCTCCCTCGTGAATGCGCCAACGTAACGCGAAATAAAAAGGAGACAGCCAAGCCAAGCCCAAGTCATGAATGCGTTGCAAAGCAAAGCCCGAGTGACGACTGACGACTGGCCGAGACATTGAGCACATATTCATATTCTGTCCCCCCTTTCTTTTCCTTTGGCCTTTTTTTCCCTTTTTGTCTTGATCCTATAGTTATATCGAACACCCTTCAAGAAATCTTGCTCGGTGCCACCCACAGCTCTGGCCGCGAGACCCACTGGGCATCAATCAATCAATCAATCAATCAATCAGGCAGACAGTCCAGTCCAGTCCAGTCTATCTCGATCGATCGATCATCCAGTGGATTCCCCACCTTGAAGACAATACTCCGTTTTCATTCGAGCAAGAAAAGAAAAAGACGAAAAAAAAAGAGAGACATGGGACAAGTCTAGTGTTACCGTCTCGCTGGTTTTATTTGCTCCATTAAGCGATCCACACTTGGTAAATTGATGGATGATGCTGGCTCTAGCCGTGGCAACTGGCAAACTTTGCTTCATCCACGGCTGCCCATGCGAGGTAGGCAGCTATAGCCGATGGCTGGCATGGAGGGAGACTCTCCTTTCCTCACAAGATATCGTGTTGAGATACCTACACATGGCAGAAGGAAACGACGAGATGGCACACGAAAAGCCCACAATCCAAAGCGCAAAGTACCTCCATACAATCCTCAAACACCTCCTGACAGAAAATCCCCCAAACTAAGCCTTGGGCTTTCCCTTCCAATCATACGCCAAGGTCACAGTCAATCGCTGATCCCCCTTCTTGACGACGATCTTCCTCGTCTTGTATCGCTGGCCTTTAATCATGGTGAAACCCCAGATCTGCTCGGCAGTCCAGCCTCGTTCTTCGTTGAAGACCCAATTCTGGACGAATCCCTCCCCGTTTGGACCGACTCTCTCGTCGAGCCAACCCTCGGTCAGGTACTGGTCAAGAGGGCCCCCATTCCCGCTCTCACACGTCTTGAGGTCGGAGACCCAGCGGTTGCGGCTCTTCAGGGTGCCGAAAATGTGATCTCGGTGGATGGTCTCGCTCCAGTCTAGGATGCGCAGTTCGCGGGTGCCCTGGATGCCCCCGGTGGCGGTCTGGTCCAGGTCGATGTGCGTGGTGTCCTTGTCGTCGACATACTCCTTGATGGACAAGGTCACGGTCGCGAGCAGGATAATCTTGCGCTTCAACCACGGAACATCCTGGAATTCGAGCATTGGATCGGGATCGTCGGCCAGGCCGCGGTTCTGAAAGTGGTCAGGCATGTCGTGGACAGAGTCTCAAATTGTTGCGTACGTACCAGGACCCAATTCCCGGTCAGGTTTGTAAGGGTGACCTCAGGCGGTGCAGCCATGTTTGATACGAGGGAATCGATTGAGGAGGGAGAAGGAGAAGCGAGTCGGTGCGAGTGGGATAGTTCCAAGCCGTGTCTTTATATACTAATACGTTCTGCTATGACAGTCAAATCCACGTTTTCGCCCTGGCTGGCATTATTATTTCCAAGTTGAGTGGACGATTGCTTTCAGCCGCATCTGTTTGTATCCCTGTGAGGTTAGTGGGGATATTCGGGCCCTAGAATGGAAGGCGTTGCTCAAAATGGAAGGTGTTGCTTCAGTGCGATTCAGCCAGCCCGCCACAAATGTCGAGATGCCCCTCGCGCTAGTTGTGTTACGAGAATAGGCCATCAAATTCATAATGAATCGAGTTACAGCCTAAGATCAGACAACGGTGTCATGCAGGAACCCTGGGAACATAAACCGAAAGTCCATCGCGACGCGATTGTTTCGCTTGGTGGAAGATGAGCTTCGGATTCTTGAGGCAGGGCCGAAAATATCGAACACGACAACAGTGCGTGCTAAGTCCGCATGTTATTGTATTCCCCAGAAGAATTGTCACTCGATAGGCGTGAAGGGATCCCATAAGCGTTGGAGCACAAGCATTCTCGATGATTAAGTGTAAAAGTCTCTCGATGAGACGGCAAGGCGCCCGAACAGGAGAATCGTCCATATCCGCAGTCGTTGTGACAATGATTGTTAATTTCTGCCTGATGGTCTTTGCGGTTTTCAACGGGTCTTAAGAGCCTTTGTACGTTTATAGCGGACATCAGGTTTGGGTCGAAACCGCGTACTGCCCAATATCTCTGGCGGCCATACCTGTTCTTTATTAGCTTTCAGACGCCAATGAGGAGATGGTAGACTTATAAAAAGCAAGTCCCGCTGTCCAAGAACCATGCGAGCATCCAGGGACAGCGGAAATGTCGCTTCTGGAAGCGTCATAAGCATCTGTACCGACATGCAATCTGAGATCGTTGAAGCAAGTACACCAGTTCCCACATGTGATCCGTCACGTCAAGTTCACCGAAAGTCGTCGTTGTCGCCGAGTAAGATTGGTCCATCATGGCCACCAACAGCAAGACGCCAAACAGAGATCTCCACTCAGATTAGGAACAAGTTGGAACTGTGTGACAAACAGCAAGTATTCAGAACAGACAAGCCAAAGCTTTGATCCCCACTCGAGAGAGGTCCCGTCTGCATACTCGATAGTCCTATTCATCTCAAAGGTCCCTTCCCTTCCAAGTCTGATGCTTCCGATACACTGCAGGACTTTCTCGCTTGGACATGTTGATGGCATTGCAGGACGCGTCTTAAACCCAGCGGACTAGACTTCCAAGACTCGTTGCGACAATATCGGACCGTGGATCCATGTGCGAATTGAGACTTGACGACAAGATGGAGGTTGCTTGGTAAGGGCTTTTGTGCGAGAGCCAGAGAGAATATGTTCTCAGGGATGCAGAGTTGAGCCCTCACTATACATCTTCGCGATCATCCCCCCAAATACATCTTGTGGCCCCACGATTTATTCCACGCTCTTTCGCACGCGGTGCACAGATTCCAGCCCAGACGCAACATCCAAGCCCTGTCAAAACAGGAGATGATGCCTCTCTCATGTGTGATACAGTAACCTCGAAGACAAGATTTTAGTTTTCTCCTCTCTGCCTCTTGACGAGACTCATCGAAGGACATTTGCCGTATCTCAGGCCAGGACGCACAAACAACATCTTCAAAAATCGTCCTCTTCTCGCTCGAAAGCGGGGTTCATCATGGACCCAGAGATTCCGGAGAATCAAGGGCCCACTGGGTCGGCGCTCTCCATCTCACCATGCTGAACATGGTGTGGAAGATTAACGCGGTTGATCGGGATCTTCAACAGAAGTACACATCAAGTAGCTGTTGCTGCGATGCGCGCTTGGTGACAGAGCTGACGCAAGATAAGGCGCGGCGAGAACAAGAACAGAGTTGGAAAGGAGTGGCAGCAATGCTGAGTTTGTCGGTTGTGGACATCTTGCGCAGGTCATGCCCATCTGGAACAAACAAAGTGCCGAGTTGAAAGACAGGCTGATTCGGAATCCTTGAAGTCACCTCGAGACCTGGCATCCAGGCAGCATAAAGCCCGGATTCCGGCCAGTGGATCCCATCAGATCTAACAAGAATTCCCAGCAATCTTGTGTGTAGGCCAAAGAACCTTTGTGCTCTGGGCATAGACCTCATGCGCTGATTCCCACAGCTCGACATCTCCGCTCTCTCTTGATCCTTGTCTCACGCCCATGCACACCAAAACATCCCATATATGATCACGTATAGTGTTCAGCGTTGGAATACCGACGCGCGGTCCCTCAGGGACTCTTACCAACGTGACGCATGGCGAAACCGTCTTTCACCGCCCTCTCGGGAGGGCTCTGAACGTCCTGTTCTCTTTTGACCACACTCAATCCGGCCTGCCATTCTTCGCCGGAGCAAATAGTAAGCAGGAGGCGCGCAAATGGAGCTACTCAGAGGCACGACAACTGGACCGCGACACTTGAACCGACAAACATCTTAGGGTTACGTTCCGACACGCATCCACATTGTCACCCAGAATCAATCCGGCTGCTCTTGAGACCATGCCAGGAGGCTCGAGCGGTTGGAAGAAAGGTGACACCGGCTCCAAGAGCTCGACTTGTATCGGGAAACTCGGGGGAGATTGAACTGTATAGAGTGCCCGCGAGGGGCGAGAGGGTAGTGGAAGAAGCGATTGTGACTGGAGGTTGACTCTGTGACGTTGTCCGATTGGGCATGGAATACACGGAGGTTGGCTTCAAGAAAGGTATTTTGGAAGTCATGCAGAAGGAACAGGAGGGGCTCGAAGCTATACACCTGGTCATAGAGAATGATGGCAACAAGACCGACCTGACTGCGTGTTGAACGCAGTTGGCGTTGAAATTGAAATCGAGACCCGCGACGCGCTCTTTCCTATACGGGTTAGTTCCAAATACTCAAGCCTCGGAGTTTCTTTACCCCGCACTTCCGAAAGATGGCATGGTCAGACCAAAACATTCACTTCTACGGTGTCTTGTCCGGGGCATCTCACTTTTTCTCCTATGATAAGCTATCCCAAATTCATATGTAAGATACCTTATATAGTATAGAATACAAGATCACCGGACCTGCCATCGCTGTTACTGCCTTGACCTCCGCCTACTCCACGTCCGCCATCTCGCCTCCCTCTGTCAGTCTTGCTTGTACAAGTAGTCAACTCGAAAATGAAATGCACACTACTGCCACTACGCAGGACACCTTGTTCCACATCTTGGTCAACTTAACTGCAAACTCGAACATCCTTGACGCCATAGTCTATGAGTGTGCTCAGACACTGCTTACTTCCTTGTTGGGAGGGATATACTCGACGTGTTTGGGTGCTTCTTCCTCCGGCATCTTGACCCGCTCATCTTTCTTGTAAATTTGCCGTGGAATGTGCCCAGTTAAGAACTGGTCATAGTCTTTCAAAAACAGGGACGCAATGATTGCGGTTGCTCCGACCGCCACGGCCGCATAATAGACGTAGGCAAAGGCCGTGGAGTAGGCGTCGGCGATAGTTGACGTCAATACAGCTTGTATCCTTGGAGTCATACCCGGAACGGCTGCCAGAGCAGTTGGACTTTGTGCTTCGACGGCTGCGAAGAGTTGGGGGAGTGACGTCTGTGGTAACCCGGCTTGAAGCACTGCCTCTGGCACTGTCGCAGCAATCGCGGCTTTTGATTTCGAGGTGAGAATGGCAATGAAAACTGCCTGAAAGATAGCACCGGACACGGTACGTACAGCCGAAAGGATAGCTGGAGTATCAGGTCAATATTGACGTGGCTGCAAATCCCCATTGGGATGAGTGAGACTAACCATATGCCATGCCAAGGTCCACATCGTCCACATCGAGTTGCACAATGACCGTCAATCCCGAGTCGAGCAGGCCAAGTGGAAAACCCGCTAAGAAGGCGAACGCAATGGCTTCGGATTTTTTGTGTCTGTCGACTTGGGACAGAGCCGCCATGAAAGCAACCGACATGACGGAGAAGAAGAGAAGCTGTCGTCGGATCCGCTTGATCACGTTGATAAAGGGAAATACCAGCACGATACCTGCCCACACTCCCCACCCGACCGCTGTCTGCAGCATGGTTAGAGGTCCAGGATCTCCTGCGTGGCAAGGGCAAAGGGACATACACTCATCCAGGCCGAGTCCTGCCACGTCTTGGTTTCAGCAGCATAGACTGCAACAACCTCTTGACGACTGGTTAGGTGAAGACATCCCATGTCAAGTAGAGTTCGAATTACTCACGTTGTGGCCAGATGAGCTGGAGAGAAAGATACAGTGCTCCCCCTGCCATCGAGATGACATTCAGACAGACAAAACCTCGGACATTTTTGAAGAGCCTCATCTCCACAAAAGGGTTCGGACTCGGACAGTTCGCTTCATAGACCAGGAATATAACCACGATGACGCCTCCCGGAATCAAGAGCCCCAAGACCAGACCTGAGGTCCATGGCTTGGGATTCCCGCCCCAAGAGACGCCGAGCAAGAAAAGAGTTAGACCAACCACGATGAGGAAGAATCCGCCGAAGTCGACACGTTGGAACTCCTGCATCCGAGTTCGGCGAACGCCATGGAGTTGTTGAAAATTGGCTGGATGGTATGCGAAGAGCTGGATCAGAAACGCCGCACCTGTTCAATACGGGTCAGAGCATGCCCTCGACCGAAGACTGCAGGAGAACTGACCTGTAATGATCAAATATATATAGTAGATCCACCTCCAATTCCGTGTCTCGATCAAGGCGCGTCCGACATATGCTGCGAGACCCGTGCAGCAGACAACGGGAATCAGAATGAACGTCATGCCTACGAACTTGTACTTGTGTGGCATGAGTTCTTCGAGCCGTCAGTGTTTCGACATTGTGCGCCTCCGGATGATCAGATCATACCTCCTGAAAACAAAGTCAAAGATGAGTAGACACCTCCCGCCAACCCGATGATAGTCTATGTGATACGATGGTCAGCTCCTCTGTCTTTGAGATCTGCACCAGCGATACTCACATTGGCTCCGATCAAAGCATTCATATTTTTGGCAGTGCATGCTATTATGCCGCCTACGATGGACGCGGCCCCAGCAACAAGGACAAAGTATCGTCGCCCGAATTTGTCCGAAAGACGGCCTGTAAGCATGATCCCAATTGAACAACACATGGTCCAAACGATGGCGAAAAGGCTAGTATTGGGGCTGGGGCCTATGATGAAACCCCAAGAGTGAGAAACCTGAAAGACAACAAAGACCATCGGAAGCTTCTGGCCGCTTACCAATATCCGCATTGATGAAGGTTACAACAGAGGCTGGGACCGCAAAGCCGAAATATGTCGACACGACGACCAAAGACATCGAAATCATGGTCAAGATGTAATTGGGGGAGATGAAGTATTGTTGCGGCATTTTCCCGGCCGCCTCTGCCAGTCTTTGTGAGTACATATGATCCTCCTCTCGACCCTGTTCTGTGTGATTCCGTTTCTCGAATTCCAAAGAGTGGCGTGGAGTGTGCATGGCGGCCTGCTCGATGCCCTCGTCAGGGTTGTGTCCGTCAGCTGGGGCAATGTGTTGCATTGTTGGCCCCGGTGGTTGAGCGGAAGGGCGCGACATGGTGTTTGAATCCGCAAAAGAGCTCATGTGCTCGCCGGTGACGAAAGAGGTATGTGCACGTAGCCCTCGTCGTGCTTTTCCAACTATATACCCTCACTCCCTGCTGGCCATTTCCTGCCAAAGCCTATGTGCGCACTTGTGGATCTCCCATGTATTATCCCCATGGGGAATGGAAATAGATCCCCACAAGATGATTGGATCTTGACCAAGGGATCCATGACAAAGGCCTCTTTTGGGAAGAGCGCCAATCATTGGGTTGCAGGGTCAGCGCTGGACTCGAAGGTTGATTATGAACAAAGCTCTTTGTCAGGCTCCCGCTTCACGATGCTCTCAAACTCTTCGGATTGAGGCAATGCAGAGAGCCGGTTCTTGTGGCGAGATACTTTTCTCTATCGCAGCCTCTTGTGGAGATAGCAATGCTTTGCAGTACTACGCCAGACCGGATGAGCAGATTTGGTATGAATTTCCGACTGATTCAGCACTTCCAGAACTTTGTGAGCAGGGTCTTATGACTATCGATGTTGAACGCTGTCGGGGCCATGTACACGAGCCGTTCATTCGATCGAAGAACGATCCGATACATTTTTCCAAGGCATGCCGAACCAAATTGTGCAAAGACCTCCATCCCAGGATTTCGGATACGCTACGATTCTGCATGTGCTACCGCGAAAGTACGATATCTCAGGGATATCCACCGTTAACTGCCAGAACCTGTCCAGTGACAAATGAAGCTGTCTCTCCCAGCAAGAAGATTACCGCATCCGCAATCTCCTCAGGGGTACCTTCTCTTTTCATAGGGACCATTGCAAGGGCATGCGCTTCTAGCAACTTGCCTCCATCGGGAGCCGTTTCTCGAGCACGCGCCAACACAGATCGAGTGAGTGGCGTATCAGTGCCCCCCGGAGCGACCAGATTGACCCGTACACCAAGGGGAGCGAAGTCTTCGGCCCAGGTCCTGGTCAGTCCAAGAACGGCGTGTTTGCTGGCGCAATAGGCCCCTAGAGTAGGAAACCCCTTCAACGTGGCACTTGAGCCAATGTTCACGATACTTGCTCGTCCAGGTTTTGCCGCCCCGACGCCTTCTTTTTCGATTCGTCGTAGGAGTTCGGTCGAACAGTTCCACGTTCCATCCTGGTTGACTCCAATAATCCTCTTGTACGTCTCGTCGCTTTCAATGCGGATCCCACTCGATGGACAGATCCCAGCGGAGTTCACCAGACCATATAGATCGGGGCTGCGACTGAAAATTTTGACAAACGCCTCGTGGACCGCTGTTCTGGAGGACACATCCACAGAGCCGTAGAAATACAATTTGTTGCCGTTGTTAGACTCCGCCAGCTGTGGAGGAGGGCAAGGAGCAAGATCGATGACATGAACCGTCGCCCCCTTCTGAAGCAGTTGTAAAGCCGTGGCCAGTCCTATTCCACTCCCTCCCCCTGTGATCACAAACGCACTGGACGCAAATGACGCCGCCATTAGAGATTGAATCACCCAGAGAGAGAGAAAGCGCGCGACAAAGGGTGGGTTGGATCCATGTTGATGTATAGATCTCCAGTTCAGCCTTCATGGGCATGCCGCTTGCCTTGGGTCGACTGGGCCCTCCACTTTCTCGTCTGATCCGCATGAATGATGACACAAATTATCATGACAAAACTGCTCTCAAGGCCCCCTCGACATTATAGGGTCGGCGGCGGGCAACAAGCCAACTTAGCAGGACATGCGCGCTCGTATAACGAGATTATTTTCCTGTTGCCTAATCGCTTAGGATTGGAGTCTCCATTATATCCTCACCGTAACGTGATTTTGTTCTTTCGTGGCTTTGTGGTTGGAACACCATTCGAACCTTTGCATCCATCCAGGACCTCTAAAGCAGCCAGGTCCGGCAAGACTTTGGACACGTCGTCGTCCAGTTCAATCAGGCCCTTCTCGACCGTTTGGAGCGATGCCACTGTGCACAACAGTTTAGACTGTGAACCCAACCAGAAGACTGTCATTTGGAGATCGGGGAGAAGTTTGGGGTTTCCCTGCAATGGAACGCTTGGCTCCTCCGCTTTTGTTTTCAGATAACAAAGGGAATACTGACAAACATCCTGCACCACTAGGCTCTGGGCGAGGCGAAGGGAAATGCACTTCTTCTCCTCGATTTTTCTGGGGAGGGGGAGGCCGCGCAGATCTTGACAAGCTTATCAGTCCGAATCATCATTCTTAAGACCCTTTTTCAGCCGTGTTTCTCGTCTTCACTGTAGCTGTATCTGCGGCTGCGTCGGAAATCATGAAAGCATATCAGTTCGAGACAGTCGAGGAGGGACTTTGTCTGAAGGACGTCCCAGTACCCAAACCTCCCCTGGGTGAAGTCCTCATTGTAGTTGAAGCAGCCGGTATCTGTCACTCAGATGGCCATGCGCTGAAAGGTCAGGGTGACTGGCTAGGCAAGCTCCCTATCACGCTCGGCCATGAGGCAGCAGGCACGGTTGCCGAGTTGGGGCCGGGAGTGACGGACTTCAAGATTGGAGACCGCGTCGGTGTTGCACTTCTCCCTACAGACTCTGGGGACTGGAGCCATATCATTGGAGTCGGGAGAGACGGAAGCTACGCCGAGAAAGCTCTCATTCCTGCACACAGCCTTGTTCACCTCCCGGAGAAAGTCTCTTTTCCGGCGGCTGCAGTGGCCAACGACTCGATTTCGACGGCTTACCACGCCATCGTGGCTGAAGCCAAGGTCACTGCGTCGACAACTGTGGCCATCGTTGGTCTGGGAGGACTGGGGCTCAATGCAGTCCGTATCGCTTCCCTGCAAGGGGCCACGATTTATGGAGTGGACATTGACGAGAAGAAATTCGGCGACGCGAGCTCTCTGGGGGCCACAGCGTGCTATCAGAGATTGGCTGATATTCCCAGCGATATCGTTCTCGATGTGGTGGTCGATTTCGCCGGCGTGGGTGTCACCACACAGGACGCCATGCTGCGAGTCAAGCCTAGCGGAACTGTGGTCATGGTTGGGCTGGGAGTAGCAAGTTTTGAACTGTCCACACATGTCCTTCTCCTGCGCAACATCACTCTCCGTGGATCTCGAGGCGCAACCAAAGACGAATATGTTGAAGTCCTCAGGCTAATCGCAGCTGGCGAGATTGTTCCTAAGTTGGAGGAGGTCCCATTCTCGGACGTTCCGGCGGGCTTGCAAAGACTCGAGCAGCTCGGCGTGGTGGGAAGATTGTTCACTCGGCCAAATGCTTAGACAGGTTGCAAAGTACGAGACCGGGTATTTCTACAGATAACAGCCCCAATCCGGAATTTGTGTTGGCTATCTTTTTGCTATCTGAGGTAAACATGAATGAGTTTCATTGTCACGGCGGGGTTTCTCCTGGATCGATACTCTTGTCGCTAAGGCTGTTAGAAGAGAAGGCCTGCACGGGATCAAAGTTGATTGATGTATGTAGTCTATGATACATCTGTCTATGGAGCTTTGTAGGAGCTCATGAGGTTGTACTTAGTCGTGGCCTTGCATGCTGATTCAATATTCCAAGCCTCTGCTTCATTATTCCGGATATATGGGATCGGTGGGTCTTTGGAATTACGCAGATACCCCCTCACAACCGAGGCCCTCCCACTTGGGATCAGCAAGTATGTACCTCGTACCGAGTCCCCCACAGGACAAGGCTAAATTCTGGGGAAAATTGCGGGGTCCCCCCACAACAGCCGCCGTCTACTGAGGCTCTTTGTCATAATTTCCTTGGTCACCGCCTGCCTACATATCTATTGACCTCAGACCTTAACAACAATAATAAGAGTAATACTCATTGCGGCAGCAGTCGAGATTGCAGTGATTTCCGACTTGTGAGTGGCCGACCCAACGATGGTCAAGGGAAAAACCTCGTCGCGAGGTGGGAAGCATGCGTCCGCTGGGCCAGCTCCAAAGCATGCACAGTCTCAGGAAGAGGCAATCAGGAGGTGAGTCCAAAAGTGCCCCAATGAGGTGGCTCTGAGCCTCGCTTCTCACTGGCCCAGACGACGCAATCGACTATCACAGCGCTCATTCCGCGAGCGACGACATGCCTACATCAGCGAGCTCGAAGAAACATCGCGAAGAGCCTCTCAGTCGGAAAGTGATCGCAACAAAGCTCTCAACAATGAGAATGTGGAGCTTCGGAACGCTTACCTGAAGCTACGCACGAAACTGTTCGGAGTCATCTGTACGCTTCAGGAGATTGGCGAAGAAGCTGGCAAACGCTTGAATCTCACCCCCAGTTTGACCACCGCTGGATCCGAAGACGCCGACAGCCATCTCAATGGGGCAGACCTTCTTGGTAAGCTCAACGCTGTCGCGCTTGAACAATCTTCTGCTCTGACACCCGCGCCTTGCTTGCTATCCATCCACAACTGTTGCCTCTTTGCTGATGAAGGAATCTAAGGAGATGAGCGTGATGGAGATGGAATCATGCTTCCATCTACAGATATACCGCCAACGGATGAACCCGCTTCTTGTGGTAGAACCCCCAGCACTCGTAGCTCATCATACCCTGTCGAGTTGTCGGATGCCCCGGAGCAAGAAAGCTTGGGCAATTCTTTCAAGGAATCAAACGCTCAAGAATCATCAAATGGCACGACCATGGCCCAGACAGCGCCTCCGAATCTAGCCTTTCACGAGAGCTCTGAAATTTTCACAGACCCAGTTGTGGCCAGCGCCGTGGATCTGATGGACATGTCACACGCCATTATGGATGCTCAAGACAGCTACCAGGAACAGCACCATGATCAGGACCATACAGCCGCCGACTCCGAAGCACGACTTGGAGCATCCGTCTATTCAAACGGAAATTTCGGGGACATTGCTGACGGAAATGGATTGCTTACTCGAATGACACCAGGTCATCAAAGCCAGCTTAAGACAGCTCCTACGTGGCAGACTACCGCGTCTCTGTACAGTGCCAACTCGGCACCATACAACTGGTGGCATACTCCGGCTCCACAGTCGATTCCACTGGCATCACAACTTGTAGAGTCTTTCCAACAACAGAGGCCCTACGGATCGCTGTTCTTGGAGCATATGGACATATTGGAAGCTCTGATCCGCCAGAGGATCGAGCAATTGGAAGGCTCTGGATCTGCCGATATGTCAGTACATCAGCCGCTACATCTGACTCCTTCTCAAACATCCGTTTAACCCTTGACTTATAGGACTTCCGGAGTGGTATCTACTGCGGTCATTCTCTTCCATGACTACGCCTGGCAAGGGACAGCCAGGTTCTGGGGAAGCTCACAAGCCCGCAGCATCCTTGAATCCGTCCTGGCATGGCGCTGTATGCCTAACAGTGTCACACTGGCAAATTTGCCACTGGCTTGGAGACCGACTCCCTTACAGCTCTACATACCTCACTCTTGTGTCATCGACTGGTTCCCGCATCCCGGCCTTCGAGACGCCCTGATCTTACACTACAACAACAGCCCCATCCTTGATCAGCTTTTCTGGGATTGCATGGACTGTTGGGTGGTGACAGTGGAAGATATCGCAACAATACTTACCGACGTTGACCATGGACCTGGTCTCATTGGCGTTTGGAATGTGAGTATGAACTCGACTTCAACGCTCAAGTTTATTTTTTGCGCCTATCTCTCTTTGTCATTGATATGCCTTGCTGAATGATATTTCAATCAGATTGTCGAGGCCATGGACGGGTCTCGTTCGTTTCGACCGCCCGACGTCACCACCACATCGCCTCTATATTCATGGCAACAAGGAGCCTTTCCAGCTTCGACACAACCTTCTGCGCGAATGGCTCACGTCAATTCAACCACACCCAGCGGTAGCGAGAACAGCGACGACCGTTCTCATGATCCCGCCGACAGCAACATGAGAAAGCCCCTTTCGAGAGAAGGGATCGAGTGGGTGCCTATGCCTCTCGACGTCATTCTCAGTCGCAAAGACCTCGCCAGAGATTTGTTCTATCACCTGAATGTACGTAACCCCTGCATATGATCGAGCAAGCAACCACCTTTGGGGGTCTCCACATGTTTTTACTGACACCATTACAGATGCACGACACGATCTCGAATTGGTTGTTTGATCCCCATCTCTTCGAAAGTTACCCGGAACTAAAGTATCCGGGGTATGAAACCCTGGTGGCGAAAGGCAGGTCCTTTCGCCGGCCCGCACAGAAAATCGGACCCACGAAAATGAGCAGCTGGACCATCAATCTTTATCAGAAAGCACTTCTAGGACGTACAGGTCAACTAAAGATCTGATCTTGGGGGGGGGACCCCTGTTGAGCAAAGCCTGCGGCCGGCAGTGCTAGACACGCAGGAGAAGTTCAATGACTTGTATAGTGTTGGATACTTGATATCCGTATGCGAAAGCGCTTCGCTGTCCGCAATGAGAATTTTTGAAAAAGGCCTTTGGCAATCACTGTTCTTTTGGGACTCTCTAGGTTTAAGGGATGACATGCCAGGATTTCCTTTCCACTATAATTCGACGTCTTGGGTGCCATTAAACCCGTTTGTATGAGACCCATGACCCAGGATCTCCAGGGGGATCTCAACTGGAACAGGAGTATCCAGATACTCCTCAGTAGTACCTTTCATATCGATTTGTCTTTGGCTGAGGCCGTTTCCGAACCATCGGAGCGAGTTGCCCCTCGATTCAGGCCCATGCTCATATTCATAGTCCTCCCACCGGGGGTTCCTGAATACGAACGCGCCGTGGATGAGGCTACCGGGCCAGATGGCCAGGAGTCTTCCGCTTTTGTGTTTCCACCAGGCGTTGCACTAGTCAGGTCAGTCGACGCAGTTCCGTGGAGAACTTGGCAGAATGCAAGGAAACTTGATTCTACCTTTTCAACATAGATTGTTTTGGCAAAGTAAGAATCAACAATGTCGGCCCAGTCACGCATGGCTCGATCTCTAAAATCATTTCATCGGTTAACATCCACGCCCACCCCCTTGGTTGAGGGGATAAATCTGATTCTTCACTCACGTAGGCATCATGCTCTTGATGTATTCTCTTTGGATTTTCTGAATGACCTGCGTCATGTAACGACATTGAAGTTCGAGAAACGGCACCGTGGAACCAAGTCCGGGTCCCCCGTTGGGTCCCAGGAAGACATAGAAGTTCGGCATGAGGCGCGGGGCCATGGAAAGATAGGCCTCTGGCATCTCATCCCAGATATCCTGCAGATTGACCCCGTATTTTCCGTGGACGGGAAAGTGTTGCTTATACACTCTGCACACACACGTTAGCACAGGCGAGCATTCAAAACGGGATTCCCATCTATGGGTTGTATACCCGTCAAATCCAGTAGCACATATTATCACGTCCACATCTCGACGTACTCCATCTTCGGTTTCGATCCCATTATCGTAGACCGTTCTGACCTTTGTCGGAATGAAATTCACGTTGTCCTCGACCAAGGCTTCCAGATACTGGGAATCAAACGATAAGCCTTGTAGCCTCACCGGCATTGAATACACCAGATTTGCACCTACACCAGGGCCGGGAGTGATCCTGCGACAGCCAACAGGATAATCTGGGACAAGGGCCTCAAACACCTCGGGCTTCTTACTGAGCTTTTCCTTCATGTGAGCTCTGCACATATCGGCAAACATCTTCGCCCCCGGAGTACCTTTATACAAGGCTTCGACTGGACGGTTGAGTAAATCCTCGACGTAGCGACGGTATTGTCTGTAGACCTCGGGGTCATTTTTGAACCGCTCGAGATCTGCGGCCGGTGTTCTCGCTGCGCAACAAACAATCAGCCGTGACCTCGTATGATCGCGGGCGTTGGATTCCATGGGGCACCTACGATCTCCGTTTCGTGCTTCCAGTCCCTCGCCTCCGATGCCAGCAGGGGGTATCCAGAGCTTGCCCCTCACATAATGATCTACTGCCGCTGCGTGGCGGCGAATCTGAGGCAGCATCTGAATGCCGCTGGAGCCTGCTCCGATCAAGGCAACGCGCTTTCCCGAGACATCGAGGTCCTCAGGGTATGCCGCCGAGTGGACAAGTTTCCCCTTGAAGTCGTGCAGACCACAGATTTCGGGCCATTTCCACGCATTGAGAATTCCGACTGCTGAACAGACGACGTCGGCTGTGTCTGTGATGGTCTTTGGAAAGTGGAAGAGTTAATAAAAGCCTTGGGCACGCATTGTGAGCCTCCCCCGATGTTCTTACCTCTCCAGTGACCATATTTTTTACCTCAATAGCCCACTTGCCTGTCTCGTCGTTCCACGATGCCTTTTCGACCTTGTGATTGAATTTCATGTATTTCTCGGCCTTGTATTTGGTATTCACATGCTTCAGATACTTGTGAATCTCAGGTCCAGTCGCATAGAAACTGCTCCATTGCGTATTTTCCTCAAAGGTAAATTGATAGGTGTGGGAAGGAATATCACACGCGAGGCCCGGATAGCTATCGAGTCAAGTTAGTCCTCATCACTCATAACCAGCGTTACAGATATTGACGGTACCGGTTTTCGAACCAGGTGCCACCAACATCGGCGTTCTTCTCGTAGATGACCAGCTCCAGGTTCTGAATGGATCGTGGGAATAGAATGCCCGCCGTCATGCCTGACATGCCTGCCCCAATCACAATCACCTTTATGGGTCTGAGAACATCGATTGCTTTGTTGGCGGGATCACCGTCAGTTGGCGTATCCCAAACAGCCACATTGGCCATGTCCTTCTTCAAACGAAACATCCTGACTATGCGTATGTTTGATCCTTCCAGGTACAAGAGATACTAGGCAACATACCAGACAACTCGGGGACAGAACTGCTGGACCAAACGACCAGCATTTATGGGGTACAAAAAGCATCCATCTTCAATGATTCAATGCAAACATCCTGAATCCTACTCAACCAACATTTCGATATGCTCCATGCACCAATGGCTGCACCCCGAATCTGTGATTAGCATTGTATTTGTGACAAATCCATCTCGCGCAAGCGACGACTGTCGTAGACCCCACAAGACACCCATAAGAAAAATCTTAGTCAACCCAAATAGATGAGCCACGCATCCGGCTGACTATACCACAGGAGAATAAATCACCAGATAACCCCTTGAGCAGTCAATACCGAATACTGTTCTTGTTTGCAATAACAGGCCGAAACTGGCCAGAGTGATTACGAGGAGGGACAAATTGCGTTTTGCGTGTGCCACCCTCAGATCTTGGCTCAGCAGCCCATAACTACGACTCGTCAGAGAGCGGCACAAGAATGGCGGATAAGATCTACGACACCTCAAAGTTATCCACATTTAGAGGTGCATTATGGCTGTTCGCACTGATTGTTATTTTTGTGGCGGTGAAGAAGCTCCTCGCAATTGGGAGGAGGCCGAAGGGATATCCTCCAGGTCTGTCACCAGATAAGTCCATGTCTCCCGGGACGAAGTAAATGCCAACACATCATCAGGTCCTCCGACAATACCAGTCCTCGGAAATCTTCACCAGTTCCCCGTCAAGGGTCTACATACAGCGTTCCAGAAATGGACGGAGGAGTGTAGGTTTCGCTCTACTGGCAAGTTTGCGGGAGGGGAAACCAGTTGACCATGAAATGCAGATGGCCCGATCGTATCGCTAAAGATGGGTACACAAACAATGATTCTGTGTGGGACAGACGAAGTGGTTAAAGAGCTCATGGAGAAGAGGAGTGCTTCTACCTCGAGAAAAGTGGACATGTTCATACGCACCTTCGGCGACAACCTCAACATTGCCTTCCGGGAGTGAGTTGATTCCAACAAGGAATTCAAAGAGTGCTTCTTGGGGCCCTTGTCCAGGCTGACACAGGTCCTATAGCAATGACGAGATCTGGAGAAAGCAACGCAAAATGTACTCGACACGCCTCAACTCGCGAGGAGCCAACAGTTATATCCCATATCAGGTATGATGGACCACCCAACCCAGGAAACCCCTTTTTGCCATACTCCCCCACCACCCCCTGGGCGCGGAAAATGACTCTTGTTGGTGTACCAGGAATTCGAAAGCGTCGAGCTTCTCTCCAAGATTTTAGACCATCCTTCGGGCTTTCGAGTCCATCTGATGCGATTCGCAACCAGCATTGCGTCTTCCATCGCGTACGGACTCAGATTCCCTGAGGCTGACGACCCGGACATCAAGAACTTGATCGAGGTAAGATGTCTCGGCTTGATTCATCGGCTCACAGGCATGGATGGCTGAGACGGGCGATATCTAGTGGTTTGATAGAACAACAGCACTTGGCGGGAAGCTACAAATTGCCGACTGGTTCCCCATCTTCAGGCCCGTTTTCCGCTTTCTACCCAAGTTTATGAATCCCATCAAGCAGGAGATTGAAGAACTGGAGAAAATGGAGACGAAGCTGTGGGTGCGGCACACGACAGCAGCTCGGGCTTTGATCGATGCAGGAAAGCCGCACGCCAGTAAGCCAAAGAATTGTCCATCCTGACTGTATTCGTCCTGCTGCCACTGACTCTGCCCAGGCTTTGTCCGTGACCTACAGGCAAAGACTGAGAGCGAAAAGGATCGATTGACGGAGAAAGAAATCCTGTTTAGTGCGGGCCACGCGTACGCGGCAGCGACGTGGGTATCTTTCAGGTTCGAATGATTTGTAACCAATGACTGATCTCGCGGCAACAGAGATACTCAAGCAAATACTCTAGCGGCGTTCGTCAAGGTTCGTGGCTGGTTCAACTGGGAATGTCCTAAACTTATCCCCCCGGCCCTAACTAATGATTGGCAAGGCAATGGCACTGTACCCCGAAGTTCAGGCCAAAGCACAAAGAGAGATAGACGCTGTCATCGGCCAGGACCGGATGCCGACATGGTCAGACCGTCCGAATCTTCCTTACGTCCGCGCCGTCGTTGAAGAGACATTACGATGTACGTTGATGGGAACCTCTGTTATATGTGCCTAGATATCTGACCACCATTTGGCTTATAGGGCTACCAGTGACCTTGATTGGACCGCCCATGCCGCATGCGTTGTCCAAGACTGAGAGCTATATGGGTTACACGCTCCCCGAAGGAGCGGCGATTATCAACTGTGTATGAGATCCTTCAAAGGAGTTCATCTGCTCCAAGGGGCGGTGTGGTAGTGTTGAAGCTGACCTCGTGTTCGCATCGCGGGCATGAACAGATTTGGACAATCAACAATTCCGAACAAAGAAGCCCACATCCTCGAGACTTTGATCCCAGTCGACATCGGGATGAGGACACACTGCATGAAGGCATCGGCATCAACCCAGACACGGTCAAGAGGCCACATACCACTTTCGGCGTGGGCAGACGTACCTGTCCGGGATACCATGTCGCAATGCGCACACTGTTTATGGGAATGTCCCGAATCCTGTGGGCGTTCAATATCAGTCACAAGACAGACGGTGCCGGAAACCCCATCCCAATCGACCGAGATGCCATCGTGGATGCGCTCGTCACTGGGCCGCAACCGTTCCAGTAAGGGGGGCTCTGAGCACCATCTTTTGTCTCTTGATATATTTAGAGAAGAGGGATATATTGACTTTTTTCCCCTTTAGGTGCGAAATCAAACCCAGGAGTGCGAAGCATGAGACAATGATCCGAGAGGAATGGGCCAAGGCTGAGCGCGAATTGGATCACCAAGGCCATTACAACGACGACTTTTTCGGTCGATTCAATTCGTCGAGTACCAACCAAGGCGAAAATCGATAAGCCCACATTGGAAGAACAGAAGAAAAAGGTCAACGAGTGTTATGAGAGGCATAGGTACACAGAAGTAAATAATAAAAGTGGCCATCCATTTCGGAAAACTGGAAGGCCATAATAATCGCTCGGGAACCCAAGATAAGGATACTCCAATTCTGACGGCTACGGATAATACAGTCTCGTTTTGAGAAACAGGGACTAGATCAACGGTGGCTAGTCGAAGTCAATCTCGACGAGATAGCTAGTGAAGAAGCGGGAATTCCCTCGCCTCGGAGATCCAGGGTGGGGGTGGGGGGGGGAGGAATCCAGGAAAGTCTGACAATGGACAACTGAGACGGGTAACGAGATAGGTTCTTTGTATGACCTTCAGAAAACTCTCCCTTATTCCTTGGGCCGGAAGCTCGATTAATGACCTCGGCGATATAATATTCTGAAGCTTTTATTTGTATATCGTATGCCACATACCTAACAACGCTAGATGGTTTCGTGCCTGGCAAGGGCAGCTCGAGATGTCCCACACAATCTCGAATCTATTTCTTTCCCTCTGGCTAGCAGAGACCTCTGTCGTTCCCACCTCTTTACCATCTTACATCTCTCTCTGCGGTACATTGCGGAGGCTCGCAGGTAGAAACGAGGTTACAGCCTCTGCGCCCCTTCCTTCAGCCTGGACGTCGAACGATCATCCGGAAAGTCGTGCTTTGCTAAGTCTGTATTTTAAGCAAACAAAGTTCAAACAAAGTTATGGCCTCGTCAGGGGTAAGCAAGCTCTTCAACGCGCCGTCTGGTGCCGTGGCAGACGTACGCATCATAAACTGCACTTCAGGGATCACTAGATTGCCGGCAAGTTTCTTGTTACACCCACCTCTCCAAGGCATGCAATACATGCCAGATATACCCACGCGGTCCTTTCTCATCGAGAGCCCGACGACGGGCAAAAAGGCGCTCTTCGACCTGGGGGTACCACCCAACTTTCTCGATTTCTCGCCCTTTAACCAGGACCAACTGAGAAACCCGGCGTGGGAGATTCGCTCCGAGAAACACGTAGCGGACATTCTCAAGGAGAACCAGATTGATCCTGCTTGGATCAATTCGATTGTTTGGAGGTGAGTTCGTGCCCTCCAGGAGCCTCCAACATGTCCGGCCGTGCCTGATCCGTTCTCTTAGCCACCGGCATTTCGATCACATCGGAGATCCCTCCACCTTCCCTGGGTCGACAGAGCTTGTAGTTGGGCCCGGTTCTAAGCAGACATTCTATCCCGGGTATCCGACAATCAAAGATTCTCCTGTCCGGGGAAATGATTTTGCGTCCGTGTTTCTCCCTTCTTGACATTCTCACAGTCACGTTGGGCTAATCATTGTCGGTTCCGCTTCGACAGAGGCCGCGAGACCAGGGAGATCAACTTCGATGACGGTCCTCCACTTCAGATTGGGCAGTTCAAGGCAATGGACTTTTTCGGCGATGGTTCATTCTATCTCCTCGACGCGCCGGGCCACACGGTTGGGCACCTTGCAGGCTTGGTGCGGACGACCTCGGATCCGGACACCTTTATCTTTTGCGGCGGCGACCTTTGATACAGTCAGGACGATCGTCAAGGCCCAAGAGGCCGACGCAGACGACAAGGTGTTGTTCATCTACGCCCATTCCAAGGCTGTAGAGCGGTACGCAGAACTCTTTCCCCTCAAAGCTAACCAATGGAAACGGAAGGGATGGAAGCGCAAGGTGCTTTGGGACTTTGTGAGAGATTTCAAGGTCGCAGTTGATGCGCAAAGCGGTGGAAGCGCGTTTAATGCGGCAGGTGAATAAATGCGCCACCTTGGAGGACACAGGACACGCGGTCGAAGCATTAGATGAATAGTTGAAAATGTTGGAGGCTTGGATTTGTTTCCAGTCCATGAGCCGGAATCCGTTTCGACCGCGTGTGCAATAACGCGGGACGTCTCTAGCCAAACATGGAAATGAGTTGCTCTAATCTTCTATGTAATACCCCATGTGAGTCAGTGGATCAGGGTTGCGTGAATCGCCGCAGTCATCTCGACTCATCAGGAGTCGACAACGGGATATTAATGAGCAAGCTATGTACAGTAGGTCAGCGAGCCCCCAATTTTCGCCACGACACGCCCTGTCGACTACCCGGAGTGGAGCCCCCCACCACCCCCGGCAATTCGGCTTGTGGCACCCAGCGTGGCAATGAGCCGCCGAGTCACCTCATTTCCCACCGCCACCTTGGCCCCCAGCGCCTGCGCCCTCCCCTCGACTACGACGACAGCCGCGTGCCTTGTCAGCTTCTTCTTACACTTTCTACCATTTCACTCAACAACGACAAGCGACTTAACAGCAGGGTGAAAGAACCGAGCGGCCAATATGTATCTCCGCGCCGTTCATGCAGAAACTCGGCTCAAGCCTCTCATCGAGCTTATTCAAAACAACCCACTGGGCCTTCTGAGTACCGCAATCAGCTCAGATAATTTCCCCTTGATCCAGCACACATACATTCCTTGGGTTCTTGATCCACCAAGAAACCTCGCGGCTCTAGAGGCAGATGGCCAGGCAGACCGAGCGCCTGTGGGCAATGTTAAGCAGCCAGTGCAAGGGCTGGAAGGATGCAAACTACGGGGACATATGGCAAAGGCCAATCCGCATGCCAAGGCCGTCATCGAAGCGACTGGCCCAGGGAATGGTTGCCTTCCCACGGAGGTGACGGTGTCCTTCGCGGCACCCAGCCAGCACTACATCAGTCCCAAATGGTACGTCCAGACTAAACCTGAAAACGGGAAAGTAGTGCCTACGTGGAATTATGTGGCAGTGGAAGTGAGAGGGACTGCCAGAATATTCCACGACAAAGAAGCGGTCGAGACCGGCCAGTATTTGCAAACGCAAGTAGAGGACTTGACAAAGCTCTCGGAGAGTCGCCTGGGGTATGACTCGACGCCAAAGGCAGAACTTGCAGTCAATGGTCAGGAAGCTGGTGGCAAAGGGACAGCCTGGGAGGTCGGTGACGCGCCAAAGCCCTACATCGAGATCATGAAGAAAGCCATCATTGGGATTGAGATCGACATCACGAGCATCGTGGGCAAGTGGAAGATGAGTCAGGAGTTGAAGACTGGGGACCGGCAGGGCGTCAAAGATGGCTTGAGAGAGCTAGACGACGTGAAAAGCAGGTCTGTTGCTGAGATTGTCGAGATGAAGAGTAATGTGTAGCGTCATGGGTCTAACGTGTTTTGATGCTGATGACCGATGCTGACCAAAAACATTGTTCTCATACGGGTGAACACATCCGCTCTTCCAGCGCGTGCCTCTTTCACATGCACCAGACGACAGCCTGAAGCCTGGAACCGACTCAACAACCGCTCTGCTACCCGCGCTGTGTTGTCATTTCGTACAGCGTCATGGCCCGATGTCAATGTCTTAGCAATCCTTCTCATCCGCTGTACCGCAGGCGCTTAGAAAAGGATGAGATCCATAGGCTCACCATCCATTCACAGTCCGAGTTCACGCTTGAAGACCATATCCTCGAAAAATAATCCACAATACGCCGCAAAGAGGCCCGTGTCTGGATAGACATGGCGTGCCATCGTGGGCACCTGTTTTGTCGCGGCGGGCACATACTCGGGCAACCCCATCGCCGTCGCCTGGATCAGCACCATTCACGGCGGCTACACCAAGAGGAGCACGGTTTACGGGATCCAGCAGGTCTTCATCAACAGCTTCATCATCATGTCCACCCAGGTCTTCGACACCCCACCCAAGTTCTACAAAGGCAACGGCATCTTGCTGGGTATCTTTGCTGTCGCCTTCGCCTCGACGGCAATTCTGTATTTTTGGCTGAGAGCCGAGAACCGCAAGCGTGACCGCGCAGCCCAGGCGCGCCTCGACGGGACCGCACCCCCGCTTCCCGACGACATTGGCGATTTTGAGACCCTCTGTGATTATCACCCGGACTGGAGATATCCGCTCTGAGTGACTCTGACGAGGCTCGTCCGTTGAAAGAGGCCATTTTCAAGATGGGAGACGTGTGGACATGCTGGTGTAGTGGACATAGGGCTCGACGGTGGCATCGGCCAGCTGAAATGTCAGGCAGTGCTTCTGAAGCAGACCGAGGATGACTAGGCTTGATTTACGCTGACGGGTGTGATCTTCCTGCAAGCAATATATCATCGTTGACGAAGAAAACTCTCTTTTGTATCGTCTGCTCTTTGGCTGAACGAGTACATGGCCACACTGAAGTAAATCAATTGTTCTTTCCACGCTCCGCGGATCGCCTTCCCCAACTGACTTGGTGATAACCCGTCCTCTATGGCTGCTGTATTTGATGGGCTTTGCGTAGCAAGGTTGACGCAGCATGATGGTCTTGAAATAAGTCCAGGTTCACGTTTGGGGACGACGAATCTGGGCCGATCTTCACAATCTTTGTGGTCAAGGAGAAGAGCAGCAGTTTCAATCAACGGTGACCCGCACTCAGTCGTGGTTTTGACTGAATATGATGACTTGACATCATGCCCCCCCAAAAAAGCTAGACATCACCCCTTGTTGGCCGGCCCTTTCTATGGATAGTCACCCGCTTTCCTCAGCTCGTCAAAAACCTCGCTCGCGATGATGAGAGCATCTCGGCCAGCAGGGACGCCGCAGTAGACCATGGCATGTCGACAAGCCTCGGCGACCTTTTCCTCGGTGAAACCATTGTAGACGGCGCAGCGGATGTGGATGCGCAACTCGGGAGCTCTCCCCAACGCCGTCAACATGGCGATATTCATCAAGGCGCGCTCTTTGAAGTCGAGCCCCGGTCTCGCGTAGCCAGACCAACAAACTTCCGAGATGAACTCCTCGCTGACTTTGGAGAAGTGGTCCTTTTTCTGTGTGACCATCACCAACCGAGATTAGCAGCAATTCTTTTTCAGGCGTTGGTGGGAAGAACAGATTTTAACGCACCATGGTAGCTGCGACGGCGTCCACATGCTTGTCCCCCGCAAACTTCCGCACCATCTGTCGCCCGAGTGCCAGCTTGTCTCCCGATGGGGTCTGCTGTTCATTGATATCCAACATTTTCTGGTGGTTTATCGGACTGCCGCTGCCGAGAACTCGGAGACGACCGTTTGAACACCTGATGAATTGTGGAAAGACGAGTTTGGCATGGCGAGGAAAGGAATATGTAAACTCTGGTGTCGAGTGACGCGGCAACGTTGACGCTGGCTCAGCCCCTCCGAGGGGCGCCGCCCTGCCGTGGTGCAAATCCATCGATACCCGTCGGTTGGACTGACCGGTAAAGGAACAGAAGACATAATTACCCAGACGGTCCACGGCAAAACGGGACTTTTCATTCTGCACTCGCATAGTTCGTATAGTTCCGATTCGTTGATTTGTGCCTCCGCGGCTGAATACAACAAACCTAGACTCCAACATCAGAAGTCCAGGCCTCAATGGTGCAAACATCAAGAACATTATTTCAGCAGCCAGAGGTCATCTTCGCTACTGCTGGTGAAAGGTTAGGCACGATTTCGGTTCGGTTGGACGCCTATTGCTGCTTGCTTTGACTCAACCGCCCCTTGTCTGCGAGTAAATCATGCCCGTCGCTATTGTCACCGGCGCTTCAAGGGGGATTGGGAGGGCCATCGCTCTCCGACTTGCCGAGGATGGCATGGACGTTGCGGTTCTGTCTTCCCCTGGTGGAGGCCGAATAGTTCAAAAAAAGATGCAACACTGACTTACTCTGTGGCAGATCAATGACCTCGAAAAGCAAGCTCCGCTTCTCGAAAAGGTCCGGGAAGCGATCGAGCAGAAAGGTGTGCAAACCCAAGCCCTGTCAATCAGACCAATCTACATGGCACTCTCAACATCATCTTCGAGCTCGTGGTTGATCGCTGTTGGGTTCCAGGGCGAAAATGTCTCTGCTTCGTCACCGATATCACCAATGAAAGTCAAGTCCGACAGATGGTGAAAGAGACGGTCGACTCTCTGGGTCCCCTTACGGTGTGTACAGGTCACGCCCCCACAAACATCACATGCTCGGTTGCTAAGCCGTTCATTTCACCCTAGACCATGGTCGCCAACGCCGGGATCATTATCCCCAAGTCAATGATGGACACTGACTTGGACGACTTCAGTCTCATTCTCAACGTGAGCATAACCGATCCTGGCCTGCCTGAAAGAAACCCGCGCTAGATGGAACCTCCCAAACCGACTAGGTCAATGTGAAAGGAACATTTATCTGCTATCGGGAAGCCGGTATAGCTCCATCTCTGATCCCGTCATCCCTATCGTCGTCTAACGATTAAGCCAGCCCGACAAATGATTGCACAAGGCACAGGGGGCCGGATTATCGGCGCCGCCTCCCTAGCGGCCCATCGGCCGGTGAGTAAAAGACCAAAAGGCAATACGGCTTTCCGGCTCTCGTGACAGTGTCTCTGATGTACTCAACCGTCTTTTTCAACAGTCACACGGTTCAACCCCGTATGCAGCCAGTAAATGGGCCGTGCGTGGATTGACTCAGAGTATGGCCTACGACTTGGCGGAATATGATATCAATGTAAGAGTCGTCAGCATAGGTGTCTGTCCGACTCAACTTTGGCTGACCGACCATCATAGGTCAATGGTTTGGATCCACGTCTCATATTCTCCGCTGGAACGTTTCTCGCTGATGTTGACCCAAAGCCTATTGTCCCGGCCCAGTGGACACCCCAGTGAGTTTTGATCCTCCACCTTCTTCATTACTCACATAGCCAAAGCTCTGACGTTGAATCATGGATAGATGTGGGAGCAGATTGATGAAGTCATGGGCAAAGAACAAGGACTGGCCAAGGGCGAAGCGTTTGCGAGATCAGTCGAAGCTCGATGCGCGCTGAAGAGACCCTCGGTGCGTCTAATTCTCGGCCATCTTATTCGTCCATGGTCTGCTGACTATCGATAGGTCCCTGACGATATCGCCGCCTTGGTGAGCTTCCTGGCCGGACCGGGTTCGCGCAACATCACCGGCCAAGCCCTGATTGTCGATGGAGGTACGCAGTGACTTGTCTTTGTTTTGGGCAAATCTTTTCGTTGAGCATTCGACAGCGGCGTTTCGAGAGATTTATCTGACGGCACCGGTGCAGGCATTGCTTTCTGACTTGTCGACAAAGTCTTCTTCTGCTTTAGATATAAGAATAAGTTTGGGAGCTGAAGTAAAGCAAAGTAATCCCCTTGTGAAGAAATTTCTTGCACCGCCTTGCAAATGAATCACCCATGATGGTGACGTTGACAAATGGGTACGCAATATTGAAATCTAATCTCCCTCGGACGAAGTCAGCAGAGCCGTTGCTGGCAGCACGCAATGAACAAGACCAACAGGGACCAATGTTGGTTGTCTCGTGAATGAAACATGTGAGACATCGAAATGGATGGTCTATAGCTCTACAACCCTGCAGATCCGGGCTGCCATCTGAAGGATATCAATGAGTTCATACTTGACTCCAAGTCCGTGTGGAGTTCAGCAGGGGCTGTCAAAGAAGTGTGTGTGCTCTCTAGTGGTAGGAAAGAAAGCGTCATTTGACAGTCTGTCACGGAAGGTGCATGGCCAGGGCCTGACGGTGGAAAATGGCTTCTAGTAGATTGGTTTGTATCTTCTCAACCAGATCCTTACGAAAAGACTTCAGGCCTGATTCGATGCGATTTCGCTTGTCACAATCCCTCGCATGATCGCCACCGGTGTCTTGGTCCTGTGATTCAACCCCAGCCATGAGGTGCCCTATGCTGTCCTTTTCCGGGATTGATCTGATCAATCAAAGCCCCTTGACATGGCATTGGCTCGCCGTGCTTGTCAACCTGGGGAAGGCGCTCGGAAGGAAGGAAAGAAGCGCCGACGTTGTCACCAGGGTCTGCTTCTTATTGGCCAATTGTATTCCACAGATCCAACGCTAGTCTGGATCTGGAATTCATGATTCCTGCAATTGGGTCCCAGTCGAAGCTTCTCGGCACGCGCTGGCACTTCAAATTGCTTCATCAAGGCCTCTCCAAACCACTTTCTTCTCACCACTTTCTGATCTTGCTCTACTGAGTTGGATGTACTCACCAGACAGTCGAACAGTCTGGAGATCTATGGTCATTGATTTCTACATCGGTCAACTATGGCTCACTTAAACCCATGTAATCAGCCCTACTCGAAGTTCATCAGCGAGGACCCAATTACTTCACGTTACAATGCAAGACTGTCCAAGGCGGATAGGCTCATGCTTGGGCCGCAATTGCGGCTTTTGCAAGAGACTGGCTCCACTCGAACCGAGATGCAACTTGAGGTTCAGGCTTTGATTGGGAGACCTGTCACTCTCGCACAACTTGACGGGCTCTTGAAGGAACATGATATCTATTTTTATAAGAAGAAAGATTTCACATCGGCCCCGGAAGTCCCAAATAGTGACGCAACATCAGCTTCCACGGCACCACCACCACAGCACAACAGCGCTACGTTGATGTGTAACCTTCCTTACCCAAATACATGGGGATCTGAGTCAGGATTGGAAGAATCTCACGGCTCGAGGTGCCTGAAAATCACATTCCGCCTTTCAAATTGTTCCATATTACACTTTGAAGATATATCTACGGCCGATCGCGAACAGGAACACTGCGATTGCACGGACGTGCCTGGACAGTACGCAATTGATAATATACAACTCCAGCTCGAGTCCATGAACCCTGATGTTGAAGGTATGGAATGCAGAAGACAGAGTCTTTCGGCTCGCGATAGCAAGAGAAAGACCTCCACATCGATATCCTGCGTGTATGGATTGTCAAGAATTGCATCCGATTTGTACTCGACCGTCATAGCGGAGCATAAGGACGGAACAGAGCATGGCGCCAGGATGATCACAATAGCAACTGTATTTTCTATCCTCGGAGCATCTACGGAGGCGTTCGACCTGTATCTCCTCATTTACTACCACTTTCGAGAAAATGATGGAAAATCCGATGCCGCTTACCCACAGGTAGTTCATGGTGCGATAAATTGTGCGAGATTAGCCCGAACGGCCCTTCAGATGCAAATTTCCCTCGCAATGTTTGGAGATGTCCGGGGCATGCTCCTTTCTCGCTATGGCCGACAGTCTATGGCTGGCACAATAACCTGGAAATACCTCGAACGCGTCCGAAGTCAATATGTCTGCATGCGAGGCAGAGACCAGACCATTGAACCTCTGGAGTCGGTCGAAGAACAGGCTTATTGGGCAGTTTCTGCCTTGGTCCTAAGCCGGGATTATCTCGGCAAAGAGTGTGGAGTGGCACCAGACTATTGCATGAAATCCTGGAACGGCTCCATCATGGATCACCTCTGTAAGTGCGATGTCACGCGCAGGTGCCTAAACACCGCACTGGACCAGGTTTGCTCGTATATAGATGAAACCCAGGACCAGCTTGATCGAAATCTGTCATGGGCTTCCAAGCAGCTATCTATGTCCCGGGTCGACCATTACGCTCAAGTATTGGCTTGCTTAGTTCTTGAGGAATGTGCAGTCAACGGGGCCAACTGTCCCATTGGACCGGACCACACAGAGAGCGAGAATCATCAAGGCTTCCCCTGTGACTTGAAAGGTCTCGCTGTTGCCATTCTTCCATTCATATTGCGGACCGAAATCATTGTGGAGGCCATAGAGGCTGTGTGGTGGCCGTCAACGCCGCTTCCCTCGTTTCTGTTTCACCAGGCGATTCGGCTCATGAGGCGAAAGATTGAAAAAAGCCCGGCATTCTACGAGAGGACAATCCAGTCAGTCGTTGCACGTCTTTCCCCGACGTTCGAAGCGGGGCTATCCGAGCCATGTTTGATTCCCAACAGCACTCTCAAACGAATTGGTATGAGGGTCGTCGGTCTTCTACCCTTGCCCACCACCGTGGTGCCAGAGAAGATTGAAGAGCCCCGAAATGCTCTTAAAATACCGCAACCGACGTCAGCATGTTCCGAATCTCCAGAAGTGGGAAGATTCTTCTTGAATTCTAGGTCATTGACGCTCGCACAATCCTGCACCTCCTCCAACAGCTCAGATTATGGCAGGTTTCGGCGCACAACTTCTAGACTTAGGTCCAATACTGCCGCCTCAACTACAACCCAGCAGACCGCTTCGTCAGGTCGGATGAGTTTGCAGAGCAGCCTGGGGTTTTCTAGGGTCACTGGCCTTCCGTCGAATCCCTCACTGACGAACAGTGACGATGCCGTTTCCCTGGACGTCAGTATGAGTGGGTAGCAAATCAGCGAGTCAAAGATTCTGGCTGTTGACGGGGTCCTATATTTCTCCCACAGAAAGAGGTAAGAGTCAGATATGGGGTGACACAGGAAGTTGTTCCTTGGACATGAGGCTGAAACGCGGAGTCTAATGAATGACGTTTTTGGATTGGACGGAGTCATTGGGAAATATGTTAAGCCGAGACGCCGAGAAACGATTAAAGCATTTGTTGGAAGTTTGGCTCTATTTCTCTTCCTCGTTCTCTCTATACCAAATGCACCGCAGCCTTTTGTTCTTTATTCTTTGTTCTATCGTCGAAGCTGGCTCATGTCCACAGTGACCAAGCCTGATCCACACGAGTGAGAAAGATTCTTCTTAGATGCTGGGGAGACCACCACCATCCAGCCAGCCAGCCGGCCAGCCAGGAATTTTCCCCTCTGTCTCTCTCTCTCGACATTCAAGCTCTGTCACTAACTTTTGTTCCAGTAAAGACGTTTTCCAATGGCCCCCACCCAATCGAGTATTTAATGATGCGATGATTATCTCCCTCCTTCCATCTGTCAATGGTGCTTTCATGACTTGCTTGTCTGTCTATCGGTCTGTCTGCCGGTCTGTCTGTCTGTCTGTCTGCCAATGTAATGTATCAAGATCCCCCAATGATCTATCAGGTCGGGTCAGGTCTCAAACGATTCTGAACCAGTTGTTGAGGACGGTAGCGGATGGTGCGGAGAGTGGGAGACCATGGTGCTCTTGCACGGCGTGGCGAGGGCGGCAGATCTTGCTGCAGTGGCGGGGACGGAACTCGAGTGGTCGGTGCTCATGCAGACGCTCACCATCGCCGGATGACATGACGAGCTTCCGTGCACTTTCTGTGATGTCTGGCTCTCCAAGGTGGACTGCAGCGGTAGCACAATGCTCGACTCCGTGCTCTTCCTGTTTGTGTTGAGGTGCTGTTGCTTCGGCGTGCTGCTCGGCGTGGTGTGTCTTCAAGACCAGCTTCTCATCATGCACCATTGAATCTTTGTCTTTGACCTCGTTGCGCTTCTGCTTCTGCTTCTGCTCCGGACCGGTGGCGGCGGCAGTGGCAGTGGCAGGAGCCGTGGCAGTCAATACTCCCATCTCATCATCCCCATCAAACGGATCCATCATCACCACGACCTGCGCCACGTTTCCGCCACGAGAGATCTTGTTCCTGATGCGCCGCATCGGCATTGGAGGCACCGGCTCACACTTTGCGCACGGACGACGCGTGAACCTCATCTGGGGCCGCAGCTTGAGCTGGATCTTCTGGCATGTGCCGCCGCTGTTGGGGCATTGGGTGTGCGCCAGCGAGTTTTCGCGCGCCTTCTTGCCGCAGTCGGGGCATTTCCACTCGATGGATTGGCGGTAGCACATTTTTTGCGGTTTTGTGTGTTGAGGAGAAATGGGCTGGTGGACTGATTGACTGTGTGAGTGAGTAAGTGACTGAGTTGAGAAGTGTTGGTCAATGGAAATGAGGAAACGAGCGCGTACAGATGGGGGTTTTGAGAGTTGGGTGAGGGTTCAGGCAGGGTGGATGGGAGACAGTGCATGTACATCTGAGCAGAATGTGGATTGGAGACGGCGTTCAGATACTTACTGTGATATGATGTGAGTTGTTCTGTTCCGATTGTGTGAAAAGCGAGGAGAGAAGTGTTGAGGAGGCGAGGATGATCTCAATGCTGAAGTATGCAGAGACTGTGAGGCTTTCAATGGAGAGGTGAGAACGATCAATGATCTTGTAAGATGTGTTATGAGAAGTGGAATGGCAAGAATCAATCACTTGAGCAGGTAGGTGAGAGATGGAGAGGACTTTATGAAAGACACGACAGATTGAGAAGACGGAGGGAGAGAAGAGATTCTGTCCATTGATTGATTGATTGATTGATTGATTCTATTCATGACTTTTCCTATTCTCTATTCAGGGTTTTATCAATGGCATTGCCAATGCCAATGCCATTGACTTTGCCAGTGACAGTGAATGTGAATGAGAACAATAGGCTTGCTTGCAGGTGGCTGGGAGCTATTGTGACTCCCGTGGCAGTGAATTGCGCCCTGCCGCCCTATTGTTTCAATGGGTTTCAGTGCGCAGCGCAGCGCAGAACAGAACAGAACCGAAGTGAAGTGAACTGAGAGACCACACATCCTATTGTTCCTATTGTTCTCACACCAGCCTCCTCATGCCAAGCGAAGCTCTCAATGTGCTCTTGGCAGGTAAAGGCTTGAGATGAAGTGAAATTGTCCCTGTCGACTGCCGGGTGTCTTTTTGAGCCTTTGGGGATTGTTTTCAATTTTCCACAAACCTCATTGTTCTCAACTGCAGATTCCCGTGTGTGCAGTGCAGCGAGTGCCGCTTATCCTGTCTTTGGTTGTTCTGTTTCACTTTCCCGCCTGATTGTTGTACATGAAAGAGGATACGGAGGTCGTGACAATGCCAAGAGTTTCCGGGCTTTGTTGACATGGCGGAGCGGAGCGGAAGGCTGCAGGCCTGTTGAATTCAGGGCTTGGCAACTCTTGCAAAATCATCGCCGCAACCCGTCATCGGTCTCATCCCCAGACAAATATGGCGCTCTTGAGATTCTAGCACGTCTTCCTGTTCCCTGATGTCCCAAATTTCCATCCGATACCCGACATCCGCACTAGGGAGAAGAAGTCATGAAACTGCACCAGAACCAGGGTATTTCTCGTCCTCCAATGAATCCATGGTACAAACGTGCTTGTCTAGCACAATCGCCTGAGCTCTTCTCCCCATCCTCTAACCTCCTGTACAGTCACCCCCAGCTGCCCCTCCGCCAGTCCAGCTTCTCTTATAATTCCATCCAGTTCATCGTCGCCTATGTTCAACAGCGCCTGCTCCAACATCTCTCCGTCCACAACTCTGAACGGCTCATCCTTCTCCGAAACCTCAGTCTTCAGTGCTCGGAATTTGCTCCAAGGCATATAGCCTGGGGCTTGTACTCGATTGGCCAGTGTGGACTGCAACGTCAACAGCACGTTCATAAAAGCCGGATTGATGGTTGCAAGCATGTATATCGCACCCTCGATGGTCGCCAGGAATGCCCGCGGAGTGACAATCGGTCCCTCACGCAGAATCTTCGAAGCAGCAGACTCCTTCGTACGGTCGTAACGCGGTCCATCTGAATTTGAAAACTCGACCTCCTTGTTTCCGTTTTCTTTTGGTGGTGCTGGAGTGAGTGTTAGAGGGACAATTTTATTGACTACTTCCCCCAGTCGGAATTCTCCCGTAACTTCGAGCCGGCGGTTGAAGCCACTAGTTCCACTGCCGTCTTTAGCCTGACGGAGCATGGTTAGATTACCTTCCATGTCGGCAACAACCCATTCGTTTTCCATTGTTGTCGCAGTGGCTGAAGACCAGAGTGTAGCAAAATGGCGGGATACTTCCTGCAGAGCGTAGCCTGTTGAGGAAGACGGATCATGCTTGACGTGAAGGATGGATAGAGATTTCATCAGATCTGCAACGGCGATTGAGGCCGGTCCTCTGGGAGTGGCGGGCATGACAGCGAGAGATAGCGGGTTCGTTGATGTACGGTATGTGGCCAGCTTCTCCAGTCTGAGCGAGTGATCTCCTCGTGTTGATGATGGCACAAGACCGTAAAGAACAACCTGAACAGGCCAGTCAGCCGCAGAGTCCACAATGCAATGATAAAAGACTCACCGTCTTCACTAGGCCCGCGACAATCTTGCCCTCGCACATGGCGAGACTTCTACATGCGCCCTTGACCTTGATTTGAGTAACTTCCTTCAACTTGTTTTCTTTATTGACCTCATAGACGAGTATCCGTCCCTTCGGGCACTCTTCACCAGATTCGCTTTCCTCAAGAAGGCTCGTCCCTACCACAAACATCTCCCCGTAGGCACGGGATTCATTCTCTGGTTCGAAAGAGCCCGTTGTAATGATACACTCCACCAATTCTCGATCTTGTAGATCGACCGAGTGCAATTCCTTGAAACTCACCTCATCTGCAATCTTAACCGAGCTCATCGTTACTTCCGCGCCGTCTTCAATCGCTCGACTGACGCACCCCATCGCGAACATTTTGGCCTTGGGCTCGTAGGTGAGACATCTCACTGTTTCGCGAATTGGAAGCGTCTGCAATTGAGTCGTTCTCTCCGTGCCGATCAAGGCCAGCTTGAGCTCGCTTGGAGTTGCTATAGCGATGGCCGAGGGATATGCCTCGGAATTGAAGCTGCACACACGAGAAGCACTATCAGCGTTTACGGCAGAATAGACAATGCGACCTTCGGAGGAATATATCAGGGAGGGTTGCTCGCATGAAGCGAATATGTTGGACAAGCCCGATCGGTTATCCTTTGGTAGTTGTTTGAAGAAAACTGGCTCAGTTCCCAGTAAAATCCTCGTCATCCCGGATAGAGCATTTTTCAAGGGGTCGAAGGAATATGACAAGACTGTGCCGTCGGCCATTGCAACGAACAAAGTCAGGGGAGCATCAGGGAGGACGTTAGCGACCAGGACAGAACGTGGGATGTCCGTCCCAGGGGTGCCAACCATTTGTGATTGTAGGGTGTCGAGGGAATGTAGGTCAAGAATGGCAACAGAGGCTGTTTGCCAGAACGAGACAATACAGACATTACTCTGTGTATCTGGGACTGTTACACCTGATATCTGTGAGTCTGGTGGGAAGGTCTTTGAGACGGTGGGTTTCGCGTCACTGGTGGCGACGTGGAAGACGTGGAGAGTGTGGCCACCTTCCACCAGAAGAAGATGGACCGAATTTGCACTTGCAGCTGTTATTTTTGCTGCGGAATCGGGCGGTTTCCATTCCAATGTTAGCATGTCCGATTCAAGATCTGTGATCCGAAATCCGGTCTCGTAGACCTGAACGAGCTTTCGATCCGGAAGGTTTGTCGCGAGAAGAGTTGGTTGAGAGAATTCGAGGTGGTGGAAGTCGTCAACTTCTTCAACTGAGGCTTCTGAATCGAATTGGAATATTCGCGTCTCATTGACGAAGGATACAAGTAGGGTATCTTGCGTATTGTCCAGCCCTGTTGAGCTCAAACCCCATAAGTCGATAATATGAGACAGCTCGCCAATTGTGCCAATCTCCTCCAGACCGACACCACTTCTGACACTCCGAATGGTACCATCCTGCCAGGCACCAGAGGCTGTCACTATCCTAGCTTGGCCAGATGAGAACTCGGGGGTTGCCCCCCCTTCGGCACCTCGACCAAGATCCATGATGGTGAAATCTAGAATAGGGGCGATGTTGGCAAATGTCTGTACGATACGGACACCTTCCTCCTCGATGTGCACAACCTGCGAGTCGCCCGCATGTGATCCGATAAAGACGTAGCCTTCGTCAAGATATATCAAGGAAGAAGCCTTCGAGGTCACACCGACAGGGTCGAGTCTCCATGATATCACTTCGGAAAAGTTTGTCTCAATCATCAAGAAGAATAATTTGCCGTAGTCATCAGCAAGAAGCCATCGTCGGTCATCAACGTTGGTCCAGCAAGTCCATATCGTCGAGTCGTCATCTAGGGGCTGTGTGATGACATTTGTCAAGTTGCGGTCGACGTAACGGATGGCATGGTCGCCTAGAATCAGGAAGCCTCCGTACGGAACGGGGACGGGTATGAGATGGCTCACGCCTTTGTCGAGTTGGTCACCCTTTAGTTCGGCCACTCTCTCCAAATCCGCCGATGCCTGCTCTCCACCAGTCCGGTATTTGAGCTCTCTTATCACTAGCTGGGGATTCTCCAAGTTGTCTTCCCACAGGATGGCCAGCCTCGGATTGTCTTTTGAGTCGGGATCCATTTCCAAAAAGGCCGATGACCTTGTCAACAACTCTTCGATCCTGACCTGAACCGGCTCACCGAGAGCCCCGACCTGAGTGTTGGAAGTGCTTTCTCTCTTAACCCGTTTGTTGGAAGGCTGGATAAAGGGCAGGACTGATATTACTCCGTCATATAGTTCCAATGTCATGTACCGCCGTGTAGGATCCACGTGGCACCTGTCCGACTCTTGCGAGCTGCGCAGGACTTTGTCTGCCAGATCCACATAGCTCTGCTCTGTTTGTAACTGTTTTGTCTGCGCATTCCATGAACACGTGAAATATTGGTAGCGATCGGTCCCGACGAAAAGGTGGTCGGTCTTGGAAGACTCCGGACGGAGCTTCTCGAGGATGGTAACGTAGCCATAGACGGTCTTCGTGTGTAGCAGGCTCAAGCCTTCCGGTCCTTGCTCGAATATCTGGAGTCGATTCGCTTTCCTAGATCATGCCTTTAGTGCATAGCCTATCGGCGAGGAGGGATTGGAAGTGTACTCACGCAACAATAAGGGTGTCAACGCCAGGCTCTAGGAAATTCAGCTTGATTGCATGGCGTACACCGCTAGG